AAACACGGAGTTTGTGTATGGGACATGAAGGCAAAGACATACCGTCATCATGGCGCCGGAACTCGTCCCCGTCACAAACACCTTGCTGGTGTCCGCGTTGTACGTCGCGATCGTCCAGGTGACCATGTTGGCGATGGAGTTGCTGTTGCCCCCGCCGTTGTGGGTGAGCGTCGCCGGCGAGCTGACGTCCCAGCAGGTGCCCGAGTACGGGCTCTGCGGGTAGATGACGATGAAGCCGTATTGCTCGGCCAGCGTCGCGTAGGGCGAGCCGCTGTAGTACGCGGATGCCGTGCCGGTGCCTAATGCCCCGAAAGTTTAGGCTTTCCATCTGGAAAAGGGTGGGGACGGGGACGGGGACGGGGACTGGGACAAAACGGAGGGAAGGCACAGACAGTAATGAATGGCAACGATAATGCCGGGCTTGGTGGCCAGATTCGTCGGCACGTAGATGTACATGCCCACGTTGGTAGGGTTGCTACCGAAGCTGGTGACCTGCTGTAGAGAGCCGGCTCGAGGGTAGACTGCCGAGTCCCGGTTCCCTGAAACACCGGCCCTGCATGACAGTGCGCACAGCACGCAGGTGAGCAGAAGTGAGAGGCAAAGCATCATGCAATGTTGTAACTTGGTCTCGATGCAAGGAGATAATGGTGAAGAGGTGAGTGGTTGTTCTCTGCATCTCTGAAGGTGTGTGTGTATATATATACAAGCCCTTCACGGCTAAATCCAGCCCTTGTACACAATCAACCTGAAATCGATCCGCAACAAACTCCATTTCTGCCTCTGTAGGCCAAGTCGATGGGAGGAGGCGGGGGCTGTCTCCGTGAATCGAAACAGCCATGACTTGTCAGGTATAGAGAGCAGGCGAGGGCTGGAGATCGACATTCCCGGGCTGGGCCCCGTAACGGAAGGCGTTAGAGTCTGACACGGGATCATTTGGCGTTTCAGGAACGCACCATATGAAGTTTTTGAATAGCCGGGTTTCAGCCGAATTGGCAAAGTTGGTAGCAAGGATTATCCGGATAACCCCACCTCGTTGGTAGAGGTGTCGTGGTTGACATTCTGGTGGAGGGCTGAAGATTACAGGCTGCATGGCTGAAGTATACCCCAGAAATCGGCTTTACAGCCGGTGAGCGGGGTCCCAAACAGGCTCAACTCAAGTGATCGCATCGGTTTTCCTTGCCACTCAATCACAATACATCAAAATAGAATTCAATCGGGACCTCTTGGATAAATTATGAATCTCAATCAAATTAACAAACTTAGAAATGATATTGAGTGATAAGACCGAGGAAACACCCTCCGAATGACATACCGAACAAGCACACCGAATACACAATTCATAATCATACGGTTATCACATTTAGAATCAAAGCAGAAACTTTTTCTAACAGATTTTGTCTAATCGAAAAACAACAGGCACGGCCACATGCCAGTAAATGCAATGCAGACACAAATCGAAAAAGAAAAGAGTCCATACGACACCTAGCTCTCTCTTCTCGTATGACATGGGCAATCGACGTCGTGGCTAGGCCGCAAGTTTCCCGCCCTGATAGAAACATCCGTAGCAAGGGAAGGACATTGTCAAAGCTCTCCGGGTATTGGAAAAATAAGGAAAGGGAAAAAGTAAAAAAAAAAAAGAAAAAACGACGTATGAATGCAAAAACAGAAAGAGAAAGGCTCTTCAAACCCTCCAGCGGAACCAACCAATCTCCCTAGATTCATTTCATAAGAACCCGTCTCCCTACCTCACTTCTTCCAGTGATGCTGGGTCCACGGTTCATATCATCATCTGTACAAGGGAATGTCGACAAGCCCCCCACTCTATCTTTCAAACGGAAGTTAGATGAGCGACCGATCTTGCTGGCGAAAAGAAAAATCATGGACGAGAAGATTAGGATGAATGTTCATAACAGATCACAGACATGTCGTGACGATGTGTCAAAAGGGGAACAGTAAACGTAGAAATCTTTCCAGAAGAACGAAATCATTTTTGTATTGTCATTGCAAGGGATATCTATGAGGCTTCCTCGCCGGCAGTAGAGGGAGTCTTGGAGGGTCGGCGCTCAACCGCGGGTTGCGATTTGGTCAGCAGAGGGGAGGTAGGGTTCGATGGCGGGGAGGTGGCCATGTTATCCCGGTCTTCCAAGGCGGCCAAAGCACTGCACAAGACGTTAGTATCAACTGGCCAATGATTCTAAATGACGACTCACCTGAAAGCGTTGATCGAAGTAACTTCCTCCTTCTTGCCGACAGGGGGAGTGCCAGTCCGGCTGCTAGCAGCACTATCATCACTACCACGAACCAGGTTGCCACCAGGGCCAAGGTTCTTCCGTCCGCTGTTGCTGCGAGAGCCCAGCATGCTAGAGGGTCCGAAAGACATCGGCTGGTTGGTGTTGCGTGTCGTCCGCAGACGGCGGAGATCGTCACTGCCGACCTTGCTCGAGGCAAAGTCCTGGGGAGGAGCTTGGTTGCCGTAGTTGCTGTAGCTGCGGGCATCACCACGACCCAGTCCCGGGCGGCTGCCGCGGTTGGCCTGCTGGCGAAGACGCTCCATCTCGGCCTCTTGTTGGGCGCGAGCAGCCTAGTGGGATAATTAGCTGGAGTTTGAAGAGAAAAAGGGAGGGACTGTAGGACTTACCTCTTCACGAATCTGCTGGATAGTCTTGGGTCCCTTATCGGCATCCTTGGAGTGCCAGCGGGCATTACGCAGGTCGATGATATCCTAGCATGGAAGTTAGTCAAGCTGTAGCGATAGCAGGCACTCGTCTACGTACCATCAACATGAAGCGCAATCTGCTGGGCAAATCAGGAGTCTGCATCATAAGGCTGATGCGGTGGAAGTAAGCATCCATCATCGCGTGTCCACGCTCCGAGGCGTCGAGGCTAGCACCGATGGTGCGCAGGAGGCTGGTCAAACTCTCAACCTCAGCCTCATCGGGCATACCCTCATAATCGACAAGCTTCTTCACACACTCGTGCATGATACGCTCAGTCAACATGCCCAGCTTGTACAGCTCACCAATGAACTTGACGAGACCAAGACCACGACGCTTGGCAGCAGCGGCCTTATAGTACTCATCAGACATCATAGCAGCTTCCTCCGTCTGGCCCTCAGGCTTAGGAGGCAGGTTGACCTTCCAACCACGCTCGAACTCCTCTTGACAACGGTTGAGGAGGTACTTGCGGAACAGACTGCCACCAGCAACGACGTTGCCGTTCTTGTCGTGGATGTTCTCGTCCTTGATCTCGGGGCTCATGCTCTCCAGCATACTCTTGCAGAACTTGGCGTAGATGGAAGCCCAGTGCGCCTCGTCAGTAGCCTTCTCGAAAGTAAGCTGGATGACCTGGCGCAGGGTGCGTCCATCCGATTCGTCCTTGGATTGGGAAACAATCTCCAAGATCTGGCCAGAGATACGATCGAAGTTCTCGGGCGTCATCTTGTTCAAAGCAGCCTTCACCTTACGCTGCACCACATCAGGAGGCATGTGAGTCGAGCCAGCAGGAGTAGGACCAGCAGTGGTAGTCTGACCGACACTGCGGGGCTTCCATCCGGTGGTGGAGACCTGGAGGGCCTCGACCTCCTTGCCAGCGGTGAGAGGCATGGACTTGGCCATGTCCTCCTCCTTCTTGGCCTGCTGCTTGTCGCGCTTGCTGCTGTTGCGAGTGCCGGAGCGGCCAGAGCCGGGGCGAGGCGAGGGCATGCCAGGGTGCATAGGGCTAGAGTTGGTGCGGCCGATGGCGCCACCAACACTCAGACCGCGACCAAAGGAGCCGAAGGGGTTGCCAACAGCGGAGGCTTGGCGAGACATAGCAAAGCGCTGCTCGGAAGTAGTGCCTGGAGGCAGGCTGTTGCGGTTGCCGGGCTGGCCGAAGTTGCCCATTCCGGGGAAGCCCTGACCGATGCCGGGGCGAGAGCTCTGGCGGCCGCTGGCCATCGGGGTGCGGGCCGACTGGGGACGGGACGAGTCACTGTCACCGACAGTCTCACGCACGCGCAAGTCCCAATCAATCGAGGGCTTCTCCTTGAACACATTCTGGAACTGAAGCAAGAACTCCTTGTTGTAGTGGAACTTGCGATCGGTAGGAGCGTTGGCATTCAGGGCAGGGTTGGGAGAAGCAATGGACTCAGGGTAAGTGATCTTGCTGAGATCCTCGATCAGGCGAGCCGAGTGCAGGGACTTCATGGCAGCGCTGGGCTGAGGAGGCTCAACCGCCTTGCTGGTCTCCAGCTTGAGAGCAGCAGGCTTCTGCTTGAGAGCACTGGCGGGCTTGGCAGGAGGACCCATATCAGAGGCGGGCGTAGCGGTGCCGCTCTCGGTGCTAGTCTCGGTTGCAGAGAAACCACCCTTCTTCAACGAGGCGAAGAGATCCTTCTTCTTTTGATCCTCGTCGGTGACAGCGCCGGCTTCACGCTTCTTAGCCTTGGCTTCCTCAAGAGCCTCGGCCTCGCGCTCAGCCTGCTTCATGTTGGCTTCCCACGCCTCGCGCTCCTCCTTCTCCTTGCGCTCCTTCGCCTCCTTCTCGGCTTGCTTCTTGGCGTAGTAGGCAGCCTCGGCCTCGCGCTCCTTGGCCTCGATTTCGGCCATCTCGCGCTCAATGGCATCGTAATCGATGTCATCGTCATCAGCAGGAGCGGGCGCGGGAGCAGGAGCGGACTCAGCAGGCTTAGCGGGCTCTTCCGCCTTGGTCTCCTCTAGCTTATCCTTCAAACTCAGCTCCTCAAGCTTCTTGCGGGCGGCCTCCTCATCAGCAGCCTTCTTGGCAGCCTCTTCCTCCTCCTGCTGCTGCTTACGGGCGGCCTCTTCTTCCTCCTTTTTGCGAGCGGCCTCCTCCTCGTCCTTCTTGCGCTGGGCAGCGGCGGCCTCCTCTTCGGCCTTGCGGCGCTGCTCAGCCTCTTCCTGTTCGATCTTCTGGCGGACAGCGTCCTTCAACTCCTTCTTCTTCTCCTCGTCGGTCTTGGTAGACTTGGACTCGGTGCGAGTGTGGTCGGCGCTGCTGCCGGTGCGAGGAGGAGGAGTCGAAGTGGGAGTCGCAATCTTAACAGGGGACGGGGTGATACGAGCCGGGGAGGCAGGAGCCTTTTCAAACGTCTTTACGACGCCGCTACCGGGGTCCTTGATGATGATCGGGCTCTTCTTGGCAGGGATGACGAACGGCGGCTTCGCGGGAGCGGGGCTGTTCGACGTACGGCTTCCGGTGTGAGCATGGCCAGGGCCGGGAGGACCAGCAGGGGGCTGGCCCTGGCCAAGGCTAGACCCAGGGCGGTCATTAGACATCTGCGAGGGCGTACGAGAGAGGGAGGTAGCTTGGGCGGGAGGCTGGACAGGATACTGGTTCTGCATGTACGGAGCCTGGGGGTTGAAGGGCATTCCGGGGCGTGGTTGCGGGGACGGGGGAGTCATATACTGGACACCACCCATGTAGCCTTGGGGGTAGTAGCCGTAAGCAGCGGGGTCGTAGCCGGGGTAGGCCTGGTTGGTTTTCATCAACGTTAGATATTGCTCAAAATTCCCGCTTTCTGGCGCTAGATTGATGGGTGGGATTGGTGGAAGGGGGGCTTTAGCAGTTGCAGCGTAGATGGGTGAAAGTGATGGTCGGCGGTATGATCCTTTTCTTCGGGTTCCATATCCACGTCGGAGGGGTTTATTATGGGGAGGTCTCACAGTTTGGGGTCCCATCGGTTGTCCATAACCGTACGCCTGCGGGGGCATCTGCGCGTGTGCCATGGGAACCTGGTTCATCTGGGGAGTCGCAGGATGCGCGTTTGCAAGGGCGGGGCTGCGGCTCGCTTGGTGAGGAGAGTTGGGGAAAGGTGCGAGCGGGCGACCTTGGTTAGGGGCGTGGAACTGAGGGCCCATGTTGGGAGCGCCGCGGGCCTGGTTGGGAGTGGTGCGGAAGTTGGGACCTGGGGAGTAAGGAACTTGACCCTGATAGCTCGACTGAGAATAACCACGGCCGCGACCGCCCTGATGGGGGTAACCGCCACGGCCGGGAACACTACCCATGTGACTGCTCATATCGCTGTGAGTCGATTGGGAAGATTCGCGACGGAGGTGGGTCGACTGAGGACCGGGGCCAAGGGGTGCCTGTGGAGCCGCGCGCATCTGTTGCTAGCGCAAGACAAAGATTAATACCAGCATATCTCAGGTGTGGGTAAATCGAGGTATGCCAAGACAGGAAACGTGCGCGCCCTTGCAAAAATTTTTGCTCCCCATCCATCTCCCTCTATATCGCCCTACAGTATTTTGCCGCCTCCTTCTTGGCTTTGCCAGATGGAGTTGGGCACCCAAGGGAGTCTTCGTAGACAGAGTAGGGCAAAATCGCATGGTGCGATCCGGGCAAACTGTGCAGAGAATAGAAGGGGTCCACTTACGTTATCGCCAGCATCGCCAAAGCTGCCAAAGTTGGGAACGTTACCCTGCGCCTGGTAGGTCGACGGCGGTGGCCGGCCACCGCTGGAAGCGGGTTGAGGAATAGGGGAAGGCGAAGTCTGGGGGGAAGTCACACGGGGGTTCGCGGGCGGAGTGACACCAAGACCGGCCTGAGGCTGAGTAGCCAAAGACGCGGGATTGCCCATGCTAGGCGAGGACTGCTGGTTGGCGAATCCGAACTGCAGACTGTTGGGACGACCGGTCTGGCCGCCGTTGGGAATATATCCGGAGGTGCCAGCAGAGGTGATGGTCACCGAAGGCTTGCGGGAGTGATCGCTTTGAGGAGCCGGGGCGCCATTGACGATGGTGACGCCGGGGGTTTGGGATTGCTGCATGGGTTTGCCGCTCACAGGAGATGCTGAGGTCGACTTCCCATGTTGCGACGAGCCGCCCACGGTGACGGGAGCGGCGGTCGAGTCCGTCGCGGACTTCTTGGTGGCGCTGGCGTAGGAACGAGGCGCCGTCGACGGCGAGGCAGATTGTGCGGGCGAGGAGGCGGCCTGGGTCGAGGTGCTCTGTCCTTGAGGTTGGAGGCCTGACTTGGGAGGGATCGAGCTCATTAGACAGGTAATGCGAGGTAAAAAGGATTCAAGCGCTTTTTAGTTTTAGGTTGACGATTGACTTGACGTCGTTCGAGAAGCAAGTCCGTTCGGGAGGAGAAGAGGGACCTGCAACAGTAGAGAGGAGAGGATGAGAAATCTTCAATAAGAAAAATTGAAGAGAGGGGAGAGATGGAAGAGGGAAGTGTCAAAGGGCGTGTTACAACAAACAAGGTACACGCTCTAGAACCACAACATCCACAAAAAAAAAAGTCCTCACACAAAATGGGGGAGGAGGAGGGGGGGAGGAGGAGGTGGGTGGTGAGAGAAGGGTAGTGGAAGAGGGGAGGGGAGGGGAGTGGTGTTTTTTTCGTGTCAGGGAAGGACGACGAAAAGAGGAAGGGGAAGGAAGAGAGAAAAAAAACGAAGACCACGGAACAAGGAAATCAATCACGTCGTGGTCAACGACGATAAGTCTGGGGTAGAAGAAAAGGGGATAGAAAAAAGAGAAAGATGACTTGAAGGAGAGATAGAAATATTATCAACCTTTTTTGACCCTATTGTTCTTTACTGCTCAACTCTCTTACACTCTCGATCTTTCTTTTTTTTTTATTTTCGCCTTTTTGGCGTGGATAAAATTGGGTGGTGGTGGTGGTGGATGATTTTTTTTCTGCACAGTGGTTTTCACAATTTTTGCTGGGCTGAGGCTGGGCTGGGTTGTGGTTGGTATCAGTCGTGACCATACCGTATTGTTCTTTGTATCTGACCGAACCGCACCAAACATTGTTCCCGGCTTTAAAAGCTGCTCTTCTCCGTTCTATCGCCATCACACATGCACATACACACACATTCACAACAGAAAGTATTCAAATTGATCGATTAGACCCTTTCAGACTCAACAGATCAGTTCCAAGGCTTTTGTGGCAGGTCATTCTGCCCCATCTGGCGGTAGGGAAGATTTCCCGGTGACTCTTTTTCCCAGCAAATGAGACTGCGCACAGCTAGCTTTTCTTGACATCTCCAGTCATTGACCACCGCGGAAGATCCGCCATTGTCGGGTGGAAGCGGCAAACACACCGAGCCAAGGTGGCTGTTGAGAACTAACCTTGAACTAGTAGGAAAGGTAGCTGGGCCAGTGTTGTTATTGGTGGTTTTGAATCGTCGGTTTTCAGACCAGACAGCGCGCTGCCTTGCTCCATTCCATTCAAAGTCGCTATCATCCTAGAGTCAGTGTATCTACTAGGTACTAAGTCACTATCCCGGGAGCTGACCATTCAGATTTCCGAGCATCCAGCAACATCATCATTATCACTGTCTGCTTATATAGCAATGAGTCATGTCAGGCGTTTAGCCTGTCCAGTGGCCTCGTTCCGTGCGGCAACTGCTTTGCCTGTTTGGTAACATCATCCCACAAATCGGTTTTTGGCCTCCTGGCGCATGACGTTTGGGCGACCATGAAATCATCGTCATGAGGATGGACACCTGAGGCCAAGATACGTTATGATTGATTACACCCGCTCGTTTGCCACACATTACCGCTTCCAAACCAGCACCTTCACATGATGATACCGTATCAAACCAACCTCATCATTCATCCTCTTCGCCTGCCTTTGACCTGGTGGTTGTGTGTAGTGTGCTTGTCTGCTTCTTGTTGTGTTACCTGAATTTTGGCGCCGGGAATGCACTCGTTATTCATGCTATGGTTCTCATGCCTTGGCTTGATCTCTTTTCTGCTGAAAAGAAGACTTCGATGACTACTACCCCTACAATAATCCCACACACACACACACACACACACACACATACACACACACACACACACACACACAAAAAGCAAGAACCCGAACCCTACCGAGTACTGCAGGGCAGCGGCCAGCAACAAGAAGAAAGAGAGAGAGGTCCGATCATCCAAACCAATAATGCAACTCCGATCGCCCGGTCAACAAACCACCACCACGTTAAAAACGATCCGAGCATTCCAGGGCGCCGCCGCAGTAGATAGAAAGATCGAAGACACATCCACATCCACACACACACATCCCTCGCTCTGTATCCCATCAACAATATTTCTCGCCATCTCTGCCACACCGTAGACAAAACCACAGACCGACTCCCGTCCGACTCCCAGACTCCCAAGTCAGGTCCTCATCCATCGTAGATGATTCTCCCCAATTGACACCGCAAATTTATTTATAGTCCCAATAATCCCGAGCAGCTGATTCGACCCTCGCTAGCTGGACGATCACCAACCACCCCCCCAGAAAATAATGCATTTGCATCTGTTTGATCTGATCGGCCACGTCTGAACCTGACATCGGCCAGCCGACGCGACGCCTTGGTTGGGCCGACACTACCGTAGACTATTTGTTCGTGGATTTTGCTTCCTTACTTACTTAGGGGGAGAGGCTGTTCTGCATGCCCTGCAGACCACGGACCACAAAACACCCGAAGCCCTTGAAGATATCGCCCAAATGGGTGGGCGCCGCTGGAGCACCTGTAGTAACTCCGCACTGTCTGGGACAATTCTCATACTCCTTCAGGTCTCTATTCAAGCGACACCTTTACAGTATTGCCGAGATGTGGCGATTTAGGTTCCCATCATTGATTACGTTCACCTCTTCAACACTGCCAATATATATATACTGTGCATAGTAAACCGAGCTTCCAGACAACACAAGGTAACATTCTTCGCACTGCAGCCCACCTTCAGCCCCAACCACGCATTCTTTCTGCCTTGGTTCGCACGGTCCCATTCTTTTGAATGAATCAGGAAAAAAAAATCCGACCAAAATAAAATAAGATAGCTGAGATAAATCAGCACAGTAAAATTGACTTCCGCCCACTGATCTCTTTTCACAGGTATAACCAGCACAAAAGCACTTCTCCAAGAAATTCGGCGTGAATGCGCCCTCCAGCCCCCGGAGAACTGAGATCGAAAGACGACCTGATTCGAAGGCCATCGCATCCTGGACTACTCTTACCTCAGAGCAGTGTTGCATGGATAAATAAATAAATCATCCTGCGGCTATGCACCCGTTGGGGGCGGCAGTAACTAGTCAGAGGATAAGCTTTCCCATCCTTCCATTATACATGCCATTATCATGCCTATGCCTACATGACACTAAGAAAAGGGGCCGAGCATGGTTGTCGGTTGGCATCAGACATGAATTCGCAGTGACACGAAGGATGGCAAGGAGCAACTAGGCCTGGGCGAACCCGCTGACCCCCTCGCCTACGGCAGTAAGGCTGCATTTCCCGGGGCACCTGACAAGGACAAAGCACCAGTAGTTCCCGTGACATGGTCGTCGCATCTTATCCTCTGTTTCCGACGACAGTCACCCTACGCCTGGACCGGAAGCTCTATCGACAAGTATAACCGAATTCCATTCTATTTGTTGAATATCCCCGAACCGTTGCAGGAGGGAAAGAGGTACGGCATAACACCCAAAAACAAAGAAAAAAAATATCAAGGAAGGTGGACCATCCACTCGATCCTATCTTTTAATGATGGCGGTTGCGCATATCAGTCGACTCGCCGTTGAACCACCCCGAAGACCAGGTACCGGTGGCCGTCCGGCCGGACAGATCCGGAGAGCTCCTGTGGAGGTCCTCGTGCTCCACGTGGTGGAACGAGTTCTCGCTCGGGTTCTTATGCAACGGGGCACCGCCGTACGCGAGGTCGTCCGTATCCGTCTCGCTGCCGTGCAGCTCACGCTCCTCCTTCGCCAGGGCGCTGCGCAGCACCTCCAGCAGGTCGCGTTGGTGGGAGATGTACTGCGCCTTGTCGGCGCGGGACATGGAGGCGATATCACGGGGCAGCAGATTGCCGCTGGCAGACAGTTCCTCGCCACGGGCTTCGGGGGTCTTGCCGGCCGAGGTCACGGCTGCCACGGCGGAACTGATGGTAGAGAACCAATCTTGAGCGCCGGCGGCAGCGGGGGCGGACGGGGCCGCTGGCCCGCCAGATGCAGGAGCGATGGGGATGTTGAATCGCGAGAGAAGCGACTGCGCGTAGGCAGCAGGACCGGTTGGGGGCGGGGGAGGAGGAGCCGCCGGACGCTGAGCCGGCCAGCCGAGGATGTTCTCCCGGACGTAATCCACGGCCTGGTAGAAATAATGCAGCCCCAGAGCCTTGGCGCGCTCGTGGCTACGCCCAATAAATTCCTCAATCTCTCGCTCATGGTGGGCAAGGAAAGGATCGACATGTTCCTGGTACAGGATAATTGCGCCCTGGGTCTGGGGGAGGACAAGGTAGGAGAAGAAAAAGAGGCGGATCCAGCTGTAAAACGGCACCCTGCATCATTTCCATCAGCGTGAGGCCCAAAATAGTTATAACTTCCAGCTACGAACCATCCGAGGATGAACACTGTCCAGGACTCAGCCATCAGCACAGCGGACAAAACCACCCAGTACATCAGCCATGGTGCCAGTTGAGAGGGGTCGGAAGAGCGCAGAGCTTTATACGAGGCAAATATAGGGAAGAGGATCGTGATGACCGATCTGTTTTCATGTGAGCGTTAGCATCTGGTCTACCTTCATGTGGGGAGAGGGGGATCTCCGGAACTGCGGAGTGAGGGGAGGAGCGGTGGGGGGATGGCGAGGACTTACGATAACAAATCTGCAATGATACCAAACATGATGGGCTGGCGCACTTGCAAAGTCTGACCACTCTGATGATTGATTTTCCCGGTGGTAGAATTGTAGCGGTTACTCTCAGGGGTGAGGGGGTCGATTTATCGGTAAGCTGAGCAGCAGTCGGATTGCGGGGCGGGGAAGCTTCACGCGACCTCCGGATGAGCAGCACAAAGGAGAGCGGCCGGCCGCAGCAAAGAAAGGGAAGAATGAAAGGGCTCTAAGACTTAAGACTTGCCGGAGAATGGTGGAAAGAGGATGAGAAAAAAAGTGTCAAAAAATCTTTGCACGAGAGGGCAACCCAGATGAAGCGTGGCTGCCTTGAGCAACTGGGGCCGGATCAGTAGGTAGTACGACCCATCGAGCCCTATTCTGGAGTCGGAGTCTTAATAATAGAAGACATCATCCACCTGCCGTCACGGGCGGGGCCAGGTTTTGGCCTTATAGCCTTGGGGCCTTGCTGCCTCATCGCCCATCCGCTTTCCGTTCCCTGAGAGTTCAATCCGGCTGACGTCATGACGGTATTCATGCTGTGATGATCACGATTCAACAGGTTGATGAGCATGGAAAGCGGCAAAATTTCTCTCTTCCCATGCCTTAGTGAAAGCGAGAAATCCAGGAGACAGGTGCAAGGGCGACAACAATGGCCAGGGACCATGGGGTATTGTACTGCATTGGCGGTATGTGATTCGTCCTAATTGTGGATCGCAGGACAACGTTATCGAGCATTACCTTACCTAGGCTTGATAGGGTGCACCCCCGTTGGCTCCTAGGTCAGAGATCAGGGTGTTTGGATCAGTTACACAACCATTGTCATTGAATGACGGTGCATAAGTGTTTTCTCCTGATCGAAGCAGTCAATGTCCGAGAATTCAAGTTCGCATCCAGCTAGAAATTGAGCTTCAGTTTATGGCTCGTCCCTTATCGATAGATAGATATGGCAGCATGCGGGAGCCAGCGAAGTCGGGCGGTGGAGCCAAATTGCCGGTCGTGTTTGTTGTCGGATGACCTCAAGTGCCCAACAGTCGCCTCATTTTCCTCACTCACCGACCACTCGATCAGTCTTTCGATTCTTTTGCGATATCAAGAGCTTGCTTCTAAACTTGAATCAACCAGCGGAGTCAGCCCATACCGGTAGCCATCCCCAATTCAACTGCGTGACTGTTCCACAAGCTCCAACCTTCCCCTCATACAAGTGGTGGCCAAGCTCTGGCCTGACATCCGTGGTCGAGCTCCCCGCAAGTGAATCGCTTTCCTGCTCCTGCTTCTGTTCCGACCATCGAATCTTGCAACAATGTGTATTGCACTGTTATCAACTGCCCATCCATCTTATTCATTGATCATAATCGACAATAGGGATGTACGAAGCATTCCCACCCCAGATGCATATGGAGCTTTAGGACTGACTCAGGACTGACGACGGCTAGGAATACCTTCGACGACCAACATCCCCCGCCGACTGGTGGCCAGAACCAACCGCCGACATCCTAGGTGGCCGAGATCTAGCCCGAGCAACACATGGGACGTGGATGGGGATCACTAAAGATGGCAAAGTAGCTGTGTTGACCAACTACCGCGAGGACACTTCCGAACAGGCTACTGGAGCGCGAAGTCGAGGTCTCATTGTCAACAGCTGGCTGACATCGGCTCCGGACCGACGACAGTCAACCGAGGAGTTTGTGCAGGGAATGGTTGCAAGCCCGTCTGCCAGGAATGTCGGTGGATTCAGTCTTCTCTGCGGTTACGTCAATGAACCCCTGGCCATTGTCTCCAATCGCTCGTCTACCATGGATCATATCGCCTGGGTTGCAACAGAGAAAGGTCAGACACTCGGCCTCAGCAATACAGTTTTTGACGACCGATCTTGGCCCAAAATCCTTGAGGGCGAGAGACTGATGAAGGAAGCCATTGCTGAGCACGCGCAGGCGGGGGAGGACGAGGATGCACTCGTCAACAGATTGCTCGATATGCTGAGTATCAATACGCTACCTAAGCTTGCCGAAGATGCCACCGCGGAAGACTACCTCCCGTACTTCAGGCAAAGCATATTTATCCCAGTATTGGGAGCTCGCGAGAAGTCTGTTAAACGCAAAGACGAGGTGCCTGCAGTCTGCGCTGAGAGCAAAACGGCGGAGGATGCTTCTTCCGGGCAACATGATGCTCTAGACCACTCCTTCCTGCAGGGGGCATATGGGACACAGCAGCAAACAGTAATCTTGGTGAGTACAGACGGACGAGTGCGCTATTTTGAGCGTACGCTTTATGACAATGATGCCACTGCCATCCCGGTCGGTCAAGGTGATCGATCGTTTGAGTTCCATGTCGGCCAACGATGAGAAAAGGGGACTGTGGACTGGGGTCTTGGGTAAATTGCAATGCACTTGCCTGCACATGGGTCTTTGCTCCGACTCTCAATGGGTGTGGCTTTGTAAATAGTATAATGGTTTAATATCGAGAATGCCAAAATAGCAACTGATTGCAAGCTACTGGATAAGCGAAGTGGGCATGAACTAGGCACCAGCTAGCAGTCTATTCGAGAAATCACTCAGTGCGACTAGAAGCGCCACCCGAGTATCCGAGTGAACGCATGATGAACATTTGGCTGATGTACAGTACAGTAGTTAGTTATAGTAGATTGCGGTGAGATTGAGGCGAATCTCCCACTCTGGTGTAATTTCGGCACGTGCCTGTCAGGAGAGACAAACAAGCAACAAACGTTCCCTGCCAGAATTTCCCCCCGGTAATCCGTCGCTCCGTCGCTCCGTCGTCCCCTCTCAAATCTCCACAACCACAAACATACCCGGAACCACTTAAACAAAATTACGTGCCATCGTCATCCATCCTCGCCCCGTCTCATCTTCGATTGAGAGAAAAAAATCTTCCTACTCAATGATTGATTATTGATCATCCTGGTGAAGACGTCCACCAATATGACAGGTCGGTCGTCTAGAAATGAGCACTGCGAAGCCTGGAAGTCGGTGGACGGTTTCGGTGGGTCGCAAAGGGTGAATGTCTCAGGTGAAATAATATCGGACCGGTCCATTAATTAATTGGGAAGAACAGTCGGGCGAGTCGGCGGAAAGCAAGACGACCAAATCTTGCTCTGAGCTGAAGTGAATGAAATCAACTGCCCTCTTCACTGCCAGCACCTCGCCGTTTGTGTGCGTCCCCGGCCCGGAATTATTTAATTAATCGAATCCCATCGCCGAGCGCTCCACCAACGAACGGCAGGCTTGGGACGCGATGCTGTTTCATCTAGATCAGATTCCCTAGCAATTGCATGGTGTGGCCCCACGCCGCCAAACGGCAATTTGACCTGGAGAAATGAAGGACGACGGCTTGGGGCCAGTGCACGCCTCCGAAAAGGGTGATCATGATGGGGACACTTGTTTTTCCCTATTGTGCTAAGCCTTGAGCTGCGACAACGGTGCTGGCCACCATCCCCACTGAACTCGAACGTTCCATGAAGGAGAATTGAGGGGATGTCGCAACAATGCCGGAGTTGATGTCTGGGATGCGGGATTATTTTTTGTTTCCAGCTGGGATCCCTTTTCTTTTCGAGGCGCGAAAGTTGTGGTCAGAGTCGCTGGCGAAGCGCCCAGATATCACATGTAAGTGATATTAAGGGTCCTTGCTAGCTTCGGCGTCGGCCTGGAGCCTGCTCATATCGGGGCAGATGGATTTGGGGCGAAAGGTTCTCGACTTTAACATATCCACCCGGGTGCATGGGTCCCGATTCCTTCAGTGGCGGTCTCAGGGGGATGCGCCCAATTCTGCCTCCGAGATTAAGCAGTGGAACCGTTGAATTGCCAGGGAATCTTCCGACTAGCTTGTGTGCCTGGACGATCGAGTGGTATAAGAAGGAGAGCCCCCGGCCGTTCGTCTTTGCTGCTTGGCACATCACAATCAAGACTGGCTCTTGACGTTCCTTCTTTACTCTCGCATTCATTCATTCTTTTTTATCAGTCACTCTTTTAATCGACCAGATCGATATACATTCTTTTCAAAATGAGAATCAGCAACTTGGTTATTGCGGCCTCTGCTGCCGGCATGGTCAACGCTCTCCCTAAGCGTGAGATGAAGAAGCGTGCTTCCTCTGGTTTCACCTGTAGGTCATGCCTTATGGGGATGGAGAATAGCAATGCTGACCGATGCAGTCTTCGGTGTTAGCGAGTCTGGTGCTGAGTTTGGTTCCGGCGTTGGTACTCTGGGAACAACCTACACCTGGCCTACGACCAGCCAGATCCAGATCCTGAGAGATGCGGGCATGAACATGTTCCGTATTCCCTTCCTGATGGAGCGTCTTACTCCCGACAGCATCACCGGCTCTTTTGCTTCTGCCTACCTTAGCGACCTCAAATCGGTATGAGCCACATGACCATATCCATCGAATCATTCTGACAAGAACAGACCGTCCAATTCGTCACTGACAGCGGAGCTTACGCCGTCCTCGATCCCCACAACTATGGAAGATAGTAAGTAAGCCGGCATTCTGTGCTATACGTGGCTAATAGTCTACTAGCAACGGAAACATCATCACTTCCACCTCCGATTTCCAGACCTGGTGGAAGAACGTTGCCGCTGAGTTCGCTGACAACGACAAGGTCATCTTTGATACCAGTGAGTTGCATAGCGCCTGCTGATGAAGCATGAGACTAATAGATCAGACAACGAGTACCATGATATGGAGCAGTCCTTGGTCCTGAGCCTCAACCAGGCCGCCATTGACGGTATCCGTGCCGCCGGCGCCACGACTCAGTACATCTTTGTTGAGGGTAACAGCTACTCTGGTGCCTGGACCTGGACCGAGTACAACGATGACCTCTCCGGCCTGACCGATACCGAGGACAAGATCATCTACGAGATGCACCAGTACCTCGACTCCGATGCCTCTGGTACCTCGGAGACTTGCGTCAGCTCCACCATCGGTAAGGAGCGTCTTGAGAGCGCCACCGAGTGGCTCCAGACCAACAACAAGAAGGGTGTTATCGGAGAATTCGCCGGTGGTGTCAACTCCGTCTGTGAGGAGGCTGTTGAGGGCATGCTTTCCTACATGTCCGAGAACAGCGATGTCTGGGTCGGTGCCTCTTGGTGGTCTGCCGGTCCCTGGTGGGGATCCTACATGTACAGCCTGCAGCCCTCCGATGGCCCGGCTTACTCGACTTACCTTCCCATCCTGGAGAAGTACTTCCCTGATGGTGACTCTACCACCTCTGCTTCCAGCTCCGCTGCTACCTCTGTCGCTGCCGCCACCTCCGCAGCCACCTCCGCGGCCACCTCCGCTGTCTCTGCTGTTCAGCAGACCACCACCGCTGCTCCCCACCCTCAGGTCTCGACCACTTCCGCCGTCTCCGTCGCTGCCGCCGCTCCCAGCAGCAGCTCTTCCGCTACCACCTTTGCCACCTCTACCAAGTCTAAGTCCCCCTGCAAGCTGCACAGCACCAGCAGCGCTGCTTCCGCGGCTGCCACCAGTGCTGTTGTTGCCACCCAGCCCACTACCTCCGCTGTTGTTGCCACCCAGCCCACTACCAGTGCCGTTGCTGCCAGCCAGCCTACCTCCACCGCTGTTGTTGTCAAGCAGCCTACCACCACCGCTGTTGCTGTTGCCGCCACCACCCCTGCCGTCATTCCTAGCCCCATCACCTCCAGTGTGGCTGCTGCCAGCGGCAGCGCTGGTGTCAGCGACCCCCAGGGTGCCCTCGCTACCAACGCTGCTGGCCAGGTCAATGAGTATTACCAGTGCGGTGGACTTAACTGGACCGGACCCACTGAGTGCGCCAGCCCCTACACCTGCGTGAAGCAGAACGACTACTACTACCAGTGTGTCGCCTCCTCCAACTGAATAGCGATCGTGCGGTAGCTTCGGAATGGTCGATTATCTGAAAGGCTAGTAAGAGCCGAGGGGATGGGAGGAGACCAGCTTGATTCTTATTCTTGTATATATCTAAGAAAAAATTATTAGGGATATCCCCATACAATATAGATTGGCTTGCCCTGCATATTTGTCCCACCGGTGTACATGTAAATTAGACTATTGAAAAGTTCATGTCCCACCGGAACCCCCGTCCGAGGCCGTTGATGGCAACCGCCACCTGGGCTCCTCCGGGCGGTGTCTGCTTCGGAAGACGCCTCCGAGAAAACCATCCTTGCTTCAGTGACTCACTTTCCTACCAATTTGATGCATTCATCGCGGGTTACGATCGAGAATGCCACCTTTCCGACGAAAGTCACGATTGGACAAGGTGTCAAATGCGTATGATTCATCAATCGGCTTCTTCGCGTGGACAATACCTGCTGACTCAGGCTAGCTGCGAAGAATGTAAAAAACGGAAGACCAAATGCTCCGGCCGGTTCCCTTGTCAATCTTGTGTCGCACGTCATGTTGATTGCACATTCAAAAGACCCGAGAGGAAGGTTTTAGTATCAGAAAGGTACCCTCATCTCTTTGACGACTCATGAGACGACACTGACTGCGCTTTTAGTTATTTGCGTGCGCTCGAGGACAACTGTGCCCTGCGCCGCCCCCAGTCAGCGCCACCGACCAAGGAATTGTCCGAAGAAAGAGTGTCCCGGAGAAGCCCTCCGTTACCTTCTGTCGCAGACGGTAATCGTAGAGATGTCATACATTGCACCAGGGCACACCCATTGATTGATCTTAGACGCGTCCCCACTTCCCCAGACCAGCACCGCCGAGGCACTCATCACCAACCCTCTTGTCTCTGCCACATCCTTTTACCTGAAGGATACAACCGGACGATATAGTAAGCTCCAGGTTTGAGATGACTTCCATGGACTTGGCTGAATCTTCAGGATATTGTGGGCCGTCCTCCTCCTGGTCCTTCTCCCAGCGCGTCTTCCTGCTCCTCAAATCCGCGGTTCCCGACTACCCGTGCCCAGATCTTCCTTTTCACATTGATGGCTGTACCTGGGAACTTAGCTGGTCCCGGACTGATTTTGAAGATGCTTCTGTTGTGGAGGGGCTGCCATCGCTGGATGACTTTCTCTATTTGCTCAACACCGTCAAGTTCCATTCCTCTCGGATGCTATATCTCGTCGACGAAGACGAGTTCATACCTCATCTCCACGAGTTCTACGATCGAGGGCTCGAGAAGGCCAAAACTCAGCCCCTATGGTTCATTCAATACCTCCTGATCATCGCTCTCGCCAAGGCTTTCTTGACTACACCCAGGAATCCCAAATTACCGCCAGGATCAGCTTTCTTCACACGGGCTATGTCTCTAGTACCGGATTTTATAGGCCTGAATCGTCAGCCAAATCGTGGCATGCAGATTCTGTACCTGATAGGTCTGTATCTGGTGTCGGTGGACATGAAAGATGCTGCTTATGTTTATGTGGGAGACCTTGATGAAGGTATTGACTAATGGCTGACCGCAATCGCAGGTCGGCCAGGCGATCCGGATGTGTATCATGGAAGGGATATACCGGGAGCCACCAGACGGACTTTTTGGGACTGGTATCGCGCATCAGTGCCGTAACATCTGGTGGTCCGCATATATTCTTGACCGGCAGCTATCATCGATGATAGGCGGTCCAGTATCGATCCAAGATGCGGAAATCACTTGTGCGCTCCCCGTCGCTTACGATCAGTCGGAGGATGCTCTGTTCTTCACCATGCATGTCAAGCTTTCCCGCACGATCGGCCGCGTGTTGAATTGTGAGTCCAGCATTCGAGGTGTGCGGCTCTATCTAATATGGTGCTCCTAGCCGTATACACCACCGATTTTCGATTGCGACAGTCATTCATCTCCACGATTCAGTCTGTGCTGCGCGAGATGGCCGATATTCTGCGGGAGACGGAGGAGATGGCCGCCAAAGTCTCGCATCATTCCCTGCGTACAGTATCGACTATGACGAGCCATCTGACAGTGAAATACCACCAAGTAGGTCGATTTTGACTGATACATCGCAGGTGGACTGACGCTTGTTGCAGTGTATTATTCTGGCCACGCGTCCGCTGTTCCTTCACTTTCTCATCAACCGGCTCCAACCACAGGATCAGCGCGGCGAGACAGTGATCCCCGTCCAGCTGAGACCGCTTCTCGAAACCTCTCTGCAGTCGGCCAAGATCTCATTGAGGACTCTGTCTGTACTGTACGAGCAGTCACTTCTCGGTACGTCTGCCATTTTCTTTTCTTTTTTTCTGTAGGCTGTATGAAACTCAAAGAAGGCATAGAATCGTTCCTTCCTTTCGATCTGGAAGGGATCTTCTCTTCCGCATTCATCCTCACCATCGCCCACTTCATCGACCCTGCTCTGGTGCCGGATATGGCCAACTACGTGCTCACCGCTTCGCGCATGCTGTCCGACATCGTTGCCAAGGGCAACATGACCGCCGCGCTGCGGCAGAAGGAACTGGATCTGCTGCAGAGGATGACCGGACATGTCGTGAGTAGGGAGAGTAGTGATGATGATGGAAGGGAAAGTGTCTCCCGCATGGCGAGCCTTCCTGAGCAGACGGATCCCGCGGTGGAGTCGGAGTTCATGATGGCGGATGAGGAGATTACCATGAGCCCTACACAGATATTGAGTCTGGCGGAGCATTTGGACTTGCTGAACGAGAGTGCGTGGGATATTGGATTCGGACTCGAGGGGCAGGGTTTGATGTGAGGGGTGTGTCATTGGGATCAAGTTAGAATGGTGGGGATTCGTCTTATCTGCCTCGTGCCCGAGGTCTCACGGGCTCTCGCATCTACTGTCGAGGGCTGGTTCGCTTTGACTATCATCACCAGTCACTGCTTCAGCACTAGGGCTCCAATGACAGGCGTCTAGGCGGCCTGTCAGACACATCGGCCAATAAATGCCTCAGGCACCCGTGGCACTATCTATGTTGTACATAGCGCAGAGCGAAGGCCCTGCGAGCCGGCCTCCTTTCTTTTCTCGCCATGAATGGAACTCTTGGTTGACAAGCAGTAGTTCATCTACCTGCCGTATCCTCACATCCCATCCTCTAATAATGCCCGATAACTTTCGTGGAGCAAGGAATAAGTGAAGCCCTCACATGCCGATCGAAGTGGAGTCTGCATGCAACGGTGTCGATTGGCTCCACTGCCTCTCACCATCGGCATGTATAAATGCACTGGTCAATTTCAATCCCATAAGAACGGAAGACAAGATCAAGAAGAAAGGGCAGGCGCAAACCCTACAATTAGCATTCAGCGCATGATACCAGAAAATCAAAAGGTGCTTGTTTGGGCACCCAGCCGCCAGGTTCATCGCCAACTTGTCCATCATCCAATGAGCAAGATATTGTTACCAAAGGAATGTATCATATTAGATTAGGATTAGAAACCAAGAGTATGTATATCTATAATGTCCCCGGAGGCAGGCATGTTCATCAGCTCCTCCAGTAGTCAACGGCCCTCAGCGAAGAAACCAACCCCCCCCCCCCCCCCTCTTCTCTAACCGGCCTGGGTGTAGACGGTGGTGTTGGTGACGGCCTCGGCGGGCAGCCACTGGCCGGCGACGGTATGATTGTAGGCGAGCTGGGCGAGGGTGAAGGTGTGGAGCTCGGAGACGAGGACGGTGCGGTCGAGGGGCAGGACGCGGTGGACCATGGCGTTCTGGGTGAGCATGGAGACGTACTCCTCGTCGGCGACGGCGGTGAGGTTGGCGTCGAAGGTGACGCGGATCAGGGCGTCGGGGGAGTTGCTGCTCAGCAGGGAGGTGGACAGCAGCCAGAGGGCGGGGCCGCCGGCCGGGGTGGAGGCGTCGGCGAGGTGCAGGAGGCCCGCGTTGGCGCCGAGCAAGGGGTGGCGCAGCCGGAAGAAGGCCATCTCGCCGTCGGGGCCGATGTGGCCGAAGGTGCCCGTGCCGCCGGTGGCGTTGCCGGCCAGCGTGAACCACACGCCGCTCAAGGCCCCGCCCGCGGACAGCATGCCGACGGCGTTGTTGCCCACGCTCGGCGGGATGGGCAGCTGCGCCGTCTCGCCGCTGGTGGCGTTGATGCGCAGGATGGCCGAGTCGGTGTCCTGGGTCACGTAGATCAGGCCGGTCGTGGGCTCCTCCTTGATGAAGACGGGGCTGTTGAGGCAGGGGTACAGCTTCGGGTCTCGGGCGGGGACGGCGGCCGTCGAGGGGGAGCCCCCAGCCCGGGCGATGGTGGTGGCGTTCAGGTGCGAGACGTCCGCCGAGAAGACGTAGTACCGGCCCGTCTGCGGCGAGGCGACCTTCAGCCCGGCCCAGACGCGGTCCCCGATCTCGAAGACGCAGTGCGGCCCGTTGCCGGGGGCGGGGATGTCGATCGTGCGCACCACCACGGGCTTCGCCGCCAGCGTGCGGCCGGGGTCCACGAGCAGCAGCTTGTTCTCCGCCTGCAGCGTCAGCCACATCAGCCCCGGGTACAGCGTCGACGGCCACACCCCGTGCAGCTGAGAGCTGCGGTTGCGCCCCATGGGGAACGTCTGCCACGCGATCGGCTCCTCCGTGGTGGGGTCGAGCTCGATCTTGACCAGCTCGCTGTCCGACATCTGCGATAGCAGCACGAAGTTCGTGTTCGGCACCCGCGCGAACTCGTGTGTCTCCGTGGCCACCGGCAGCTGGTACTCCGTCAGTCGCCGGCTCACCAGCGTGTTGGCGTTGGCCGACTGCTGCTGCGCCAGCGCCGTGGGGAGGCAGGCGCTCAGCCCCAGCGCGGCGACCACGAGCGGCTTGAGAGCTTGGTGCAGCATTTTCTTTTGCCTTGGTCTTTGAAGCAGCAGTGTTTCTGGCGTTGCAGGACTGGATGGACGCTTCAGCAGCAAGGGGAGGGGGGACTGGCCTCCTATTTGAATCTTTTCTCCAGGAAAATTGCCCACTACCCAAGGCAATTAGCGGCCCATGCGAAGGGAACTTCGCCTAGCTCTTCACGAAGCTAACCACCCGAAGATGTCAATCGCTTCCTGTTAGACGGACAGTGGCACACAGCTGAACTGCGGAGCGAGAGATCGGCTGGATCCCTGAGTCGAAGATCGCTGATCGCTTGCCCGATCCGTGCTAGACCGGGATCCCATCGCGCGCGATCAACATGTTGGTTGCACTATGGGCGATTGGGAATTGACTAAGGGCTTCAAAACTGGTTAGAGTGATCTTATTGCTGGATCGGGATAATGCAAAGCACACCTCTTGGGCCCTGGGCCCTGGGCCCCCCTGCCCTGGGACCTCTCAGGGGTGGATTGGTTCACTGCAATGGGTTTAGAGTTGGCTTGATGGGAGAGTGGGGGAATACGGGCTGAAGATGACCGTCTATGGTCCGGAAGTACGAATCCGAGATCCTCCGGTGGCATAATCTGCACTTGCACCTCAGTCACCAGTCAGTTTGCATCAAAATCAAAAGCATCGAAACCAAATTCAACAAAAACATACAACAGAAGGGATTCGCTGGTGGTCACCCACCCAACTACTAACCTCCCGGCGTGTGGCTTGAGTACGGCTGAGCGGACGGGAAGCCCTATTTTCCACACCCTGTGGTCGTATGTGCTTGGTGAAAAGCCTTGCTGTTATATCATGATCAAAAGATTTGTTCTCAGCATAGCGATCGACTCGTCAATCTTCGGGCCTATCTTTGGCCAGCGGAGAATTTCCAGCCAAGGAAAAGAGCAGCTAGAAAGACTTAGAGTATCCGTACATCAATTCAAATCAAGTGAAGGAACGTTTTTTTTTGTTTTTTTCCTTTTTCAAGAGAATTGACATGGGCAAGAAAGGCTCTTAGTGGTCCAAGGTATGGCACCGAATTCTGTGCTGTGCCAGCTCAACTTCCAGCGGCCCTGGAATCAGATCTTGTTCCGCCCCGCATATCAATATGTTCAACCCTGTTATAAGTAATTCTCTCGTAGCCACAATTCCTACTCACCATCCCGATCTCCCGATCATTATCATTTCCGCAGGCCGGCAAAATCGTTTGCCGTCCCTTCATTCATTCAATCATCATATCCCCTTTAACTCCATCGTCCGCCTGAACAAACATGGCGGCGGCAAGATGAATAAAACCACCGTCCTGTGTGGAAACACGACAATGCGGCGGCCACTCGTTGCGTCACGAATCGGGAGCTTCACGTTCTCTTGCCGTGGGTCGCCACTCTCTCTGTAGATAGCTGGCTAGACGCTTTCCACAACATGCCAAAATCCAATTCTGAGATCTTTCTGCAATTGCTTCCTCTGTGCCAGCGGCTTAGGGAGAAGGTGGAAAAAAGCTTTAGATGGTCTTCAAACTACAAATCGCCACGGTCATCATCCATAATGCCGTGAATGGAGTCGAGCGGTCGTTTCGACGACCCTGAGCAGCACATCCCACAGACGCGGAACTGAGAAACCCACTTTCTTCGTAAACTATTCTTCTATCTATAGTTCAAAGTAGTATTCAGATCTAGAACACAGATAAAAGAAATGGAGCTAAGGAGATAAAACAATGTGTATATCTAGTAGTAAGTAATTAGTTGGGGTGGTATACATAGTAGACTTATTCAGTAGATAAGCTAGTATATGTGAAAACAGTATAAAGCTGTCTGTTAGAAGAATAGCGGTGCTAGTGTCAACAACAACAGGCGACATGTTGCAGCCCACCACTCCAGTGTTGCCATAGCCCTCCGGCGCCAGTTGCCGCGCTCTCGAGAGGCCGAACATCCCGGCGCCAATGATCACAATGGCGGCAGTCTTTGTTGGCCATGCGGCTGGTGGAACAATGGCCTCACACACTCCTTTGTCGTGAGCTTTGTAGCTTTACACATATGAGCGATTCTCCTGCGGGAGTTCCCGACTGGTTCCCTCGCCTCTGGCAGCTGTCTGCCAGACCCACCGGTCGTAGCCGATGGGCGCTTGGGTTCAGTCTACCACGGTGACCTTAAGATTGGAGTGGTAACTCTCTGTGGCAGGTGTACACAGATCTAAAACGGACAAGACGATATCTCCTGCCCTCACGAGACCGGAGAGACATCCCGAGCTGATCCGAACTATCTCCGAGGCCGGAGTTGCCGCTTTCCCCGCCCATCCATCGAAACCCAAGGACCCATTGTGTTCGGTGAATTGTATGGCTTATACACGAAGGTGTCTTGCGAACCTCCAACAACGAGAGACACAGAGCACGGACAAAGGACCTACAAAGGCATTGTCTGGAAGTTCGGGTGCTCATAAGATCCCTCGGTCAAAGAAAGCTCTTGCACGCTGGTGAACAACAGAACCACAATGACAAAGAGAACTGGTTCAGGGTTCGGTGTATATAAATCCCCCTCAGCCTGCCTTCCCCGCTCAATTCAAGTCCAGTCTTCCTTAGATCCCTCAAGCTGCTTAGCATTTATTGATCATCGAGTAGAAAACATCATGTCGAACTACGATTTCACCGAGATGTCCTCTACGGCACGTATGGAGTCTTTGGAAATAGATGTGGATATCACATCCGGCGAGTTGAATGATGGAAATGTGATTCATATTTACGAACTACATGAATCGAGCACATCCGGCGACTCCGGGGTTGACTCTGATTTCGATGAGTGTGGCGGGAGTAGCAGTAGCGGCAGCAGCAGCTCTCCTACGCTAAAACGCCCACGGGATGGCCAGGAGCTGCTACGCGATGTGGGGTCCCTCCTGGATGGCAATGGCATCGGCAATGCACTGGTTGGAGAGGGCGCCCTTGCGATTATGGGCGTGCCCATCATCCCTCGCTGTATCGCGTTCATGATTTCAGATGGGGAAATCGATCAGGCAGCCAAGGTGCTACGTGACGCCCAATACCCCGAGTGCAAGGATCTGGACCAGCTCGCAACCAACCCTGAGAATTTCAAGTCCCGCATCCGCTGTCATGCATTGACTGGGACCGCTACTGGCAACCATCCCATCCCCGCCCATCATTTCCACGCCGACCGTCGCTACCCAGAGGGCCCCAATGAAAGCCGCAAGAAGACCCGAGGCGTCTTTCTTTATTGTGCGTCCCAGATGCTGGCCCCGGGCCTTCCGATGCCCCCCGCTCGGCCTCCGCCGCCCGAGGACCCCTATTACCTGGTCACCTCCGATAAGCGGCTCTACAGGCCATCATTCCGGGGCAGGGGCGGGGGCGGCGGTATAATGCTGAACTGCTGGGGCCGGCAGAGCACAAAGTCTTACCCGGTCAAGATGCTCCACCCGGCGCGATATGTGGAGAATCTGGTTTACCTAATGCTTCGCGACATTGGGTACAGCGCCTGCAACGGGTGGAAAACCGAGTTTGATTGCATGTTGGCTTGCAGTCGGCTCCTGCCAGCTCCAGCTCCAACCCGAGCGCTGGCCGCGATCGATGTCGGCCTCGAGGACGTACCGGAAGGGCCGATCCGGGACTGGATTGGGCTGCACAACAGCGAGTGGGCAAAAAACCAGGTTGCCATCTGTATTCGGTTCGCTGCGCTTCACCGAGAAATGAAGCAGTCGGGGCAACTGGGTGAACCCCTGATGACTCCCCAGGAAGCGACCTATGGTAGGCCGCAATACATTGAGAATTGGCTCATGAACATGGAAGAAGGGAAACCCCCCAGCTTTCACCGTGCCCTTGAGGCGTCCGGCTGGACATGTCAGTTGATGTAAGGTTTGCCCATACTTTACATATATCGATATGACGGCGGCCCTGGGCCTTAGTGCCTGAGGTTGCCAGCTCACCGCCCACCCGGCTGCCTCAGCTAGTTTCTCCAAGATAGTTCTTAATATCTAAGACTGTCAGTTTACTACTATTCATCCGGGTGTCTTAGCTAGTTCCTCCAAGATATGTAGAAGAATCAATCCTTCTTCACCTCTCTGAGAGGCGTCATCACTATAAAAATCTCATCTACCTTAAATCTATACAGTAATACATAGTAGTTGCAGATAACTGAAGAACTGCTTCTATGAGTCGTTTCAGCGCCCCTACGGCAAGCTACCTTGGGGTTTATTGCAAATTGGCACGAGTAGCCAGACACCCACCATAGTGGTGTTTTTGAGTAATTGAGCCGCAGGATCCAAGGTGGTTGATTTACCAGGCTGGCTTGGCATTGATATCCCTTCTTTGCCTCCCTTGTACCAAGCGTGAAGAAGAAGAACAGTCTGTGTTTGAAGGAGAGAGAAATGCACAGCCCCCCCCGCGCGTTGTCATCAGGCGGGACCGGAGAGAGCTGCCAACTCATGAGACATAATGCAAACAGGGCATATGTTCGTATTCCTCGCTACTGAGCAGAAATTCCCTTTGCGAGCACCTGCGGTTTTTCTCTTTCCTCCCCATCGCAGGATTTGAGTTGACTTTCTGTGTGTGAAAACGGTCGTCCACCAAGATGCTCGACCGAGCCAAATCAGTCTTTCCCAGATATCCCAACAACGAGGCCGGGGGAATGATGGCGGTCCTTGAATTCTTGGCAGCTCAAGGGGTGCCTTTGGGCCCGTTCAGGCTATCAACTCAATCCAAGCATTACTTCTCCGAGGGCAGCCGCAGGTTTCCCAAGGTGTGTCTGTTCCTCAAGCCTTGGTATCTGCACGCGAGAGCGAGGTTGACTGATACTCAAGGTTAAGCTTATTTATCTCGTGACCGAAAAACCAATCGAGCCCATCGAGTGGCTGCTTCGGAACCACAAAAGTTCGCCTGTGAAGGTCACGGGTGAGGGCACATTTATCTGGAATGGCTGGCTCGAGTTCGAGTTTCGGAGCTCCAGAGAAGATACGCGAGGTAGGGAAGTAAGTTGCATTTCCCTAACGCATGCCTTCTTTCACCCTGGGGCCACGAAGGACTGAGATGTCCGATCAAACTAGAGCCGTGTCGTTGTGGAGTATGGATCGAAGATTGCCCGCAAGCCCCAGCAGCCGGATACTGTTACCTTCGGCTTCTGGGGTAAGGTCACCGGCATACACCCGACTAACCATTACGGAATGCTCGCCGTCATGCTATGTGTGACTTGCGGCCTCGCCCTGTTGTACTATCTGGTCCAACTGTCACTTCCTTACTCGCCTCCGAAGTCCAACTGGCAGAAGTTTCTAGAAGGGTGCAAGGCCTTGTTCGGCTATTGATTCGGTCGGGTTTGGGCCAATCGGTCAAGATCACTACCACTGTCCATGCTCTTGGCGGAATTACCGGGTACATTGTACTGTACTTAGTTGTGCCATAGAATATCACGTGTCGAGCTGCCTTCCCGGATTATCGCTATCTAGTAGGCGCAGATTACTTTACCCCCCCCCTGCTCCTCTCAAGGTTGCAGTTGGCAAGAAGTTGGAGCCGGCGGTCGCAGACTTTGAACGTGAGAGGTGGCGATGTCAGGGATAAGGTATGCATTTCGAACAAGACTACTTTCAGGAAGGAAGAATAAGAAACTATCCAGCTAGAGTAACTTGCCGATATCGTCTGTTCTAGATCTCAGCTGCTCTCTAGACACCGTCTCTCAGGTACAGACTAGCACACAGTCCTTAACCTCGTGGTCGTATGCACCTCTCCGCATGTGTCCGCTAACCGGAAGACAGGGTAAGGATGGGCTCCTTTCCAGCTCCGCCCCAAGCAGCGAGGCAGCAGCTCTGTAGCTGAGCGGCACTTGGAGAGGAAAGGGCTTGGCTATAAAAGAGCACACCCCCGAGATACCGCTTTTCCCTTCCGGTGGCGGTTGCGAAGAAGAAAAATAATTTCATGTTCGACTATGCAGCTCTAAAGACCGAAGTCCCGAGCTCGGAGCTCGGGGCTACCGGCAGGAATCTAAATCCGATCTAGACCGAGCACTCACTCCCCCGATTCCCCAATGTTATCGGACATCATGCAGCTGCACAAGATGACAAGGCCCAAAAGCACTGACTCTACGACTTTCACGTCCGCCCAATAGCTCGTAAGCGGGATCCGTAGACCCACAGTATCACAGGAATAGGCCAACACACCGCAACAAAGATGAATCCCAGCAGGCTGTTCCCCCACCCGTACCCGAGGGCGGCATACAGATCCGGGGTAAAGATGGGGAAGACGAAGCCGAGGATGTTGGACAACATGCGCGCGGCGGCGGTGGCCGAGGCGGCGTGCGTGGTGAACTCGTCCAGCAGGTAGGCTAGCATGCCCTGGGACAGCATGAAGCTGCCCGTGACGAAGATGGCGGTGCCGACATCAACGACGACCCAATGCAGGCGTCCCTCCGCCGACCAGCCGTACAGAAAGATACCCACGGGGATCAGGAGGATGCCGGGGACCAGGAACGGGACCCGGACTTCTGGGGTGGGTGCGCCGTCGGGGTGGCGCGCCTTTAGGGCTCGGTAGATTCGGTCCATTAGGTGGCCGCCCGCCTGCGAGGCGGTGATGGTGCCGATCGCGAGGGCGATGTAGTTCAGGCTGCTGATTGTCGCGGACTCGCCGTACCGCTCGATCCAGAGGGTCGCGTAGGTGGACAGCAGGAGGCAGTAGATGGCGAAGTTCAGCGCCATGATCAGCGCGATGACCTGGATCGCTGGGCGGTAGATGAGGAGACCTAGTGGTCGAATGAGGTGGGCGCCTAGCCGGGCGCTGAGGTCTTGATAGAAGGCTTTGTGCGTGAGAGAGTGTTTGCTGAAGGAGGAGAGGGGAGCAGTGGTGGCATTCTGACGGTAGCGGTGGAGGGCGGCCTTCTTCCGAAGTAGACTTGGGGTGTAGCATTCCGGCAGAAAGAAGATGCCGATCAGTACAATCACGGCGTCGAACATGGAGAGGATCCAGAATAGCCAGCCCCACGGCAGATGCTGAGAGATTACTCCGCCAATGATGGGACCCAGGGCCGGACCCAGATAGGGGATAAAGGTGGCCAGCGCGAGGGAGCGTCCTCGATGTTCCGGCCGATACATGTCCGCCAGGATAGGACCCGTGAGCTGTATGGAGTAGACCGCGTCAGTTGGCTGTGCGTTCAATTTCAACCTGGAATGAAACAATAACAAAATACCGACCGTGATACCTGCACTGGCGCCTGATCCGGCCAGGAATCGCCCGGCCGTCATGAGCCCGACTGAGGAACTCACGGGACACAGTGCATTCCACAAGATATAGAACAGATTACTGGCAATCCATACCGGTCGCCGCCCGTACATTTCGGAGAGAGCAGCGATTAGAAACGGAGCAAAGGCGAGACCCAGGATGAAGATTGAGAAGGTGACCTGAGTAGCCGTACTGCCTAGGTGAAGGTCGGCGCCAATTTGAGTCAACGCGGCGGCCATCATACTAGTCGACATGAGGGTGACGAGTTGCCCCAGCGAGACGATCAGCGCGACTGAAACTTTCCGTATGGAAGACCAGTTGTAGGGATCGTGGGGATCGTCAGGGGAGTCCCAGGTAGCCTAGGGATGAGTTGGAGGTTAGATCGAAATTGGTACCTGGGAGGGCATGATTATAGATCGAAGTTTCTGACTTACACCATGTTCTTCGAGCAAGGCGTTCAATCGCTCTTGCTGCCGATCGGTGATGGTCACCACAGGCGGTGACGAAGTCGCTTCAACCGGAATGCCCTGTTCTTCAAAAGACATGACGAAGACGCTTAAATCCGTGTTTCAATTTGAATGTCAAACAGACCCAAGAGATCTGGTGACGGTGTTGGAATCTTATATGGAGAGGAGGTCTCGGAGGACAGTGAAGAGGGTCGGAGAAAGGTCGGAGAGTGAAAAGCTTAACACCGAGGCTGGTATAGTATAATCCTAGAGGAATGGAAAAAAGAAGTAAAATACATACTGCGACCTCCTCCGAGTCTAAACTACGGCATGTCGTCAATCAGGGACTTGACTTATCAAATTTATTGCTGGCTCAGGTGGCTTGAGTAGGGCTGAGCGGGCGGGAAGCCCCATCTTCCACACCCTGTGGTCGTACGTAGTGACCATTACTGTAACTTATGTATATAGATGCAGTTCACTAATTCAGAGTTAGACCCGCGACAATGGCACGATATCGCTGCTATACTGTCCGTTCTTTCACCGAAGGCCGTTGCCGACCAGGAGATTATCTGATATTCGACCTGGAGGCACAATCTTTAGCAAACGGTACGATTAGCCCCTGCATGAAACACGACCGATTGTTGGATATAAGCTGAAATGAAATGAAGTCAAGTTATTAGCTCATGGTAGATGGAATGTCAGCATAGTATCTTATCACATTCCTTCTCACCATACATATCCAACTCAAGCACTCTCCAACACCGCACTATCGAAGTAGGATGAGGGCAGTGGTCTCAAGTCCGATGGGAACAGTCACCAATCTTGGAAATCTTTTGTTCCCCTCGTAATCCATCATCTAATCTCCAAGTGATTGGAGACGTTTATCGTCCCGAGGCGTGCTCTTTTGAGTCAAAGGCTTCAGCAACTCGAAGCTGCAAAGTAACTCATCCGATACGCTCATGACGCCCCCCCAGTTGTCGAATTCTCCACAGTACTAAGAAACAGTGAGCTCAAGGTGCTGCAGAATACAGAGTCACTTGACCCAAGTAGCGTAAATTGCAATTATCATTCATCAAAGCGGAGAAGTACTTACGTTTGGGGCAGAGAAGACGGTCACCAGAAGTCGATCCGGGTAGAACTCGTACCCGTCTTCCACGACCATGTGGGCCCGGCAAATCAGGTCAAAGTCATAGCGCTGCAAGAAATCTACAATTACTCGCCTGCCGAAACAATAGCTCACACCTCGTTCATCATTGGTATCCCAGTCTTGCTCCGAGTCGATGGGGTCGCTCCACAGGAGGTCGTTCAGAAGACCATAGTCTGGCACGTCCGTCGGGCGGGCGATGCGGCGGATGTCCTCCAGATCCGATAGGGATGGTGACAGGCCACCGTGCACACAGAAGACCTTTCCGGCGACGATCGCGGCGACGGGCATGCAGTTGAACACATCGATAAAGGTCTTCCAGGTTTTGATGGTCGTCCGCCGCTTGCACTCGTCGTAGAACCCGTACACCCGGGTCACGTTGGCACATTCGTGGTTGCCTCGCAGGAGGAAGAAGTTCGTGGGGTAGCGCAGCTTGTAGCACAAGAGAAGGAGGATGCTCTCCAGGCTCTGCTTACCGCGGTCTACATAGTCGCCGAGGAAGAGGTAATTGGCCGCGGGAGGGAAGCCGCAGAGCTGGAAAATGCGGAGCAGGTCGCTGTACTGGCCGTGAATGTCCCCGACCACCTTGACGGGGGCATTGAGCTCGAGGAGCACGGGCTGCGAGAGGAACAGCTCGCGCGAGGCGTGGCAGATTAACTGGATCTCGGCCACGTCGAGGCAAAGGTTTTTCTTCGAGGGTCCAACACGACCAAGGAGGCGTGCGATCATAGCGTCTAGAAGGACGTTGTCAATAGCTCCCGTTTCCAGATGCTCCGGCAGAAAGCGAGCAGCATGTCCCATCGGGCTGTCCGTGTCGAATGGGAGGATCGGTCCTATCGGCGTGTTTTCAATGAGAATAGACTCACGAGGCTGGGTTGGTGATCCAAGCATAGATGCGGGCAGCGGGTGCATAGCAGGAACATCGGAGATGCCATCGACCTCCCCGGACTGTTGCATGAGAGTGGCATCCATATGGCCCCGTTCGGAAAGACCACCAAGTACTGGTGATGGGAGCGGACTCGACCCGTCGCTCTCCTCAGCTTCAGTCGCAGGTCGCTGTGAAATGGCCGATAAAGGTCCATCCTCCGCTGAGACAGAGCTTGATAGTTCGGGCTTCGATATAGTACTCATATCTTCCTCTATCACCTGCGGCAATTTCGAACTTTGGTGTGATGCAGTATGCTTCAGACTGTGGTGGCTCTCCTGATGCGCCAGGCCTGTCTTGTTGTCAGTCTGGAGGACGCCCAGAGGATCACCAGTATCAGTTTGTCCTAAGGGCTGTGGAGAAGTTGCATCCATCAAATCGACGGGCTCATTGTCTCGGATGTCCTCGGTACTATACACATAACCGTCTACCAGATCATCGGTGTTGGTATTGTGCTGAGGCTCACTTATAACCGGAGATGGCAGGCGCTGCTTGTAAGCCAGATCTTGAAGCACGGGGTCTTCAAGATTCCTAGATGTCTCCCCATTGACGATTGCAAAGCCCCACTCAAATTGTCTAAGTCTTCCCAGCGGCATATTACCACTATTGAAGGGAGCATGAATGAAATGAGCCGATTTCTCTATTGGGCTGGAGCTCTCGAGGCTGGGTGACGACGCCCTGGAATCAATCCTGCCAAAAGAATTCTCTAGGCTGCTCTGCTCCAAGTAAGCAACCTCGTCAGCTGTGCCGCTACCGAAATCTTCAAAGGTAAGGGTGATGAATCTATCCGGGTCATTGTCTATGGTGCTCCGCTTATGAGGCTTTGATGCTCGTGAACTCGCGTTTTCAGCAGCCGAGCTTTCCGACCCTTCATCCTCATACGGCGGCAGAGATTGTAGAGCAAGGTACCTCAAATGCCCCACGATATGTTCTATGATCGTACCTGCCTGCGAAGTATCGCCGAAGCCACAGAGTGGACATGATTCGAACAGTGGTTCAACCGCTCGCGCGTTCCTGTCAGCCAGCACGCGGAGCTGAGCATCACTGAAGGCCCCCTGGTGAGCCTGTCGCATGTGGTCTGTATAGCGATCTCGTGAGTGGAAAGTCAACAGCCCGTGCGATTTAGAATTGCAGCGCCAGCGCAAGGCATGGCCTTGCATATGTTTCAACCATTGTTCGGTGTGACTATATAGTTGATCTGGAGTCTCGCATTCGTTGAAGAGGCAAACGTATGCATCCAGATCATTCTTAACGTGAGCCCTAGACCTCCTAGTCAGGACTTCCTGGAGACTGAGTATGAACGGACTAAAGAGGCTTCGTGAGAGACCACTGGTGGTACCTACTTCCACTTCGCATCATTCTGCATCTCCCGTGCTGGAACAGCGTAGAAGCAAAATGGACATGTTATTTCTCCGATGGCTTCGACACACAAATCCCAGTTCCTATCCAGATCTTGCTTGAGATCCGCTCCCGCTTTCCTTTTGAGGGCCTCGAGGGTGGAAGGCGATTCAGTGTCGCACTTGTTGGACAATGACTGTAGGTTCAGTCTATGTTTCTCCTCCAGGCCTTTTCTTATTTTTTTGTATCTTTGTCTCACACGACCAAGAGGGGGTGCCGGGAATGGCAGCGCTTCGTGGCTGTCCAGCGCTACAGTTCTCGCACCGGAGACTGTGGAAGGGGTAGAGGCCTTTCTGAATCTTTCGACGGCTAGCGTGGTTGCACTGACTCCAGCTTGTGAGTTCGCCGGCATTTCGCTGGCAATTGGAGGCGATGCCGACGGGATCACAGGGGTACTGAGAGCGGTCTGTCGAGGCGCATCCGTCGGCGGCGGTATCGTTTTCGGCGGAGAATTTATTAGTGGTACTTTCAACGCCTGATGGCCGAAACGAGATCTCTTGTACAGCACCCGTCTTCGGCGAAGGATCATCGCGGAGACCAGTCGACGCAGGATTTTTTCGTCCACGTAACGGAATCTATCGCGGACGTAATTTGCGAACACGACTTCCAGACATGGCTCCACATCGTTCCCCTCTTCATCCCGGATCCTGAATGATGTGGACGCTTTTGCATTGTGGGCCTCGCTGCTCGCTCTTCGGATCGTATTAGACAGTCGATGAAGGAGCGCTATCTGGCCGACAACGCCGCGCCTCGAACGAGAGATCGTACCGCTTGCAGATGAGAGAGCAATATCCGATATCTGAGATCTGGAACCCGACTCGCAAAGCATGTGCGACCCTGACAAATAATTCAGTATATCTAGCATCCCATCCTAACAAGACATCTGTCTCACTCACAGGCTTCGACTTGGTCTTCTAGCGTTTCCAGAAGCCCGATAATCACTTCATGCACCTCCTGTGCTTCTCTTATGCGGTGATCCAATGAGGCGCGTCCTCCGGCAAAAACACCAATATTGGCCGTCCAGAGAGAGAAACGCGCGAGCTGGTCTTCCACCAAGGTCATTTCCAGGGACGAGATCGATGCAGACTGCTGCAAACATTGCTGGAAAAGATTCAAGCATCGATCGGCCGTCGCCGCAATTGTGTGGAACTGTTCTGGCTCTGGTGACATGCCGTTAATTCCTTTTCCCCGAAGGAAGCAAATCGAGAATTAAGTTGACGAAAGGCCGACTGAGTGATTGATGAGAAAGAAGATGCAAGGCTGAGACGTAGACGTGAGGGGCAGGCAGGCCGGGCCCAAAGCGGTTTAGTGGTTTTGAGGCATCGATAAGGCATACCCCGCATCTTCACTCTTCCGCGCGCCCTCAGCCTCGGGGAACATCAGCACGCCGGGCCGATGTAAGGGATGACCATGACCGTCATTCAAAATGTGGAACTGTTGCTCCAGGTGTCGGAGATGCTTCGTGAAATTGCGAAATATCTCCGGAGCCATGGCGCTACCCGAGAGTCTAAGCATTTCTACAGCAGCGTCATGGCTCATTGCTTGATGATTCACGATCACATCAGCCGCATCGAGGCCTTCATTGCCGATGATAATAATCTGATCACAAGCATGTTGCTTCGACTCGAGGCAACCGTCACCTCTGATGTCTTGAAAATTCAATCCACCTCTCATTTCTTGAAAACTCGATCGGTGCTCTCAACCACGGCTTACCCTCGGCTCGCAACGCTACTCGACGCATGGAACCATGCTCGCCGTGAGGGCGGTACCATGGAACTGCAGCTCATAATGCTCTCAATTGACCTCGCAGAAGACTCAGAGCAACCGGATAAGCTGATTGAATTTTTCGAAGACTGGGAAGATGACCTGAAGGTTCAATATCCCGACGACCCGGCACTGTGGGCTCGTGATGATATGGCCAGCTTGAAGAAGAATAGAAGACAGCCGTCATACTTGGTTCTGAATGCCCCACAGTCATTGTTCCTTGCCCTGGTGGAGTCGAAAGACTGTACATGTCAGCCTGTACATAACTTCGGTGTTCGGCTTTGTCTGGGAACATTTCAAACTGTCCCGGAGACTGAGAAGGAGCGGGAGCACGACTGCGCGTTCGAGATGTTTCTATCGATGCAACAGGAATGGCACGAGGCTGACGTGTGTTTCGCTAAGAGTGCCGGAATAAACTTTGCGCAGACCAACAAAACCGCGCAGAGGCCAAAGGTCCCAGCCATGAAGATCAAGAGTCTATGTGAACCGATTAAGAAGAGAAAGCCCTATGATCGTCTTAAGCTGAAAGTTGGGGAAGACGGACGACTATGGAAGCTGCGATCCGAAAAGTCCTGCTTTGCAGTGGATGAGACCAAAGCGCCGGTCTCACTGCAGCACTTTATTCAGGGCCAGTACAGGTCGCTGACTGATAAGACCAAACGTATTCTGGCCGTGATTCTCGGATACGCTGTTCTATACCTCCATGAGACTCCCTGGCTCCCGCCCTCATGGGGCCCTTCGAGTATCTTGTTCTTCCACACGACTTCGTCGGCGATTCCTCTCAAACCCTTTATCCAAACTCAATTGGCAAACGATCACGCGGTCGCTTCTCCGAGCATTTCCATTATAGACTCAGATGACTTTGATCCCGACGACTTAGACCCTGATGACATTATGATACATCAGTGTCCGCATCTGGTGACGTTGGGGATTGTGTTGATGGAGCTGTATCTCGCCACTCCCTTCGAGGAACTAGCTGAAAAATACGGTGTGCCTTTGAATGATCGGACGAGGTCCATCGATGCAGAGCTAGTATTTGAACAGTGCAAAAATGAAATCCCGGAGAATTCCCAGTTTCATTACGCCGTGAAGAAATGCTTAGACCCAAAGGTGTGGGAGGATAACAAGGGAGCCCGATTAAGCGACAATGCATTGAAAACTGCAATATACCAGGAGGTTGTTAGTCCATTAGAGGACGAGCTGAGCCAAGCCTTTAGCTACATTTCTCTTGAACAACTTGATCGCATTGCACAAACTCTGGATCTGGCTAGTTGGGGTCAGGCTATCCAGACTTACCAGGCTTCTCCTCGTTCTCCTGGAACTCCGGTCAACATGGCGTTGAGACCAGCACAGGGGCTCTCATCGATCCAAGACTTGAAAGATCAATATCAACAACAGCAAAGATATCTAGCGCATCTCCAGGGATCGGTCACATTGCCAGTGATGCCTATTTTTCAGCCCGTTTCTTCTGCAATGCCCGTGCCCCAACCAGGAATGACGACTCAGTTTTCTTACTCAAGCATGAAATTTTTTGACGATGAAACAACTGCCGAAGAGCATTCAGCGGAAGCGTAAGTCTACAAAATGACTCTTTTAGCTGTAGGTCTAGCTAACAGCCAGTACCAACGAAACAGATGTATCAATTACCGCAACTGGCGTCAAAGATATAAAGATGTCTACGAGAAGCACATCTTTCAGCCACCCAATATTCCAGTGAAAATCGCTGTTTTCGATACCGGAGTGGATCAGACACACCCAGACGTAGACGCATGCATTGAGCAGATCAAGGGTCAATTCAATTGGACGAACGAGAAATTTCCCCGGCTGGTCGACGACTACAACGGTCACGGAACCTTTATCACGAGCTTGCTCATGGAATATTGTCCCGATGCAGAGATCTACATCGCTAAGATTTCCGACGGCAAACCATCCAGTCCCAGCATCATCGCCAAGGTAAGATCGGACACGGTGTTGTGATGGCACATCAACTGACTTTGACAGGCTCTAAACTATGCGGTCAACGAATGGGAGGTTGACATCATCTCCATGTCGTTTGGGTTTCACACAAGGGATGTCGAAGGCTACGATGAGCTGGAACGTGCCATTCACAACGCATACTCAAGCCATGTTCTTCTCTTTGCTGCCGCTTCGAACAGCGGTGCAAACCTGGACAGGGCTTACCCAGCTCGCGATGAGAATGTGATCTGTATCAATTCGACAGATGCAAATGGGAACCGCTCACCCTTTAGCCCTACTGCTCTCGCGGACACACTAAACCTGGCCACGGTCGGCGAGGCCGTGGAGTCCGCTTGGCCAGTGCGTCTCTGCGAGTCGCCGTCCGGCCTCAAGCATAAATCGGGGACATCATATGCCACCCCCATCGCGGTTTCCATCGCGGGCTTTCTGCTGCAGTACACCCGGCTACATATCCCCGAGCATGCGTACCTGTTGCAACGACGGTCGAAAATGCAAGCCGTGCTGCGGAAGATCGCGGAGAAGAGCCTGGACTCGCGAGCCCGCGATGACTACCATTTTATGGCCTTGAGCCTTTATTCCGATAATCTATTTGGGAAGGACCCCGAGTTCATCAACCATACACTGCGCGATATACTCCGCCGGTAAATCATTGGAGACTTGCTGCGCCATCCAGCCGAGGTACGCCAACTGTAATGAGCTCGTCTCCCTCCGTCATTTGCATGCCTGTCCACTCTTCCCCATCATCGCCCACTTCCAGTTCGTCCTCCTCAAGAACAAAAATACCCCGCGATCCTCCCAGTGCTACGGGCTCATTCCCCAGCATGGCCCCTTTGCCATAATCCTCCACCTCGCGCACCTCGTTCGTCTTCCTTGCCACCTTGATCCTTTTGACACGAAATGCTAGAACAAAATCCCCCCCGTTCTCCCAGTCCATACCCACCTTCTTGGACCGGGTGAGTTCAAACTCCGGGCCCCCAGCCACCGGAACCACGCCGCCACTCCACACGGTGCCGTCCACGGTGGCCGCCAGATTGCCGCCGATCTCCCGCCCGGTCCGCGACCGGCCCGCCTTCGCCCCGTGGACCACCTTCAACCCCACGATGAGATACAGCGGCTTCCTGTAGCGGGATCGCTCGAGCCACCGCTGTACCACAGGGGAGGCGTCAATGCATTTCTCTTGGATGTAGCTAGATCGGGGCACGAATTGCGAGGTGGTGATGGTCTCGAAACGGAAGGTCTCCTCGTCGCTGCACACGCGGGGTCAGAACTTTCTGTGCTTTTCTTTCTACGTCATGTATTTAGGGTATGTGCCCTTGTAAGCTATCATCCGTATAGATCAAAGCATTGCTCATTCAGCAAAACCGTCCTAAAAAAAGAACTCACCTCCTCTCCCACCCACCTCCAACATCAACCCCCACCCCCAAGAACGAGAGAAATTGCGTGAGGATCCCGAATTTCCCAGCCCGCAGGCGCTCGCGCGAGAAGGTCACACCGGTCTTGTCGGAGGCAAAGACCTCGGATTCGGCGGGCGGGGATGCGGTGAAGAGGGGCTGGTCGGGTTTGTGCAGCGAGGTGAGCACGTTGCCCAGCTGGATGGGCCCGGCGGGCGGCGGCGGGTAGTCCCACGTGGGCGCGAAGAAGAAGTATGGGGTTTGGTTGGCCATCGTCACATCAAAATCAGTCTTGGTTGGGTTTTTCTTTGTCCCTGCCTGTTGTTCTGGAAAGAAATTTCTGAAGTGAAGTGAGCCGGGCAGGCGAGCCCATCTTGGAGGGGAAAGCCGGTGCCGGTTGCGCGACTTGCGGCTGACGGTTGAAAGGCGGGGTCAATGTACGTTCAGCTGAGTAGGGCGGGTGTGACCCTGGTACCTGGTCTTGACTAGTGACGCAGGCAGACAGCTGTAATCCCTCCTTCTGGTTTCATTGAGCCATGCCGCAATTCTTGTTGACTCTATTTAGCCCACGGCGTCAATGTGGATTACACATATCTGCCGGTGGCTGATTGATGCCTGTGACTCGGCCGATAGACTCACCTGTCCCGGCTGGCCCTCGAAGTTCACATGACAATGCGCGGGTTCGGTTCGAATTGATCACCTCCTGCTTATCCAGTGTGAAAGGCATTGTTTTGCATAGCGAGATAATTCCAACTTGATCGAAATCGAGAGATCCCGTATCATTTGGGGTTTCAGAAGATATACATACCTACTCCACCAGCAGGTAGCTTCGATGGCTCAGTACGGAGGCAAATGCACTTCCCAGCAGCAACTTCTTGGAGACCGATCAGAGAATTGCCACCATTCACGCGTTTGGATTGGAAGATGCGTATGGTGCCGGGAACAGCAAAGCAGTGGATGCAGCCCAGTTACCTTCATATACACTCTTTTCACTCGAACAGTAGCTGACCCTCGTGCTTAACTTGGTAGTCGCTGGGGTGGCCCTGCTCAACATGATACTCATTGTCACCCTCAGGAATAATTTCACAGCCGGCGATGTGGGACTAAGTGTGAACGTGATTCTGACAGTCACTAGGGCCCTGTTGATCGCTATACAATCATGGGCCAACTTCGATGCCTTGCTGGGCGTCATTTCACGCATCATGGACTCTGTGAAGACGGTGATCCCCGAGCCAGAGCCGACCTCACCAACCGTACCGCCTAAATCATGGCCTGCCACCGGTGCGGTTGAGGTGAGGAATGTCGTTGCCGACTACTATGTGTCCAGCCGACCGGAGCACCTTCGGGAGCCGCCCACGCTCTCGACCATATCTTGTTGAAGGTGGACACGGGCCAAACCATTAGCATCCGCGGACGCACCGGCAGTGGCAAATTCTCTCCATTCTGTTGAGTTTCGCACGTCTGCTCGAGCGGTCCGAGGGGAGTATCGCCATTGATGGCCTGATATGACCTCGATCCCACGGGACGTGGTACGGTCTCGATCGAGTACCATCCCACAGGACTCGTTCATTCTGGCGAACGGCTCGGTACGTCATAGCCTGGACGCCGCGGGACTCGCGACCGATGACTGCATTGTTTTCCTGGATTAGGGCCACGTTGCCGAGGTATGAGCTGCTACAGCGCAAAGAGTCGGCGCTGAGGTCTCTCTTTAGTCAAAAGTCCGCGTAATAGATTTTTAATACTGCAATTCCACGTAGGCTCGCAAGCTTGAGGTGCAACAATAAAATACCTCCGCCAAAGAGCCTCACACTGATTAGCTCTTACATACCTGGGATGGTAGGGTCATGCGGTTTGAATTTCGGCTAAAGCCAGGTTGCTTCTCTTATTCCCTGGTACCAGAGGCTGTTGGCTTCTAGGTTTCTGGATGTATTCCTTGGTCTATTCGTTACTTATTGATACTTACTGATCTACCGGTAACTCACTCATCTAGGGGTTAGTACATACAATTTGTTAGCACTACTATGTATATTTGTTAACCCTGATTCAATTTACTATAAGGCAAGGTAGTTAAAAGGGTCGACGAGGTACATGGCTAATGTGGTATACGAGGGATTCATCCGAAGTAAGACAGAAACTCTTGGTTGCACTGTGACAGAAGATGCATAAGCGATTGGATGTCTCAGGAGTGGGCTACATGGAATAGTCTCTTAAATTATTGGTAGTTGGATGGTGGAGCTGAGTTCTTAGGATGTGCTTTTTTGAAAGCTATCTGCTATTCTCCTCAAATATCTCGGTGCTCCAAAACTAAACTAACAAAGTAAAGTGTCACAAGGAGAGCTAGCCACTCAGCCAAAGGCAAAGGGATCGGGGCGCTTAGGACACCTGTCTAACTGCCCCCACCTCAGCCGCCAATTGTACTTTTTCTGCCTGACCTCGACCACAAAGTCGCCTCCTTCGCGCGCGAAGTCCAGGAACTTCACGCTTTCATAGAGTTGCTTCAGCCTCGAGAAAACATAGGTCGCCAGCAAATCCCGCAAACAAAATATCTCATCGTCCCGAGGGCGTGTATGGAGGTACGAGAAGCGCACCAGCTCAATCAGATAATCCACGTGGTCCTCGAACAACTCAAACTCTCTGAGTGTCGTCGCCAGCTTTTCAAAAACGAGATCCCGAAGGGGAACGATGTCGTGTTGCTCCGCCAGGACGCATAACTTGGCATGGCCGAGAAGGTTTGGCGTAAGTTGCTTCCGGAGGTGGAGGGGTATCTTCCGAGGCGCGTAGGCCTTTTTTCTCTCTTCGGAGACTTGGCCCCGCCTGGCCGTGAGACAAGTGTGGAGATGGTTGAAGGCATCGCGAGTACTAGACGGGTTGAAAATCCGAGGTAGATCATGGGCTGCCGCACTGGGCTTTTCTGACTGTGCGGCTGATCTATCTAAATAGACGGAGGGTAGTCGAGGTTTCCATGATTCACTGTAGATCCCTCTCCTATCTTTTGACGGCCGCGGAAGGAACGGTTTCGCATCAGCCCTCAGCTGAGGTTGACCACCCGTTGGCTTAGAGTTCCTAATGATATCCGGAGGGGGCGTGTAGTCGCCGACGTACGCGTACTCGCACAGCCGGATGAATGTGTCCGCCTCGACATACGACCAGTCGAGTTCGCTGACCCCTTCTTCAAGCAACCGCGCGTTTAGGAGGCTGTCAAGCTCGGACGAGAGGCTGGCTAGGACGTCGGAGTGAACAGTGATCCTCTTCTCTTCCGAACCGACAATGAAAGTAAACAAACGAGATGAGATGGATCTGTTGCAGAATTGTAGCCAGTATTCAGCCACGAAGATCCGCACAACAGGGCTCAGGAACTCACTTGGCGAACTTTGAATTCATGGATGCAAGTCACTGTGGGAAGGATTTTGCAACTCAAGAGGCAAACGGGTTGAACGGGAGAAAAAGGGTAGCGTGTAGCCGGTATGGGTGGTCGGGGTCTGTGTACCGAATGTCGGTGATGTAGATGGTCGTGGCAGACGGGGTTGATCGGGTTGCTAGGGAGCGAAATCAGTGCCAAATATAATACTGCTATGGGTGGTGTCTTGAGTGGAACGACAATCTTAGTAATAATAGGATTCAGATTCCGCTAAAATAACGGTAAAGTAGACTGTATCACTAGAAGGATGAGGCATAGGGATCAGTCTTGTGAAGTGAAGGGATTCATAGGATCGTTGTTCTCAGCTTGCCACAAGGGAATGATGGGTTCATATAGACTGCGAGAGGAATGCTCCTGCCTCAACTATGCAATCTCATAGAGAAGGCGTGAAGGGAAACTATGTAAGCATGCAGCAGAATGAAGAAAGCACGATGTGAGCTACCCGGATTGTCAATTAGCCTGCCATACCAGGCAGCTTTGTTAGGTTTTGTGTCTGGAATTAGCAAGTTGGTAGGTGGCCTATACAGGTGGGGTAGCTCACATAAACAAGGTGGTTTAAATAAGTAAAAAGACCTCGCACTCAAAGAAGCATGACATAACAGCAGAAAGTATAGATACAAACCGCAAGGATCATAGATAATTGCAAATTCAAGAAGCCTTGAGCACAGAGACCTGAGGGTAGGTATTCAGCGCAGCCAATCACTTGTTGCTTGGTAGCCAGTCCTTCGCAGGGCTCAGCACTTAGCATGCGTCGCAATCATGAAAGAATCTGGTAAAAACTAGCATAAACCAACAAAATCTGCAAAAAGCGCAATCGAAAATAAAGTTATCTCTGCATTCAATTCTAGTAATTTTTGGAAGTCCGGAAAAAAGTCATACATCTCGAATAGGATGACATTGTAAGAGGAATATGCTCAAATTAGTCAAGCTAAAGAGACCTAGAAGCCCGATACTTCTTCATGAAGAAGTGACCTTACGTCAAGGTCATCGTCATTGTCAAGCTTCGTCTCACCCGAACAACTGAAGGTATCAAGGGTAAGGAGGCAAAGCCCGAATGCCCATAATCTCCTGGTGGAGGTGCTCCGTCAAATGGGCAATGGCACTGGGCCCCAACCACTTGAAACAGAGGGGGCACTTCTCATCCGCCAAATCCCTCCAGTCATGTTTGACCATATGCGCCTCCCACTCCTCGATCGTCGGAAACGCCGCATCCACGCCGCACTGCTCATGCAAGCAGATATACGGGTGGAAGTCGTAGAGCACATGATCGCGCCAGGGCTCGGGCGCACAGATCGCCGCAGGGATGGAGTCGCCGCAATAGGGGCACTGCACGTGCTCCACCCCAGGGCTCAGCGCCGGCGGGGGCGGGAAGTGACCGCCCAGCGAGCTGTCGTTGTCCGCTCCGGCGGCCGTCTGCGGCGGGCCACCACCCAGCGGCGCATCGCGCCGGTGCCATTGCAGAATCCGCCAGCGGATGAGTTTCGCGTCCGCCAGCCGCTCGTGCAGCACGCGGTGCGCGTTCGGGTACCAGGTGCGGAGGCTGCGCAGCGCCTGCTGCCGGAAGTCGGCGCTGCGGTCGCTGCCAAGCTCGTCAGGGACGTTGTAGTCCGGACACGTGAGGATGAACAGAGCGCTCTCGTAGGTGCGGGCCCGTTGTCCGCAGCGGACGGTCAGCAACACCAGCTGAATCCAGTATTTGGCTTCTGCTTGGGCTTCTGTGAAGGCGAGCGCCGGCGCGTCGCACCAGACGCCCGATTGCAGGGGACTGGCCTGCGACAGGGCGACCTCCACGTTGCCGAGGGCGTAGGCGACGCTCAACCGCGTCATAGGCAGGGTTCGCAGCTTGCTGGCGCACGATGATCGGTAGTCGGTCAGGAATTGGTGCTCGACCTCTAACCATCGCAGCGGGTCTTCGGGGGATGACCGGGGCCGTGGGAGCGCCTTGTAAAGTTGGCTGCATCGCAATACTTGTGCCATGAGTCCCTTGTTCTGGGGCATGGCCATAGTTAGAGTACGGGGGGAAAATTCTGCCGACATTTGTGTGTTGGTGGGTTGGAAATTTTTGATAGGAGATGCGAAGCATTTGTTCAGACATATAAGCCGGCATATATACCTTATGTTGGCGGTGCATGCGGCAACGGCTCGATGATGGTGTACAATGAACCAACAAGTAGCATGGCCATTATATGGAGAAGAATGGATAGGTGCGCATAGTGCGTCCAAACAATGGAGGATCGGGACAATGGAGATTTACTGCTATGTGTATGAAGTTTACCAGTAGCCAAATGTGACATCAAAGGAAATCACCATGGAGCATTCGCCTCGTGCGATAGGGCCAAACATGGATTCTGGGACTTTAGCACTAACGCGATAGGCACAGCAGTTACCTGCCCCGTCCATTTCCACAAACAAACCATGTTGATCCGACCAAACTCGCGTCCTCGTTATCATTCCGACTTCAAAGAAGAGAAGAAGCTTGCCATTTTCTTCTTTTGTCTCTTCTTCCGTGGCCTTGCTCCCTGGCCATGCAAGTTACAACTCGCATTGAATCTCAAATGTCATTGAAGGTTGCACAAAATGGTTCATAGGGTTTTGAATTAATCAAATATTCTTCTTCTATCTTTCTTGGCTATCACTGATACTCTGGGAGATCTCTTCCATAATATAGGTTTTTGAATATTACTTGCAGATTTCAGTGAGTTGTATCATGGATGGACAGGTAGACTAGGTATTCATGTTATGGAAAGGGGTCAAATATATTTTGTATCCCCCAGGCACTAAATATTAGAAACATCCTCAACAATATAATTCCTGGAGCAACCTGTGCATCTTGAATTCATCCAATCTTGTCTAGGGATATACAGGGTTTATTTGATCCCCCCATGGTCAGGGATATCATGAATAGTACACTTTGACAAAACGTCAACCTAGAAAGCCTCTATCCCGGATCAGAACCTAGCTCTTACTCCCAAACCCTCCCAGAAGAAAGCAGCTCTACCATTATATTTCGGATACTCCCTTGTCTGAAACAGCTCCATCCAGTGCGAAATTGCGGCCGACCGATAGGTATCCGGCTCCACCCGACAGAGCTCGGTGGCATTCACATCGAAGACCAATGCCTCAGGCTCGGTCAGGCTGTATTTGGGTCAGGTCTTAGCTCGGTTAGCTAGAGATGAATTCTGTCAGTGCCTGTAGCCCGTCGTAAAAAAATATATGCGCATGAACATAGCAGCGACTTACGAGGGATATTGTTGGGATCTAGAGTGTTGATAAAGCTGATCCACATGCTCGTCATCAGGTAGCTCAGCGGCTCGAAGGTCTTCTTCTGGTCGGCCTGGTCGGTGGGGCTGAGGCTGCAACGACCTCCTATTCTTCCTGCACCACGCCTACCTCGACAGGCTGTGTAAATGCTTCTGTGATAAAAGTCTCGGTCGGAATGAATGAGCTTGACTAATGAACGGTCAAAACTATGAAGACAATGGTCTAAGGCGTTCAATTGAGGGCAAAGCGAGGGAATTGAGTGAAAGAAATAAATCAACACATGCTGGTTCAAGGTGGCGATTGCTAAGAATTCGATAACCTGGGGCTGCCTGCTAAGAAATGCGGACTCTGTGGTGGTGTCCTAAAGCAAAATGCCAAGAACCGGATAGGGCGATGGAACGACGGCGAGATCCAAGATCTTTTCAAGCTTTGAGGATTTTCTGAGCAAAGGTTCGAATGAACATTGAGTGGATCAATAATAATCAATGTCTAAAGTGTTGACAAAGGTCTATTCTACGAGAGGGCTTAGAATCTGACAAAGAATCTTAAACATGGTGGATTCAGGCTATCTAGGAGGAACTAGCACGGTTTACACGGCACGCGGCAGAAGTGATGAGAATTATCCAGCGATCAGATGCTCGAGACTTCTACAAGAATCCTACAAGCTACGATATAACTAGACACAAAGCAAGTCGAACACATCTTTTCATTGACCAAAGCAGACTCTGATACATTGACTCCAAGCAAGGAACACATGCTACGTGTGTTCTAAAAGCCCAGCAGTGGGTAGCAGCAAGTGATGCGAGCACCCTACTCACCAGAATGTTGAGGGCTTCATCCGACCGGGGTCGGAAATGGAGATGGAATCCGAGCGAGAAGAGGCGGAGACCCCATCAAAGTCGGACCAAGATGCACCGTCCGACTCGCTGTCACTGTCTGACAGCCCCACGCCCGATACATCGTCGCGGAGTCTCCTCTCCCGACGCGCCCACTCCCCCACAAGAGCGGGGTTCTCCAACCCCCAGACCAGAACATCTCTCGTCGCCAACGCATCTTCGACGGCACTATGCCCCTGACTACTGGCCTGGATCTGCCGTCCCAGCATGGCCATCGCCAGGGTCTTCAGCCCCCACAGCCGGGGGAACCGCCTCGTCTCGCCCCACCGTGCCGAGAACACCGCCTCGGCCGTCACGATCGCCGTGTCGACCACCTGCGGGTGAATGATCCCCAAGGCGTTGAGATCATTGTGCAGCGCATGTCCGACGAGCACCGTGTCGCGGTCGACATACTCCCACAGCCCCTGGCGGGCCGCCTGCCACGACTCGAACGCCTGCCCGTGCCGGATAGCCGCGTTCATTGTCCCTGGCGAGATGCCCGTGATTTGGGTCATCCAGCGTGTCACCCGCCCCGCCGGCCGCACGTAGCGCTTGATGAGCACCTCCCCTGTCAGGAAGTCCACCGCCGCGAGGTACGCCAGCCCGTTGTAGCTCCGGCCCCGTCCATAGGGGTCCTCTGCCATGACCATCTCGCAGTCAATGACCACGGCCTTTATTGCTCGTGGTCGCGTGGAGGTGGTGTGGGTGGGCGTGTGCTGGAAGAGCGACTTGGGGACCGCTCCGTTCCAGGGCTTCGCCCACGGTGGCTCGACTGCCGAGAGGTTGTACCCCTGTGTGCTGAGGCAGGTGGCTGAGTGGCAGCGCGGAAGGAGGCGCGCCAAGAGGAAGTCCTCCTTTGCGAGGACTGGTGATGTGATGGTGGTGGTGGTGGTAGTGGTGGTGATGGTGGTGGTCGTCGTCGTGGTGATACTGTCACTCTTACGTAGAGTGACTGGCTCGACAGCCAAGCTGGGAGACTGCACTGGCTTCTCCATGGGGAGAAGCGCTACCTCATCCATGTCCGTGAGGTAGGCGAGTCGAGGATGCTGCTCGTTCTTTGCATCCGCACGGCTCGGCTCAGGAGGCTGCGCACTGGAAGCCGAAGTGAGAGGCTTTGCTACCGTGCCTCTATGAGGTTGCGAAGGGGATGAACACGACCCCTTTTCTGTTGATGTCGAGCCATGCGCGGCTCGTTGGTGCTGAGATACTGCGTCCGCAGTAACGAAAGTCTTCACACAGCTCGGACAGGCGAGTCTGTGCCACTTGGAGATTTGGTGCTGCCGGAGAAGCTGCACGCTCTCGAAGAGCTGCTGGCAGGTTGGGCAGGTACGATCCACTGCCGGGGTAGTGTTTTCTGTGCCCGTCTGTCTTGGGCACGTAGTGATTTGAGCCATGGTCATGGTGGTGTTGTTTAGTGTGAAGATAAAGATAAGAGGTCAAGTTCAGTGTGGTTGGGGTAAATATTTTCGGATTTGATGAAGAGGAGGGGGCTTGGTGGTTGTCTTTGGGGGGTGGGCCATGCTTTTGTGTCCCCGCATGGTTCTCATCGTGGGCGTTGACTCATGGTGTCTCGTCAGTATACCATCATGCAATGCTGCCTCGCATAGCGAACGACGGCTGAATTACAGCATCTCGGATTATGCTTAGTAGACTTTTCCAGAACCATGAGTCGCGTGAGCCCATGACGAGGACTCAAGAGCAGAGTAGGAATCTAGTTAGACTCTCCCAAAGTTGAGCGAGAAAACTTCAAACGACAGATGTTGTGCTGCCAAAGTGCCGACTCGACCAAGACGGCGGAGTCATCCATTCTGCAGAGCAGCACTTCCGAGACTAAAAAACGCAGATGTCAACGGTTTTACAATGCGAGGGAGGTCGAGTGTTTCATTTTGCTGTGATCCGATATAGGCCTTGAGATCAGTAGTGGACCTTTCCTACCTCCTGCATCCTTTTCGAAATCTAAGATTTGAGATCGTGAAATCTTGGGAAAGGAAAGATGATGTAACGAATTTCTTCATATCGCTTGAGATTAGTGGGTGGCAACCTGGATTCAATTCTAGCTAATCGTATATTGGATGTAGAGTGAATACCTACTACTCGGTTACATTCACCTGCCCTGCTTCGAGCTTTCCGAGCCACAGGCAATTTGTGTCATGCTTGCGAGGCCAGCTGGACTATTCGGTGGAAACTTTCTGTTGAATGCTGTATATATTTGTTTTTTTCTTCTTCACTTATAATACGTAGAAGCTTGGAGAAATCTTCGACCAGGTCTCGATGTCATTGCGGTGATCTTGTGGCAGGGTAGCATCAGATCCAAAGACCCACTGGTTCAAGCTAGGAACCGATTGGAAATAGTTTCCGAGATGCGGTAATTTTATCGTCGACAAGCACACTCAATCTTTCAATACCGGGCCGTTCTCGGAACAAACTACCTTAATACTTTAAAGCGCGGGCGGGTCACGGACGGATTCTGGACCCTGAGCTGAATTAGGGCTCGATGGGCTCTCTTTAGGTCTAGCGCCGCCAGGCACCAGAACAACAAACCAAGACAAAAAAGTCAAAAGCGATCGACAAGCAAAAAGGAGATTTGTTTTAGCCACTGCAGTGGGTGCAATACTACTTTTGCTCTCATACTTAGAGTCGATGCGAATGTGAGGTCGTTTCCTAGTCCTATCTATGGTCAAGTTTCCAATTATAGCCGAGAATAAAGTTATCGCCGACCAAGGAGACGGAACTTAAATCAGCAACCTGAGCAGATGGCGACCATCTGCTCGCGTGTATTGGCAAAGTCACATGTAGGTGTAGTGTGTAGTGCGCATGTGAAAACATTGAGACCTGTCAGACTCGGGAACAAGCGGTGAGTAAATGATTTGGGTTTGGTTTCGACCCAAGTAGAGCGCGGCGCGGCATCTGGAATCCCGTCAAGGGAGTCGCACGTGATGATAGGGATAAGAGCTTAAATTTGCTCTCCCTGAACACAACCTTGTGACGAAATCTTCTCCTCAGCTCTAGCTGACGCTTGCCGCAAACGGAATATCCGATCTCGAACGGTAGATGTTAATTCCAATTGACTCAATTTGAACATCACTTTGTCGATACCAGATTGGCAATTACACTCCTCTTCCTACTGCTTAGTCCTCCTGTCAGGTCCGCATCAAACGCTCAGGTGCCACAAAAATTGAGTACACCATGACAATCTCCAACAACGCGTCGACCGACCCTGTCGAATTTCCCCCAGGCCTCCCTATAGCGCAGCTGCACACTATTGATCTGGGGAGGTTGCAAGCTGGTGACCAGGATGAAGCTCAGCGCTTACTCGACGCTAGTCGCAAGGATGGTGTCTTCTATTTGAATCTTGCATCTGCGCAGAAGGAAATCGTCCCGGTCCTGGATTCTATCTACGAGCTTTCAAACGGACTCTTTAGTCTGCCGCTCGAAGAGAAATGTCTGTATGACGTGGATAGGTTGGGTAAAATGAAATGCAATGGGTATGTTGTCTTTCTTTGTATACAATGTCCTACTGCAAACCTGACTAACACGAATTGACCAGATACAAGCCCGTGGGTCGCAACTTCGGAGGACTAGAGGGTAAACGCGATGGATTCGAGACCTACGTGGTATGATTCGACATGTGCCTGTCACCCACGAAAACGACCAAAATTCATCTGATCATATCTAATAAACCGCAAAGATCCCCAAGAACGGAATTCTGAGCCTGGACAACCAGCGGGACTTTCCCCGCCCCCCACTGATCGACCACTACATGAACACCCTGCAACAGTTCACCAACTTCGTCAACACAACCTCCCAGAATATTCTCGACAAACTCTCCCATTCCCTGGAGCTCCCCGAAACCGGGAACCTGAGGCTCTTCCACCGCCCGTCCGCCCCATCGCCCGACATCGTCCGTCTCCTGAAGTACCACCCTCAGCCCGCCGAGCAGCGCGGGATCCCGCACGCCGCCCACACTGACATGGGCACGTTGACCTTCCTGTTCACCCGCCAGCCCGGGTTACAGATCCAGAATCCCGGTGAAGAGGTCTGGAGATGGGTGCTGCCGCGCGAGGGCCACGCTATTGTCAACTTGGGTGACGGCCTCTCCCTGCTCACCAACGGCTATCTACAGTCCTGCGTCCACCGTGTGGGCCCTCTTCCCGATCGGGCTATGCCGACCCGCTATTCGTTCGCGTACATGGTGCGTCCGGAGAACCAGACGGTGATGGCCGCGCCGCAGACGCGATGGATACCTGCTCGTGACCCCGACGCAACTGTCCTGACGGCGCAGGAGTGGTTGGAGAAGAAGTACTCTGTGCTACGGTTGGATGCGCGGCCGGATGACCTGGTGTGGATGATGACGGGACAGCAGCGGAGGTAGAACATTGCCTGGGTTTTCATGGATCATTTCGTTCTAATCGTAAGCCCTGAACAAGGTCATGGGGTGTGGTTATCGTGCTTCTTGATTGTCAGGAGATTTGCTACTGGACTCATTAGATCAGTTTTCAGGACGCTGGCGAGGATTCAGAGATTGGCGGGTAACTAGTTGCTTTCTCCCTGATCTCAAGAGAAACCTTGTGTATGTACGTGCGTCTCGCATAGGAGTTATAAATATTGCAAGGAGTACTTATCAATAAAGAGGTTCTGTATTATGCGCATGAAAGAGGGAACATGTAGAGAAACGGTTTTAGGTCAATATCTCTCATGCTTCGCACCACCATTTTAGGCTATACCTTCGCTAAGGCAGGCCGAAGAATCAAACTAAAGAACATGTAATCAAGGAGGTGGCCGAGTAACACTATCTGACGATCCCAAAAAACACGAGGTAAATAACATGGTCTCTTCCTGTGTGTGTAGAGGTGTGTATTTGTACATGGTTGATATGCTGGCGCTTCTATGCTGACTACAGTGCATCATCCGTTGCCCGCCTGAATATCCATGCCCTCCATTGTCAACATGATCTGCGGTAGTTTATCAGACCCATCAAGCCTCGCTGCTGAACTTCGTTCTGTCAACAGCCCAATATCAAAGTACCGGAATCCTCTAGAATGTTCTAATGGTGGTTGTGGTGGTGGCCAACGTGCCCGTGTTGATGCCGCTTGAGATGGTCTGCGGAATCTTTGTTTGGCTGTGACGGTGCGCATTCAATAAGTCAAAGAATCATGCGTGAGGTAATACTCGAGGAACTTACATTTGACGCGGGGACAGAAGAATGAGAGGCAGAAACAATTCCACGAGAGGCCGACGGCCCAGGTACCAGCCTGGACGAAGGCGAAATAGTTGGCGTATTAACATGCTCCTCGCCACACAGTCCCAAGATGAAGCCCGCATTCTCCGCCTGCGCGACCGGGTCCGAGCCGTACAATTGGCATTCCTTGCCGTTGACAGTGAAGAGCCATGCCTGGCAAGTGCTCAGGCTCTCGCACTCGATGGCACATTCCGAGGGTGACGGATGGGTGTATCCGAAGGCCAGGGGGGCTTTGCTAAAGAAGCCAATCTTTCCATGCTGGGCACTATTGAGACAGGACGCGGATACCGCGAGCGAGAAGATAGTCCATGCGAGGACAAAAGAGAGAAGGGATGGCATGGTCCAGGAAGGTGTGAGAAGACTTGCGGTCAAACTTGCAAGAGGGGATGAAAAGGGAATCCCCAACGGCCTTTGCTGGTGATCAAGCTGTTAAAATTCAGGGGTCCGAAAATTCGTATGCCTAGGCGAGTGTGGGGTGTGGTGGCACGATCTTTTCGCGGTAATCTCCGAATCCTTTTCGCTTACAGACTCGCAAAATCTTGTGAAATTAGTTCATATTATCTCCTACGGACTTCCGGGAGGCAAAAAGGGATCCACTTGTCGCTTGAGGGACTATTGATATCGGGGTCCGAGCCTAGTGATGCAGGCAACAAGCTATAGCTAAGCTACGGCCAAGCTAAAGGCCCGCTAAATCGACGCTAAAGGATGGCAGCTGCGCCAGCCCTGAGACCCTGACTCTAGACCCTGATGACAAATTCACTCCCGTGTATTGACATTACCGCTTGTTTTTTTCTGTCACCTGACACCATGCCTCTTCCCCAACCCGGGCAACAGACACCCGTCGCCGGGCGCCCTTTCGACACATTGCTGGAACCGCAACGCAACTCTCACCATGGCTTCACGTCGCGCTCTGCAGCCACTTTACTCCCGCTCTCGTCCTCAACTCCCCATCCGTATCTTGTACATACGAAATCCATTCTCCTTTACTCGTCCAAACTCGCAGCAATTTCCAAAAATGGACAACAGCGGCGATGGCCCTCTCCAAGTTCCTGGATTCAATGATGTTCCTCTATACTATGAGCTACCCAGAGGCTCTCGCTTCGCGCATGGGATCGCAGACTGGAGACAGAGCCCACAGTTGACCCTGCGGGAAGTTTGTATGCTACAGTTCATGTCCTACGTCACGGAGCAGCCAGACTGGGAAGACAAGTGCGACGACCCCGACACCCTCGAGATCTGGCGTGAAAAGGCCGATAGTGCTTTTGACCTGGATCAGCCATGCTGGGACTGGTGCCGCAAAGAGCTGCGAGACAAAGCAGCTGACTTCAAGCGCAAGGGTCACGTGGCCGTCTTTGATGCGGACTCTCGAGTCATCAAGGCGGAAGTCGACGCTAGTCTTCTCGCCGATCTTCGGACAGCCATGGAACCGCTTTTCTCATCGACAGAAAAGCCCGACTCGGAAGACAAAGAGGCGCTCGTGGAGGCTGGTGTTCAAGGCCCCATCCGGCATGTGGTTGATCCATCCATGTATCCTCTTGTGTATGGACGGACCAAAGTTCTCATCAACGGAGGCAAGGTCGATCTCGACAGCTTTGAGTCATGCGATAACTCTCGATGCCAGACTGCTCCAATTCCCAACAAGTTGACCAAAGGCTTGTATGAGTTACATCCCGAAGAGAGAGATTTCAATGATGGTCGAAGGATGGGTAAGCCTAAATACTGGTCAAACAACTTCCAGTGGCTTCCATGTGAAGTGAAGCTCACGGCTCGAGGGAGGACTGAGATTACATCCTATATCAACGGCGTGAATCCTAAAGAGAAAGGGGCTTACCAAGCACTTGAGAGACTGATTGCGACCACCATACAGCCGTGGAATGAGATGCTTATTGTCGGAAAACAAGGCCGAACACCGATCCGCATTCGAACCTATGACTTCGAGTATGAAGGTACCGAGTTACCACAGGCGTGGAACCTTCTGGAAGCGACAAGGCCATTTGATATGAATTTTGCCGAAGAGACATGGGCTGAAATTCGCTCACAGGCTAGAGAATACCTCAGTCTGCCCGAGCACGAAAAGCGATACCAAATTCGTCCAACAAAATCAAATGTCAAAGATCTTCTTGCCAGTATGGAGCCTTGGCAATGGACCTCGCGGACCGTTCTCCAAGACTTGATGCTTGAGAAGAGTAAAAGATTGTCTATTGTCAAAGGTATTGAACCTGGGATCTCATTCACATATGATGAGTGGAGGACAGGGGAAAATACTGCTCGGCCAATCCGACCCAAAGTGAACAATAGCAAGCGCTGCACAAACCCACCTCTTCCTGACCCCGATCATCAGTATTATTCTGTGTCTCTTCAAGATCAATTCCAGGGGCTTCAGGTAATCATTCGGGTCTCTAGTATTGACCTTACCCCGGAACAGCCCGTGTATGCTGGAGATCCCGCCTTCGGTGTCCCCGGCATCCTCAATGAGCACATTGTTGCCACAACAGTGTGCTATCTTGATCAAGAAAATATCACAGATGCCAAGCTTTCATTTGAACACGAAACAAAACTTGATGCAAGTGACTTCAATGTCGAAAAATGTTTGATTATGAGTCGAGTTTTTGGTATTCCTGAACAACCCGTCCTTGATGAACCCAGCTTCCTTCCACCCGCCCTGCAAGTGTTGGGATCTATTCCCATCTCACGGGCCGGAGCGCTTCTTGCTTGGCCCACCACATTGCGGTCTAAAGCCGAATCTTTTACCCTTCGGGACCCCTCGATACCCGGCCGTCTTAGGTTTGTGACCCTTTGGCTAGTGGATCCTCACTACCGAGTCTGCTCCACTCAAAATGTTCCTCCTCAAAACCCCAGCTGGGTATATGACGGGCTGAACTATTCATTCGAGCAGGCGCGGAGTACTGGGCTCATATCACCGAAAGAGGCGACACAGTATCGGAACCTCATGAAGAAGGAAAGAGACTCTATTGCCAAGGAATTTCAACGTGATGGCCACGGCCGGCATACCTACGAGAATGATTATCTCGATTCTCTTTATTGAGAATCACTAGGCTCGGTGTGCTTTGCTCATTTCCCCCCTCTCATTAAATATCACACGAAGCGTACAATGCTAGATGATATCCGAAGGCCGCACTCCGGTTGAAAAACGTCTTGCTAGTCAAAAATTGAGAATTAATCTCGGCGTTCTGAAGCAAATTTACATGATAGCAGAGTGATAAGGCCAGCCCTTGGAGTAGAGTTGTGAATATGGGCCTTGATTTATCGGTAGTATGGAGGGCGTTGCCATTCTCCGTTGGCTAATCTGCTCGCCGATGATGTTTTGAGTACTTCTGAACTGGATTAGAGTTGGACTCGAGAGGCGGGTGAGAGGATACCTTGTAAGCGTTCTTCTCACAAAGGTGCGACAATACCATTCCTAAAATGCTTCTCAATCCACTTTCTTTTACCTGATCGCCATCGGTTACTGACAGAGATGGCTTCTGACTAGAGAAGAATGAAAAAAATGTAACTTGAGTCAACCTCGATTGACAAGATAGAATGTGTGGGGTCTTGCTTATTTGAGAATTCGCCGTGAATATGAAACTCGTGTGTGTTATTGAAGTGTTCACTTGGTTAAATTCGTATAGTAACTATATATACGGCGATCACATGGCTTTTATACATGCAGCAAGAGAATTCTAGCAGCACGACTACTTTGCCTTGCAGCTGTCTACACTGTCCAGCGCGCTCAAAGTTCTCGCTATAGTCTCGGCCCACCCGTAATGGTCTTGGTAAAAATGAAGAGCATTCTTCGTTGTGTCGGCCATGCCGGAGGTATCTTTGAGATTTGGAAGGCCAAGGGACCAGGTCTTGTAGGTTTTGAGCGTCCCGATGTTGTCTCCGTTGGCCCTGGCGGTTAGGCCCCAGTTCTGCCGGCTAAACGCGACATCGGTGTCGAGGACGAAAAACTTCGAGCCGACCAGGGTCTTGCCCGGGAACTTTGCTCGGAAAAGATCGGTGAGACTCGTCCGGAACATGTCCTGTTGCCGCGCTGCCAGCGTCCCCGCCAATGCCCGCTTGAACTCGGGGAACTGACTGTTCCAGGTATCGGAGAAGCCTGGAGCGGTGCTGCCGCGCGTGGACATGACCACTTTGCCGACCTGTTCAAGCAAGGAGGAATGGTCCGGCGGTGCCTCCCGTATGATCTCGCTACGCAGGTACTTGTCACTTTTGAGGTCGCGCAGGATCGCGTCCAGCGTGGCCTGGTTGTATTGCAGGCTTGTGCTGGCCCAGATCGGATCTCGGAGGACCAGGTGTGGGTACATTCGTGAGGCGAAGGTTCCAAAGTCGGATAACACGTCGTTCGGCAGATTCGGTCCGATCGTGCGCGACGCCCCGTTCACGATGAAGTCAAAACGGAAGCCGAGGTACGTATAAAACAGTTCGCTTGGGGCGGCTCTCATGCTCGCCTGGCCAAAATTGACCAGGAATAGCAACGCCACCAGAACAATCTTGAAGGCCTTCATTACGACGACAAGAGAGGAAAGGAGCGACTGGTGGTGGGATCTTGGGGACCAAAGAAAACTCCCAACTTGGTTTGTGCTGTGAAAGAGATCAAGTCCAGAAATGTGAGGGCGAAAATAAAAACCGCGCGAAAGAAATGCGAGTTGCCTGGATTAGGGAATGACTGGCTGCGCAAAACTTGTTGTTGAGGGAGTGCATATACTGGCAGCGGGGAGGAAAGGAAAGCGAGTCAACGAGAGGCAGTGACCCCTCATGTTGGAACAAAGCTCAAGAGGGCTTGCAAGGTGATGGGCAGATAAAATAGTGTCACTGCCATGTTCAGCCCCTTCTCGCTCAGGTTGTCCCGGAGAGAATTGCCGAGGTGAAATGGGAAGGTATTGGTATTTTATGGTATTTTAACCTAGAAGATGCACTAAGCCCTAGCTTCAGTCCACCACATCGACGGGCTGAGACATCACGGAGATTGGGCCTACATTCAGCTGATGCACCATATACCCTAGTACATTGCCAAGCAAGCTAATGATCTGCCAGTTGAGTTAGGTCCGATAGCTCTTGGGTTCGGGTCGGGTGCGAAAAATTTAGGTAGCTCCGAGGCAGCCTGCCGTCGAGCCCTTAAGCACGCCATGTTTCGAGGGAAGATAAACGCCTCTTCTGCTTTTTGCTACAAGAAACAGTTTCTCTCTCTCTCTATCGATGCTTTTGTCTGGCGGGTAGACTATTGACACTCCTTAAGTCAGCTCGTTGCCTAATTCCCGCTTGTTCTTTCCCTTGCCGCTCTTCTTTCTTGGCTTCTCTTACTGCGAACGCCGCCTTCTTTCCCTGTCCTTTGCTTTCCTTCTCTCTCGACCTAGTAATCTTTCCCGTCACTCTTTCTTCGGCACTATCCCTGAAATTATGAAGTCTTGGATCCAAGCATGGCTCTGGCTACTTGTCGGAGCGTGTTTATTCTGGAATCAGGTTCAGGCTCGCGCTGTCTTCGCTCATTTCATGGTCTCGAATACGGCAGGATACACCTCAGAAGACTGGGAGAATGAGATTCAGCTCGCTGTGGATGCTCACATCGATGCGTTTGCCCTAAATATGGCCGCGGGAGAGAGTACCACGGCCAGCTCTCTCCCAAACGCTTTTGCAGCTGCTCAGAAGCTGAAATTCCACCTCTTCTTTTCGTTTGATTACGCTGGAAATGGGCCCTGGGATAAGGAGGATGTCTTGAGTCTGCTAGGTCAGTATGTGAGCAATGATGCTTACTACTTTCACGGATCGAATCCTCTTGTGTCGACGTTCGAAGGGCCCGAAAATGCAGAAGACTGGGTGGACATCAAGTCCCAGCAATTCTGCTTCTTCGTACCCGACTGGTCGTCGGTTGGGGCCAAAGCCGCCATGGCGCTAGCAGGCGGGGTCGCTGATGGTCTTTTCAGCTGGGCTGCCTGGCCTAATGGACCCAACGACATGGACACCTATGTGGACGCGTCGTATATCCAATACTTGGACAAGAAGCCATACATGATGCCAATCTCCCCTTGGTTCTTCACCAACATGCCCGGGTACGATAAAAACTGGCTGTGGCGTGGTGACGATCTCTGGTACACCCGGTGGGAACAGGCACTCTACCTTGCTCCGGAATTCATTGAGATTATCTCCTGGAACGACTTCGGCGAGTCCCATTACATTGGTCCTATTGTTGACAGCCACAATCCGCTAGCGGACTCCATGTATACTGCGTTTGGGACAGGCGATGCCCCTTACAACTATGTTGAGGGCTTCGACCACAGCGGCTGGAGGCAGTTCCTGCCCTATGTCATTGATCTCTATAAGTACAACGAGACAAACATTGACAACGAAGGCTTGGTTACGTGGTATCGGCTGAATGCAGCGGGTGCGTGCCCTGATGGTGGCACGACAGGCAATACGGTATCTCAATTGCAGTTGGAATACTGGCCAAAGGATATCGTACAGGATAAGATCTTCTTTTCCGCTCTGTTAGGGCAAGCTGGCGACGTCTCGGTGACTATTGGTGGGGTCAATGTTGGTGCAACGTGGACCAATACCCCCAGTGGCGGAGGGGGCATCTATCACGGCAGTGTCTCCTTTGCCGGTCATTCTGGTTCAGTTGCCGTATCTGTTACTAGCGCTACCGGCACCATCACAGTTGAAGGGCATGATATTAGCAGCGGATGCTGGGAAGGGAATCAAGTCGAGAACTGGAATGCTTGGGTGGGCTACAGTATGGGCGGCGCGGTCGATGTGGACTCCCCGAAACTTAACAAGGAGGTGTGTATTGAAGGATGGGGAATGGGTGATTTCAATGGGCTCTGTAGCTACTCCTGCAGCTTGGGCTATTGTCCCGTTGGGGCGTGCGTTTGCACAAAGTTGGGGCCTCAGCCAGATTTCCCTGCGCCCACCGGAATTCAGGGCTATCCCGCTGCTGGCAAGGATGCCAATTATGCAGGTCTGTGTTCGTTCACCTGCAATTACGGCTACTGCCCTTCCACTGCCTGTGGGACTGTCTCAGTTCCACTAACCATCCCTACTGTCTCCCCTTTTACCCCGGACACTTGTGTTGCCGGAACCGGAAAGGACGAGCTCGCCGGTTTATGCAGCTTTGGTTGTAATTATGGCTTTTGTCCCATTTACAATTGCACCTGCACTGCCACAGGCCCACTGAATCAGCCTCCAGCCCAGAATACCAGCATTATCGGGTGGGCTCCAGACGAGGCTGATAACGGACTTTGCGAGTTTGCCTGTACTCGCAATTACTGCCCACAGCCTGTCTGTCTTGACATGGCGTCCGATGATGAGTCTTGTGACAGTAACGACGACTACTGCGACGTCACTTCTCCTTGCGACTTCAGCCTTAGCTATAACTCCTTGAGTGCCTTACAGTCGGCCATGGATAGCTTGGATCCCTACTGTGTTGACTTCTATGTCTTGGGCGCACTGTATGGGGAGTTGGAAGCCACGGTTGCCAACTTCACCAGCATTGCCAACACGAGCAACTATGACGAGTATTTCAAGGACTACGAGTCCTACATGAAAAGCCAGGTGGGGACCCAGCTTACCTATTCTATGAATATGAGCGACACTGGTGCGCAGGGTGAGGGCAACCGATTCTTCACGTGCACACTCAGTTTTGGAGGGGTGAACCGGACGGCGGGACCATGTCCTGACGATCTCGGGTACGAAAATCGCGCGCATACCGTCTATTATAACTTGATCGATGCGGACGGCTTCTATGGCAACCTCAGCGCGGAATTTGGGATAGAACGTGACTGGGTTGTGCTAGGGGGCTGGTCGAGCACGGAGGGGCCCTACTACGACGACAAAGGCAACACCGCGTGCAACGTCTACGACAATCCTGAGGCTGCCTGCTGGTGGCATCGTGGCTTCCCAATTCCAGCCCAGAAGATCACCATCAGCGACCCGCGGGAGCTGATGAGACAGGCCCTGCCCAACATCCCGAACCTCCAGCTCTCCCTCCTCATCACCGAGCTTCAGATCCTGTCGGGCTCCTTTGACGGCGTGATCGACGATGTCGTCCAGACGTACTCCACCGCCGTGTTCACCCTGGCCGAGCTGGTCGACCGCATCTACTCAGTGGTCGCCATCGGGGAGAAGATCGAGGCCGAGAAGAAGAAGGAGCTGATCTTGCAGATCCTCGGCGGCGTGTTCCTGATCGTGCCCTTCCTCGGCCCGCTCTCCGGCCTCGGCGATGTCATCGAGGGTCTGGATGCGGCGCTCGCGCTCGTGGGCACCGTCGCGAACGAGGCAACCGATATCTACACCATGGTGCAGGACCCCGAAAGCGCTCCGGTCGCAATCCTGAGCATGCTGCTTGACTTCAACGTGGGTGCCGCCGCCGGCGCGGCCACCAAAGATGGCGTCAGCGCGATCGAGTTCGACTCCATGGCCTTGACGCGACGCGGCATGAAGGGGTCGGATATCAAGTCGGTCGGGGTGTTGTTCGAGCAAAAGATGGATCAGCTGGAATCTATTGTCAGCAAGTGCGCTAGGCTTTGAGTCAGTTATAGCCTCATTAGTATAGACCCTTGAAAGAATATTTCCCGACTTGCCTGTATAATAAAGTCGTACGATCTTAACGTGTTGTAGGATCACGAACTCCTCCGACTAATATTTATGTCCACTCCTCATGTACCAAAAACATCGCGCAAGATGAGAGTATCGATGTCAAGTGCACGTACAACACATCAGCACCGACTCATGTATAACCATTCGCGCAGTTTTTGACCACTGTCGCCACCACGGAAACCTATTGCTACCGTCCTGCTCGGCGAACCTCTCGCAGAATGTTCAAATAAACTCGGCAGGGTGGGTCGCACGGATCCGCGTCGCACGCGGCAGATCTACGGAAGACCATTCTGATCAGCACATGATCCGCACCCCGCATCTAAGTCTATGTGGCTGACTTCGCATGGCACCGAGCGTATTGGTATGGTATGTTATGACTTACCCAAGCCACAAACGATTTGGTTTCTGATCTTCTCGCCGATAAACCGTAGCTTCCGTAGAGCTTTCCTTATGACATAATCAAGGGTTCACTTCCGCTCGTTTCAAGCAGTTCTGCCCACGGAATTAACTTTCGATGGGACTAGCATCTCATATGGACGTGGGGAATCGTGGTCGGTATTTCGAGGATAAATTATTAAGCCATCCGTAGCTGTATTTCAAGAACGGCGTTAATTCCACCCTGGATAATTCCTAATGTATCTTTTAAGGTTCAAATGTTTTAGTCGACCTTAGCAGTATCGACGTACTACATCTTTAATTCCGCGTTTTCTAGATATATTAGGGCCTCGGGGTCTTGCAGTCGCATTCGTAGGATTTATTTAGGGCTGAAAATCTCCTCTTAGGGTCTTCTATTGCGGTGTTTTTTCTACTATCCTTGTATTAGGGCTTTTGAGAGTCTGTTTGTCGGCGTACGTGGCCCGGGAACGCTGGGTCACGTGACCGGAAACATTTTAATACCACGTTGCATGTAGCTACCAAGTTCCTCACACCACCAATCAATGAAAATTTTCATGACCTCGGTTACTTGAGCCTCTGAGGCCTGACCGCCCACATTTCTCAAGAAGACTAGCTGAGTGAGATACTATTGATAAATCGTATTGTCAATTTTAGACTGCTGCCGCTTGTTTTCACAGCGCATAACTTTACCTCTCACTATCAGAGCGGCGTGCTGGGGCGATATACACGGTGCCGTTTATCATGGTTGCTGCTTATGCTTAAGACACTACTCCGTACGCGATGCAGCTATCCTTTTCCTGGCCCGAAGTACGGTCCACTAACGGCCCACCAACGGCCAAGACATGCCGCTAGCCAAGACTGGCAGTGGCCCGGCGTCGGCGTCCTGTTCAGGTTGATGCGACCAGCAACCGCAACAAGCTCTCCTTTTAACACGAGGATCATCAAATCAGGAATACATGTCCAAACTACCTCGACATGCAATAGATACGCTGTGAATGCTCAAAACATGAGACTTGAGCGGGCAAGAAATTCAGGTGTAGGTATAGCTGCAGGCTTCCTTTTCCGGCCACCAAAATCTCACCGGGTTCATGGAACATCATGGATACCATGACTCTCGAATTCAAGGACTAGTCTCTGCTGCCTAGAGCTGAATACGAGCCGGTTGCCTAGATGACTCATTCTCTTGCGTTTGATTTATTGGCTATCATGTTCATGCTGAAGCGAAGGCTCCTTGAATTGGATATATAAAAGGTGAATCAAAATCCACTGCTACAAAGATTATCCCGAGACTGGACACAACAACTGCTGCAGTGCCATCACTCCCCCATCCAAGATAATCTCCCCTTCCAGCACCGAACCCCCTTTCTCTCAATTCAAATCACCAACCAAAAGGCAAACAACAATGTCCACCCCACGAAACACGCTCGCCCAACACTTCAAATCCCTCCACCGCCCGCGCCACCCGTTAATCCTCGCCAACGTCTACGACGCCGCCACCGCGCAAACCGTCGCCTCCCTCCCCTCCGCCCGGGCCATCGCAACCGCCAGCTACGCCGTCGCCGCCGCCGCCGGCACGTCGGACGAGGAACTCCCGTGCGACGAGCTCCTCGGCTCGGCGACCGCCATCGCCTCCGCCGTCCGCCCCACCGGCAAGCCGCTCAGCATCGACATCCGCGACGGCTACAACACGCGGCTCCCCATGATCATCCAGAGGCTACTGGATGCAGGGGTCGTCGGCGTCAACCTGGAGGACTTCTACAACGCCGCCAAGACGATGTACAGTCCCGCGGAGGCAGTCCAGCGCGTCCGGACGGTGTTGGGCGAGGCGCGCGCGGCGGGCGTGCCGGACTTTGTGGTCAATGCGCGGTGCGACGCGCTTCTGCATGGCGGCACACTGGAGGAGGTGATTGCGCGCGGGCGGGAGTATTTGGCGGCCGGGGCGGCGACGGTGTTTGTGTGGGGTGGGGCGAAGCGGGGTGGGATTACGCGGGAAGAGGTGGGGCGGTTGGTCGAGGCGTTTGAGGGGAGGTTGAATGTTAAGGCTGTTCCCGGGGGTTTGACGACAAAGGAGTTGGCGGCGATGGGGGTGGCTAGGGTGAGTGTGGGGCCGGCGTTGTTGGTCGCGGCGTTGGAGAGGGTTAGGGAGGTTGCTGAGGGGTTGCTGACGGAGTAAGGTAGGGGGTGGGGTCGGAGGTAGTGGATTCTGTGGACGAGGAATGGTCTACATGTTGGCAGTGGAAATTATTGGGTTCGATGCTTGTGCGTGTGGCACTGTGTTGAAACACTTGCGAAGGATTCGTGTATATAGTTCCATATCAAATATTTGGAGCCGGTCAACGATCGTCGTTTCGGCTATGCGATTACGACCCCTCCCCACCCAACATGGTCAAGTGCAAGCGCTCCATAAATTGCTAGGATAGGTAGTATGTCAGGATAGGTAGTACGGTACACCCGGTAGTGGTTCAAGGATGAACATAAGGGAGGCCATCGACTTGAAGACAGAGAGGACATGGCGCCTGAATACGGAGCAGAAGACGATGTCTGGAATAGAATGTATGAAACCCGGTCGGCACAGACTTACGGTGCGCCGCGAAGACGCCCAGCGGGCTGCGAGGTTGAGGTGGGCGCGAGGGGGGGTTTATACTCGCCGGGGGTCAGGCACCCAGGCACACCCTCCTCTCCAACATGGCAAGCGCCATCATCGAAGGTGCCCGTCTAGTGCCACCATACCCCGCACGGAAGGTCTAAGAACAGGCTCTACCAATTTCTCATCACTACCGCTGGGACTACTACCATCTGCCGCCCGGGGGATGCGGTGCTTGAAGACAGAAGAGAAGCTGCATGGGGCTCTCATGCGATACATGTGAAGAGAAGTGACGTCTCCTTGCTTTGGGACTCATGACCAATTGATAAAGATAACAGAGACCTGGGCATGTCGATCTTACGTTCGTTATGGGTATTGCATGTTCGCGATCTGTGCCCGCATCCGAGAGGACTCCAGGGTCGTAGACACGGAGAGAGCCAAGCCGAGCGATGACAATACGTACTGCGGACTGCACCTACGGGCTCCACCGAGCCGTTGCAGGGGATGTGGCACCCACATGGGCGGAACAAGCCTTCCGACCGAAGAGACCCGCCGGTCACGTCAGTCATTGCACAGTTCATTCACTTCTGTCTGTGTCTGCGTCCCAGATACGGACATGGGAGACTGATTATCACTCGGCCTACGAACCGGCTAAAACTCCGTCGCAGACTGATGCGCACCTCCACATACCACTACATTCAACTAATAGAGAAGGAACTTCTGAGTCTAGCCGACGAGCCTGTTCCTCTAGCCCTGCTGCTGAAACGCAGGGCCTTTAGGCAGTGAGCGTGGACTCGAGCGAAATGCACGAAGAACGGCAAAGGCTTGGCGCAAGCGAGCCGAAGCGTTACCCATTGAAGGCCTCAATAGCCCGAGATTAAGCTTCGAGGTTGGTACCCGCCCACAAGATTTCATTGTTTGACACCGCGGTACCCCTCCTTACACGGCTCGTATTGAGAGCATGAATTTCGAATGGTGCTAGGTAAATAGTAAAGCTACCTGAGAAGTGGGAATGATGCTGGAGGCGATAAATCAGAGGAGATGTAGACTTTTCATTCAAACTGTAGCCAAGACGTATATATTGAGGCAGCCCCATCGCGTCTGTTGTTGTCCCGTGTCACGTTCAGTCCCTGCGATTCTATCTTCTCGATTGTGAAACATGTCGGCCAAACCAGAATATGAACACCGAGAGTCCGATGAGCTTTTGCTCAAGCGGGATCATTACATCGACCAGATGAATCGATCCCGGCGCTGGGCTTGTCTGCGACCGCTCATCTACATTGGGGTGGTGGTGGTTGGGTTCGTCGAGATCATCGTGCTTTTGGTATACTTGGTCGAGACGAGTAGGCAGCCGCCCCTGCGCGATCTGAATGGGTTGGTTCCGGATTGTAAGAGTCCCCCCGCTCCTTCCTCGGTTGGCGAAGAAGTTCCCGCAACAAAAGCTGACAGACGATTCCTTGCCCGAATCTAGTCCCCACACATCAAGTTCTCTTCCGACTCGACCCCATGGCCGTCTCGGATCACCAAACCGAGAGCTCCAAAGCCGCCACGAAGGAGAATTGGCTGTCGTATATGCCGCGTGAGTTGGGTCGGAGCGACACAGCTTTTCTGCCGAGGGCTAATAGGGTAATGATGGATAGGGGGCAATGGGTTCATCGCGGTGAACCACACGGAACAACTGGAATACGTCCTGTCCCCGCCGATCGAGAAGTTCGGCAAGAACCTGTACGCGGTGGCGGTCTTCCACCAGATGCATTGCCTGGTACGTGAGAGCAGTCTGTCACTCTCGATCCCTATCCTTCGTCCCAATATCCTCTTTTATTTTGTGATCGAGCGCCACTGACTAGGTTCGGTATTCGAATTTTAGTACGCAATAATGTCCGCATACGACGATCTCGTCGCTGGCACACCCTCGATGCGCAAGGCCCGCGACGCGCATGACTACGACCATTTTCATCACCACGGGCATAGCGACGACCCCACCGAGGGCCCCCACGGCCATGTGAACCATTGCTTCCAATACCTGCGGGAGTCGCTGCTGTGCTGCGGCGACACCGCCCTGGAGGGCCAGGGCCAGCGGGCGCAGCCCGGCACCGACGGGACCGGGGCGGTGCATGAGTGTAAGGACTTCGACGCGATCATGGCGTGGGCGGATGAGAGACGGATTATGGACGGTAAGCATCCGTGAGGGTACGTTGAGCGCAACCAGGCAAACAGATGTGGAGGGGAGTATACTCTAGCCTTTCATTATACTTCCTGTGATAGTTGAATCTCATGAATTGTTGGATTTAACTTGGTTTCAGCGAGAGGGAATGGGATGGCAAGTGTGTTCGTCCTCAATACCAGTGGACGAGGGGGGATATCTTTGTCTACGTATACTCAGTCTGAAAGACATTTCGAAGATATTATCTATGATTAATATTTATGATGTGTGTAAGCGCAGACAGTCTGTGCCAGCTTTGACCGGGATGGAGTATTCCGGGCTGTTATATAAGGGCTTTGTCTGTTCCTTGTTTTGGGATTAATGCAATCTCAATTGCACATGTGGACGAAATCTGGGAACAAGTGCATTATAAATAGCATTTTGATACAATACAAGGCCATCAAACACAACAAAAAGTCAAGTCTCCGTCCCACAAGCGTATCTGAATAGACAGCAACATGGAGAATCCCGACCCCAACGCTCTCCGCCTCCTCAGCACCACCGGTGACCGCGGGGTGTGGCAAGTCGGAACCGACAAGATCCTCAAAGAATACCCCAGCGACGACGCCCTCTGCACCGAGGGCGCGGTGATGCGAGTCCTGGCGCAGGACCCCGAGATCCCAGCGCCGCGCGTCCTCCACGAGTGGATCGACAGCAACCGGCGCTGTTTCATCCTCCAAGAACGCATGCGCGGCGAGACACTCCAAGACGCATGGCCCCGCCTGTCCCAGACTCAAAAGAAAGCGATCGCCGAGCAGATGGGCCAGGTCCGCCAGCGGCTGCGCCGGCTGACCTCGCCGTGCATCCAATCGGTGGGCGGAGGCGCGTGCTATCCGCCGTACGAATGGGGGTTCCGGACCCGCGCGCAGGGCCCCTTCGTCTCGGACGTGGACCTGCGCGGCGCGATCCGCTCGTACCTGACCGGCATTCTGGACCGGGAGCTTCCAGACCAAATCCTTGACAACCTGATGGCGCGCATGCCCGCGTCCGGACCCTACGTCCTCACCCATGGCGACCTCCACATTAGCAATATCATGGTCGATGAGGCTGGGCGCCTGGTCGGCATTATCGACTGGGAGTATGCGGCGTACTATCCCGTTTGGTTCGAGTATCTCCTGGTCGCGCGGGGCAACGTCGACCCCGATGATGCGGAGTGGAAAGAGCTGCTGCTGCTGCAGTTTGAGGCTCAGGGGGATGGTCATCCGGACGCGGTGCAGTTTCGCGATAGCATCTTCCTCTTGAAAGGGTATCCGTACCTGGATGATGGAGAGCGAGAGATGCTGGCGAAGCTCTGTTCGGGGGATCATGAGATGAAAAGAAGAACGGAGCAGGTCTTGGACAATAGCTAGGATTCAGTGCATCTGCTGTTCCGTTCCAATCCTTTGGCGGGGATGCTATCTCCATGCTATCTCCAATGGAAGATTCTGAATCCTTGGGTTCCGCACATGCGATAAAAACATGATAACATCTATCAAAATGAATCTAGACACATGAATACTCTATGAAACAAAACAAAGTTCTATGATCAGACCCAACACACCAAGAATCAAAGTAAACCAAGATAAAGAACAAGCCCGTCTAAACCTCCGCCAACATCGCCAAGTTGCCAGGCCGGCTGAAAGTGACGTGGGAAAGGTGCAAAACCTTCGTATCGAATGCAGCCGCTGCATACATAAAGTAATACTGTTGTATCAAGTCAGAGCGGACCCCAATGTGGGGACAGAGACGTTTTCGACTCACAAGATATTTCCGGTAAAAGACCTCCACGTCGCTTTCCGACAGGTTGTACTTTTCTCGCACGAGGGGGGCAATGATGCCCCGAAAATTGTGCTGGAACTTGCTACTCCATTCGTTGAGACATCTCACATAGTGGGCGCCGTATTGCTGCACGGATTCCAGATCGAGTCGGGCGTTGGAACTTTGGACTGCTTCCAACAGTCTGGTGATGCTGGGGCAGTGGCCTCCGGGGAAGATCTATTCGGTCATGATAATTAAGTCCATGTTGGTGAAATCCGAACTGTGGCGAAGAATAGACTTACATATCGACGGATGAACCTAAAATGAAATTATATGTCAGACCCAGACCCCAAGAAAAGAAAATTCTCAACGGTGCCAGACACTCACCCCTCTCCTTTGGGAAACATATTCCTATATCTCTGCAGACGAATTAGCTCCGAGTTCCCGAAAACCCGCATCTCCCATGCGACACCACTCACCGACTCGGGCATGATACTCGACTGGATCGAGACAATCCCGCCCTCCGGCTTGAGTAACATATCGACGGTCTCCCAGAACGTCTGCAACTCATGGTCGCCCATCGCCTCCATCATCTCCACGGCGACGATCTTGTCGTAGGGCACCTCCGGCACCGGCAGCAGGCGATAGTCACAAAACAACACCGTGACCTTGTCCTCGAGCCCCAGGGCGCGCACGCGCTTCTGTGCCCGCTGGTACTGCATCTCCGAAAGCGTGCAGGTCGTCACGCGGCAGCCGATCGTTGTCGCCGCGCGAATCGCCATGCTGCCCCACCCCGTCCCGAACTCCAGGATGTGGTCTGTGGGCTGCGCATGCACGTTCGCCAGCAGCTGGTCCAGCTTGCGCATCTGCGCGGCCTCCAGGGTGTCGCTGGCGTACTGCGGATGCGACCGGGCCAGCCAGATCGGACAGGAGTAGCTCATGTCCGGGGAGAGGAACGCCTCGAACATTCCGTTGGAGAGGTCGTACGCGGCGGCCATGTTCAGACTGGCGTTCTTGAGGGTGCCCGTGTCGACAGTGCGGAAGAGCACATCCGAGATGGCAGCCACAAATCGATATGGGGTGGTGCTGAGGTTGGACAGGTGCTGTTCGTTTTCGATGAAGAGCTGGAGCGGGAACGGATCAGCGCTGCAATTCGGGTTTTGGTGAGGTTAGCGCATGTACTGTACCTCCATCAGTGCCATCAGGTCTGGGGTCGCGAACTCTTCCAACATGAAGGAGTCGGCGAAGCCCTGGGGAATCGAGCCGTGAGCAGGGGTTTTTATCAATAGAGGGCCATCAAGCCGGCGCGCGCGGTAGAACGACTCACAAGGTCTGCCGATACAAGGACTCGGAACCAGAACGTATCGCTCTGGACATGTATCACACCTTTGTGTCCTCCCTTGCCTTGACCAAATCTCCATTTCTCCCCGTCGTGAGAGTAGATCTCCAGGGTTCCAGTTCTTATATTAGACAGAATTGATAGGACCAGGGTCCTGACTAGGCCGACAGGAACCGCAGCCGTGCCCAAGGATATGAGGGTAGTTTGTGCCCTATCTAGTAGCTGCTTGCCCGTCGAGCCGAGCACACGTCCCAAATCCATTGTGGTGTCTCGTGGATAATAATGCCGGACCAGTCTGCGTTGACCCGAAAGTCTGGATGATACCAACTTGCCGAAAGGTTAAGAGGCAAAACATGAATCGATCATGTGTGATAATGTGCCCGACTGCGAGGACGAAAGTTAGGATTATATAGGCTCAACACAGGCAGCGCTAGGCTAGGACTGTCAGTTTCACAGGGAAAGGGACAAGCCTTGATGGTAAGACCATGAGGCGTTGACCTGCTCTCGATTGCCTCATGGCGGCACTCCAACAAGCGTCGGGGCGTTTTGCTTGCCACAGAATTACCGCTGGATATAGTAAGCATCCACGCAGAGATTGGTCAGCATCAGCCAGAGGCGTGTAATTTTAAGAATCGGAACCTCGAATGACACCGTGATTACGTCGGGTACTGGTCCTTGTAGCGGTCAGTGACTGACAGATAGGGCAACGGCTCCACCACGCCGAGGTGGTCACGAGCACATTTATGCCTTGTTCCTGAGCGCTACATCCCAGATCCTGCGAACCACTCCGATGAGTATGACTAGTTCATAGGACGTGAGCAGGGATAGAAGCAGCCACTCCTTTCAGCTTCTTACACTGCCAAAGAAGAACGTCGTCGCTCGAGTCGACATTGCGTTGACAAGCAAGGTTTCACCACAAATGGCACGGCGACAAAATACAGGATACAGTGTGCTGTCAAATGCTCATTCGCCAGCGTGAGAATTAAGCGTGATAGTGCCGGCCAATAATATCGACATTCTTGCAGCAATTAGAGTACCAAAGGCTTCGGTGGCCAGAGCCTGTCCCGGTCGCTCGAGGCTATAGATCGGTCTGGTAAGTCAGCAGAGGTAACTAACTTTGAACTAAGTAGATGCGCCACTAGCGTCCCAAAGGAAGGAGAGTTCTTATCATGAAAGAAAGAAAGAAAGAAAGAAAGAAAGTTAACGGTTCACTCTAGGCTCGAACTATAAACGAATATACTATAGCATAAACGCAAACCCCGGAAGACTATTCAGTAGAGCAGTCTTTCAGAGGATCGCCAGCTTATATCTGTCGGGCCGTTGGATGGTTGGAAAGCATCGTCACATCACTCGAATCAGTTTTAGGGAATATGTGAGATTGCTGGAATGTTGAGAACATCTACTACCACACCCCTGAGATACAGTCAGCCGCGTGGCTAAGACCAGGTACTACCCCGCCCGGCTTTCCCAAAAGCGGCTCAGCCCGCAGGATTCGGGCGGGTTACCCCGCTGCGGGCTCGAATCCGGACGGGTCGGGCTGTGCCCAGAAGATCTCGTATACAAGATAACCCTAAGGCATTCGTGCATCAGATCTGTTGACCGAAGTCTCGTGTGAGATTTTAGTATGTAAGCTTCACAACGGACACGAACCGGGCATCCGGTCGCGGTCGAATCGCACTGCCTACAGCCCATGAACTTGAGGTGATACAAGGGAGGATACCCATCCACCGCGCCAACGCTAAGATAAACAAAGAACATAAGCAGGAGTCAGCGACAACACAGCATGACTATTTGCTGGAACATCGGCCCGGTCACGTAGAAGCCTCGGGATATTTCTGCTCCGAGCATCACGGAATCGAGCCCATCTCAGCTCCAAGATGACGAATCTGCATCCGTTCCTGTGTTTTAGATTTCGATGGCAATCGACCCAGTCGCTTGTACTGTACCTGCTCACTCGAGAGCGAGACGAGTGGGTAGAAACCAAGGTTTACAAGGCATTCAATTGCAAGGTCTAGACCAGAGAACGTTGAGACCCGACTCCCAGGGTCAGACAAGCCGCCTGCGTGGTACTGATTCAAGCAATCTGCGAGTGGGGGCAGTTAATCTATACCGAACCAATGAACTCACTTCTGGATTTCCGTAAATGCATAGCCCAAACCCATCTCATGCTAGCTAGCGAGGCCAAGGTATGCACCCATGAATAATGACAAGTAACCAACAACCACGAGACAAAGCAAAGCGCAAACCCCGCTCTCCTTTTCCCTTTCCCCTCCCCACTCCCATCACCAAAAGCCTCACCACCCACGCCCGCCTCCCAGACATCAAAAAAGTGCCTTCTGACAGCAAAACCTACATCCTAACCGGCGGCTTCTCCGGCCTCGGCCTCGCGATCCTCACTCACCTCCTCACCCCGAAACACCCAGACACTTCACCACCCACAATCCACGTCCTCGACCTCGCCTCCACACCCCCAACCCTCCCCGCCACCCTCCCGACCGCAACCATCCACTTCTACCCGAACACCGACGTAACCTCACGCGCAGGGATAACCGCCACCTTCGACCGTATTCTCGCCCAGTCCCCGCAGATCGATGGACTGATCAACAGCGCAGGGATCTGTCTCCCGCCGACGATCGGCGGGATCGAGAGCGATGAGCTCTTCGATCGAGTCCTGGACGTGAATCTGAGGGGCACGTGGATTGTGGGGACGGAGTTTTTGAAGCACGTTCTAAACAAATACGCGGACGCAGCGGCCGGGAATACCGGGGCCGCAGGAGGAGGGGGTGTTCATGCCCGCGCCGCGATTGTGAATATCGCGTCCACGGCGGCGTTCTCGCCCCCGCCGGGGATGGTCGCGTACGCGACGAGTAAGTATGCGGTGCTGGGGTTGCCCAAGGCGTGGGCGAAGGAGTATACGTCGCGCGGGGGTGCGGGTGAATTGCGTGGCGCCGGGGGGCACGCGGACGCCGTTGGTGGACTCGGCGTTGACGGAGGGGATGATCGATGCGTATGCGGAGAGCGCGCCAATGGGGCGGTTGGCGGCGCCGGGGGAGATTGCCAGTGTGGTGGGGTTTTTGTTGGAGGGCGGGGCGGGGTTTGTAAGTGGTTGATGGTGGTGGTTGATGGGGGGTATTATTTGTGAGGATGTTGCTTGACGAGGAAAAGATGTAATAGGTCATTAAAGGAAATTCACCGATGGTTGTTATTGCTCTCTCGATCGTACTAAGTTTTTCGAGAACGAGAAAAAGATATGAGTGAGATAAAAGGTACAAAGGAAATGTCTCACGGCACCGGTCCCTGGCGAACACGTACTCATACAAGAATTTGACAATTAAACGGATCGGACAATCAACAGCAAAGATGTACCAGGTCAGTGACTGCAGACTGGAGGCATGTTGTGGTGGTCGAAAAGCCATCCTTGGTCCTTGGACACGGCCGATTGCTCCTCCATTAGTTCCACTCGAAGATCCTCAGCCTCCTTTTTACCGATCAAATTATCACCGCCCAGATGTTCCTGGATCATATCCTGCAGCTCTGTAGGCAGCCATCTGGCAAGAACTTCATGACGCGCACGGGCAGTCTCCTCGAACCAGTCCGCTTGCTGCGGAGGCACGTTGGCGGTCGAAATGATCTGAAGGTTGGGATCCACCAGAAATAAGGTTAGAATCTTGCGATGGCCCGATCTTGTCGGATCGGCTAGTGCGAAAGGCAATACTCGATGCTGGACAATATTTGGGAATGTGAGAAGACGACCCTGTCGGCACTCCACGCTACCGAGGACTTGAGTGAGAGGTCCACCCAAATTTCCGGTACCGAAAGCGCCTGGAACCCATTCGCAGGGGCAACCTTCGTATTCTGAAAACTCCACAACATCGTCCAAGTTAAGCCGCTGGCGGAAGCAGATTCTGCCAGGAGTGATATTATGGTTCGAGTAGTAATAAACCGCGGTTGCACAGATATGTTCGTTCTACCAAATCGGAGTGACAAATGATGTCGAATTAGTTTCATTTAATAAATCCGGGTGACGAGAGATATAACGTGGTGAAAAAAAGGTCACATACCATTCTCCCTGCAATATGCCAGGACCCACCCGCGTATGATGGCTTCTCCGGGGTTAACTCAATATTGGTCAACTTGACGATAACCTGCAACCCATGTTGCTGAAACATAGTTTTCATGTCCACCTCAATCTCAACCGGGGGAAATGGTTCAAACTCTCCGATCTTGGGAGGAGGGAGTCGGTGCGAAACTCTCCACTGGCGCAAACGATTAGACCAGTCGTCGGGCATGGGCTCCTCATGTTCAAGGTCAACTTCGGACTCTGTATGTTCCTCTGGCTCAGGCGGAGACATATCAGGCCCGCTATAATCGATCCGGTTGAAGTTTCGGTACGCGTCATCGATCAAGAGTGTCAGAGTCTCATTCCACAAAGGTACTGCACAGGTAATGATTTTTTCAATGACATCGTAAAGCGTGCAATGGATGTCGAGGCGGAGATTGTTGATGTAGGATGCAATGCGGCAGTGGCCGTCAGGGTAGATCTTAACATTGCAGGGAAGCCATTGAAAACGACGGCTGTAATCCTCGGTTCGGTAAGGAGAGTGATCTGGCCGGCGCGCATGGGCTCCGCTCTCATTCGGAACAGGTAGAATCTCACCTCTTCCAGTATGTTCCAGGAAGTTGGCGAGGTTGGTTACACTATTCCTCAAAATCCGCGTGCGGCCATAAACCAGCGGACACAGGAACGGATGTACTAAATTAACGATTTTGCGGTCCGACGAGGGGTGGTAATCTTTCTTGTTAGCTGGAACGTCTTCAAGTGGACGCACGGCCGCGAGAAGGGCAAGGCGAAGATCTTCGGGAACGATAGAGTCGGATTTCATGATACCCTCATCGAAGACCTTGACCATGCCTTGGCACAAAAAGAACTCAGCCTTGTAATGAAGCTCTTCAATGATCCAGTCAATCATCTCGGTAGTAAGGGCAATCATTGCGGGGATGTCTTGCTCCGTGATCTCACGTCGCCACCTTGCAGCGATGTGCTTGTTGAAGATCTGAAATCAATCAGTACTCCCCTGCTGGCGATGCAGATAGTCACCGGCCTTTTTGAACCATCTGGGCTTGTTCGTGATTCTTTCCATTATCTGCAGCATGGCTAACTCCCATGATGTTCTCTGGCCCCTTCACCTTGTATCAGAACTTTGCTTCGTGGCTTTATATGCCTCTCCGACACATAGGCTCACCCGATCATAATCAGTGGAATAGGTTCTACAGCATTCGGGAAAGGATTTCCAGCCTGAGACACAGGTTAGCAAAGCCTGTTCAAATTAGAGAGAATTGAACACCGACCAGATAAGCAAGAGGGCGATTGAAACCCGGCAAAGCGACTTGAAACACTTGAGGTCTTGTCGATGCCATAGCGACGGTGAAATGATGAGAGAGTAGCAGAAGAGCGGTAGCAAACGTGAAAAGCAAATATGAATCAATGGAAAGGAGGAAAGGGGAAATAAGAGGAAGGCAAGCGAGACGCAGCCAAGAAAAAGTGACGACCGTTCAGGAAAGGGCTGTGTTGAGCTGGTCGTTGAGAGAAGTGAGGTGAGGTTGAAGGTGACAAGATGAGAGAAGTTCCGACCCGCAGGAAGATAACTAGTGGGCATGACAAGCCTGAGGCCAGTAAGCTTTCGGCGGGCTATAGAGGCCCCGGTGCCTGCACCCTTCTGGCCACCCGCAACGTCCAATCTACCTGGCAATCACGATATGTTTGCTTTTTACCCTGTTGCATCCTACCTCAGTCACATTTTGATCGGCAGACTAAAGCTCATCTCATGCGTACATTGGCTGCCTTGTTGTATAGTGCTCTTGAGTTTTGTTGACCTTTAAGAACAGGGTCTCATCCAGAGGTAAGATTCGCTTTCAATCAACATGGAGACGTCTCGGCCACTTTTCTTCACTCCTCCTAACTTCACCGCCATGTCTAACTACAACACTGACTCGACCGAAGAGCTTAGGAATGCCATCTTCGAGTTCATCATCGTCGGTGGAGGCACTGCCGGCCTGGTCGTTGCCAACCGACTGACCGAGCGATCCGACGTTCGCGTCCTGGTGCTCGAAGCTGGCACCAACCGACTCGACGATCCTCGCACCCAGATCCCAGCCCTGGGACCGACAACATATGCAGACCAAGACTTCGACTGGGATCTACCAACCCTACCCCAGGAACAACTACATGACCGCTGCCTCTTTGGCACCAAGGGCCGCACACTCGGAGGGTCCTCTGTCATCGACCAGGGATTAGTAGTCTACCCGTCGCAGGCTGGGATAAACACCTGGGAGCAGCTGGGCAATCCCGGTTGGGGTTGGGATGATTTCGCACCATACCTGCGCAGATTTGAAACTGCTTGCGGGCCCTCGGATTCCGTGCGTGACTATTTCCCGGGCATGCAATATGATCCCGAAGCGCACGGCCAAGACGGGCCCCTGCAAGTCTCTTTCGCAAACCAGTACATGCCCGTCCATGCTGCCTGCTGGCAGGGCTTCCGCGAGCTGGGATATCCTGCCAGGGCAGATCCCATTCAGGGCAAAGGGATCGGGCCATTTTTGGCAGCTGGTGCCGTGGATCCAGCTACACACACCCGCAGCCATGCTGGCGCAGCTTACCTACCGGGACCTGTGCAGCGAAGACCGAATCTGAGGGTCGTGACAGGGGTCCATGTGGATCGGCTAGTCCTTGAGCAAGACCGGTCCACCAGGACCGTCCAGGCTATGGCCGTCGAAGTATCTCACGGCAACCAGACGTACCACATCCGGGTCAACAACGAGGTGATTCTGGCTGCAGGCGCTGTCCAGACACCGCAACTCCTCGAACTCTCCGGCATCGGAAACGGTTCCTTGCTCCGCGCCCACGGCATCAATCCGACCATCGAAAATTCCGGAGTGGGTGAGAACCTGCAAGACCACGGGATTGTCAGCTTCGGGTACGAGGTAGCGGACGGAGTATCCTCCTTCGACGAGATGGCGCATAACCCAAATGCCGCTACCGCTGCCATGGCCGCGTATCAGCAGGACGGCTTCGGTCCACTAGCCATGGTGCCATACATCTGTGCTAACATGCCGTGCGTTGACCTGCCACGTGCGGAGCGAGCCAGTCTTCTGCCCACGATTGGCGAATCTTCTGGACTGGGCCCGAAACAGGCGCAGGTCCTACAACAACTCCTCGAAGACCCGGATGAGCCCACCTCGCAGTACACGCTCTTGCCCTTCCAGCTCGACCCACGTCAAGGATCCAAGGGCATCAAGGCCCTCATGTCGCCCGCCCACCTGGGGAACTTCATCACGCTCGTCTCGACGCTATGCTATCCGCTGTCGCGGGGGTCGGTGCATATCCGCTCCGCTAACCCCAGGGATCATCCGGCTCTTGACTATGGGATCCTCCGCCACCCCGTTGATCTTGAGCTACATGCCCGCCACGCGATGTGGATGGAGAAGTTGGCCGCGACGCCGTCGATGACTGCGGTGCTCAAGGAGAACGGCGTCCGGCTGCATAGCCCCGAGCCACTCACCGATCTGGAGCAGGCCAAAACAGTGACGAAAGAGCTGCTGCTCTCTACATTCCATCTGGCAGGGACGTGCGCCATGATGCCGCCTGAGGACGGGGGCGTGGTCGATCCCCGCCTGCGCGTGTACGGTACCACGAACATTCGTGTCGTCGATGCCAGTATCTTCCCGTTGGTGCCGCGCGGGAATATCCAGGCGACTGTGTTTGCCGTCGCGGAGAAGGCTGCGGATCTGATCAAGGAGGATTTTGAGGGTAAGCCGGTTGGGATCTAAGCATGCTGTTCACTACGTTCGCATTATGTTCTTTGGATTAGGACACTCTGCTCAAGACGCGGCAAGCACAGGACTTCCGGAGTGCTTAAGATATATATCGGTCGGACTTTCATTAGACCCACTGGTTTGAGTTTTTTGTAACCGTGTCATTGCAAGGAGACTTCCATGCCATCTTTGCAAACGTTCCCGCGAAGAGCGTTCAGGATATGAACAATCACATTGCATGAGTACTGAGGACAATTGTGCATCCGTCCGGAATCGATAAGTTGGGCTGGGCATATGGCAAGCCCGCCGCGGGCGATCCGTCCGTGGTCGGAACAAGCGTAGACTAAATAGAGTTAGAGCCTTTTCTGCCGTGCGACACCTGCTCCACTTTGACCACGCTATTCAGTTGGCACCACTCACTCTTGATAGGTTAAATTGATGGACATTGCAAAGGCATGCTTAAGCCCGCGGCCATAGTTACACCTACTTACCTAGTACTTGAGTACTACATACACACACGTTGGTCCTGTCATTTTGATGTGATGAAACTCAGACGCCAGTCCGCTGGCTCTATCCAAGGCTATCCTTGGCCACGCTCAACAGCTTGTACACCTCCCCGGAAAAAAGATATCAAAAACTTCCAGAGTCATTTGTCATGAAAAGTGGTCTATCGCTAAAGTTCTAGATGAACTGTACGTGCTTTTTGTATATCGTACGCTAAAGCTCCCTCTTCGAAATCTCCTACTCCGTGGCCGGCTTCTCCGGCTCAGCGGCAGCACCGGGGTGGCGAGTGCCCTTGTTCTTGACCTTCTTCTGCTTCTTCTCGACGACAGGAGGCGGGTAGGCCTTGGCGGTGATCTCCTGCCACTCGGTAGAGGCTTGGTAGGCCGCCTGGATGGGGGCCATGAGGCTGATGAGACCGTCCGCGACGGCGGGCTTGAGCATCTGTGGCGTCAACTGCAGAGGGTTAGGGTTAGTAATGAAGGTGCAAACAGAAGGCTAAAAAGGGGCGAGGTGAGCAAAGAAAAACATACAACATCGTTCTTGTAATCCTCCTCGAGCTGCTTGATGTCGGTGTAGATCAGGGGCTCCTGGTCCTTGCGCTCAACGCGGAACTCCTTCTTGCCCTTGAGATCGGCAGCGGGCAGGAGGACGTACTCCACAAGGGCGATGACACCGTTGCCTTCGACGACCTTGGGCGCGGATTCGGCCTTCTTGATCTTCTTGGTGATGCTGTCGGCCGAGTCGAGGAGATCGATCTTGCTGTCTGTTTAAGCGGCGTAGGTGTCAGTCTGGGGCTTCCGCGTGGTCGTGTGAGAATGGATATTACCTTCGATACTGGAACTCATCTTGGCACCCTTTAATCCGCTGATCATGGGGTTGATGAGATGTGCGCGCTAGGTAAAAGCGATTAGCCTTCTACCAATCCCTGGACAGACGATTGGAGGCGGACATACCTTGCGGTAACCAAGCTTGGGCAGCCACTCCACGGCAGCGGCAAAGAGTTTGCGCTGGTCCATGCCACCCAGCTGGCAGTCCACCTTCAGGTGCTCCTCATCCAGAACCTGGAGCACGGGGTAGAGCAGACCACTCAGGGGGGCATTGTCGGTCTGCTTGACGACCTCCGCACCGGCCTTCTTGGCATCCGACTCTGAGATCAAACTCGACAGGCGGTAGACATCCATGACATATTCGGGGGACTTCTGGTAGGAGCTGCCGAGCACGAACTCGAGCTTCTCGGTCGACACGCCGACGGACTCAAGGATGGCGGTGATAACCTTGCGGTAGTACTGGGCGCGGTTGTCCACCAGCTCCAGCGGCGCCTTCAGGTTGTCGAGGAAACCGTGGATGTCGGCGAGCAGGACGACGACGTCGCATTGAGCACGAAGCAATTGGGCGATCTTGAGGGCAGCGAGGAAGTAGCCGACGTGGGGTCTGCCAGTGGTGGCAGTTCCTGATTTCAGGGAAACATTAGTTGGTGCAGGTAATACAGCGCGGTGTTTAGACTGACTCACCCCAGTAGATGCGGGGATGGCGGCCCTCGGCCAGGATACCCTCGAGAATCTCGGGGTTCAGAACCTCAGCGAGGTTCTCGCGGATAAGATCATAACGTGCCTGAGCTGCGGAGTCCATCGTGACGAGCCAGAGCCGGAGCCGGGGAATGGGGGTTTGTGAGAGGGGAAAGGCAAACGATGTGCAAGTGGGCTGATAAGATGGTGGGATGGTTTTCTTGAGGCGGGCGCGAAACGGAACAATACCTTTTCCGCCTGCAATTTGAGTCAAGGTGGCGCGGCAGATGCAAGCGGTCAACGTCGGCAGATACTTCTTCCATGTTCCGGAAAGTTTCCCATTCCAAGTTCCGAGGTTCTTTCCGCACTGATCGGCAGCCTTCCGCTGACTAGTTACTACCTAGTTAACTTATCGTTTATTCAATCATCCATCGATATGTCGCTCTGTCGCTCTCTATTTACTGCTGTACTATATCTGAACCAGAAAATTCCTTCCTGCTTCACAAACCGACTGTCAACTGTCACAGAGTAATCTGTCACGCATCCCGACAGAAACACAATGATATCTACCATGCGACAGAGGTGCCATCTCCACACATGCCATGCTCATCAAAGAACTGTTCAGGCAATATTGCGCAGGCAATGCTAAAAGCACTAGTCAAACACAATTCAGCAGCTGTCTCCTTTCACTCATTCTATACAAATACCACCTCATACTTGAACGTATTTACAACAAGCTCCCACCCACTTTTGACCCCACATACTCCCAAACAAACTTGACACTATCCGGATCCCGCATCTGAATCACCAGCAGCTGATGCGTATCCAAAGTCTTGGCCACAAGCCGCTTCTGCGCCGCCGTAAAGTCCCCTCCCTCTTGCAGCACGACCCGGAGCCGATGTCCGCGGAAGAGGGAAGCCAAGACCGCCACAGTCTCGACCTGCGCAAACTTGCACGCCGGCGGACAAGGGGATGGAAGTTCCCGCCCGCGGCTCGATGGTCTTTTCGCGCGCGAGCTGCTCTTTGTCCAAAGTCTGGATCCATCGTGGGGGATGCCAGGCTTGCGGCTCATCCGGCCAGTAGCGGGGGTGGGTTTGTACTGCGAGGAGACTGGGTAAGATGACGGCTCCATGTGGGAGCACGAGGGTGCGGTTACTCTCGGGGAGGTGCAGGGTGGTTTCGGCAGGGGCGACGCATTTGGGAAGGTCCTGAATGGCTGGGTATAGGCGGACGGTCTCAAGCTGTTACTCCGCAAAAAAAAAAAAAAAAGAAAAAAAAAAGAAAAAATTAACGTGTTAGTGACAAAAGTATCCGGCAACACAGGAGCATGACCGTGATCATACCAGCACAGCAAGGCAGCGCTTAAGCCTGGGACACGCCTCCTTGTAACCCGCATTCCCCTGATCGGTTTTGGGAATGACCGTCTGGATTTCCTCTGCGATCCAGTCCTGGATGTCCAAATAGGCAGCCAGGAGAAACATCAGGTACGTCATTGTGTTGGCGGCGGTGTCGTGGCCAGCGAATTTGATTACATACATGTTCTCGGCGAGTATTTCGTGGATCGTGAGGGGCTTGCGGTTGCTGTGGCGGGTGACCTCGGACTCGCGGATTAGGGAGGACATGAGCGTTCCGGTGCCTGCCTGACCCTTTTCAAATCGTGATATATCTACATGAACCTAATAAGCTGAATGATTTGACCTAGTGTTGAGGTGCAAATTCATTGGCTGACGGCTTCCGCATTGTGATATAGATTTCGTTATAAGAATAGAAAAGGGAAAAAAAAGCATCACCGAACCGTGTTACATCGAACCTTGTTATCTTGCAAGAACCCTTTGATCTCAAAACTAGCCGCCTTGTCCTTGCTAACCACGCCCCACGTCTTCGGGAAGCCCCGACAAATGATTCTAATCTAGCATCATGCCAATTTCATTTCCGAACCATGTTAATCACATCCAAACAGTGTCCCCCATAGACGCGATATATCTCCATCTTCGCATTACAACTTCTGGACGTGGGGATGGTCCTTTTTGAAACCATAACTCCCCGTCGTTTCCTCCTTCCCTAGGCTTAACCCATTGACAATCGGAAAATGTTCTCCAAAGGCTTCGAAGGAACGAGGAAGACTTATCCGCTTTGTATCGAGATTTTAAGATTGGAATCATAGCGTATGTGGCCTCTTCCGCATGATAAAAGGGTATCTGACTAAATGCAGCGAGCGGTTAGCCTGAGGATCGTGTAAAGCTCGCAATAGGCGGTTGACTTGCGGAAACAGATGGTGAACCACATGAAAATCAACAACATTGTGGAAAAAAAACCTTCCCACCCAGCCAAAATCGCGGTCAATTGTGGCAAGAGCTCCTTTCATGAAAGTCCATGAGCTTTGCTCATATCTCGGCACCAACGGATGATTATGCTGTAGGTAGGTCACAGCGACTAAGGATTTGTCAAAATGTGTATGCAGAGTGGCTCAATGGGCAAGTTTTGACCAACCTATCCAATGATTCACACAGAGCCACGGAAAGAGATAAAGCAAGGCAATGGTTTTGAATCCGAATAATTTGCACAGTAACCATAGTCCTGTCGCAGTTATACCTATACCAATGTCTGAAATCACGCAAGATGAGAATTCCTCAGGGCTAAACAATGGGCTCGTGGGGTTGAAATGATTATTCTGCCACCATTTCCCAGGCTTTCTGGGATGCATACTCTCTGGCCCTGAAGTCACATAGAACAGAAGATAGCACGGCCATCCGAATAGTTGCTGCACGAATAAGCGAGCCATAGCGATTCCCGGAGCGTCGGATGAAAGATGGTCTAATTGATCTCGGTCAATGCGCAGCTTGGCAGCATATACCTCGCGGCGGTATGGGACATAGTGGTTATCTTTCTCCATATGATTTGCGTAGGAATGGTGACGGCGATGTGTTAATTTCCAAGCGAAGTATGGTGTAAAAAGTATTGAGTGGAGGCACCATCCAACAATATCGTTGATCCGCTGGCTTGGAAACAGGGCACCATGGCCGCATTCGTGACCTAGTATCCACAATCCGGTTGCGAACAGGCCTTGCAAGAGTTCATATAGACACCATAATATAGCACAGAGGTAAATATTTGAAATTCGGGAAGACATAAGTACTGCCAAGGTTGCCAGCATCACAATACCACTGATATCTCTCAGCAGATAGCTAAGTGCAACAAGATAGAACGGAGAAAAACAATGATCTGGAATCGCCTTCCGCAAATCATTGATAGTCAAATCGTTCTCGGAAATCTGTCCCTACTATGAGTAACCTTTTTTCAATGCTAAAGCATCTCACTTACACCATCGTCCATGGGTTCAGTCGCACGTATAGAGCTCATGATGTCTGTCGGCTTAGGAAATGATCTTTGAAACCGGAGCTCTGGGGTGAACGCATTTAATATTGACATCAAGGAGTTGTGCAGAATTAAAAGCCACAGGCTTTATATGCAGCACGCCAAGCCCTTGATGCTCCAACTTGCCTGCCCTCCTTGCTCAATTAGAGTGGGAGGTTATGATTCACGGCCAAGAATTCCCCGAAGTTACTCTCTATTCAATTCCATTCTCTTGTTTCAATAGCTAACTAGTTGGTTTATGTTTTCCCCTATGATACTTTGTCATATGTTGCACCCTACATACTTCTTGAGCGTTATACCTTGATATAGTAAACCACACGACCCTCGAACCACCAGTGCGAATCCATTAGCATGTCACGAAGTTAAATATTCGATGTCCTAGGGTTGATTCACATTACACTAATCATCAAGTCCATTTTCTGAACTATCACCAAAGCTTTGCTCAAGTCGTTGCCTCTCAAGATGGACTCATTCACTGGAATCATGTCACAACTCAAATACATCAATCAAGATGAAGTTTCAATCAGAAATGCCAAAATTGAAAATTGTGTTGGCTCCGTCAAAGTTCCTGTTGGCATTGCCGGGCCTCTAAACATCAAAGGTGCCGATGGAACGGAGGGTCTTTTCCACGCTCCACTAGCAACCTGTGAGGCTACATTGGTGGCGAGCTGCTCACGTGGATGCAGACTCTTCAACTCCAGTGGTGGTATTCAATTCAAGCTCCTCCGGGACACCATGACAAGGTGCCCTGTCTTCTGGTTTTCCTGCGCCGTGGATGCGGCGTCGTTCTACGACTTGCTGCCTGACCTGTGCTCTGAATTTCGAGATGCGGCAGAATCTACCAGTAGATACATCCGGCTTATGAGTATCGAGCCTCGACTTGTTGGCAGCACTGTTCATGTCATTTTTGAGTACGAATGTGGAAACGCCGCAGGCCAGAATATGGTTACATTTGCGACGCAGGAGGCGTGTGATCGTTTTTCAGCATCAAACACGGCTCTGGTCATGAAACTTGAAAAAATCACTATTGAGGGTCAACTATCCTCGGAAAAATGTCTTTCTTGGGGAAATATCTTACGCTCGCGCGGCGTGGCTGTCATGGCCTGGGGAACTATCACCAAAACAGCCTGTGAAAGCGTTCTAGGCGTGTCTACTTGGGATCTTTATCAGCTCATACACAATAGCAAGGAGGCTGCTACACGGAATGGGCAGCTAGGCTATAGTGCCAACCAAGCAAATGTGGTTGCGGCAATGTTCATCGCATGTGGTCAAGACGCTGCCAGCGTGGCAGAATCAGTCTATAGCCACCTGACTGTTGAGTTCAATCGAGAGACCGAAGAATTGGAAGCATCGACCTATTTTCCCAGCCTTCCCGTCGGAACCGTTGGGGGTGGCACTACTCTAGATACGCAGAGAGAAGCGCTGGAGATTCTTGGGTGTACTGGCCCAGGATCCAAAGGTCGCTTGGCGGGTGTCATCGCATCCTTTGCCCTTGCCCTGGATATCAGCACGCTTGCTGCGATCACCAATGGCACTTTTACAGCAAGTCATTACAAGCTTGCAAGATGTACTGGTCACTACCGATCAAAGCTTTGACACGTCTGATGCCTTCATTAGACACAGGATGTGTCGGCGGTCTTCCGGTCTCAGTCGCAAAGCTGCTCGCTCATCGCCCACGTAGGCGTTTCTTAGCTAGTTCCTCTTAGGGAGCCTCAGGTAGCTGAGTTAATTCCATCATTCACGTGTTATCAGAATATTCTTCCAGCCTCCGCGGCTCTGTCCTGAAGTATCGTGTGGTATGCTCTTTCTGTAGAGCAGTCAACGCTAGAAGACTAGTCAAAATCCTCGCCATACGAAGCTTTTACAGATATAGTAACATACATCTTTGTAGACACTTTTTTAAAACCGCAGAAAACCTCCAAGATTGTGTTTGATTCCCTCGAGACCATTGCGTCTGAGTACCAGCATTCTACAGAATTATGGAAGGAGCCTGGAATTCGCACATCGCTGTTTCGCCAACATACCATCCCAGCAAGCCTCAAGAAATCCGATTTATCATGTTCCGAAAGTACACCGCACTCTGATGTGGTACCTTGGACACGAAAGGATTCCAGCGACTTTGCATCTTTCAAACGTTGTGTTTCCCGTGAGCCTTCTACGGATCCAGACCTAACCCGCAAATCAAAAAGTTCTAATACCAACACTACATTTTCCGGTGTCTCGGGTAGCTGAAGAGGTGGGTCAAACGACGTGTAATCCAGTATCAAGCATAGTATTGTCAAGTGGTAACTGCGCGTAATGGTGTCTCAGTTGCCAATCCATGACCGGCTGGATGCGATGCAGTGTACATCCCATGCAGCTATTATTTTAAATATGTGGAGCATGTGCTTGATCTGGACGCTGATTCTTAGAGATCGCGGACACCGTCAGAGAATGTATTGTGTGTTTTTTGTTGGTTGTATTGCTATAATGTACTATGATGCCGAGTAGCCAATCATGCACAGAAAAGCCCAGCAATGATGAAGTACATTCCAGACAAACCTAAAGAAATCCGATGAAGATCCTCAGTTGCCAGCATTTCAGAAAAACAGCTCTTACCAAGGTGAAAGCTTCTGAGTGCCGTATCCTATGTTTATTTGGTGATACAACATGCTGGAATGCAGCACACTCATGCTTAAGTCTTGAACACGCACCAGAGAGAAAAGGTGATGTTTACAGAAGTACTAATAAGTAATCTGACAAGTTCTTTGATTGAGTAACAATTCCTGATTCTTCATCATAAGGTTTGAATGCTCGGGCCTCTGTAAATGCGCAAAGTAGGAAATTTAAAAGGTGTAGCCCTCTAATAACACATTAGCTGGATTCGCTCCGATGTATGAACATGATGATTTTACCAATCGGGTAGTAAAATTTTCTCTATTCACATCTTCTGACTTGATTCCCTGAGGGATATATGCAATGAACATGACTGGGGCCAAGACATTCCCAATCCAAGTATTGGTGAGGCATGTGATGAGAAAGGATTTATCAAATAGAAGGGCTTAAATATTGTAGTAAGACCTACAATTTACTAGTAGTACCAGCCATAAGGAGGATTTAAGTTTTGATACAATGCGAACCACCTATGCAACTTGACCCGGACTAGGCTAATTCTCCAAGTTTTCCTCCGCAGGGAGCCAATGGCCTCTGCTGTACTAGTGACCTCATACATTTATGTGACATTTTTCCCATGATCAGCCAGCCCGCTAGATTCAAGTATGAGTGTCATTCTTCAGATTGCCGGGATATCAAACTATGCCTCGGTGCAGAGAGACCGCAAGAACGAATGCATTCATATGTATCCCTTGCTGGTGCTGCAAAATCGCCGGGTATGATTTGCCTGACCAGTGCTTGTCGATTAGTTTGAGCTCGAATGAGCACTGTAGAGGCACTCCAATGATCTGTCATCATGTAAGATGAGGGCCCTGAATGGGCCATGGCAAGACAAGTAAAGGTCAAATCTCTCGAACCTTTCTACCTCGCTTCATACCCTCTTGTTGGATCTTGCTGACTGGATGTGTCTCAGGATGCAAGTGTGCCTACCCACATGTTACTGATTATCTTGGCCAAATTGCGCTTTCTGCATGACTTTTTCAGTGCCAGAACAGGTGCTGAATTGTCGTAAAGTGTTCTTACGTCGAGGAATGTAAGCTAAGAACATCACGGAAGATGGTTACATACGCTACACTACAACATAGTAAACCTTTACCTGACTTTGCCACCTATCAACCCGCAATCAGTGCCAGGCGACATCACTTCTAAATCTCTGCAACCTGCACATGACTCCAAATGAGATTATTTGAAGTGTAAACTATGCAGCCTTGCGCAGTCAACTTGGCCCTTACTGACAAGAAAGGAGGCACTGCATCCCAATGTAATAGATTCCTGGGCTTAGTCTTTTTTTCTCTTCCTTTTCTTTGCTTTTGATTGATTTTACGCTTCCCTATTGCCATACAACCAAGGCGAGTATGCATGCATAAGCGTATTGTGGGTTTTGTTCCTCGTCTTGTTTTTACAGCATGTTTGTGATAATTTGAAACTCCGTATAAAGCTAACCTATATATCTCGACTTGTACTAATTAGGTAGCAACTCATATATCCCCTGTTCTATCTCCATTCCTTTCCTCACTGCTGAGCCAATCTGATCTATTCATAATCCCACAACAGCTCAGTTACTATCCTATCTAGGACAGAGAATCAAAGATGAGAACGTGATTTGGGAGACGCTTTCAAAACGCCGGGAAGATGAGAGACTATTGGCGATTGATTCATGAAATCGATTATTGGGCCCTCATCTTGACGGGTGGCATGCCAGTCGCGGCGTTTGTGGTAGGGATCGTGTGGGTCCCTTTGAAAATACAGACTGCTGTTTTCAGTATCGTTTTCGCTGGGTTTTCGAGTATCAGCATCACTGCAGGCAAGAACCAACGCATTATTAAGGTGTCATTGACTGACAAAGCCTAGGATATCATCGCCTGTGGTCACATCGTGCCTATTCTGCACATCCCGGACTACAGGTATTCTTCGCAACCTTTGGAGCAAGTGCAGGTCTATACAGTATTATAAGATGGTGCAGTGACCACCGAGCCCATCATCAATACCTCGATAGTGACCGAGATCCGTATTCCGCACGCCGGGGCCTTTTCCATGCACATTATGGTTGGCTTCTTGTGAAACCAAAGCCCGGAACGATAGGCTATGTCAACATTCAAGATCTTCTCAGAGACAACCTCGTCATGTGGCAATACGAGAACTATCCAATGTTATTTTTTCTAATGGCATTTGTTCTGCCCACCGCAGTGTCCACTCTCCTGTTCAACGACCTTTACGGGGGCATTGTTTATGCTAGTTGTCTAAGATTATTCTTCATTCAACAATCCATGTTCTGCATCAACTCTCTGGCTCACTGGGTTGGAGAAAAGCCATTTTCAGGCAATACACCGTGTGACAATTTTCTAGTCGCTCTGATAACTTACGGAGAGGGCTACCACAACTTCCATCATGAATTTCCAATGGACTATCGGAACGGGATTCGATGGATGGATTACGACCCAACAAAGTGGTTCATATGGCTTTGTGCATACGCAAACCTCGCATCTGGTCTCAAGACTTTCCCCGAAAATGAGATCGAGAAGAGTCGCTTCCAGCGACTGGAACATCAATTGGAAATCAGACGACAAAAGATTTCCTGGGGAACTAAGCCTGAAGAGCTTCCGGCAATAAGCATTGCACAATTCACTGATCGCGTGAGGGCGGGTTCCTCATTGATTATTATCAACGATGTTGCACACGATGTATCGGAATTCATGCATGATCATCCCGGTGGGATCGTCCAGATGGAAGCGAATATTGGCAGAGATTGTACTAAACTTTTCTATGGTGGTATCTACATGCATTCAAATGCTGCCGTCAACTTACTGTCTACCATGCGAGTTGCACGAATTGTGAACACTGCTTGCCAGGTCAAGTCACTCAATTCATACCCAGGGAGTTCTGGCTCCGATGGGCTCGGGGGACCGTTGGTCGAACTGTCATGAAACACGACTATGCCGGCAAATACGCCGATAAGCAGACATTTGGGAATATGTTGGACATTTGCAACGCTCATTCAGAGATTGGGTATGTCGTTTTGTGCAAACTGGGCATGAGCTATCTGCGCTATCGGAGCAGCCACCTTTTCAACTATATTGGGGAACGAATATTCTTGCCCTGGAAACAATTTATTAATTGTTCAGATTCTCCCTATGAGCTAGTCCATCAATACAAATAGCTTTATGAAATCAGGCCTAATCTATCTTGTCTTTTCTCAGCAACCAGGCTGCCTCGCATCGCCCACCTCGGTAGTTCTTAGCCAAGCAGTCCCTCGGAGAGCCTACATAGCCTGAATTCATCTATTATCTCACGTCCTTGACACCTTTATTCATACCTGGTAGGCAATCACACCTGGCCTCTGGTTCTGCTTTTGAATACTTTTTCACTGACTATAGTACCATTACCACAGCTATATCACCGTCGCCGTAGCCTTATACTGTAGGCTGGGGCCGGCAACATAGATTAAACCCAGCACTAAAGACTATATTTGAACACTACTACTGCAGATCACATTCAGAGGAGGGGAGGGGCTAAAGGGTCCTCCATTCATTCTTGTAGGGTAGATATCTCTGTTCGAAGAGCTGTCTTGAGCAGTATATCAACAGTTTTGCGCTGTTAGTGTATATTCTGAAGGCATCGATAGTAGTCTTGATCTTAGGGGCCTGGATATTCCAAAGTCCATGACATGTACATAATTTACTTTTGAAGCGCTTTTACAGCTGAGATGTTTATTTGTTGGATTCGAATAAAGTTGGATCGTGACATAAATCATTCTGTGGTATTTGCTTGTTATTAGGGAGAGAGAGTACAGCTGGTCACAAGATACGGCAGCTCTATGTAGGTTGTTCTTCGCGCCCGGGAGACCACAGTCAAGTTATGAATACCGTGGGTATAAGAATCTTTTACTGTACTAGCTTTTTAATGTAAGACTGGCGTCTAGGCATAAGCTTGCAAGGCACCTATCTCTCTACAACCTCGCCTTTCTTGTCAAGCCGCTCGCGACACCCATCCAGAAGTTTTCAAATGCTGACGACTTTGATCTCCCGCTATCATAGCTCGTCATGCCTAGCCCCTGCAAGGTCCTGCCTCAGAAGTAAATTTTCTCTCCGCTTCCACGCCAACCTCGCAGCACCGTCCGCCGCCATAGTCATTTCCTTCAACGAACCAAGAATAGGAACTCCATCGCCGACAGCCTCCCGAATAGCGCGATGCACAAGCTCGCCATCAAAGTGGTCCGTCAATACAATTGCGTAGTCCACCCTCTTGGTTTTCGTTGCGCCTGTCTTCCTGCGGGATTCTGAGAGTCACATTGTTAGGCCCATCATGATATGGATTTTGGGGTGCGTGATTTGGGGTGCATACCTCTGGTAGCTTGCAAGTATGCATGAATACTGCCTGCCAGAGACTCTACATACTCATCTTGAACTGCCGTGACCTGATTACGTGTGAGGACCAGGTCCGGCAAGTTCCCATGCGCCCACCAGGAGTCCAAATTGAGGGGAAGTTCATCGAGCGTTTTCTCCTCCTCGTCATTTTCTCCGTTACCGCTGGCCTCATTCCGCAGCGGCTCCTCCACACCCAGCAACATCTCGACTGCCGGGTCATACCCCATCAACGTCAACCTCGTCTTTTGTACCGCGTGTGTCAAAAATCCCCGATCGCCTCCCTGTTTAATGAGAGTCCTAAAGTGTGCATCACCGCTAACAAGCTCATCCACAAGCCGGCGTTGAATCCGCTCACTCGCCCACGGAGTCAACGGAAGATACGGATACCCTGACTGGCGGCGGCGGCGGGTTTGCGGCCCATCGTACAACTGGACGCCACAATGGAATTGTCCCTGGTGGATAACCAGCACTCTAGCATCCTCTTCAACCGCCGGATTCAGGTAGTGTGTGCAGAAGGCTCGCGGGGGAACTGCCCCCTCGAGGATTACAATTCCCGCCTGCTGCCCGGCTTGCACAACGGCGTGTTTCAGCGTGTCGTTGAAAAAGTCCGGCACGCCGACCACGGCCCAGGTCACGTTGACGCTATGAGCTTCGAAAGCCGTGGTCTTGAGTTTAGTCAAGACCTCAGTAAATGTTTCGGTGATGTCGGATATAGACAGCTTCTTCTTCAAAAGGCCGCACGAGATGAGGGTGGACTTGATCCATCGCTTGGTAGGGGCGGGGATCGTCCTGGAGACATCATCATAAATTGAACGAATCGAACCTCGTGTCCAGACGACATATGAAGTGCTGCTAACGGCAAATCTCGCATCGATGGCCTCGAACAGTTGCCAGACGGCGCTGCTCATGAGCGCCAACGGCGTCGAACCACGGGAGTTCGGCCCCGGCCCCGCTAGCCCTGATTGCCGAAAGTGATTCATGGATAATTCGAGAATCTGTCTCTGATAATCCTGGTGATCGATTGCGCCTAGCAGCGTGAAATTGTCTGCGGAGTTGGCGTAGGAGGCTATGACAAGATGGTGGCCAAGGTCGATACCGATGGGTTCGTTTGGGGGCGCATTCTCGCACGTTTCCTGCGCTACAGCCTCAAAAGAGACGGGCCACAACAGCAGAGCCAGAAAGGCACTGGAAACGATCATATCGCGGTTGTAGTCAACCTTATTTTTCCTTTTGTCTCATATATTTCTTCTTGTTGATTTTCTTTTTTTTCTTTTTCTTGCTTTACAATTTTGCGGCCTGTGGGTGGTTAGCTTTATTTATTAGGAGGTCGCTAGGCAGAATTGGAGCTAAAGCGCATCGTGCCTGAACCGAGTGGATAAGTGGAGACCAATAGATAAGGGGCTACGATCTCGGGACGTATCCCGAGAGGAGTCTGGTTGGCTTGACCCGCTCACATCGATTCGTTTGTCATTGAACCAGATGGTCCTTCCTATATCGAAACCAGAACCATGTATATATGTATGAGAACGTTCCTCACCGAATGGCCTAAGCGGAAGGGCAGCTTCGACAAGATAAGCCCTTCAAAGAGGTGATGTAGGCGTACTGCCGGCAGAATAGTAGTAAATGCAACTTGACTCAGGAAGTCTGTCACCGGGCCGTGACCGCCCGGCGAGGTCGCAGCAAAATTCCTTCCTACTGTAGTGAGACTACACTACAACACACCCAGTTGAAAAGATTCACCACCCAGCTCTGACCATTTCTGTTTTACCATACTAGCCTTCTAAGCTCTTGCGATTTCGCGCTCTCAGCCTCAGAAGCATGTTAGTAACCAAACTTGTCGGCGCCCCGCTGCTTTCCCCACCCCTCGCTCGCTTACCATCTCGCCGGACTTCAACATTCCTGGCCGCATGCTGCGATGCTCTCGTGTACAATCATTTTCAATTGCTATTGCCACTTGACGATGTTTAGAATGGATGTCAGGACGGCAGTATTGTTCCCGAGTGAGCAGTAAGCGTAGATTATGTGTGAGTTAGATGCCAGTCCAGTCTCTTTGTTCTAAAAAGGGCAGGCGGACCCATGCTTTTCTCCCCATGATCTCTTTGTTTTGGATATCATATAAGAGAACTTTCAGAAACACTTGTTCCGCTTTTTAGTTCCTACATCACCTCGTCACCTCCTTATATTTCTTCTTCCATGAATATCCACTATATGGCATCTCCTTCGCGCCAGCATCCCAGACGGAAGCGCCGTGTTTATCACCCCCCTCCACAGTTCTGGGATAAACTCACTAAGCTGTGGTTGACCAAGAGCGCTTTGAGAGAAAACAACCGACGAATTCTATCTCTATCCTCAAGCCGGACTTTCTTTGCCAAATTCTACATCTTTGCCCCTGACTTTTTGCGTAGTTGCCCCGCTACTTGTTTACAAGAGATCAGAAGACTTTCCCGCTGCGGAGGTCCGGATCTATCGGATCTTAGGCATGTAAGTTGCTCATCTTCTCGGTATACCTTCATATCTATACCTAAAGTAGGTATATACTAAATCATATTGCGCTCAGCATCCCCTACCTCCCGACTTTCATCAAGACTCTGTAGTTCCTACCAGCTCAGACTCAAGACGCCCCAACACAATATCCACTCAGACTTTGATTGGAAACACCACAGTCTATGACCCGCACTTCGAGGATCATCTACTCCAAAATGGTATCTTTATGCCATTATCCAGATATCCAGATGGTAGCAGACCATCAAAACCGAAGAACCTTGCGCACATTAGAAGAAGAATACAGGCCCCTCGCCCCTCGTCAGCACTCCCCGAAAGCACGACTCTCGATCAGGAGTACGAGGATTTCCTCGAACTCAATCACGATGCTGCTGACGAGCAGGCTGTCATTACAGAGGTCTTGCCGGTTCTCGAGGGCAAGCACCGGGCTCGTTCCCAGGTTGCGGGCGGGCACCCATTCAAGAACCTGGCCCCCTTGACCGACGGCACGCTCGCCAGTGCGAAGCCTGATCTATACCACGGCGCACGACCCAATCGGCTCGCGCCCGCCATCCGGAAGCAGCTGCACAAACAGATTCGCCCGTCAAGTCAGACGGATCGTCCAGTGGCCCCGAACTTCTTCATCGAGGCCAAGGGCCGTCATGGAACGGCCCGGGCAGCCACGCGCCAGGCGTGCTATGATGGTGCGCTGGGAGCGCGCGCCATGCATTCCCTCCGGCTATTCGGGGGTGTGGGCGACAGCGGATATGACGACAAGGCCTACACTATCATGTCGACATATCGTGCTGGAACCCTGAGGATCTACGCGACTCACCCGACCAGGTCTAGCAGCCCCGACCGTCTCACTGACTATGTGATGACACAGATCGGACGTTACTCGCTGATCGGCAGTCCCGAATCCTATCGGCAAGGGCGGGACGCCTGCCGAAATAGTAGAGACCTGGCTAAAGATTACAGGAACGAGATCATCCGGCAAGCAAACGAACAATATGCGAGGTTCTGTGCTCAGACCGCCCCGCCGCCGTAGATGAGATCTCGGTTCACTTTGCAAGAGTGGGGGCCCAGCGGGATTCAGGGGTCGGTGGGGGTTCGTTCCTCAGCTCTGTGGCAGGCCTGGGTGAGACAAGGCTAGATCGCTCGGATCAGCAGCGCTGGGGTGATTTTGGCCGTATTGCGTATTCGTGAGCAGCCAGCTACAGGGCTGCAATAGCTGGTCATATAGATTGTGAAACTATTGTATTTCGTTCGTGCCACTAATAGAATCAGGCATATCATTAGAAATGTCTTCTTGTTGAAGAAACTCGATTGAAAATGAGGGTTGAGTCCTAATTACACTTGCTGTTTAGGGGAAGTGGCACAAGGTGGAAAGAATTGGTTGCGGTGTGGTATTGGATGAGGTTTTGCAGCTGTTCTGAAGAGCAGTTTACCATTGGGCATCGGAAGAGTCGATCGAGGACGAGCAATGGCCTTTTCTTAGGGCACCGATTGCGGCAAGAGGACGTGCACATGTGGGGCAAAAAAGGATGCGACGGGAAAACAATATGCTCAACCTCGGGATCGAACCGAGGACCTTCTGTGTTTTTATTGCAGGGCAATGTAAGACAGACGCCTTAACCACTGGGCCAGTCGAGCTGATGTTACAGGTATTCTCGCCGTGTTAAATGTATGACCAGCGCAAGCTTTAACTTGCGGTTGCAGCCCCTCCGCACCTAGCTTAGCCCCTATATTCATCCACTGTTGAAGGTGAACTACTCATCTATGGTTTCTATCCTCTCTGCTCGTCTTCTGGTGCACGTTATGGCGATCAATAATCAAGTCCTTTTTAGACTGTGTCGGTGCTGCTTCTGCTTTTCATCGCTCTCGAGTCCATAAAGTCGACCACCGCACGGCGATTTAAATGTATTCTTATTACACCCTAATTGCCGTCGGCTTTTTGTACCAAGCAACCCAATTTCAGTGGCAGTGCCAAGTCAAAAAAAGACAGCAGAGAATTCTTTTTCTTTTTTCATTCTCTTAAAAGAAGCACTCGCATCTACTTATGTTTAGACTCGATTTGAAGTCCCTCCCCGTCCAATCTTCTAAATCTGAACAATCTTGTAAACTTACACTTTGTCCATGGAAACCTCGTGTTCGCACATGATACTAGCTAGCTTGAGCTGATAGCATTGTTCATCACATGTATCAATGGAAATCCGGATCTCGCAACTAGGATGGATTGGATGATGTTATTTTACATGGATCAAACGCTCATCTGACGGCCCGGAAACCGGATCGGTGAAAACAATCCCTGTCGACACGAACTCCGTAGAGGAAGTATACTTTCAGACAACCCAGCCGGATATGATGTCTTACAAGCAACGTCAGCTAGTAACCTCAAATCCGAAACAAGGTCCGACGCCATAATTTTGATAGGGTGATTCCAGTAAAATGAATGCGGCTGACAACCCCAAACGTAAGGATGCATCCGTTCTTTCGGACACAGTACGGGCATCTGGCGTTGGTACACTACCACCCCTGTCGATTGTATGTCGTTGGCTTTCCGATCCTGGTACGCTGCTGTAATTGCTAACGCGCTTTACAAAGTTGCAGAGTATGCATGGACATCTTTTTACCAGAATTCCTGCTTCATGACATAAGGTCTCTCTACGTCCGACTCTACGTCTAAAACCACAGTATAAATACTGCTGGCAGAACTACTATTACCATAAGGTAGCCCCGTCACCTTGAGTCATTATTCCCGCAGCGACATCCAGAAACGGCAGTAAACATGCTAATCTTCACAACAGCTGCCCCCGTGGCCGTGATCCTGGTTAGTAAGTCTCCATTTGATACTTTCGAACGGATTCTCTCATTCACATCATCCAACTAGTGGTGTATACGACCGCAAGAATGGCTTACAATGCCATCTGGCATCCACTAAAAAAGATACCGGGTCCCCTCCTCCACCGCATCACCCCAATCCCCTGGCTCATCAGCTGGATCAGTGGAATGAGCCACGTCACCCTACTCCAGCTCCACGAGCAGTACGGCCCTGTGGTCCGAACCGCCCCCAACCAAGTCTCTTTCATCAGCGCCACCGCCCAGCAACAGATCTACAGCACGGAGGCCATCGGGCGGGACCCTCAACGCTTCGCGCGGTTCATCGAAGGCGAACAAGACATCGCCAACTATGAGCATGAGTCCGATCACCGACGGTTCCGCAAAGCGATATACCAAGCAGTCACTGGCCCGGCATTGTCGACGCATGAAGGGGTCATTCGCCGCAACGCGTCGGTCTTTCGGGAACGACTCGATGCCGCCGTGGTGGGAGGCGGTGGTGAGGGTCGAGTGGATATGACCAAGCTATACAGCTGGCTAACGTTCGACCTGGCCGGCGATTTCATCTGGAGGGAGCCCTTTGGCTGCTTGCAGAACATGAGAACGCATCCATGGCTCGCGGTGATGGATTTCATGAGCCTCGGGACCTACTTTCGCCTGGTCGGCGTTTCTCCTCTGCTGCAGAAGCTGATCTGGGCGGTAATTCCCAAGCGCATCCGCGACTATCCCCGCCAGGTCATACAGGCGAAGTGTGAGAGCAGTAGCCGCAATAGCAAAGATGCAGGGGAGAGCGTGCTCTGCCTCATGCGCCAGCGCAAGATCCTTTCCCCGACGGAGATGGACGCCAATCTGATGGTGCTGGCTGTCGCCGGTAGTGTGACTGTTCATTCTACTGTCTTGGCCGCCACAGCCTTCCTGGCGGCGCAGAGACAGTGCGCGGGTCGCGCGGGGGAGGAGGTGCGGGCGGCGTTTGCGCGGGAGGAGGACATCGCCCACCCTGCAGTCACGAACCTGCCGTATCTAAACGCGGTCATCATGGAGGCCTTTCGGCTGTGCCCTGCCCAGCCCACTTCAGGGCCGAGAAAGGTGCTTGATGACTTTGTCACCATCGACGGTTATTGTCTTCCCAAAGGTGTCAGTGAGCCCCCCCCTCCCTCCTTAAGGTGAAATATGTAGCAGTGTGCCTATTGAACCTGACTTACTACAAGGTTAGACAATCATTCGAGCCCCCCAATACTGCAGCGGAAGATACTCTCGGTTCTTCCGGGACCCACACGAGTTCCATCCTGAACGGTGGCTCGATAGTCCGGAATACAGCTCAGATGATAAAAGTGTAGTGCATCCGTTCCTGCTGGGTCGACAGAGCTGCCCGGGCCGGCAGCTGGCCGAGATGGAGATGACCCATGTTCTGGCCAGGATGCTGTGGGCGTTTGACTGGCAACTGGAAGAACCGGACTTTAACATCTGTTCGTGGCGAAGCAGCATGGTCTGGGAAGTTCCACCTCTGCCCTTACGACTGACTCGATTAGAAGCAGCCAGTGAGTGAGCGACGTGTTCTGGCCGAGGTTGATTCCTCATCATCTTGCGGGGCGTCGCGGCGAGAGGTGAGATCACGCTCGGCTGTTTGAATAGTACACGATTGGGATCATTTGGGGAAGGGGTATCCCACGTTGGCAGTTCGTGCTGACTATTATGGTTGAGAGAGCGGGAAAGGGGGCTTTATTTTTTAATATAGAGAATACCGGCTACTTACGGGCTTGGCATGAATCAAATAAGCACGGAGTTCTATCGATCTCCTCGCCGATACGGCTGCAATTGCGATACTAGAGATCCATCGAAAGACAAATTTAGAGGCACCCCGCTTCGAAAACTATCTCAGACGACGAAGAAAGACACATTGCCCCTCAAATCCGTCGAGCTGCGACCCACATGTGCAATAAATTCACCGGGCTCGACCACGTATCGCATCCCCGCGTCCCACAGTCCAAGACTGCTAACACGAACCTCCAAACTGACTGTAGCTGTTTCACCAGCCCGGATAAAGACCTTCTGAAACCCCTTGAGCTGCTTATTTGGCGTGACAACCGAAGAAACCGGATCCACCACATAGAGCTGCACGACCTCTTTCCCGTCCCGATCGCTGGTATTCTTTACATTCACCGTAACAGTAACATTATCCGACGCCCGAAGAATCTTTGGGACTACTTGAACATCACTATACTCGAACGTCGAGTAACTCTCCCCGTGCCCGAACCCGAACCACACATCCGGCGTATCGAGCACATACTCGCGGCCGAAGTCCAGAGTTCCATTGGCATACCGCGCACCGGGCTTTCGAACCTGGCGTCCGGAGTTCAGGTAGTCGTAGTACACGGGCAGGCTGCCCACGTCGCGCGGAAAGCTGATGGGCAGGCGTCCGCTGGGGTTGTGGTGGCCGAATAGCACATCGGCCAGCGCGAGGCCGCCGTTCTGGGAGGAGTAGAATTGCTGAATTAGGGCTGCCGCCGTTCCGTTGGCGGAAAGCCAGGGCTCGGTGATGGGTTTCCCAGAAGAGAAAACCACGACGGTCGGCTTTCCGGTGGCTATGACTTGTTGTATGAGAGCGCATTGGGCGCCTACAAGCCGCAGGTCACTTGTGTCGTAGCCTTCTCCGGTCGTCGCGTTGAGGCCTTCGTCTGAGCCCTGGAGGTCTCGCGCCCATGTGCCTACGATCACGATGGCCACGTCGGCGGCCTGTGCCTGGCTCACTGCTTCGGCGATGTGCGACTCGTAGTTGCTCCAGGCTTCGCATCCCAGAGCGTACAGAGCCTCGCCGCCGTATTTGGTGGCTAAGGATTGGATTCCTTGCTTGGGGGTCATGCCGTCTGGTCGGTACGCGGTGTAGTCCCCATACTAGAAATATGCCACGCTGTGAGATGTGGGGCCGCGATCGGGAAGGAACGACTTACGTTCATCATGTCGGCGAAAGGCCCGAGGACTGCTACTCTCTGAGGCTTCTGAGGCAAAGGCAGGATACTCTCCCGGTTATGGAGAAGAACAATCGACTCCCGATCCATCTCCGTGGCAAGATCCAGCGCCTCGGGCGTGTGAATGAGTGACGGCCAATCCGTCGGCGGTGCGGCGGGGAATGAATCTTCAAACAAGCCCATATCGAATTTAGCTCGAAGCACTCGTCGGACTGCCTCGTCGACGATTGGTACGGACAAGGTCCCTTGAGAAACGAGGTTAGGAATTGTATCGAAGCTGCTGTCCATGGTTATTAGGAATGTGTTCCAAGCAACACGGGCACGAAGGGCGGGCTATCCACAATGTTCCGCTGTATTCCGTATCCCCGCCAGCTGGCAGGACCATCATGGTCACTGCTTCCTTGTCTATTGGGTCGCTCCTGCACATCTTAAAAGTATGACAGAGTCGGTCCGGACCCCCGTCATCAGAAGTGGTAAAGTATTGGAAGCCCCACTACTAGCGCAGCACCTCACTGAGCAGGTAATTGTTGCTCACGGACGGAATGCCATCGTACCTGGAGGGAGGCTTTAGAATCATGTCACCTGCAGTGAAAGCAAGGGAGCTGGACGAGATACGAGTTATATGCGCTCATCACTGTGAAAGCTCCGGTCTCCTGCAGCGCTCGGCGGAACGGAGGGAGAAACGTGGTTTGAAGCTCTCTCGGCCCGCCATGAATAGGACCATTGTAGATTCCCTGCTCTGAGTTTGTATAGCCCGCGAAGTGCTTGGTAAAGGATGCAACCTTGGACTTCCAGAGACCCCGCACAAATGCTGCTCCAAACTCTCCGGCTAAGTATGGATCCTCGGAGAAAGATTCTTCAACCTGCGTTGACTGAGATTAGTGGCGTAGCCTCGTTGTTCCTGCAGGTTATCGACTTGCCCTGCCGTGCCTCGGGTCCCTGGCAAGATCTAATGAGGGGGCAAAATATTGTGTGATGCCCACTGCGCGACCCTCTTTACCGATCGTTTCAGCAACATGCTCCATCAGCTAGTAGGGTTGCTGTCAGCTCGCAAGGGATGCACCAGGATCTTGATTCGAAAGAAGTATAATACCTCAACATCCCAGGATGCCCCAAGCCCGATGGGAGAAGTGAATATAGTAGCGTTTGGAAGTCCAAGACCATGAAGCCCTGTCTCAAGAACCATTCATCAAAGTCTACTATAATACCTGATGGGTGGGTAGTGGTACCTTCAGCTTGCACGATCGCCGGAATAGACAACCTTGATGCATTCATGATCCAGTCCTGTACACTCTTGGCCCCGCGGTGGGCCAGCTCAAGTGTAGTGCGCGGGTAGCTGACTGAGAGGGCTCGCGGGTGGCTTGGAATCAGAATCAATCGAACGAGATGGAAACTCAAATGTCTACTACAAACCTCGCAGCATGCCAGTATGATTGAACATGTGATTTCTCATGGATGTTTCATTGATATACTCCGTCTCGAAGTCAACAAAACTATTTAGCTCCCCTTTTGTACCCGTCAGCCCTCATCATGTTCGGTAGCAATATTGGAGTGTCTCCCAGAATCACCTTGCATGAGCTGAGCCATCTTCTCCCTCAGGGTCATTTGAGAGAGAAGATCTTGCACTCGGACAGCTGTTTCCAGATTTGGATCCTGATATAGTGCTCGAGCGGACTTAGTTGCTGGGGATTCTTGAGGAGAAACTTGGCTGGACGACGTCGAGGTTCCCGCCTGCGACACGCCACGCACGGCTGTAGCCACAAGCGCCAGTAGTGTGAGCCTCATAGATCAAGAAGAAGAGAATCAAAAAGCACTTTCCAGATAGCCTTAGTAAAGAAAGAGTAGTGATCCAGCAAGCAGAGGCAATGCTTGGTGTTCACCTTTTTGGGAAATGGTTAGCGGGCAAGCCCATTTGACTGTAACGGGATTTAAGAGAGCTTTGCCTGTTTCATAAGCCTATGTCGATTGAGCGTCACTGTATTGTCATTCCAGGTGTGAGGATGTAGGATGAAGGAATTTAGTACCCATTCCTTGTATATAGTGACCACCGAAGAATTTGAGGAGAGGTTAGTAGGAAGGAGCTATGCCAATTCCGTGACTATATATTCAAGTAGGTTACATCCCTAGGGGATGTCATCACGATGAGCCTGCTCTGGAATAGAATTGCCGGAATGAAACTTGCAGCAAATCAGAGCCTGGGTAGGACCAGAGATTCTACTTAATCGGAAGAGTGGTCGCACCAACCGTCGGTAAACCATAGTGAATAACACTACTGTCAAAAGTTTCAGAAGCACTTATTGCCTTTGCATCTACCCGCACGAATCACCTTCTATTTGGCTTACAGACACAGTTGAAGAAGAGTCGTTCCACCTCGTGGAATTGATCAGACCTAAAGAGACACTATCAGTTGATCCCACACGCACCCCAGTTTCACATACCCATAGCCAAATGAGGCTGGGAAACGAGCTATGCTTGATAGTAGGGATTGCTCTTGTAGCAGATGGCTTGAGACGAGTCTTCATTCCAAGGGTCACCAAGTATCACCCAGCTCGTCTTCTCACAAGCAGAGACCCAAATACCACGCAGCCATGGGACATTATTGGTGAATGTATGTCTTTGGTAAGTTCCATGTCGTACTACTCACGGTGCAGTTGCAGACTCACAGCTCGTTATCGAACGCCATTAGTGTCAAAGCCTGGCCATCATCCATCCAAATACGGTTACATGGCCAGGAGACGACGAGTTTGTTGCCGAGAAAGAGGATTATTTCTCCCGTCAGCAGTCTGACCTCTGTCCCATCTGTTCCTACCGGCCCTTTAATGAGACTCAGCTATCGTACGCGGTCACCTGCGCAAGGGAACACCCTCTGTGCCCGATTGCTATCAAAAGCGGCGGCCATGCATCGTTTGCTGGGGCCTCTAACACAGCCAAGGGCGTTACCATTGTGCTCCGGCATTTTGATCAAGTGACCCCTTCCTCGGACGGATAGATCGTGCAAGTCGGGGCAGGAAACCGCTGGTCGAATGTGTACAAGGAGCTCGAAAAAGTCAACCTCACCGTGGCAGGCGGCCGAACAGGGTCTCTCGGGGTCGGCGGATTTACTCTTGGAGGTGCGTTCGTCAATGCCATTTGCACATTTCGTCTTCCTAATTTTGCTTTCAAAACAATATAGGCGGAATTTCCTACTTCTCTGGCTTGTATGGTTTGGCGTGCGATAACGTGGGGAATTATCGGGTACGTTGAACGCGCGATCACTGAGAGACCGCACTATTAACGAGTCCCTCATCCTCTCCTATCGATGTCCAGGTGGTGCTTGCAAATGGATCTCTTGTTGATGCCAACTTGGAAACCCATCCCGATCTCTACTGGGCACTTAGAGGGGGAGGCAGCAATTTCGCAATTGTCACCCGGTTCGATATGTGCGGGATCCCTCTCACCTACATGTGGGGAGGCCTACGGAACTATACCAAGGAGTGGATTTCCACCATCGTCAATATCTACGTTGAGCTAGGTTTACGCTCCCCATCGGAGCCCTCCACCTCGCAGATCACCACCCTTTTTTACCGGGACGACGAGTATACCGCCACAGTCCACCTCACTAACACTAACTCCGAACCGAGCCCTCTGCTCGTCGACACAGGGCTGGCCAAGGTACCCTACACGTCCGACACCTACGCCGTCACGCGCCACTCCCAACTGGCCCAAGACCTGACTGACGGCCAACCGGACGGACTGCGCCAGACCTACTGGACCGCGACGTACCTTCTCGACCGGGCGCTCGCGCACTTTATCCACCAGGTCTTCGAAGAAGAGACCACCGCCCTGGGCCCCCTCGACGGGCTCGAGGCGCGCTGCATCATGCAGACCTTTGCGAAGAATATCCTCCGCCCCATGACCTCAAACGGGGGCAACGCGCTTCCGATCGCCGGGGGCAATCAACCGGTCATGATCTTGAACCCGGCCTTCCGCTGGCAGCAGGCGAGCGATGACCTGAAGGTCATGCAGGCCAATCAGAACCTGTTCGTGCGCGTCAAGCATTACGCCCGAGAGCGGGGCCTTGACGTTGAATTCCTGTACATGCCGTATGCCAGCGGGTTTCAGAATGTGTTCGCGACCTATGGCCAGAGAAATCTCGATAGGCTGCGAGAGGTATCGAGAACGTACGATCCGGATGGGTTTTTCCAGAGGCAAACACCAGGGTATTTCAAGCTTAATGGGCGGGTGGGCTTTTGAGAGGCGTTGACTTTAGGTTCGAGAAAAGAGGCTTTTTTCTGCTAATTTTGTCTTCTTCGATGGCTCTCTCAGGGCTCGCAAGCTAGTATCCCAATCGTTCTGTCTAGATGTTTACATCCTCCTCTCTTCCTGAAACAAATTCTAAACAATGCTTCCGATTTCTTGAGCAACCGCCTGACTCTTCAACGTTCGTTTTAGGACAAGTCCTTTCTACGAGCATTGCAGACATGACCTGGTGGTCCAATGGCCGTCAATTTAACAGGAACAACGTATTGCACGAAAGCGAATTTTAAAACGCAGACCCAAGGATTGGTTGGTGTTGATAGTCTCCCATTATGATTGTCTGGTATTCTACTTGTTCCCCTGCAAACAATCCTACAAGATATAACACACTCTCTGTAGTGTACTGTACTGTACATGATGACTCTTTCCCCAAACCCGCTCATTTCAGCCGAATTTCAAGCAGCTGAGCCCCAACAGCCGTCTCCACACCATCTACGTCCACATTAACAGCGCTAGCACCGCCCGTCGTAACGAAGATGACGTTCTCCTCTCCCGCTCCACGCCCAAAGAACACCCCCGTCGGCTCCGCGACCTCCGTCGAGTCCTCAGCCCCCGCGATAATCTCACTGCCCACGGCCACCCCGTCCTTCGTAAAAATCACCTGCTGAATGGTATTCTCCGTCGCAGCGGCCAGGTAAGCAAACCGATATCCACTGCCATAGGTAGCATTGAGCGCGAACCCAGCGGGCGCGATGGCGAAGTCATCAAACTGACTCCCTTGGTAGATCAATTGGCCGGTTCCAGCCGTGACGTTGGCGAACAGCTCCGCGCGGTACAGGGCCCCGCCAGCCGTCCAGTACACAAAGTCCTCCGCGACCTTGATGCCGTTGATGGACGACATCAGCGACTCCTGGGAGATGGCCTCCCAGATGGCGCCTGTCGTCGTGTCGATGGCGAAGATGGCGTCCTGGTAGCTGGCGGTTGCCAGGAGGATGGTCTCGTTGAAGGCGGCCAGGCCGTTGAAGCCCGTGGGCGCGGTGGGGCGGCACAGCAGCGAGATCGTGGGGTTGTTGCTGTTCTGGGTGAAGTCGACCTTCCACACGTGCGTGGCGTTCTTGGGCGGGTCGCTGATGTTGTCGGAGGTCGTGTTGGCGCCGGCCACGTAGAAGACGTCGTGGGCGCCCTCGGCGATCCCCGACAGACCCAGCACGGAGTCGAAGGTGTGGATCACCTTTTTCTGAGGGGGGTTCGTCTGGGGATTGACCGCTAGCAGGCTCGCGGGAGGGCCGATCTCCGTGGCTAGGACAACGCCGTTGGAGCGGGTGGCCAGGTTCTCGAGCCAGGTGTCGTTGGAGGCGAATTGGAAGACGGTGCGCACTGGCAGCTGGGCCGCAGTGGCGGTCGCTGCCAGGGATGAAGCTAGGGCGATAGATGGACGCATCATGAATGCAGAGAGGGAGCAATTCCTTGATGAGCTAGATGGAACACTTCTGAGCCAAATGATCCTGCGGCCATTGGCGACTTTTATAAGGCTCGCTCGAGGAAAAGGAGAAAGAGCAATGTGATACCTATTATACCTCCCAGATTGATTAGATTCGATCAATTCATGACTATGACGCGGCCCCTGCCGCCCGGCTCCATCTCTCGCCCCGGTTTAGATAGGGTTACAGCCAGGCGCTAAGGCCAAAAGCGGACGGATTTGCCGCGCTGAGTACAGTGGGGTAAACCCGACATCTGCAAAATCGCTCGGTGCGGTTGGTTTGCTCGGATTTAATTGCCGAAAACCGGATATCTTTGCGCAAAATTGGCTAAAGTTAGAAGAAGTTTCGTCAGGACTTTCTGCGTTAAAATAATAAGAAATCCTAGGACAGAGATGCGTGTTGCACACGCGTCTTGTTATCCCTCCCGCGCTTAGTGCCCCCACCCCCCCAATTAGCTTATCTAGGTCTTATTTCGAACTCAACAAAAAGAACAATCCAGCCAGCTACATGGCCTGGAATTTGGATTTTTCAAGTTCTCGAGTCTAGACAGCATTGCGGCCTCCTGAGCATGAGGACTAAAGCTCTCCAGACAGTCAATAACCCTACTTGGGCCGTATCGGTTTCCTGCTCATTATGCTCCAGCCCATGAAGAAATCCCAGGGCGGGCTGTGAGTCTTTTGACCCTATGGTTTTGGTTATTCAACTGCGTGAAATGTCCTAACTAGTGTCATCCATTTGTTTTTACTGGGCCTTCCAACCAATGTTGCAAGTCATTAAGAATCTAACAATTGTTTCATTTAAATTCGCGACAAGCCAAAGCCCTGCCAAGATAAGCTCGAGCACAAACCCATCACACCGCCAGATCTTTCTCCTCTTTCGAAAGAAGCAGGTTCTCATGCAGCCAGTATTGATAAAGTACCCAGGTTGGTCATAGGACTTCACTAAGGCGAATCACGCATCATGAACTCGCAGACACGATTACGAAGTGTCTGAGGAGGGGAAGGGTAACGGTACAGTTCATACACAAAGGATCCCACGGTATAAAACAGGCAGTGCCGAGAGGATTTACAGCTCTCCAGCTGACAGGCATAATACCTCCTCTGCGTCTTGTGTCTCCGGCACCTCATCACGACTGCTCTCCGATATCTACTGGATGAGATATTTCACAAGCTCTACAGCCAGAGGCAATTGATGCCTCAAGCTTGACATATCTTGCACTCGCGTGAGTGGTGGCCCGTTATGTCTTAATGAACTTATGGTTGGCCACCACTTGTCTCGAGCTGGAGAGACGACTTGCCGAACAGGCGGTGGAACGAGTCGCTGCATCCAGGGGCTGGAGACAGAGACCATGTGCAGTCCGCCATTATGCTTCTGTTTGTATAAAAGGGAACAGTGAGTGAAACTTTGTGCGTGGCACTGGCAGGTTTGAGAGACGTCGAGACAAAGACTCCAGGCAAGCAAGACTCACTGTGTCTATACAGAAGAGATGAATGCGTAGTTTGCCTTGAGCCGTTCTCTCTTTGTAGTAGTCTGACACTTCCCACTGCCTGCCAAAGGTCAATGGTGTAAGAGTATCTATAGCACTGTTGAGGGCTCTAGATTTCACGCGCCCCCTGCGTTTGACAGAAGGCTTTTGCCTTGACCTAACCCTGTTCATCGCATTCCCGAGCCATCGCACCACGTGCAACGCAAAGGCGGTCTATTTGCTCATGCCAAAATTCTTACAATGAATGGAACCGCTGGAAAATGCAGGATTCGTAAGATTGACTATCTAGCTCTGTGCTCCCGGGAGCGTCAGTGTGTAAAACCTTTTGCATCTTTCACAGGTTTTCCCAGGAACACTGGTAGTGGGAGACTCTTTTGTATAGGAATCGCTCTCGGTAAGATGCAAATTGAGCTACTTCAGAATTTCTGCTCCGTCAACAAAATAAACGGAAGACTCCCCCTTATTATAGTGATCTAGATGTTGTCGCACTTGTGATTTCGCAATCAACCGCTCGAAAATGTTCGTCATCGCAGCTGTAGCATTGCTCGCCGAGTTAAGTTCAAAAGCCCACGTCTCGAGCTTCATCAGTCATCGAAGGACAAAGTAGGAAAGGATTATGATCAAGTAGACAGCCGCAAGGCGAGGAAGTAGATCCGTGAAGCACATGTTCTTGGTTTTCGACGTGGCCCTGAAGCTACCGTGAGCGTAAATTCCCTTGTTGCCGGAACATATGGTGCTTTTCCGGAGGCGCGTTTGCGCTTCGCCCAAAGCACACGTCGATGCAAACGGTGGTAGGCGAAAGAGGTCTGTTGGGTTCCGAAATATAGCCCATCACCATTCAGATGATGTGCGCATTCTGTGGGCGGCCCTGAGTCCTTTAAGAGTCAGGCTGTACGGCAACATACAACGGCCGCTCCGTCTTGTTCCTTGGGATATTCATGAGAGAATATATTCATTAGCTCTTTGATTTTAGGTTGTTGGGGTTCATGCATAGATTGTATTTGTTGTTCTACTGGCAGAATATATGCTTTTGTAGAGTGACCGTTATGTTCTTCCGTTCTGTACATAGCATAGTAAGTTACTGGCTGCTCGCCGCCCACCAAGGACATTGATAATTCCTCTCCCAAATAACCTACATAGCCTGAGTTCATTCATTATCTAGGTCTTGACACATTCACTCGCTAGTGTGCGATTATTTACTAAGATGGTTTTTAAGGACACAATACTTTCGAATTCAGCTAGCTTACTGCATTTATTATTCTTTGCCTGATACGATGAATGATACGATGAAACACAAGTTCATCTGCGCTCAGTAACAATAACTCACTCCACTAACCTAGATGTCACTATCAGAAATGTTACTGTCGGAAATGTCACTATCGGGAGTGTCACTATCGCAAATGTCACTATCGCAAATGTCACTATCGCAAATGCCACCATCGGACAAATCAGACATATCCTCTCCCGCCAAGCGCATGAGGTACTTGGTTCTGCCCTCGATCGCTAGACAAACCCTCCTCAAGCCAATCATATTCCAACGGCCTTTTTCGTCATATCCGTTACACAATTCGTTCACGCACAATATTTCCTCCAGCCAGTTTCGGATCGGAGTCGACTCAATGTGACACAAAGGCAAAGCAAGCCCCGATTCTACCCTCTCCTCTTCCTGGTCATCATCAACAATTAGAGATCTCATGCACAAGAGGAGCTGCTGGAGCCACCAATCGCGTACTACCGAGAACCGATCGCGGATAACCAACCGTGCTAGGTTTTCAACTTGATGGTGAGGTGCAAGCATGTAGACAGGGTATTGGTTAGGAGACTGTCGACCCCGATAGTTCAAGCTGCCGAGCCTCATTTCGGGGAGGTTGGAGTCGTCGGTGGTCAGGTACATTCTGGCGCCTCGGTTCCTATTGCGACGCCCCTCCTCGGCATACCAACGACCCAGATCGTGGGGGTGGGAAGCGGGCCCGGCTGGGGGATCCAGGTAGTGGTCGGAAATGAGCAGTTCCTTCGGGTACAGAAGAACACCGCGGCTTTGTTTGGGATCCTTCCGATGACGGGGGTAGAGATGGTCGGTATGAAAGTGATACGCCGGGGAGGGGTACTTGTTTGAGGTGAGTGTTCCCTCCCTGGGTTCTTCTAGCAAGGCACACTCCCTCATCTCCCATTCTCGCTGTCCGTCTGCCGGACATCCGGGCAAACCGCCCTCACGAAGCACCTTTGCAGCCCGGGCAAGGTCGGCGTATGGTATGGCCCAGGCGGAATGATGGGCCGCTATCGGCACACCGATCATGCTCATCGCCGTCTCCCCGCAGAGCACACAGCGTATTCCAGCCTCGTGGAGAAGGAAAGATATCCTCTGCTCTAGTTTGGGGCTGGTCGGCGCTGTCTCTGGAAATTCCACCGCTTGGGGAGGATCAATTTCCAAATCCTCGGACCGGGGCTTCGTTCCTGGGGAGATTTGACGTTCCGGTTTTACCTGCAGCCATTCTGGTAGCTCGTCCAACCCGGGTAGGTCGTCGTCTGAATCCTCTTCAAAAACTGAGCAGCAGTCTTGCCATTCGCTTTCGGAGGCAGTATCGTCGTTGCGAGACATGGTACAAGGCTAAGAGGTTCGACGAGATATGATTATATCGCGCGCTGCGTGACTCAAGCGTTGTAAGATGTCAAGGATGTGGCACAACAAGAAATGTTGGCATTCGCGTGCTTATATATGCGATGATCCCATTCCATTTGTGTACATTATCGTGTGTGCTTCATAAACCGATTAGCCCTTCTTTCTTTGTCAATCCTCCTTGATTCAGGATCCAAGCCCATTCTTGATCAGTCCAGTACTTCAAACTCGGATACCTTTTCCCTTTGTTGCAAAATGTGAACCTTGTGTTGCCAAGTACTTTGTCAAAGCTTTATTTACCTATGATGAACAATGGTCGTGCATTTTGTGTATTCTTTTCGCCGCCTTTATCTGACTTGATATTCCTTCCTAGTGTTTGATTAGTTCTTTGGAAATCTTTATATTGGTCATGATCTTTCAACCACAAAACAACGTTCTACCATCTCCTATCCAATCTCTGTAGCTACAGGCAGAGTGGTGACAACTGTCAGCCGGGTCTCATAGCTTACCTTCTTGTTTATTATGTTTCTTCGTTCTCTGGTTTCCATCTATCTGAATTACATTTCTAATTCACCGAAGGCATTGTACATGCCAGATATTGGCCTTTTTCACAACATGTAGTAGTGCCCTAATATGCATCACGGACGTAAAGTATACGTGCTCATATAGCTTGACAAAAATGAAAAAACAATATTTATGCCAAGGATGAGCACCAGCTCAGAGAGCTGCACGTAAATCTGGCTTCCCTGGACGTCGAGAGCTCAAAATCGTCGAGAAGGAGATCAAAGAGGCGTGGAGAGAGGCATGACACCACTGGAAACATTCTTGAACAGACTCGCAAGGACGGTGACTGGGCTGCGACTAAGCCCGACCCGTGGGCGTGTCCCGATCTTCCCGGCACGGAGTGACCGACTCCTGTATTCTGCAAGTTCGCCCCAGTGCTCGCGGTTGAGGAACTTAAGGTGGATGAGGCTCAGGTGGTTGAGGTTCATGCTTGAGGGTGGGAACGGGCTTCAGGGAGGCTGGTTCCATATTTGCATTTTACTTTGCTGTGCTGTTTATCTCCATCTCATGTGAAAATTCCTACTCATCAAACTAGTATCCTGTTGTTACTCTAATGTCACTCCAATGTCACGCCTGTTCGCTGTGATCATCTGTTGTTGTTGAATCTGAGTCTACCACTCGATGGAACTTACTTTGTGTAGTTTACACGCAGAAATATTTCTATCTTTACCGTTCAGTTGAGCAAACCGTCGTGCGGCGTAAGCCTGGTATAAGATATATGTAGCTTGTTTTGGCGTTCGCTTCCGCTCCCAGGAACTATATGTGCCCGTAGTATTTTAGGTGACCCAGAAACCCAATTCCAAGCTCTCATTGATGAGGTCCGCTTCCTAACCAGGATGTAACCAAAGGCAAGTGGGCTGTAAGCAGAGATTACAGTTTATTTAGACTGTCAAGCAGGGATTCAACCAGTGACGTATTTATATCCTAGAACGGATCTACAAACCCCACTTTCAAGTGTTCCACCCTCGTATCACCCATGCTCTAACATGTACTGTGAAGCCGACCGACCGTATCGTGGTTTCTTTCCGTTCTTTGTGCTGCACAATTAGACTTTCACCTCGAGCTGCTTATATATGTGATACGAGAATCTCTGTGCCCGTAAAGAACTGGGAGCATATGATTTGCGACCCCAACACGAGCGCAGACAGTAGAGGGCGTCATGGCTGTCAGACGGATAGGCTATTCGGGAACCCGGCGAATCCGGCGAACCGTTCCCTCCTCGCCAAGACATAAGCAACCATGCAGTGGTATGACCATGCTATAAAGCTGTCGGCTCTCCACACCCATCCAGACCATCCTCTTAGATCAGTATCACCATCGTCAACAAAATAAACCATCCTGAAACAATATCTACAGAAGAATCGAGACACATACTTACCTAAAAATGTCGACCCCAACCACGATGCGGACGATCGTCCAGCCCGACGCAAGCGCCAAAACCCTAACCCTAACCACCGCCCCCGTCCCGACCATCGACCCTGCAAAGGGCGAGCACCTCATCCAAGTCAAAGCCTGCGCTCCCTGCGCAGGGGAGCTCCTCTGGCCGAAGAACTTCCCCCCGCCCAATCCCCGAGAATTGGTCCCCTGCCCGGACGTCGCCGGGACCGTCGTGGCCGGACCCAAGGACTCGCCTTTCCAACCAGGTGACAAAATCTACGCGCGAACAAACTACCTGCGCCCGGGGAACGCGCGCGACTTTACTGTCTGCGTCACGGATGAGATGGCGCACGCGCCCAGGGGTCTGAGCGCCGTGGCGGCCGCGGCGATCCCCGTGTCGGCGGAGACGGCGTGGCAGATCCTGTTCATCCATGCGGGGGTGGCCGGCGCTGGGGAGGTGGATCTTGCCGCTGCGGAGCAGGCGTGGAAGGGGAAGCGGGTGCTGGTGACGGCTGCGTCGGGTGGGGTGGGGATCTGGGTCACGCAGCTGGCGACGCTGCTGGGGGCGAAGGTGGTGGGGACGTGTGGTGCAGCGAATTCGGAGCTGGTGCGCTCTTTTGGCGCCGCGGAGGTGCTGGACTATCGGCGGACGGGCCTGCGGGCGTGGGCGGAGGAGCAGCCCAGGCGGAAAGTGGATGTGGTGGTCGACTGCATCGGGCGGCAGTCGCTGGCGGATGCGTGGTGGGCGGTCAAGGATGGAGGGGTCGTGCTGAGTATCTTTCAGCCGCCGGAGCAGGTCAAACCTGACGGGTGGGAGGGGTCAGCGGTGCGGAGCGTGTTTTTTGTTATGGAGCCGGTGAGGAGGCATCTCGAGGAGATCACGAAGCTAGTGGAGCTCGGAAAGTGTCGCGGGATGGTGGACAGTGTTTGGCCGTTGGAGCAGTATCAGGAGGCGTTCAAAAGGTTGGATGAGGGGCATGCGAGGGGCAAGATTGTTTTTGATCTGTCTCTTAATCTGTGAGAGAAGATGAGATAAGTTCCGTGCTGTAGCTGTTTCACCGAGTGTGTCGGGTTCATGGATACTCAATTAACCCTAAAGTTTCTCACTGGTGACTACCTTGCCTACCAAGCCCTATTTGAGGGAAACTTGTATCAGCATCAGATTAAAAGGAACTTGGGTAATCCGTATCATTCTGGTATATGATCATCGTTTGCCGAGTGACGTTACTGTTCATTTCATATACTATAAAATATTTGAAAGTGTATTGCTCGAATGTGAAAGACTTTGTAGACTCTAGACCATGTGAGACAACAGATTAGTGCAGAAGTACTATTCATGTCATGCCCTTAAACATACTCTCACGGGATTTCCTTATGTTGTGGACTTGATTTCATTGTTGAGATTTTAGTCCCCTTTGTTCTTCCTTCTTCTCTGACCGGTGAATGTGGTTCGGACAAGCTACCTCGGCTATCTCGGTGGGTCTTGGGGTCAGATTACAATATCACGGCGATCATGCCTCAACACTCCGAACCCAACAAAATTTCAACTTTTAGACATTTTTACCTGTTGAGTAATGTGTGCCACTGTGGTAAGAATAATCAACATGCCAAGTGCCAGCTTCTTGCTATGGCTGATAGACTTGTTAATTGCTTATAAATACCTGCCACCTGAACGCAACTGGTATCCGGCATAACCGTCTTCAAGCCCTGCCCACTGAAAGGCTACCTAACTACGAAGCGACCGGGAAAAATTTCAGCTTATCCAAGAACTGACATTCAAATACTGTGGCGTGGACTTTGCAGTCACAGTGTGAAGAATCAGCATGTCACACGCGCTGGACTTCTTCCAAGGCCTCTGGGTCCAGCACCCCTGGGCAATTGTCCTCAGCGTAGCTGGCTATATCGCGGTGGTTCGACTTTTACGATACCGTCGTGTGAAAGCGATCGATGCCCCTTTTGCCCATGGCCAGAGGAAACTGTCCAGTATGACAAGTGAGGAGGCGCATGTTATCATCAGCCAACTGCAGGAGCTCGAATTCCCATACGCTTTCAACAAGGCGCGCAAGATCGCTCTGCTCAAGGTACGGCATCACCCCCACCCTTTACCTGCCCAGCAAGCCATTGTATCAAGCGATGTGGACATGCAACTGAATTCAGCCTCTTCGATCTTTCGCAGGCGGGTGGCATCCCAACAATGTCCAAGCTCTTCGCCGTGACGGGCCAGAACAACAAGCGCAACTCGGGCAAACGTGCCGTGGACACGGAGATCCTCCTCCGAGAAGCTCAGTCACAGCCTCGCGACTCGAATCGCTATAGCACTGCGGTCGCGAGAATGAACTATCTGTATGTATTGAGATCCCATGCCCTTTTCTCCCATCAGAGTCTATTCACTAACCCTTCATATCCCCAGACACGCCCGCTACCGCAAAGCCAACAAGATCACGGACCCAGACCTCCTACATACCCTCGGTGACGGACTCGCAGAGATTCTCAATGTGATTGACCGAGACGAATGGCGCAAGCTGACGGACGTCGAGAAATGTGCCCTGGGTGTCTTCCACAAGAACCTGGGCGAAGACATGGGAATTCCCTTTGAGCCCCTTGCTTCCTCGCACGAAGGCTGGCGCGATGGGCTGCACTTCGCAATGGAGCTACGCGACTGGACGATCCGCTACGAAGAGGCAGTGGCCCGGCCCGTCGCGACGAACGATCAATACGTGCGGGTGTATGTCGATGCGGCGATGGCTGGGCTCCCTGGCTTTGTCACGAAGACGGTGCGGAAGATGTTGGCTGCGGACCTGGACGAGGTCATGCGGACGAGTCTTTGGTGAGTACTTCGGCCTCCGATTGAGCGGCGGAAGCATGCAAGGATGATGTGGCGGGCGGTTGTGACCGCCTGGGTGCATGCTTTCTAGTTCTTCATCTTTCCCACAAATCCCAATGCTGACATCCGTTTAGCCTCGAGAAGCCCGGCCCCATTCTTGTCTTCGTAGTGTCCTGCATCCGCCAAACACGCAAAGTCTTCCTCCGATGCTTCGCCCTCCCGCGCTTCTCCGCTGTCAAACCCGTGCATGAAACGGCCGATCCGAGGACGAATCGATATCACTTCGACAGACACACCCTACAGCCATGGTATATGGAACCGACCCTATGGTCAACCTGGGGACCAGGTGCGTTGCTTGTGAGGATGCTCGGAGGGAAAGTGCCGGGCTCGCGGGGGGACCGCTACCATCCTCAGGGATACGATCTTATGACGATTGGGCCCGACCCTCAGAAGGAACGAGGCGCGGAGGAGATGAGATCTGATATTGAGGTGATCAAGGCGAGGGCCATGGCGACTTGTCCATTCTCGCAAGCCAAGGCGGGAGGCTTTAATTGAGATTGTTCTGCGCTGACTGTGTTGTGTCGGACATGGTGGCAAGGGAGACGATATAGGTAGAGACGATGGCCAAATAGAAACTCAATCAGAATTACCCGTTGCTAGTAGAGTAAGTCAGCTACATCGTTGTTGAAGATCATGTGTTTGATTTAGGATACCGCGGTGGTGGTAAATCGGCAGGGTTGATAGATCCAACCCTAGTATAAGCCCACGATGTCAATTGACATGTCCTAAAGAACAACCCGACTATCTATAGATATCCATCACGTCAGCAGAAGATATAAAATAAACGATTCATGTCTGTGATTCATGTCCAATCTCTGTATCTGCAGCTCTGTGATATAAAGTCCAACACCTCTATCTTCTATGTTCATCCAGGTGTCCGCCCTTCCCCCACATCCTATCGTCTTATGACCCCTGCGGCAACAAAAGTGCACTCACCCCTCAAAGTACCGCCTTAAGCTCCCTCTTCGGCCTCAAGATACACTGCTGCGTCATATTCGCCACCAACCGCCCGCCCCGATCCCACATCCTCGCCTCCGTATACGTCCGCCCATCCGCGCCAGCCACCGTCTTCAACTCGCGCAGATGCCAGTTCTCCAACCGCCAATCCGCCGCGAACACCCGCATCGAGAAGTCCAACGACGCACAGGCGCCCGCATCATCCAGAAACATCCCACTATGCGCGAGCGGGAGGAAGCTCAGGAACGCATCCAGCACAAACGCCAGGCCCGCGTACTCCTCCGAGCGGCGGTGCATCGGGTGGCGGACGCGGAGCCAGTCCGCCGAGGTCCGGGCCGTCAGGGGCAAAGCGTCCTGGCCGGTGGGGTGGGCCTTGGCCATCCCGTTGAAGTTCTGCCCCGACACGCCTTCGGGCGTCTGTCGCGTCTCGAAGAAGCGGGCGATGAGGCTGAAGAGCGTGGTATACTGCGAGAAGGCCTCCTCGGTGAGGACCCCGCGCTTGACCATGTCGGTGCCGATCTCCTGCGGGGTACGGCAGGCCTCTGGCGGGGAGTATGTCCGGTCCGGCGGGGTGGAGTAGCTGAGCATGGCTCGCTCGCCCTCTTTCTGGAAGTCTGCGAGGATGATCATGCATACTCTGCTCGTCTGGTCCGTCTGCTGCTGTGTGATCTCTACCTGTCGCGTGGCAAAGGTCCGGGTATCTCGGAGGCGGCGGACGGAGCAGGTGAGTGTCTGTTCGGTTGATACGGGGGCGAGGAAGTGTCCTGTTACCGAGTAGAGAAGATACTGGGAAGGGACGGTCTGGCAGGCTGCGTTGACGGCGACGCCCAGGGCGCACCCGCCGTAGGCGATATTGGCGGCGTTGCCCATCTTTTCGGGCTTGTAGCGTGACTGGAAGACATTGGGGCCGATCTGTTCCACAGAAATATGCTCGGCGAGAGTGCGCGCTTGAGACGGCGTGGTAGGTGGTGAGGATACTGGGGACATTATGGTGGTTATGGTCGGGCGCTGGAAGGATTTTGCACAACGCAACGTAGCGGGGGTCTCCAGTCGTATTTATACTATAGTTGGGAGGTGCTATAACCTTATTTTTGGAATCACGGCCCGAGGTTGCGGGTCCAACTGCCGAGGCTGGCCGACCAAAGTGGCCAATCATACCGCTAAAGAATGGTCGATGTCTAGGGATGGGGGATCCACTTTGGGGACGCAATTTTGATGCCCTCTGAGTACCATTCGACTGCTGACTTTTTTAAGAAGCCATCAAGAGCAGGCCTCTGGATATATGAAACATCAGTCCAGGCCCCGTTGGCTTTAGGATCTGAGGCGAAGGTCTTTTAGCATTCAACATTCATTAGATTAACGCATAGAACAGTGCTGTGAGTAAGTCAAGATGTACGGTGTAGCTTCTTGACCAGTTGGCAAACCAGGAAATCGGCCATCCATACACACTTGGAGCGGCCCACATATCGAACCGAACCAAGCACATTCACATCACTTTTCATCAGAACCTTGTGGTCGAGACATATGTCTTGTAACAAAAGAATGCCAACGCCAGCCCAGCAAAGAAGTCGGTAAAAATGGTGAGGAACCAGAACCATGGGATCTGGGGGACGCCCCCAAAGAAATGGGCCGGTGTGCGGATCCCTAGCGACGCGTAACTTGCGAGGTAGATAAGTGACGTCTGTAGGTTTCCGGACTTATACAGATGGTAGCCGCGGATGCCACAGAAGGTGTGAAAGGGATAAGAAATGGTGATGCCGATGCGATATGCCCGCGCGGATGTGTAGATCCCGGGGACTGGCGGGTAGTCTTCCGCGCGCAGGTAGTTGTGGGCGTAGTGTATGGTTGTTGTGAGCCACAGGGAGAATAATATAATGCGTAAGGGGCGCAGCTGGGAGGGAGAGGGGTTGGGGCTGGGGTTGAGCATGTTGGAAATTCGGGCTCTGTCTGCTAAGGGGTGCAAAGAAAGGAGCTCTGGCACGATGTATCGATGGTCCGGACCAACTGGGGAGGTACTGTACCTATCTGATTCTCCTACTCTTATATCTGAAGAGCTCATCGCATAGTTATATCGATGAAACAGTTGATAATGTAATCTGGACTGACCTCGGATGTTTCTCTGTTTGTGTTGTCCTGCTTGGTGCATGCATTGCCCGTGTGCTCAGAAATGCAAGTTTTATCCAGATTGCATGATATCGATTGTAAACCTACGGATGTTACGTTAGGAAGTATCTACGGCCCAATACTACGCTTCTGTACCTTTTTGCGCGGCAAACGGTTTATATGCCGAGGCTTCCCCGAGGATATTATAATCGAACCGAGTACTGCCCAGCATGCATTTGAATATGCTACGAAGGTGAATAGTGGATCGAGTTCTTCATGACACCTGTATACTTCGTCATTATTGCAATCTTATCACCTTTAAGTTATACCGGCTTTTTCCTGAACCGAGTATTGAAATGTACTTCACCCCGCCCCCAATCGAGGTCCCCTCACCGTACGAAGCCATCCCAACACGAAATTTCAGACTCTTGCATTACCCCGGCGCCTGACCAAGTGTGTGGGCTTGAATCAGCCCGCAAAGTGGAATGTCTTCGCCCTTGCAAGTAACTCATCGTACAAATTTATCGTCTTCCGAAATAAGGCAGTAGATTGCTCCTCTACACACAGAATAACTCTCGTGTACAGCCCGCACAAACCAGAGCACCAGGACCCATACTCTCCATCCAACATACAATTCCAAGTTCCGTCAAACCTTGGCTTTCCCACCCATTTTGGGCCTCAGAATCGTGGTTTGCGTCATCACAGCAACCAACCTGCCTCCATCATCAAAGACCCTCCCCTCACTAACTGCGCGCGCACCCCCCGCCGCACAAGTCTGTTGCTCACTGACCATCCACTCCCCCACATCAACTCGATGCGTCATCACCCGCAACGCAAAGTCCAACGTCGCGCAGGCACTCGCATCCAGCAGACTCCGGCCCGCGTGGTTGGCGGGGATGTACGCGAGGCCGCGGTCCATGTAGAACGCCAGCGCGGCGAGCTGAGCGGACTCGCTCCCAAGGGGCGTCTGCAGGCGGACGCGTTCCGCCGAAATAATGCCAGTGATATCCCCTTCAGTCTTCCGGTCTGTGGCCGGAAGGGGCTGTACTTCCATAAACCGGTTGATGTATTTGTACAGGCCTGATTCTGGTACTCTGGCGATTGCAGCTGGAACGGCATCGGCGTGTGTGGAATGTGGACGAGTGGAGTAATTCACCATCTCAAGCGTCTCCTCGATGTGGAAGTCGGCGGTTGCGACGAGACATAGCTGCTCGCCGGTGGGGCTTTCCTGGTACACGCGGAGATGTCGGGTTTGGAAGATCCGCGTGTCCCGGATGCGTTCGACTTGGCAGATAAGCTGAAGGGAGGGGCTCGCGGGCCGGACGAAGTGTCCGGTGAGTGAGTAGAGATGGTGGCAGGGTTTAATGGTGGCGTAGGCTGCGCTGATGGCGATGGCGAGGATGTTGCCGCCGTAGGCCCAGTCGGCGAGGTCGCCCATGCGCGTTGGTGGGAGGCACGAGACGAATCGGTCGAGGCCGAGCGCTTCGACGGCGAGTTGTTCTTCGAGGGTTACCATGGTGGTTGTGTTTGGTAAAGGTCTTGATTTGTCGGCAGAGATAGGAGTAGGGTTCTTAAATGACTGTTGAGGGTATTGTAGTGACATGTGATGCTCTCGGTGATATTGTAATCAAGCATGGTCCAGGGACCTTATGACTCCCGTGAAGAGCTTATGCGTGGCGATTTCAGTTCGGTGCTCTTCTCGTTATAGGATTTTGGAAAGTTGTTGACTTCTATTCTACTCGGATTCAAAAACAAAAGTCCCTCGCTCTGAAACGGCACAGGTCACCTTCACTGTATCCAAGTTTGTTATGCCGCATCCCATACAATATGAGTTTGTCCATCGAAGCGCTCAGTAAAGGTTTTATTTCTTCCAGACCCGATTAAGCTCCTGTGCCTAAAGGTCGTAAGGAGGCATGAAAAGCAGCGTTGACATCGATCATTCTGAACCCGGGAGCGCGCCCCAGAATGACAAATCCATGAAGAAGCCCTATCCACATTAGCTAAGTCAATCACAGTTCCGCAAGGAACTTACTCCAGAGAAAGTTTTCCAAATCCAAAGCATAGCAGCTATGCTCAGAGCGCGTCCGCCCTGATTGTCCCTCTACGATGCGAACCGTGGGAAACAAGCTCGACCCCTGCAAATCCACCCCATGCCGCTTAAGATGCCCTTCCACGTCCCGACTATCGAACCACTGCCCCCCAAGCCCGCAGATCTCAAGCAACCGAGCGCGATTACCCACTGATGTCGACTCATCCCCATCTCCGCTATTTGGAAGGATTCCAAGCACTCGACGAGGCATCCTCATGTTCTTCGGATGTATTGGAGTGCCGAATTCATCTTTATCCGGATAATGCGTACCTGCTCCACCTACACCATAGAATGGAAGGCCGGGAACCTCAAGTGGGGAGTCGGCTCCACCTCGTAGCAATTGCTCAAATCGCGGTTGCATCTTGGCTTTGTCCTGTATGCAAGGCACGAGACGGAATACGCGGTACACTTGTTGGGGATTTGACCGGGGATCGATAAACAGGTTGAATGCGTGCTCGAGGCAGTATCGTTGCAGTCTACGGGCGAAGCGCCCTTCCTGGAACGAGTAGGTGTGACCCCTGGTCGAGATGGGCCGGGGTAATGAATGCTGCCGTCTCCGCGGCGGATTTAGTGGCTCCTGCTGAACCTCCCAGTTGCTTTGTGTTTGATCGAGACGGTAACCCAATATCTGGTGTGATGTAGTGGAGAATACATCAGGTTCTGGCGTAACTTGCATGCGAGAGGAATCAGTTTGAAAGGCTGAACCGTGAGAAGCATCCTGCTCGATCAACACCCCGCGCATTTGCGTCAGGCGGGCATAGATATCCGGATGAGACAGCTGCAGCCGCGCCTCAGTAGCAGCCTCGCAAGTGCCGGAGACCTGATCTGACAGCCTACGAAGCTTCGCTTCCAAGTCCGTGACGCGATCGAGGGTTTGGCGGAAGACCGCCTCTTTTTTGACGCGGTATGTCTTCTGGGCGCGCCGAATCTGCGTGCGCCGGTCTTCCGAAAGGATTGCCGGGCCATCGGCCTCGATGCGGGGTCGGCCCACGCGCTTCCCTGAGCGCAGTCGCGTTTTGATCGGGCTTGAGGGGTTGAGCTGTCTCTGTGAGGCATCTGGCATTGCTGTATCCTGATTTGGTATTCCTGTGTCAGGTTGTGGCTCTGGTGGCGTTGCGGATGGTGCGATGGTGGCGACGACATTGCTGGGCTCCTCCGCCTCTCGTAGGAATGACCTAGCAGAGAGAATAGATAGGTTCGATCGAAGTTCCATCTCTATGGGATCTCATCATGATAATTTTGAGATCACGAGTGCGATGGTGAATGAAATGACCAAGGGAAGTTCCATCACAAGATGTGTTAAGCGTGGTTGACCGCCTTGGCCTTCCGAGGTCTGGAAGGCGCGGCAGATTGATTCTGCCATTGTTACTCCACCGCCGTCTTTTCTCAACAGAATTATGCACATAAAGCTGAGCCCTAGAATTCCCGACTAAATGTTCTGCATAAAGCATTTGTCCTCGGCCCTGTCGACCACGCCTTCACTAGCCCTTTATCAAGGCTATCCATGTCTCCCTTTTTCGCCCTTTCACTCTCTCTGTCTTCTGCCTCATAGGCTTATTCCAAAAATAGAGTTCAGACAAGGACTTAATTCACACCTTCGGGGACATCACGAAATATCTTCGCCGAGACTTCCTGTGGGGCACGAATATATTTTTCCAGTTTACGCAGCCGTTCCTTCGCCAACTCAAGCAGCCCATCCTCCTTACAAACCGCGAACCGGAGATAATTCTCCCCAAGACGCGCATTTCCCTCACTATTAAACAGCGACGGTGGAATCGCGGCAACCCCAAACTCCCGGATCAGAAACCAGCACAGGTGAAAGTCGCGCCGTCGAGTGGCAATCCACGGCGGGAAAGAGTAAGTGTCCGGAATCTGCACCGATGACAAGTCCGCGAGGACAAAGTATCCGCCTTCGGGGCGCGTATACTATTCACTCAAATCGTCAACGTCAGCTTCAGAATTTAAAGTCGAACTGGGAGACTGAATGAGGGGGTAGACGCAACCGGAATCCCCAGCTCATCCCAGACCTCGCAGAAACACCGGATCTTCCGCTGCATCTGATCACGGCTTTCCTCCCAGAATCCCGTTTTCGCTGCCCGGGTGTAGGCAATGGCGACGGCTTCCTGAAGCGGGGACGCGGTGCTGTAACAGATCTTGGTGTGGATGGCGGCCACTGCGTTAATCAAAGGTGGCGGTCCCACTAGATACCCGATTTTCCAGCCGGTGGCGTGGAGGGATTTGCCGGCGGAGCCAACGCTCAACGTACGGCTGTAGAGGGCGGGCACGAGGTTTGCCATACTGGTGAAGGGGGCGTAGGATAACTGGTTGTAGACCTCGTCGGATAGGATGATGATGTTGTGCTGGATGCAGAGTGTGCCAATCAGTTGCAGCTCCGGCTGGGTGAAGACTTTGCCGGTTGGATTGTGTCTGCTGGCCATGGTTATTTATGTGCGGGAGGAGGGTAAAGGGAAGTAGTGTGTTTTTACGGAGTGTTTAGGACCTGTTGATGTTTGATAGTGTTAGTATTACCTTGACCTTCGGCACTGAAACTTGGGGCAGTATGCATGCCTACCATCATTCTTGTGCGGTTATTGATAGCGCTTTTTAGTGCATCAAAGTCGATAGTCCAGTTAGACGGACCTTTCAACCTGTTTGTATCCTGATCTGGAGGACAAAGCGGCACATGTCGAACCACACCGCCAGCAAGCTCAATCCCGCTGATAAACCTGCATTTTTGGTAAATCGCCCCTCATCAAATAGTTTTCCGGTGAAATCGGCATACTGATCGAAAAACGGCTCAAAGACAATAACCTCGTCGCCGGGCTTGAGGAAAGCCATGAATGCGCAAAGCAAGCCTGATATAAAATGTTAGAGATGCTTCTCGGTCGGCAAAAGTACCATTAAGCACTTACCCTCGCTAGCGCCGGAGGTGATGACAACCTCTGTTTCCGCATCGATGGGCTGCTTCCATGAGCTGGAGAAAAGACGTGCAATTGCTTGTTTCAATATCGGACGGCCCTAAACCTCGGGTTCAAATACGTTGCGTAAGCCAGTGATGCACGGTCGTCTTTGCAATGCCAGGGGTACGCTACCTTTGTCGGTGAGCATTGATTACAATCAACCCTATTTAGGGCATCTTTTGCTGCATCAATAGCGAATTGTGGCGGGTTGTATCCACTGTGTTCATTAGTAGAGAAGCCAATACAAATCTTGAAAGGTAATGCTGACAAGAAGCCTTGACCCAGGTTGACAATCGGCTGCACCGGGGAGGCGGAGGCTGCATCGTTGACAAAGGACCAGACGTCTTGCTCCGGACAATTATTACTCAGAGTTGAGAATGGAAAATGACTACTGGTTTTTGGAGATGACATCTTGCCAGGCTAATTGCTCTTTGTTCAGAAGAGAATAATGTTGTTATTGCGTTGAAGCTGGCTTATAAAATATTCCGCAGTCAAGCTGGGACTACAACTCGACGGCGGCACCGACCCGCAAACACCATGAGCAAATGATAGGCGGGACTCCAATCTGTCTTCCCGACCAGACTGACGTGACGTGACGGTGATCTTTCCTGGATGTGAAGCCGGAGCATGTACAAAAGTAAGGGGTAACAGGGTATCAGCCCGCTTCTTCAACTCCATGTCATGTAATGGGTCCTGGTTCTGGGGGTGGAAATCAAGGCTCGTGTGCATAATGATTCGTGGATTTAACTTACTAGAGGGAGCCAGGATGCATCCATGTGATTCTCATGAGCTAACGAGGGATGCATTGAGCCGTGGACATGATCGCCGAGTGCTGATCCCGGCATTTAGGGCCACCCAAAAGCCCTCGCCATCGAACCAGACGAATATCATAGTTCACACCTTCCGGAAGTCCTCCACCAATTGAAAAGAGCTCCATGAGGGGTCGGAGTCCGCTCCGTTGCAGCGACTCGCCCGTACGAAACAATTCTCGATCCCCTCAACGCAAGCCACGGGCCGCACCACCTCAACATCCGTGCCAAAACAATGAGAATACCAGACCTCAGTCAGGTTCTCATTCGGCGTGGAACGTTTTGGGGACTTGAACAGCTCAGGGAATTGTTGCTGCATGTCCGCCAGTGCAATCCTGGTGCTCCGATCCACGCCATCGCAATGACGCAAGCTGCGGAATGCGTGTGATACCCTTCCTCGTAGCATCGCTTGTATCTCTTCGGGGTATTGTCCGACCGCAAAAAGGAGGAGATTGAATTGCATGAGCGACACCTTCCCATGATACGACCCACCGAATCGGGCGCGGTTATACAGCCCTATCAAGGCCGTGATGGCGCCCATACACCCCGCGCCGTAGTCGGCGATCGGCCAAGGGCTCACTATAGGTTCGCGGTGGCCTAGGAACTTCCCGAACTCCCACGCGAATCCCGTCAACTGTGATTCGCAGTCAGTACTTCATACTCCACCGTGAAGAGGAGGGACAACGAACACAATCCGCAATCTGCTGCCACCCAGGCCGACCAGCCCATCGGCCCATATGGCCGAAGCAATTCTCATCTACGTAGACTATCCCCTTCCCGCGACGGATTGCCATGTCACTCAACGAGGACGGAGTATAGCCCAATTTTTCCAGAACACCAGGCCGGAACCCATCGATCACTACGTCGGTCTCTTCCAGAAGCTTTTCGAACTTCTGCCGTCCTGAGGGGCTCTTGAGATCGAGATCGACGGCGCGTTTGCCCATGTTGCCGTCCACTTGGAAGAACGGCACATCGGGGACGGAGGAAGAGCAGGTGATCTTCAAAACGTCCGCCCCATACTCGGCGAGGATACGACCAATGACGGGGCCAGCAATGACGCAGCAGAGCTCCAGTACCTTGATGCCACCGAGGGCACGATTGGATTTGGCTGCCTGGAATGGGGTAGGAGGAACATCGTCCGGCATGCGGGAGACTGTCCACCAGGGCTCGTTGACGTTGGCTTTGCCCTGTTGTTGGGGTTCAGCATCGTCTCTACTTGAAGGGATGTGTCACGAACGTACATGCGGTGTAGCACAAAATTCCTCGTGCGTGTAGACTGTCACTCCAGCTTGTCCAAACTCTTGGTTGAGATCTTCGAGCTCAGCGGCCGAGAAATCTCCCACCTGTGTACCAATGAGATCAACGATGTCATCGTACTCCGTCAGGCCCGGCCGATGGCTCGGAAGACCAATCATGTTTAGTGCTTTGGTAGGATTCAATGAGCCGTGCAGGAAGAAGTACTCATCCTCATTCTTGGTTCGATACATGTTGGCAGCCCGTCGGCGGTAAAGGTTCGACTGGGCAGAATGAATGTCGGTGTCTTCCAACTTCAGCCTTCAGTCAACAAGTGCAGTGAAATTGCATACCTTTCAGATATCTTCTGATTTCAGGGTCCGATCTTGAATAACCATCCACCTTGGCAAGGAGTGCCTGGAACCCAAATAGCGTCGCTCTCTCGAGGCTGACGCGGATCTCCCTACCACCTGGCATTGCCCCGAAGCGCAGATCTGCGATAGCCGCCGCCATCGCCCCCTCGACACCCTTCAGGGCGGCGAGTGTTTCTGTCACTTTGAATGGGGTGGGGTAATAGATTTCATCTGCCGAGGGGGTGAAGAACACCTTGCTCCCGAGTGCATCGCGAGGGAGATTCAGCCTCTCGGCGTCATTGATCAAGCCGTTGAAAATCCTATCTGCCTCGACTCTCGCTGAGTAGCCCTTGCTGATGGGCTTTCCTGCATCCATGGTTTGCGATGTGGATGGATAGTGCGCGTTTCTAAGGCGGGCGTGTGTTGCGTTACTGTCTCCTGACCATAGGGCTAGATATACGCAATCACTCGGCGGGTTTCCGTCCACAGTATGACGTGCGTTGCGCCAGCTTCATCGAAGCCCACCAGTCCAAGCATGTGATCATTCCTCCTTTACCGTGAGTTATATCATTGATGCTTGCTCAAATAACGTTTAAGCATCATATGGAATGGAAACCCATCCATACAGGAGTGGGGGAGGAACTGTTCGAGAAGTGCCGAGGTTACATAAGGCATGCGCCGGTAGTTGATTAGGGCTTGGAAGAATGCTGCTGCGTTTCCGAAAGGGAAAACTCCATCGTCACCACCACTGTCACGATCAAAGACTCGTTATGACCCGAAACCAGATAAATACCTTTCTTGAGAGTGTTAGTATGCCCTCATGATCTTCACACCCTCTCACAGAACGATAGCCCACACAACGTATACTTCGTAATAGTTCACCTGGTCCCGCTTACAATGCAGTCACTATTCTCAGTTCTCGAAGATGCAGCACACTTTCACAGCGATCGAGGGATCGTATTCTACCCCGATGGGGTATGCAACAGCGAGAAGGCGACCCGGATTACCTACCGAGAGCTCCACCGTCAGGCGTCGACCAACAGCACAAAGATTCGGCAACGGAATGGCTATGCGCCCGGCCAGATAGTCCTACTGCATCTGGGTCCGAACAACCATCTCGACACAATCATCTGGTTCTGGTCCCTCATCTATGCCAACTGCATACCAGCCATGTCTACCCCTTTCCCACAAGATCAGGGTCTTCGCCTGAACCACTTGCACCACTTGCAGAAATTATTGCAAGATCCAGTTTGCCTCACCAGACAGGCCCTTATAGACGAGTTCCCAACCGATCTCACAATTCCGCTCGAGACCATTGAACAATTCCAAGATATCGGCACCGAGTCACCGACCGAAGCCGCAAGTTCGGCTCCAACAAGCGAAGCCCCATCTGACATCGCCATCCTAATGCTCACATCCGGCAGCACAGGCCCATGCAAAGCCGTGGGTCTAACGCACCAACAGATCCTCTGCTCCCTGAAGGGTAAATGCGCTGCGCTACCCTTACGGACTAAACAAAGTGCCTTCCTCAACTGGATCAGCCTAGACCACGTCGGAAGTTTGATCGAGATCCATCTCCACGCGCTGTTCGTTGGCGTCGATCAAGCGCATGTGTCCCCAAGCGATGTGATTCAATCCCCGCTGTGGTTCTTGAAGCTCCTAGAGCAACATCAAGTCGCAAGGACGTTTGCACCGAACTTCTTCCTGGCGATGCTGGCACGCACGCTAGATGCGACCGCAGCGGGAAGCGCCACGTTCTTCGACCTCCAGCACCTGCAGTATATCGTAAGCGGCGGCGAAGCGAATGGGGTGGGTGTTTGTGCCCGGTTGAGCGCGTATCTCTCCCGCTGCGGGGCGGCGGAGATCTGCATCGTGCCGGGGTTCGGCATGACGGAGACTTGCGCGGGGTGTATTTACAACCTAGGGTTTCCGGGGTATGATCAGCGGCACGGGTACGAGTTCGCGTCCCTGGGCTCGTGCATCCCCGGGGTCGAGATGAGGATTGAGTCCGCCGTACCGGGGGAGGTTGGTGATCTGGAGGTGAGGGGGCCTATTGTCTTCGCAGGGTATTTCAACAATCCCGAAGCGACGGCGGAGGCCTTCCAGCCTGACGGGTGGTTTCGGACGGGAGACACGGCGTTCCTGGATGCAAACGGGTACCTCAACCTCGCTGGGCGGACAAATGACCTGATCTCCATCAACGGGGTCAAGCATAATGCGTTAGCACTTGAGCTCGGCTTGAACGAAGCGCAACTCCCCGGAGTGATTCCGGGTGAGGTGGTGTGCTTTGCGCATCGCGGCCCGGGGGTGGACACTGAGCAGGTATATGTTGTCTACGCGCACAGCTACAGCTCGCACGACGCGAGGGCGCGTTATGAGACGCTGACGGCAATCAGCCACAAGGTCTCGCTCATGACCAACACAAAGCCGTGCGTCCTCCCTCTACCTGCCCTCGAGCGATCATCGCTGGGGAAGGTATCCCGGTCGAAGCTGCGATCCCAGATCGCCTCGGGGGTGTATACGAGGGAGCACGAGCTGGACGCAGCGCTTCTCCAAGCCCATCGACAAGCCACGTATTGTCCTCCCAGAACCGAAACGGAGAAGACCGTCATCCGAATCCTTTCGAACATCATCCCGGATACCCACCCCGACAATCTGGGTGCCACCGCCAACCTCTTCGAGCTGGGTCTCACCTCTCTAATCCTCGTCCAAATCCAACGCCAACTACAAGATCAACTTTCGCTGGACGAGCCCCTCCCCTTGGCTACTATCATGGCCCATCCCACGGTCCAGGACCTCGCTACAGCCCGCGAACGAGCCACCACACACGAATATAACCCGGTGGTGACCCTGCAGCCGCACGGCGCCAAGCCCCCGCTCTGGCTCATCCACCCCGCCGCGGGCGAAGCCCTCGTCTTCCTCAACCTCGCCCACCTCATCCGCGACCGCCCAGTCTACGCCTTCCGAGCGCGCGGCTTCCATCGCGAGGAACCCTTCTTCACGAGCCTGGACGAGTGTGTCACAATTTACCACGCCGCAATGAAGAGACTCCAGCCCGAGGGCCCCTACGCGATCCTCGGGTACTCGTACGGCGCGATGGTCGCCTTCGAGCTGGCCAAGACCCTCGAGGCCGAGGGCAGTGAGGTGCGGTTCCTGGCGAGTCTCAACCGGCCGCCGTATGTGAGTCCGCGCCTGCGCCAGGTGCAGTGGCCGGAATGTTTGGTGAACATTGCCTTCTTCCTTAGGATCCTGTCGCGCGAGGCACTGCAGCAGTGTCTAGATGAGGTCAGGGGTGCAACGAGGGAGGAGGCTGTCGAAATCGTGCTTCCTCATGTCGATCATACTCGGATGGTTGAATTAGGGCTGGATGACAGGAGTCTTGCGAGGTGGATTGACGTGGCGTTTAGCCTACAGGAGATTGGCAGGGAGTATCGGCCGGGCGGGACGGTGGCGCATATAGATGTTTTTCACTGCGAGCCCTTGGACTTCTTGAATGTGGGTAAAGAGGAGGGGTTGCGGCGGCTGGCGGCTTGGGAGGAGTTTGAAAGGGAGGAGAGCGAGTACTATGAAGTTCCGGCCGAGCATCACTCGGTTTTAGGAGTAGCACATGTTCAGCGATTCTTTGTTAGGCTGGTCGAGGCCCTGGCTGCACGTGGGGTTTAGACAGCAGGGATTTTGTGAGTCTATTGAGTGATGGTGGCAGTTCGTTGAATCGATTATTCTAACAGTATGAGGAGTAAAACCTGTCCACGTGAAGGTAGGCGAATCCGCAGTATGGGGAAGAAACCCGGAACCGCCATGCATGTTCTACACATACATAGACGTGGGGCAAAGAGTGAACGCAGTGCATCGCAGGTGGGTCTCAAGGTGGGTACAAGAGTGGGGCACAATGCAGGGGCATCTGCCCCATAACCCCTTGATTCCGTCAAACGACAAGGACGATATTTGCATTGATGACAGTCAGAACTTAGACACGCTTGAATGATCGCATGGCTGTCTTGATTGGCGTCAATATTAGAAATGGGTGGACTAATTATGAACACAAATGCTCAGGCTGGGAAGCCTCTATCTTGTTCTGTGGGGAGGAGAAAATCGTATCTAATGAAAAAGAGGTTGCGGCTTCGGCATGGCGATAATATAATGGTGAGGCTACATCAAAATGACTAACAGTTTGGTCACATGGACAATCGATGCCGAGAGGGGGGTGTGGCGGGTGGAATGTGGCTACTGACATCCAGTGGCCGTGCTCATTTTGCGGTGGTAGATCTAACCATCCGTAGTTACTATTTATTCTGTGACAGTCTGGCGAACGGCTCTAGCGATTTGGCATCAGAAGTTTCCCAAACCATGAATTCACTAGTCGAAGTATACCTATAACAACAAAGTCAAGGTTAAAACAAAACCGCCAATCGAGCCATAGTATCTTCCGAACACTCCTACAGCAAACCAAACAACTCCTACATGGTCGCATTTAATTTCCACTCCCGTTCCCATTGGTAATCATGGCCACCTGCACCGCCGCAAATCTATCACAGAACAAAAGATCAGCAAATCACTCTCCCCCCAACCCACAGAATAGAAAAGAGAAATCACTGCCAAAGGCCAAACCCTAAAGTCTCCCAAGCCTCCAAGCAATGATAAAATCCCGAGGTATGAGGAAGGCAACTTACGCCGTCGCCGTCGCGAAGATATCCACCTTTCTCGCCTTCACCATCAGCCCCATAACGAGGACAAACACCATATTATAGACGAAGATCGTCACCAGCCGCGCAGCCGTATTCCGCAGGAAGTGCAGCACAATCATGGACGAGGCCGGCAGAAACCCCGCAATCAGCAGGCTGGCCACGTAGGTGCGGCTCTTGATGGTGCGGTTGTTGTAGTACCAGACGTCGGTGGCGTGGTTTCTTCGATTCTGTTTTGATTCATTAAGCTTCTGTTTGGGGGAAAAGGTTGAAACATGGGATGTGTCATTGTTCTTGTGGCCAGGTTGGCGATTTCTCCGATAGGCGGACATGGTGTAGTAGTGGGGGTAGGGGTCACTTACTAGATCGTTCACCCCCCAGCGCCGATGGAACCAGGGAATGACGGATCGATACACCCAGCGCGTGAACGCATCGGCACCCTCATGGCGACTGCACAGGGCGATCAGGTCCGACTCGTTTTCATGCCACTGGTACATGGGACGGAGTTTCTGGTAGTGACTGGCTTCTTCGCGCAGGAGCCATTCCTTGAAGACCTCAAGGTCGCTAGGGTCCGGGGCACTAAAGCGGAGGAGTTGCGCCTGTTGGAGGAGGGCTTCATCTGCTCCATACTCAGCTTTCGTCAATCGGTGTAGTAGCAAGGAGTCTTGAGCTGAACAAAAGCCCTAGTAGCAGCTCTTCCCTCCCTCGATCTAGAACATAGACAGACAGGAAACGGCAAGTGAAGCAGGATCATACTATACTCCCTCAACAGCGCCCGCGCCTCCAGCACCTTCCGCCACTGCGACGGATACTCCTCCTCGGATTGATCTAGCGACTCCTGCAGCCGCCACACGGAGAACGCGTAGGCGCGCTTCTCGTCCGAGCTGGATCGGTGGTCTCTCTGGACACATTCGTCCAGCTCCGTCTGCAGGTATACCAGCTCCGCCTGGAGGTACAGAAGGTTCTTGGCGTTGAGCTTGGCAAACCGCCGGAAGATGCTGGACCCCGGGTCCAGGGCCATCAGGGTGGCGAGTTTGTCGTATCCCGGGGTGGTGGTTTGGTGGGTTGGGAGGGGCGGGCGAGTCATTTTTATCTTCTACTTTTCCTTCTTTTATGTTGCTGAATGATTGTGTTTGCTTCAGATATCTTAAGTGCTCTCAGAGTATCTATGCAGAAATATTAGCGATGTTGAAAGGCGCCGGCTTCCCTGGGCAGCTCTCCAAAGGGGGCTCCTGATTAAATACAGGCAGCACGAGGCGGAGCAGGCACTTTATTGCTCATGTGATTGGCTTTTCGACATCTTTGTAGACGGATCCCTGCCTGTGGCTAGCTGCCTAGACTGCGATGACTACAATGAGGCTCTGGTGATGCAAAGGCTGAGATCGAGGCCAGATCAGTTTGTACTGTCTTTTGAGGGTGTATCTACTCTACTCTATGGCCTATGGAATTGTTGGACGGCCTGAATAGGAGCCAACAGCGACTCGTTAGATTGGTCCACAAGACTCATTCATTCTGATTAAACGGGAGGAGGACTCGATACATTGTCGTCCTAACAATGCCCAGCCCTACCACCCCCGCTCCTTCTATCATGATTTCCAGATTCGCCCGCACTGTCAGCCTGCCAAGTGATGGCACATTCAGTCCCCTGTATCCTCCTCGCAGAAGCAACTGTAGCAAAGGCTAGAACTTTCGCGCTATCACGCGAGAGAGCGCACACAGAAACAAATATATCCATCCGTATCCAGAACCCTCTCCTCTCACTAGCCTGCGGATTGCTTAGTTAGACCTCACTATATCTCCTCTCGAAACCGGCCACCATAACATATACCACAACGGAAAAAAACAACATTTGAAACGGACAAGAAGCCGAACCACCCATTCTATCCAGCAAAGCAAGACCACACAACGAAATTTCCTAATCACCGCACTTCTGAGGCGTGCAATCTCTCCGCAACTGCCGAATCCATCCTCTCCAGCTCCAGGTGGCGGATCGTAGGCCTCCCCAACACAAAGTCCGCATCGAGATCGCGGACCACATGGAACGTCGTGCGATGCGTCTGGCACTGGCCGCAAAACGACCACTCCACTTCCGCCGTTCCTACCGGTTTGAGGTCCGGATAGCCCGGAATCGCCGTGAGTGCGGCTCCGTAGTAGGGCTGGATCGGAGCGCCGAGCCGGCGACACGTCTCGTCGCACATGATGTCCACGTCCACGTTGAAGGGGAGTACCATCTGGCGACGGAGGCGGGTTGTCCCGTCGGGGGACTGGACGATGATGGCGTAGACATAGTCGTAGTGCGCAAGTGCGTGCTGTTCGATATCCGAGTGTTGGACTCGGTCGTCGGGTATGAGGGCGTCGTTCAATGGCTTCGTGCTTTGAAGATGTCGTGGTACTGATGGTTCTTCTGTCGGGTTTGGCTGTTGCTTTTGCTTTTGCCGTCGCGGCTTGTGTTGATACGCCGGCAATGAATCGGTCCTGACACTCGAATACTCTGGCGGTAACGTCTCGCGTCGTGCGGCTTGGGACTTCTCCCATTGCGCCGGGGAGCGCCGCTCCGTGGACGGCCTTGTGTCCCGGTTGCGAGGACGTCGACCGCGACATAGAGCAGCAAGCGGGACTAAGAGGTTCATGTTGCAGTTATAACAGGATGATGGCTGCGATGGATCACTTGCTATGCGAGGTGCCTAATATCCCTCCGCGCCGTCAGCCTACTCAATGTTCGTTCAAATGTATTCCTTTTAGTAGGAGAAAGGACTAGGGTGTTTCGACACATACAGAGTCATCTTGTCCATCCCTCGTGCGGCTGTATCGGTTCCATAGCCCTGGTGACGCGCATTAGCAGTATAAGCCACGATTGTTCTCTGCCTAGCAAGCGCTCCAAAATTTGAGATATGGTGTCACAATCCAAGATGGGGGAAAACCAAAACCACTTACGAGAAATGATCCTAGGCATGTCAGTTCAGCTTGAGCCTCAATGGATAACTACAAGGCTTTTTTTTTTGAAGATTTCCGGAGTAGGCGGGCGGGGAGGGGGCTGTAGAAATCAGCCTGACGGGTATGTGGTGGACACAGAGAATTAGAATGAGGGGCATCGAGGTTCGCCGTCTGATGAACTTTTCTCTTTGGAGGACAACTTGCATGTTCCTGCTTATTGGCTGGGTGGTGTGATGTGTGGCCACATCCTGGAACCTATATGTGTAGGGATAGTCGCCGAATGTACACCAGCTATTTTGGGGCCAATGCGCCATCTAGCTGACAGCCACAGGTAGGCTACTCCCGTGTGCAATATGGTCGTTTGTGTCGCCCAGAAGTCTGCTTGCAGTTTGTGGACTTGTAGCTGAATTCATCTAGTCATCCCAGTACTACCTCCGGCCCATGCACTCAGCCTCGCGCTAGCAAGGGCGGGCGGGTAGTGAGTGGTGGGTTTGGCTTACACGAGTGAACACGGCGTGCACTTGTCAGATGCAACATTGTCATTTGACAGGCTGCGCATGGGCCGTTTGCCACCCACGGTAAATTGCAGTTGGAAATATTGTGACCCGTATGGGTAACCCGATGGACTCCAGTGCGTTGCGGTCCAAGCAAGGGCAAAACTGAGACTTAACTCCATGGTCCTTTAGTGCAGAAGCTGAGAGTAAATTGGTCAAAATGTCTCAAAAGACGTACAGTACTGAGAAGATCACACAAACAGGATGAGAATGAAAAGAGAAGGGGGAACACCAATAGCAAAAAGCAAAACGAAACCAAAGACGGGGAGATAATCAAGGCAGGACGATTGTGACGCTCCTCCCACGGACTACCCAGAGGAGTAATGGAACGAATCCTGTCACTGTGCTGCAACTCCTTTCTCCCCCCTGTCCGGATCAACTCTACGCAGATGCCGCAGGCTTTGCAGCCGCGGGCTTCGGTCCAGTAGACTTCTTCTGACGTTCTCGCTTTTGCCTCTCCTCCTCCTCTGCATTCTTCTTGATAGCTTCCTGAATTTTCTCCTGTGTGATTTTTGCGGCTGGGATGTAAAGGGTCAACGGTGTCCGTGGGAGGAATGCGGGTGCATCGCCGTACCTTGGGTCTGAGGAGCCAGTGCTATCGGCCACATCGATGGGTTCTGTGTGTCCCACGCCTGTAAACTCAGATCACAGTCGCTTCCGATAATGATATGCACCTTGGTGGGATAGTCCCGGTCTACAATCCCTGCAGCTTCATCGACGGGAATGTAAAAGTCTCTCGTGTTGCTGACTGACGTGCGATGGAGCCAGAAGTGCAAGCGGATCGAGTCGCGGACCGCGAATGGCCTGCCTGTGGGTGATTGCACGGCTATCTCGTCGGAGCGCTGCTGGACTGAAAATGCCGGAGGCAGGCGGGAAAGTCCATGCGGGGTCAGGATATTCACCGCCAGCTCGGTTGATATGGCCGCTTGGAGCAGTAGTTGCACGCCATCCGGTGCTGCGCACCGGACTTCTACAATGCTTGATTGCATTCGAAATAGCGGAGGAAAAGTCTCTGTGACCAGTCTGAAAGGTTTCAGCGACGGTTGCAAGACAATTTGTCGTGGTAGTGCGAGGGTTCCTAGGCAAGAATTGCTTCAAAAGACAGCTCGATGGCAGGACAAACTGCCTGTTATATTTGCTGTCCGACCTGGAGAGAACTCCATTGCCCAGGGCAATTATAAACATTCACCGCCATCATCGATTTTTCAAGAGCCGCAGGTGCGCAGTGCTGCATGGTGGAGGGGAAAAGGCTACACGAGGCTGAAGCACAATGGTAGCATTAAACCACCCTATCACTGTTAGACACATTTGCAGACAGCGTCACTGTCTTTTAGAAAGAATATCCTAGAGTCACAGTGACTAGTCATAACTTGTACTTTAGATAAATAAGAATAAGCAAGGAAATAAAGCACCGGATACATGCTAAGCATGCAACGATCCTGGGCCGGTCGGAAACAGCAGGAACAACTTCAAAGTTGGGATAACAAACAGCAGGAAAAGCAAAGGGTGGACGCTGCTGGTTGGGGTCTCAAAACAATTCTAAATCAGCATTATGCCCACCCCACCGTTTGCCATCTATGTTTTATGCTCTTCGAACCCCAAGGTTCCAAACACCAACCACAGAAAAATGCACGAATAAAAAACGAAAGAAATCTCCTCAGGAGGAGAAAATGAGTTGCATGAATGGAAGTAGGACAGGGCGAGGAAATGGACGTAGTGCATGAGATGTGTCACTGCCCGCACCTCAACGCGGATAGGACATATGATATATGCGCTGCATGCGTGCCCTTCTATCTGTGCACCCTCCGCCGCCTCTCCGCCTTTTTAAGTATATTAACCCCTCAAAGGCGCCGAAGAACACGTCGTGGAATTTCGGTGTGCTTTCTGAGAAGTCCATATTGTTTGATCGTCGGTTGGCCAATAACCACGTCGAACTCTTCAATGTCCACTACATAAAAGTCCGTGGTGTACGTACGAGCCGTTGCCGCAAAGTACCAGTCAACATCCCGCACAATTCCAAGAACAGAGATCTTGTAGTTGTTCAGTGTGGATCCGAGGGGTAGTAACACGAGGTTGCAGGGCTCTAGTATCAGCTTCGCTTGCTCTTGGATACTCTTCTTCATAATACTCGCTCTTGCCTGGCTATCCAGCGCGGCCAGAACCTCGATCGTGATGTTGGGATCGGCCGTTACCACTGTTGCAGTTGGAGTGAAGAAGTCGTCATCATCGTCGTCGTCGTCATCATTATCATCATCATCATCATCACCACCACCACCACCACCACTGGACACTTCAGGGGCTTCAGCACCGCCTTGGGCTGGAATTGGCTCCCAGGGGGGTGGTAGTGGGATGATAATTTCTTTCTCACTCCTCATGCTGCTCTCAAGATGTGCAGTCCCCACGCTGAGCGGACCTTGAACCTCGCTCATGGCTTTTTTCGTCGACTGACTTGATGTATGATTGATCCGACAGGCAGGAACGATGTTATTCTCAGCACAGGTGTAGTGTACGGTGACCGTGCTTGGTGTCCCGCTCGCGACCGATGAATCCACTCCCGCAGCAGCCGCAATTGCTTCACCCATGTTTTCAATCACCGTCGAAGGGAGAGCTATCCCCAGCCCATGGCTTGTAGGAGCATGTGTGGAGGAAGGTGGATCGGAAGGCTTGTTTGCGGATGCTCGAGGACCCCAATGGGGAAGGGATTGGAAAATCGACCGGAAGAAAGCCCATGGTCGTCGCCAACGACGGCGACCTTTCACCATGGTTACTGTCGGGGGACTCACTGTTGGGATCGAAATGGTTAGAACAACGGATCTGAACGTGAAGCGAAGGACCAGCTAGTGAATTACATTCTGATCGACCGTAAGGTATTGAGAAACCAACCATCGAACTTTGGCGTGATCAAGTATAGCAGGCAGAGCGTAGGCTCAGGTAGACAGCTGTTCCCTTATGGCGGAGTAGGTTTGTTGAAAGGAAGACGAATAGAGAGAGAAGATGAACAGGGTACAAATGAGTGGGGAGTATCAGGAAGAGTGAAAGATGGGTGACTGGAAGTTGGTGAAGGAAGAGAAGACACAGGCGGGGGAAGTAGAGGCAGGAGTCCACAACACAGACAAAACGAAATGCTCTTCAGAACGGGTGCACGTTCTCGGCACCGCCTTTTCAGAAAAGCTGTGCTCTGTGAAAAACCGACAAAATAATCTTCTGGCAGAGTACGAGATAGGTTGTAGCTTGGTGGAAATGATGGTAAGGCGGAGCAAGTCCTTAAGCCAAAGGAAAGAGGGAGACCAATCCAGCGGCCCCAAGCGACACCTTGCCAAACTGGTGCATCCAGGACATTCTCATTATCACAACTAGCTTGAAGTCAGGTTGGAGTGTAATAGGAAGCACTTTTGAAATTAAAAAGCCCAGTTGTAAAAATATGGGAAGACGACCACTAGTAGTCAAGTTGATGTGTTCTGTAGCCCCTATGCACCGCTCCACACTTCTACATATAGCAATCCGCTGCATTACAGAGCAAAGCGTGAGATGAGCTACCAGAACATTTCCAAACTCTCTACACACATAGAGCGGAGCCGGAGCCAGACCCAATGCACGAATCTCCCCACGAGCGAGCCCAGTGGCTGAAGAGAAAGGTGAGAGGGTAGAATTTTGCTGAGAATGGGCTGGTCATCCTGTTATGATGACATCGTCGATGGCCGATTGCACAGCCACAAACTAGAGATTACGTGCTATGCGTGAGGTGAGCGCACCACTAAAAGCGTGGAAATATGCGATTACACATCCTTTGTCGGCCATTCACACCCATTTCCTCAATGATAGTACTCTCTAGGTAGCAGGGGAAAGAAGAGCGCCCGTGTGGAAGTTGGGTATTAACGGATAAGTAGTCACCGGCGCCCGGCTCAAAACAACAGAGAATCTCCTACCTCCGCGTTGCGCGGCAAGATCTTCTCTGTCTCCCATCTCCGAAAATGCCCTAGGCAGTGCCAAACGTTTCAACTCAATGTTATTGTCACAATTGCCTCTCCGGTCTTTGATTAATGCCAATTCCTTTCATGGTTGGCCTGACCTGAAGCTTGTTTGGGACCTTTCACCGCACTGGGTCTTCACTAATTGAGTTGAGTCTAGTCTGGTAGTGCCTATCAGGTGCCCGTATTCTCTATCCAAGTGGTCACTTACTCAATTGCCCCACGTTGATCAAACGCTTGATTCTGTTTCTGAACACCGCCGCTGACTTTCCTTCCCCACATCCTCTTCAATTATAGGGCGCCAGTAAATGAAGACGTCACAGGGGAATCTGACGAAGCAAGACCCCTTTCACTGCCACACCAGACTATAGCTATACTGCAATATCATCAGTGGTTTCAGATCTTCGAAGGCCGAACTATAATAATGCAGCATGCATGGCTCATCATTACTCCCTTGCAGCTGTCAGTTTAACTGGAGCGGGGCAGCTGGGTCCGTAGTGCACGTGCCGTGCCCCATCCTTGGCAGCTTGATAAACCTCCGGTATCGCTCCAGCCACGCAACACCAGTCCTGCGAGTGTTCGAAATTATCGTGTGCCAGATGTTTGATATCTCAACATCGCGATTGCAGGGCTTTGTACGGTATATCTTCATGATAGTCAGCAATCGTAACCCGCCAGTGAGTCTCCATTTGGCCGCGGAGAGAGCGAGGGTATTGCCGGTCAAGGCCCGGACCGAGCCGTCAGGGGCAGACTCCCGCCCAGATCTTGTCGAACCAAACATCAACATATATAAACACGGCGGCATGTTAGTAGTGATTACCATCTGCGCTCGTGCGGACGGTCTGTCCGAGCATTGCTGAGTCGACAGTTGCTGAAGGCGAAGTGAAGCCCCTTCCTCAAACGCGCGATACCGAGACGGGCTCAATGAAGCACCGCTTCCGGTCGTCCGGGATCTGGCTATGTATCCGAAGGAGGACTTGAAGTGGGCGGACAAGCATATCCAACTTCCGGTTGGTTCTTTGCTTCCCCTCAACCCCAGCCTTCATGGCTCTCAACACATGGAGGATTGCTAAGGAGTCCATCCTCGCAGAACGTGATTTGCTTGGTGGTAGATCGCTATGGTCATGTACTATCGATAATCAGAGGCTTGCCTAAGTTCCCCGGTGAACGTTCTAGCTCGGGAGACGTTTTGTCACTATCTTATAAGATTTGCAACCGACCACATCATATCGTGATTCTGCCGTTATATCAACCTGACGTGCCAGGCCCCCCGAGTAAGTCGGAGAGAATCGATCATCTCGATATCAACCATCCGCACACGCCAACGACTATGCGTTGTCAACTGAAGAAATCATTACCGTGGTGGAACGACTCATGCGGGGGTCTGCAGTGGACATAGCAGTGGGTGGTCAGACTGCCTCGACGGAGACGGAGCACGAAAGCGAAGGGTGCAACCAGATAGAAGAGGAAGAAGAGCAGAATCCAGAAGAAAGAGGCTAGGGCCTTTCTAAACTCGAAGTCCTTAAACGTCTGTTCAAGGATGGGGTTGGGTGTTGTTGGATCCTTCACCACTACGTCCTACTGGTATTCTCATCGCTCTGAGCTCTCGTCGCTCCTCGCCTTTTCGGGTCTTGCCCCTCCCCCTTTTTTTGTTTTGTTTCTTGTGGGAGGATACGTTTTTTTGAGATTTGACTTCTGCAGTAATGTTGAAACATTTGATTCATGTAGTAGATTAATCATAACAAGCAAGCTGAATGGAATTGACTGCCCTGGTTGCTTAATTTGTAAAGAAAACTAACATCTAGCTAGCCGGGGCAAATCCCAGACATAGACGACTATCACGGAGATCGGTAATGTCGTGACCATGGGTCACTGCGCCATCTGTACAGCGAGTCGTAACTCACACTGATCCATTTTTCGAGAACATTGCAGCGGTTGTCGTCGGAATCAAATATCGATTCCATCGACACCCCCGGGAAGTCGCGGCGGAGTTTATTCCAGGCCTCGACATGAACCTCGGGGAATGGACCGGTGCCATCCGGGAAGAGGTCGGCCTCCTTGAAGCGCCAGGCAAACTCATTCATTGCCGGGTACGCTGCACAGTCGCTGTAAATACTCAGAACAGGGCAGTGGTCGATCACTGGCCGGCTGGGTGAAGGCTTCTTTGGCACGCTCCGCGACAGAATCATCGCTTTCCAATACTCCTGGAAGAGCGGCTGGAACTCTGCCAGGCGGAGCCAGACGGGATCCAGATCTCGCAGGGTGAGCGCAGGCGTTTCAGTCAAGAACGGGTTCCGAAAACAATTCTGAAAGCCCCAGGGGAGGTTGTGATCTGCCTCACCACTGGGCCCATCCGTATGATCGGCCGCAGCAGCCGAGTAGAAGATGTTTGTGAGATCGTGCACCCACGTGGCACCTTTAAGCCACTCTTTTGACCACATGCGACGTTGAGTTATCAAGTACAAATCTCGGTAGCAGAGGCGGACCCGAGCCTCCACCAGCCGCGCCGGACGCAACACCTTGATCTCATAGGAGTTTAGATCGGGGCAGTGCTCTGCAAGACGCGGGTCGGTTGTGACCAGATAAGTATCGTCATTCAAGGGAGGCCGTCCCAGCTTCGGAGACTTCAGGAGCGGGAAATAGCACTCATGGTAGAACAGGTTCAGGTCCACATGGCGCTCTTCCCCGGGGCCCGGCCGGAGATGGAAGACATGGGCGGGCAACCACCACCCTTCAAGCGGATCCCGCAACCGCAGGTCATAGAGGTATTTGTATGGAGATCCATCATTGCCTTAACCATCTTTCTGGGACTTGAAATGGTCGGTACTCTGAGGCTTGTCGTCGAACCCGGCCTTGTGCAAAGCCTGGACCGCCTTCTTGGTGGCCCAGGCTTCAATGACTAGGTCAACGGAGAGGATGCGGTTCTTGCATCCGTAGACCCGCCACATGCCATCATTGATCAATAGCATGGGACATCATGTTGTTCCAGGAATGTGGCAATCTGGCAGATCAAGTGCAAGTCCACGGGTTGGCCGGTATATCGAAACGGTTGACCCTGGTCGGCAGTCTTCACTAACGCGTGTTGGTAAGAAACGGGTTCTACCCCTGGTTTGAACCAGCCATCTAAGGTCCCCAGACATAGACTGCAGAGTCCACGAGCTCCTGCTGCTCCTTGTTATATGTCGGCGTCTCTGTTTCTTCGTATGGCAAAGTCTATGGAAATCCAAAGAACAACCACTCAAGTAATCACTATTGTAGGATGTTGAGACTTGGCTTGATGATAACAGTATTCCAAGAACTCGGCTACGCAGTCAAGCAGTGGGTATTTATATTTCCCATCCACACTCTCGAATGAATAAATCGAACTTGACATTCCTCTAGCTCTGAAAGAACCGAGGCACCCCGGTTGCTGTGAATCTCCCGAATCATGCTTTGTTTTTAACCTTTTCCTTTTCCTGGATGACGTAGTGCGAACCGTTCATCTTGGATTTCTTCCAGCCAAGTACAGTTTCAGAAGGAAACATAACTTCTTGTTTCCCCGGTCGCGATCATGACGTTCATCAAGCGAACAGCCTGCCCTGAAAGAGGATAAAAGCAGATAGATCGGTTTCCTTTGTTACTGTGAAGAGTCGGGGTCCAGCCAAGGACAAACAAGCTCAGGTTAGGGCTGCCCACCCGCTAGGCAGACAAAGCACACAAGACTGGAACAGTTGAGTCGACCTTGTTCTCGAGTCGGAGGCTTTTTCATCAGAGCAATTCTGATCTTCGAACTTTCCCAGAGCGAAAGTAATCGTGAGCTCGTCATTACATCGCGACACAGAGGTATCAGACGGTGCGATATCTGATCAATGTGGTTGACCACGGTAATGGGCTTGCAGCAGGTGATTTATTGGATTGGATTGAAAACAGAGGGAGGGCAGCGGAGAATTGTCACAACAAGGAGCAATGGAAACACTTCCAGAGAATTAGAGAGATGGTCAATTCTTGATGGACATTGCTGGGAAGCCATAGTGGTCCCAGTCAGCTTGTGGCAAGTTGGGCCATATACCTAGTATTTCGAGAAACAGAACAACTAATCCAGATTTTATCGACCCGGCAGTAAGCAGTGATGGAGATAAGGAGAGGCTGGGAATAGTTTTCTGCGATTCCACTATCATACTCAGTCAGGTCGTGTACGATTGTCAGTGGAGACCTGATTACTCATTTTAGATCTGCCGGTTTACGAGTACGTATGTACACATATCCATGATCGTTGCTGAAGGATCCACAAGTGGGTGGGTGTGGGGCAGATTTTGTGGGGAATTCCTGGGATGGAAAATCGTTCGGTTGCTGTGCCCTAATTGTCGCAATCATCCCAGGCGTGGCTGGGTGAACTTATCAGGCCAGTCATCCAATCTATTCTTATCATAGAATCACTTCCATACTATCGTAGGGAGAAGTCCGGTGACTCACTACTAATGTATACACCCGACACGTGATAGACTAAGTACTGATTACTCGCACTAACCATCGGCTCACTTGATGGGGTGTGCTCCACTCCGCATGCTAACGAACGGCCTAGTCACCTAAGCCACAGTGCCTGAGCTAAGCTTTTCGATAGTCGGGTAATTCGGGTTGAACACCCATCGCACTAGCTTGCCTTGTCATCACTGAAAGCAGTCCACCGGCGGAGTTTAAATTCAATGGGTAGCCGCTGCCTCCTGCTCCTTCGCCAACTCCCGACACGTTGTCACTTGTTTGCCCCACCATGACTCCCACGCGGGAAGATATCGCCAAGTTCCTCACGATCGTCCCGCAGGCCAACGAAGGACAAGCTTTGTTGTACTTACAGGTAAGCTTTTCCCCTACTCGATCGCTTGCCTTTTTCCGATTCACCTTATATATCATTGATAGGGAGCAAACACCCTCGAAGAGGCCGTCACGCAATTCTACGATGGTTCTCTCACAGACGCCAACGGTGCCGCACCGGGCGACACCTCAAATTCCGTGAGCCAGGATCAGAGTAGCCAGCCCGATCATGCTGATCCTCTTCCTTCTTATCAAGCGGCCGTCGCAATGGGAGACAACGAAGCCAGAGCCGTGTACACCAATCCGGTTATTGAGGCGGCGAAGCTCCGCGCGCGCGATGAGGTGTGTGCAGAGCCTCGTTCCCTCGGCCCTCTTCTTGTGTTGTTCTCACCTAACTCAGAAGTCTCTCTGCATCTATAGCAAGACATGCAAAACCGACTGCAGCAAATTCAGTGGGACCATCAGATCTTCAACGACGAGATTGAACCGGAGCATGAGGCAAAGCACATGCTGACCTGCGCCTGCGACATCCACCAATACAAGATCCGCAAGCAGAACCGCGTGGCGGTGCTAAAGATGTGGTCCGAAGCCGTGATGTATCCCGGTGAGGATCCAACCCACTACGCTCGCTTTTTACGTGTGGTCGTTGTCGAGACGGACGAACAACTGACATAGCAGGGGGGAACAGGTGAGAAATACTACCACGACTGCTATTACTCCCAGCAGATATGGAACAACAACCCTTACGCCCGAATCATCACTCCATATGGCCCCGTAGGTCGTGTACGCCAGAAGCCGGTAGCCCGATACCACGCCCGGTGGCTGGTGGAAACCATTCGTCTAAACTCCAGTCTCAATGCTACTGCGCAGAGGATTGCAAATCAGTACGAGCCGACAGAGAACATCTGGGAGGTGGAGGATGAGCCGGTGGTCGCCAACGACGGCGATGGCTCGGACACGGCGCACCATCGATCCGACTCGCTCAAGCCGTCGATTTTGACCCAGATGCGCAGGTCATTGTCCCTCCGGTCGTCCGAGGAGCGGGAAGCTACCAGGAAAGCGAAGCGGAGAGAAGAATATCGCGAGCTGCGCGACACAATCTTGGCGGAAGAGGCGGGACGATGGCCCGACCCCGAATCCCGCCGCATTGTCACCGAATACCAGGAACGCCTAGGGTTGACGCAACGCATTGCGGCCCTCCGTGTGCACCGCCCGATGCAGTATCTCCACCTCCTGCGCGCCGGCTACTTCGAGCCAATCCCGGTTGCGTGGGCAAAGCAGAACTCCAACCCACTCAAGTTTCGAATCGAGGCGGCCGAGGGATGGCGTGGAATTACACCCACCTGGCGCGGGTACGAAAATACGGCCGAGGAGCGGTTGTACTGGGTCCTGAATCATCGGGTTGAGTCCACTAACGGGTCTGAACCGAGACAGTGGCTCAAACCAGACGTGATCTCCGCGCTCGAGATGGCGCGAACGCGCATGGCCACTGCCGTAGACCTGCCGCCCGTCTACGAGGCGCTGGACGATATCTGTCAGACGCAAACCCCCTCAGCCGTGGGCTACTCGCGCCAGGTGATGCCATCTCCATTGCGGGCTATCGATGGGCCTGAGTTGCCGACGGACAATACAATGATCCTCCTGGACGTGTCGGGGTCGATGGACTTTGACCCCGTGCGACCGTCCTATGAGCAATATATGGTCACCCGCTATGAGCGGACAATGCAGCCCAAGAACAAAGGTATGGGACCACCCCCCGCCATGTAATGATATACAAGTTTTCCCCTATGCTAATCTATCCTCCATCCAGATGTCGCCAAAGCAGTGATCCGCCGCTTCACGGACGCGCTCGCCACCCATGACCAGAACCGCGAGGGCTACCAGCTGGTGACCTTCGCCAATAAAGCCGCCTACATGGGCTACATCAACCACCGGAACTTCGCTTCGGTGTGGAGCCAGATCACCGTGGGGGGCGGCACGCGCGTCATGGCGGGCTGGCAGCAGGTCAAGGACCTCCATTTCCAGCGGCACGCGGGGTTCGCGACCTACCACGCGGTATACGGTTGGCAGGCCGGGCCCCAGATGCCGATCCTCCGGCTCCTGCTGCTGCTGGACGGGGAGGCGACCGACATGGATGAGTTCGAGCTGGAGCTGCTCAGCCTGTCGTGGGTCCACGTGACGATCTTCCTGATCGGGGCCGACGGGTGTCCGCATCACCACCGCCACGCCAACGAGCTCCAGCGCATCAGTGAGGTCAACCCGCACGTCGCGTTCGTCGACGCGCAGGGCAACACCCCGGAGCGGTATGTGACGCATGAGCTATTGAAACGGCACCTTGGGTACGAGGTGACCCTGTCGGAGTTTGAGGAGTGGGAGCGGCATGCTCCGCCCGCGTATGAGACTCCTGCTTAGGAAGGGCTGGGTGCATATGTCATATGTAACAGACTATCTTCTTCTGGTTTCCTGACGACATACTTCCAGCATTGTGACCAAGACGATGGACGGGAGCGAGGCGAGGATGCCTTGGAGTATCGGCCGCGGATTAGGTAAACGAGAGGTTTACATTGAAGAGAGTCGAGGAAGACTTCTTTCATTCTCCTAACTCACATGATCTCCCTTGTCACGAAGCTTGTTCCGTCATTCTTTCTTTCAATATCACGGTTTTCAATTGCGTCCTGCTTCTCAAGTACGTTATACTGCGATATATGAATTCAAGGTAATCAAAGTCAATCCAAGTTCATCCAAAATCGGTCAACGTAGTGGAGCTTGCTATAGCTTAGAGCTATTTGGGCTCTAATTCAAGCAAACGCTTGCTTTGCTTTGTACGAAATGTTGAAACCAGGCGGTCGTAGGCCTTAGCTAAAGCTGAACCTGATGGAGAGTTGGCTGGCTCTCGTTACCACTGCTTATTCAGTCTTGGAGACAGGAGTTTTCAGTGGCTGAATTATGTCGGCATCGAAACAAAGTTGACACACCGTACCAAGAAAAGACAGGCAGTGTGTAGATCAATCGAATACAGTCGTCAGTAGGGATCCAGGAGGGGCCTGTCTACAGACACAAATACGGACCAGTTCGATAAATAATCCATCTTATGAGTCTCGCAAATATGACTCTAGCCGATAGAATCAGCGGGCTATCACTTGATTTCCTGTTATCTAAGAAGCTAAAGTTTATGGCGGTATTGACTACGAATGGGAGGGACTTTAGAACAGGTATAGTTGACATTTGGATTGTGTAGAAAAATGAGATTACTATAGGGTAGGAAAGTTTGTTCTGAGAACCATACGCATAAATAGCTACGGTTAGAACGCCAAGTTGCTCCTGTTTATGCTGGTAGCATGGATAGACTTGGCGTAGCACCTCCGAAGAGTGTCGGGCGCGTATAGCAAAGACATGCACCTTAGAGTTTGTGGAAGCTCAAACCTTAGCACTCTTGTTGCATCCAAGCATACTTAGAAACAATATTATCTTTTCCCGGGTTCGCAACCCACTCGATAATCCTAAATCCAGGATACTTCCAATTATCGCAAAAGCATTTTCATTCTGCCGTGTACAATACACACTCCGTGGCCGATCAGAAAACATTCCGCCTCTTCATTCATCATCGACATCAGTACTCAAAGCGATTTCCTTCATCTCCTCCAGGTTTTGCTTCACACTCTCCAACTTCTCCACCATGCGCGGGAAGCAATCAGTCCCCAGCGGGAGGCGAAGGAGATGCTCCTTACCCTGCCCCTGGCCCTGTAGTTGAATCACGTCAAGGATCCGCTGGACCGCCTTTGATGGATCTCCGCTCTGCTTTCCCGCAAAAGTCTCCCATTTACCCATTGCAGCTGCCAGGGGTGTGTCCTTGTAGCCCTCATTTAGCCCAACAGCGGGGGTCCTGTGTGATCCGATGAAGTTGGTCCGGAAAGCGCCCGGCTCCACTAGTAGGAGACGGATATTGAATGGGTCGAGCTCGGTAGACAGGGCTTCAGACAGGGCTAAATTTGAAAGGAGGTTAGCAGGACATCCCGACTTTTGGTAGCAAGACCGAGCTGGCCACTTACGTACCTTCGACAGCGAACTTGGTCATGGCATATGCCGCAGAGGATGGCCCGGCGGCAAAACCCGCAATGCTACTAATGTTGACGATGGTGCCCTGGCGTTGCGCCCTCATGAAGGGAAGCACGGCTTTGGTGACCCTGACCACACCATAGACATTCGTCTGGAATTGAACGTCGAGCTCATCTTCGCTGTAGTCCCTTAGCCCCATACACATGCCATCGGATTGCAATTTGTGCCCTCGTACCTAATATCCTCAATGCTACCCACGAGACCGTACCCAGCATTATTGATCACAACATCGATTCTACCGCCATGGTCTTGGATCGCTTGTGCCACTTGCAAAGTCGTCTGCTTGCTAGTCACGTCCAGGGGAAGCCATGTTCCACCCAAAGCTGTGATCTGGGGGTAGTCCTTAGCTGCTTTGGTCGGATTGCGAGCCGTGGCGATAACTTGATGACCGGCCTTCAGCGCCGCTTCAGCGAGGAGGGCCCCAAAGCCGGAGGATGCTCCAGTGATTAACCAAACTTGAGGGGCCATTGGGCTTGAATTTGTTGCAATAGTGAGGTACATATAAATCTGTCAAAGGAAAAACGAGATGGAAGCAGGAAATATGTACAAGTGCGTCCTCAGCTGTGCGTGGTTGGATATTTATATCTGCCAGGCGATGTGGATGAGAGCGATCACTCCTGTATGTGGAATCGACCCCGTGTCATCGCGCCCGAGATAGCCGGTTGTCGAGTCGAAGGTTGGTACGCTTCATTGCGGGTCTCCAATATACACCATAGAGAAGAAGGTGAAAGAAAATCATGGGTGACAGGAACATGTTCAATGCATGCCTAGCAAAATCCTAGCGCTTAACTGTATCTTCTTGGCGTGTATTTTCTGATCGCATCACCGTTGCCACCCATGCTGGAATGTATTTGCTATCGTTGCCAATAGTTTGTCTAGAAGGCATTATACTCACTCACACCCTGTTTCGGCAGGTGCAAGGTGATCTTCATCCCATCTACCCATCAGCTACAATTGATTGACCGAGTATACTGCGGGCTATTGATTCATGTGAAGTAGGTGGAGCTCAAGCTACGTAGAATCAAACCTGACTGCTCCAGAACCGGGGGCGGTCTTTGAGAGGTAGAAGGTTTTGATGATGATCACGAAAGAAAAAACAGGTTGATGGAATCAGATTTCGGTACTTCAATGACGACGATAGTGCTCTCTCAGAGTGATAAATACCAGGTTCCGGGGAAGACATGCATTCTTGACTATGGTCACTGAATTAAAAGACCTTCAAGGTTTATCGTGTGACTAATGTCCACTTCTCTCGACTATCCTGAACTGCAGTAATTTACATTGAAACTCACCGGCTAGCCGAGTTTTACCCGCATCAACTAGCCACTCTAGGCATAGACTTTGAGTGTCCACGGTACCACGGATCCAATCTCGCGACCAAAATCTACGCAAACCGATACGTCCGTTATCTCCGGCGGTGCTCACATACGAATCAGGACAGATAGGCGGTCGCCGGTACTTGAGTAAAATCAATATCTCCAGGCTACCTCTCCGGCCTTCAGGGGTGGATGTAGTCCAGAGGGCCACGCCCAGAACTTGCCAGGCTTGATAACATCATTCCTGTTCAGAGATAAGAGGCTATCGCCAGAGGTGGTTAGATCTCCTGCAGGTGTATGACAGAGTGGATTCCACTAAGACAATTCAGGAATGATAAGGCCCCACTTCAAATGAACTGAGATCGCAGGCGAAGGCTATCGCTACTTTAGCTCTACGCTTGCACCGCAGAGGTATATTCCCGCCCACTTGTATGTGCTCTTTCTTCCTGTTCTTCTTCATATACACGATAATTACAGCTTCTCTTGTCATCCGATTGCATATACGCCCGCAGCGACAATCGGCAACATTGACCGGTAGTAGGATGGCCCACAACAGCACCCATGAGTTTTCCATCCAGCGAGAGGATGACTTCTCTGGGACATCGTCAGCCAATAGAAAAATCCGCGTACAGAGAATCACCGCACGAATTCAAGAATGGCCCGAGGAAGATTGGTCGGGTATCGCAGACCTCAAATTGCGCAGGAGGTTGCAAAACCGGTTGAATCAGCGAGCGCGACGTAAGTCCTTGTGCGCGCAGAACGCCCATAAGCCCCGACACCCACCTTTGAGGGAAGAAGGTTTTGCAAGAGGCATGTAACTGAGCAAATGAGTATCTGTGCAGGTCTCAAAAAAGTGGAAGGCCCTCAGTGTCTGTCGACTCGTCAGAGCGGCGACGGTGCCGATCCCTCATCTACTACGGAGCTGGGTTGCGCTCCCGTGGCGCCACCGTTGGCCTCTTACCCTGGACAGGCTGTACGTACGCTGTCAGATCATGAGGAAAGTACGGCCCTAGCTGCTCTGAGAAAAGTCGAAAACATCCACGTTCTCCACCCGGACATCAGTCACCCGGAGAGCGTGCTGCAGCACATAGAAGCGGTGGCGCGCGAGCAGCATCCGTCTGGAGACCCACGTTCCGACATGTTGCTCCATCTGATACAGTTCAATTTTACCAGAGGCCAACTCCAGACTATGAGGATCCTTGGTCTGACCTCAGAGCACATGGACGATGATGCCATCTCGTTCTTCAACTTACCGGGACCATGGCCGCACGAGATGGTACAATCTCTCCCCGCCAGTCTCCAACCTACTCTAGTGCAGCGCACCGTAGTCCACCATCCGTGGCTCGACCTGCTTCCCCTCCCGGCTATGCGGGACAACCTGATTCTGGCGGGAGAGTCATATGACGAAACTAAGCTTTGCCTTGACATGAAGGGGCTTGGCAGCGTGCACGGCGAATATTCGGGGATCATCATCTGGAGTGATCCGTGGGATCCAAGCGGGTGGGAGATCACTGAGCCGTTTTCACGCTCCTGGGAATGGGTTCTCCGGGGCTGCTGGGAGATCTTTCACTCGACCAACGCCTGGCGAGCGCGTCGCAATGAGGAAGCGCTTCTTCCTGTCACCCAAATTTAGAGACTCTATCTGCCTATACGTCATTCTAGCCCTGTGAATTGGAAGTCATAAGCAAGGATTGGTGCATGAAGCTCCTTCGGTTTTCGAGTAGCGTAGCACGAACAGGTCGAAATGCATTCTAATGATCTCTTACACCTGCCGTGAATGTGATTCCTGGTAAATAAAGATGAACAGATTTAGGTGAGCACAGAGGTATGCTTTTCGGGGCGAGCTACCAGACTGAGGGTATCCTTCCGCTATTATTCCGTCAGGAAAGTTGTTACCTTCATCTAGCGTCCCCAATTTCGCCATAGGTATAATACACCACAAAGCCCAGTGCCGATTCTTCCCGCAAAGCGGTAATATTGCTACTATCAGAGAAATATTATGTTTCTCTCTTTACATCCCCCACGCAGAGGCATATTTACTGCGGTAGCCAGACATTTGTTGAATTCCTTGTGCAGATGCGCTACGACATGCAAGTCAGCTTTATGAGAATAATAGATTCATCCTACGCAGTAGCTGTGCTCCTAACACAAGGTTATATCTCCAAAACATCTTATCTCAATCATTGACCAAAAGTTCCAGGCTTAATTCTAGGACACAATTCCAGCCTGGCCAGCCCCAGACGAAACAGCCTGGCGTCAGCCAGATGTGCTTGAGCTTTAATGGCCGCACAACGATCCAAAAAGCTCGTTGAACCGCTCTCCAGTCGGCTTGGTGTTTTCCACCAGCCTTCTCATCTCGCTGAGCTCCGCAGGTGTCAATTCCACATGGCGCGATCCCCAGTTCTCCTCCAAACGCGAGGGTTTGGTTGTACCCGGAATGGTGATGAGTCCCTGCGCAGCCACCCACGCCAGCGCGATCTGCGCGACCGAGCAGCCCTTCCGAGTTGCCAGCTTCTTGATCTCATCGACGATGGCTTTGTTCTTGTAAAAGTTCTCGCCCTGGAACTTCGGGACTGGAAATTTTTCCTCAGTCAGTCAGTCTCTGTTCGCGAACTTGCAGTCAGTGTGGGAGGGCGTACCGGTGCGTCGGAAATCATCCGCGGCAAAGTCATCGGGAGACTTGTAGTCGAAGTCGTCCACGAGCCAGCCGTGTCCCAGCGGGCTGAAGGCCACAAAGGCTACCCCCAGTTCCTTGGCCGTGTCGATCAGGCCACTGGTCTCGTGCACCGTCTCAAACGCAGAGTACTCGGCTTGCACTGCATCGATCTTGGCGACTAGAGAAAAGATTAGCGCCGGGAGATCAAGGGATTCAGCTAACTACGGGTAGACTAACTGGCGTGGGCCTTGCGCAAGGTTGCAGCAGAGCATTCCGACAGGCCGATGTACTTGGTTTTGCCGCTCCGGCGGAGTTCGTCGAGGGCGCCGATGGACTCCTCGAGAGGGGTGTCTTTCCACGGCAAAGGCTCGGTCAGCATCCATTCCAACAGCACGGTTCCACGGTCGGGCAGCTTTCTGCTACGTACTGGGATCTATCCGGTGAAGATAGTAGAGATCCGGTGTGAAACCCAGTCTCTCAATTGTGCCCTCAATGTATTCCTTGATGTGAGCGGCCGAGTTGGTGACTTTGCGCTCAGGTCCGAAGACTTCGAAGCCACATTTCGAGGCGACTACACCCCACTATGATGTGAGCCTGTGATGCATCAACAAAGACAGAGGAACACTTGATTTGACTCACCAAAGAGCTTATCGCGAACGTTATGCTTCTTGATGAAGTCCCCAAGCAGCTTCTCGTTCTCGCCGGCCTTGTAGGCAACCTGTCCCGTGCAAGGTGATTAGACAGGACCTGGACGTTCTTCACACCCTAGACTTACCGCAGTATCCCAGAAGGTGCATCCGAGCTCGATAGCCTTCAGAAGAACGGCCTCGGACTGGGAGGCATCGAGATCTGTTCCCATGCCGTGATTGAGGCCCATGGCGCCGAAGCCGGGAACTGGGACCTGCTGGTCGCCGAATGGGAGAGTCTTAGTCATTTTCGGGAAAGTGAAGTAGTTTGATTCAAGAAGTCCTGGCAAGTTTCGCAGTTTCGGGAGTGTGCGTCTAAACATGAGGGCCGACACTCATGACCAGCGCCATCTGCGAGTATTTATGCAACCCTGGCCGAGCGGCGTGATATTGCAACCACGACCTAAAAAGGGCTCTTCTATGCACCATCCATGGAAGAGCCCTGAGGAAGAAGGTTATTTCTCTTTTGAGTTAAGCATCATGCAGGTGTATGACAGGGCCAATGAACAGCAAGTGGCAAATCTGGTTCTGCGGGGCGTCGGCTGCGCGGAGGTATGGGAGCTAGTGGCTACCAGCGCAGTTAAACCCGATATCCGTGCTAATCTCCGATTCTTATCAGATACTCTAACTCGCGTTATGGTTAATTATATGATGAATTTGTGATTTTGCAAGCCTCCAACAAGAACATCCTAATGGCATCTTTGTGCATTTGTCAATTATTATTCGCATTTAAGTACCATGTTATTGATCACACATGAAGGATACAAAACATATTCTGTTTCCCTTCATGGTTCCACCCTAGTTCTATGGAATATATCTGTTCATTGTCAAGAACGTGCTCTCTTTATATCGCTGCAATATACAATGTGCATTGGAGCTTTCTCGAAAGGCTAAAAGGTCCCGGAATCATACATAGATTGCTCTTTCTTTTGGGGCCGGGAAAATGAGACTAGCTCAACTATAGTTGATTGACTCCGAACACAGCATATGGACCTCATACTTACCAACCACCGGGTATCACAAGTTTCATACTCTAGAATTATTCCTACACGATAGTCTCCAGCCACAAACAATAAGATCTCTCGGCAGGGGAGGGAGAGAAAAGAAGAAAGCAAACCCCGGTTTCAAGGGTGAGAGCCAGAGGGGGAACCACCCTCACGAACACACGACAAACCCATCCGTGCCCGAAAGGCTCGATTCCACTGTCTCGTGTATCATCACACCGCAGTAGATCAATTCCTCGTTGCTCCCTTCCATGTACACGACTCGCATAGGGGTCTCCCAATTGGTCCCCATGGCTTTCTTTTTCTCGTCCTTGGACCACGCCTTTCTCGAGGCTCCGGTCCAGTAGACCGGGTACTCCATCAGCTTGCTGTCACTGTTCTTCGTCTGGTCGTCACACTCCTGGACGCCCCAGGTCAGGGCGTTGAAGTTCTGGTACTGGTGCGGGTAGCCGCTCTTGGTGGTCGTACTGAAGCCCCCGGACTTGGCTTGAGCCTCGGCGGTGGAGGTGGCTATCTTGAAGCTTTTGACCGTACTCTTGTTGGTCTTGGGAGTGCAGGTGATAGTGCCCTATCATAAATATAATTCCACGTCAGCTGTTGTGGAGGGGTGTGTGAAGCTGAGAAGGTAAAGAAAGAAACCAGGGTATTCAACAGTTTCATCAGAACTTACGCTACGTGCTTCCAAGATGTTGAGGACATCGGTGCTTTCCTCGTATTCTCTAGCATCGATCCGCCATTTGTTGTTCCTCTTGATTCCCACAAAACCATTCTCACCGGGCTCTCTAGTGTGAGCTGACAGTGCCGGGGCGGCAAGAAAACAAAGCGCGAGTATGTTCTTGATTTGCATTTTAGGCAAAGGAGTGAATGTGCATACAAACAGATGTGTGTAGTGAAGGAGTGAACAATTAAGAAGGATTGCTGATTTGTCCGGTCGTGCAGGGCAGAAGGTCGTTCGAAGAAAGCATCCTGCTGGCTTTATAGCTCGTTGTCCCGGTAGCAGAAAGCTACCGACCAGCATCAGAGCGGAAGTTTTCACTGTACTCCTCGATGCCTGCATGTTCGAATGCAACTAGTAGGCGAGACATGATGTCTCTGATACCTACATTAGCACTGCCAACACAAGCAGCTCAGTTCGCCAATAAAAACACAGACTGCTTGTTATGCGTTCCGGAATTAGCTTCGTGGGAAGAGATTATATCCTACTGGAACTGTTTTGGCATCTATATCAGACAGACTAGACTTTCATTGTAAGACACTTCTGCGCTTCTATTGGAGAGTTCGTCTGCTTGAAAAGCTGAGGTGATTTCTGATGCTTGTATGGGGGCAGAATGATCAGAGACTGCCAGGGGCGATCTGGGGCCAAAGACCCCAAGCCTGGGGGCGTTATTCCACGCAAAGCTCGAATGATCCTCCTTAGGGAATTTAGACAACCTCATTTTCATTCGATCTGACTCATCTGAAAATATTGTTGGATAGAAGCGTGCTTCTTATAGGCCTGTGCACGCCTAGGCCTGTTCATTGGGCTTGGCCGCGGGCAAACCCGACCGGGAAGGATAGCCCTAACACCAAGCAAGCTGTAAGTCATTCACTAGTGCTTACCATGTCTAAGCCACGCCACAACCAAAAAACAACCCCCCATCACTCCACTTCCAGCGGCTCTTCGATTCGGATCCTCAATCTACTTTTCCCTTCATTTCATACTTCTCGACAAACCCAAAGCGACAACTTCACCCTCTCAATGTCTGCTCCAAAAAGCACGGAGAACCCCGGTTTCGACACTGTCCTTGACTTCAACATATTCGAACACCACGATGATGAAGAAGACCTCTTTTACAAGAACAAACTGGTCGCAATTGTTGAGGGTGAGATCACACCCAGGCAGGCTGCAATAGAAATAGACACCTTCATCACGCACGACTCGGAGCGGTTATACAAACTGCACCGGGCGTATCATTTTTCGCCCGAAGACTTGCCCGACGAGATCCGTGGTCAATTACCATTACCCGCTGATAGCGATGAGAGAGAGCTGGGAATCCACTGTCCGAATCCCGGAGGACATATCGAAATGTTCATGCACTGGGTTTTCCGACTAGGCTCGGCCTTCCCGCCCGGCCATGTCGGCCAAGACCGCCTGATCGCCTTTCTGGAGGCGCTGCGTGATCTACCAAGACATGAGATTGTCACTATAGTATCGCCCTCGGTAGCACCGCCCTCGGACGGCCAAGTCGAGCAGAACATGTATACGACTCTAGAAGTGTGGCCGATGGGGGGCCATTGGTTACTCCTGCAGATGGTGGCTCATTACGAAGCACAAGGTATTCCCTCTTTTATGTTCCCCCTCCGATCGATTCCCTATCTTTCTCCCTGGCTAGAAATCTAAGTGAGAACCGCTGACTAACCTCCGTCTCTCAGCCTACTTATACCGTCTTTATGCGGCTACGCGACTGCCCCCTACTGAGATAGACCTCCGGCTGCGGAACTTCCAGTCTGCCATCGCGCGCATGACGGCACTGGATCTGATCGATTGCGGATGGCTCTCTTCGTTGGAGGGCATCCTTCCTTCGCACCCCTGGTACCCTGATCTAAATGACCCCGAGGGTCAAGGGTTTGGCAAGGATCAGGGGCTCCGATGGCTTGCTGGTTGGATCATTGCGGGTGTGCAGTGGCTGCTTCGTGCTGAAGTGGGGCAGTATGTCTATCAACAGTGTCGGAAGAGGGAGAAGATTGTCGAACGGTCGGAGATGTGGAGTATGCAGCGGTGGCAGCAGTGGAAGGATCAGTCTTCATTCGCCGCAAATGAGGTACGGGTTGGTGTACATGCTCAGGAGCTGGCCCGGTTGGCGCTTCAGAAGATGATTGAGTATGAAGGTGGAGGTGCTACTGCGGAGGGTGATTTGTGAGATATCTCGATATGTGCAGTAGGGATCGGCAAAGCGCACTAGCATGTCGAACCACACTTTTGAGGCATTGGGTTATTACAATTTTTTGTCTTATGTCTGTGGAGTCAAGTTGCCTTCGAGCCAAATTGATATCCTTCTTTATACTCTTACAAAATGCGTCAAAGCCGCCTCTAGCTTTACTTCCGTAGATAATTTGAATAATTAGTGAATAACTCTAAGACCAATTGTTAATCACAAACTAAAATCTTGGACACCTGTCTCTGGAGACCTTTCTGTCCTAGGTGGTCGTAGTACTCAGCCCTCTCGCGCCGCATTTCTCGCGCCGCGCAATAATGCAATGCCGTCGACGTCCTAACTTTTTCGAGCTCAATAAGCCTTATTCCTCCTACACAGAACTCATACACTTCTTGATGCCACTCCACAAACAATGCAATGACCTCCTAGAGATCAGTGCCGCATCTTCCGCCCCAACAGACAAACCGGAAGCCAATGAAACTCCCCTCTCTCTTCTTCTTCATCTCTGGGCTGTTTCCGCATGACATCCTCATGCAACGCCGCCAGCCCGGCCAACCACTCCTCCTGAGTTGGCACCGAGGGCGCCACCGCCCGCAGCTTATCCAACACAGCACTGCTATTCTCCAATGCCAACATGAAGGTATCCGTGGCGAGGGGAATGAGCTGTGGAGTCGCCCAGGGGGTTTGCTGCCGGCACTCGACCACCTTCAATGTCTCGGCCTTGTCGTCTAAGACAGTGGTTTGGATGTGGTGGGCGAGGTTGTCGAGCCATCTAGAAGGCTCCCATATCAGTCTTGATAAATGAAATCTCTTGAGGATAAATTTCCGGAACAATGCAGAGAGCCGAGGTAAAGGCGGAGAAGCAATCTAATGAAACCAAACAGAAGAGAATCTCACCGGAAATCATGCCCGGTCACCACCGTCTGCCGGTTCATCAATTCCCGGAATCGCTGAGCCGGAAGACCACGCTGCACGATACTGCCGAATCGAGCGTCTTCCCATTGGAGATAGCCACCTGGCTCTGTTCGCCCTTTCGTGTTAGTGTGTTTGCTTCCTTGTGAATTTTTTTTCCTGCATGATTTTCTTCCTTGTTTTTCTTTTTCTTATTCGCCTGAATCCGAAGTAACATGAACATACTCAGCAATCTCGAAGCATGGCGAATCAACGCACTCGGATCGTTGTCGCGGATGATGAAGGCCCACATGCGCAGATGCACCACGTCGAACTGGCCGATTAGGGCTTCCGGGATCGTCGGGCTGAGCGAGTCGAGCAGCTCGAAGCGCACATTCGCGGGCCAATACTCCTTGGCTGGGAAGTGCGTGTCGGCAATGTCGTAGGCGACGAGGCGAGCGTCTGGGGGAAGGTTGGGAGCAAGTTCAAGGGCCCAGATTCTGGATTTTGTTTAGTTTTGAGGAGGCTGGGCTTTGGGGAAGACGAAGAAAGGTCCCTTTACCCCGTTCCGGCTCCAATATCGGCTATTATCATTCCATCTTTGCGGGGAATCTCTGGGTGCAGGAGATATTTCGTATGCAGCTGCCACAGGAGGTGTTGCGCGTCGAGGCTGAAAGGTTTGTGGGAATTAGCAGAGGAGAATAGTGGGGAAAGAGAATAGGTATGATGCGTGGGTGTAGGCCTACCGAACTGCTTCGGATCGATCGCGTCGCAACAAATAGGTGGTGGGGGAAGGGGTCATCATGGTTATATCATTTACTGTTCCTCTGAGAACCTTGGATTTTGGCAATCAGAGAGAAGTGAAGGAGTCTTTCTTTCCCTTTTGAAAAAGAAGTAACCACATGCAATACATTAACTGGGTAAACTCGATACATCCGCAGCAGCCACCAATCTCGGGCGGGCACTCCGTAACAAAGGATTGCCGATCGACACCCGACTAGTCTTCTAGCTAGTGCTTATCCTCCAAGCCCCTTAGCACGATGGTGCCACGTCACTATCGTAGAACGCGGTCTTAGTCTGCACCAAATAGCCTTGTTGGACATTATTCCCGCTTGCATCGGCACCCCGTCCCCGTAGTGTTCATCCTCCTCCGTAAACAGCCGCCATCGACCCTTGCCGACGGATTTCGACCGGCTGCTGGGCCACGATCTGCTCTTGCCCGTCTGGAAACTGAACAAAGCGCTCGGCAACCCAATCTGGGTTCGGAGATATGTGTACAAGGGTCGCAATCAAGGGAGGCACGCTGGTGGTTGTGAACATCACCCTCTGAGCTTAGCCAGCGTAGGAGCGAGAGGGGAAAGGTATGTATGGAGGCAGTAGACTTACCAGCAACTGTGCCAACGTTAAACTTGACACACGTCCAGATCAGGTACGGTACGAAGTTCCAGGTAATGTCCTCCGAGCTCAGATCGACCCTCAGCAGGCACACAGGCCGGATTATGGAGACGACGGTAACACTAGCGATGCAGTCAGCGCTTAGCGCCCCCCTTCCCCTCTCCCCAAGAACCCCTCGTCAAATTCGGTAACCACTCTGGAATAAAAACGTACAGTCCACCCATGAAGCAAGTTAATGTAAGCACGACCTTCTGCATTCGGTTGGTGTGAAGTTGCCAGATCGTTTTTAGCGGAATAGCCAGTATACACAGATTTGTGACCGTGTCTGGGATAGACTTGCCCAGAAAATAATCCCGGCTATTGACCCAACATTTGGCGGGGATAAATTTATCCCAGTAAACCTGCAAGGGAATGCACCGGAGGCAAACAATCAGAACCTGGCGGCACGAGGAAAAGGAAAAAGAGATTAGCTGATCAGCACGCAAGTCGATGAAAGGATCATGACATACACTAGCGAGCGCCCAGGCGGAGACAGCCACGGCCACTCCCGCCGTAGCGTGCATAATATAGGGAATTTGAAAGACCCTTCGGGACGATAGCAGGATTGAAAATTTGATAGCTACCATAGTGGCCACATATCCAGGTTCTGCAATGACCAGCGCTTCAAGAAAGGTCGGGACAGAATCAGCGGGAGCCACCCATACATGCAGCCCAAGCCCATGTTGGGTATCTGTACGAAGGTGATCGGAAGCAAACAGTAACTTGTAGAAGTAAGATAGCGGAATGAGAAAGCTTACTCCAGGCACAAGGTAGCAGGGACGGAATTGCCCCGAACACCTGTAGTCTATGAAGTTAGAATCTTGTCGTATCAAATGGAAATGTAAGGAAGAAGGGGCATGGTATAGACCAGTGATAACAAAACCACTCAATCATCTCACCACAGTCCAGCCTTGGCAATAGATTGGGCAGTGAACCGCAATGCAACTGCCAGAGATGGGGCTGTGTGCAGGTGAAAGTACAGCAGATCACAATGGGGCCATGGTACGTTGGTGACGTACTGTACAGCAACTTGCTACATACAGTGCCCGGTAGATGGATTTATGTACCAGTATTTCCATCTTTAGCCGGATTTCAGATTTCAATCTTCACATTACTTACATACGTACTCCACGGGATTATATAAAAGATCAGGATTTGTTGTTGTCAACTCAGATTTCTTCTCATTATCAGTGATGATCCAGTACTGAAAGTTCAGTATATGAGTTCTCAGTGGCAGATATAATGCATCGGCCTTGCGAAACTGTATACTCTATCAAGCTTTGCCTTCAAGTTCAATAATCATCTTGCCACTTGAACAAATTCTCAATCACGCTCGGGGCCAAAATGAGGTTCACCTGGTGTACCTGGAGGGAGGGAGTAAGGGGGGTCCGGGGACAACGAGCTCGAACCCCGTTGACGACAATTGCCAAGCTGTGTGGTGGTTCCGAAATGAGAGCAAAAACTCGAAGTAATCCCCAAGTGCCCGGTCTCGGATATCTGGCAGTCAAGTGATTTAACCTGCGCTGTGTTTCTCCCATCGTCTCGGCAAGAACCTCGCTACGAGATCACTACAGCTCCGAGCTGAGCCTCATCCTCGAACCGTCCGCACTTAAAGGGTGCGCTGAAAGGGCCTAATGTTACAGTTGCGGATGTCATCAACGCTATTGACTACGCTATCCCCGCCATTGAAATTATCGACTCGCGTGTCGAGAACTGGGAAATCGACCTCCCTGATACGCTCGCAGGTAACGGCTCTACCGGCGGTATTATCCTTGGTGGTACGCCTCGGAAGCTTACCGATCTCACTCTCAGCAATATCCTCGGCTCTCTCTAGTACAACGGCCAAGAAGTGATAACAGGCAACACGAAGAACATTCTGGATAACCCAATCTCAGCTATGGCATGGCTAGCCAACCGAATCGCTGAGTATGATATTGAGTTCCAGGCTAGACAAGTCATTATGCCTAGAAGTTGCCTAGAAGCGATCCCGATAAAGAAGCCCGCATTCTGGTCTTCTACATTCGAAGGATGGGGTACCATTGAGTTCGAAGTTGTTTAATTTGCTGCTACGATGCGAAAAGAAGAATAGAATTCACAATCCCAGGCGTGCGCACCAAACCTATCATATCGGACTTATTAATTACAGCTTAGTTAACTAAACTACGGCGACCGATAAACGCCATTCTTCAAAACCCATGGGTAAAACCGGCATATTTTCATCTGACCAAGTTACATTTCTAAATTTCCAAATCCATCATTATCCTATACTTTTCCCTCATTATCCTATGCTCTTCTATTATCCTCTGCTACTCCTAAGAAGTCATACAATAAAAGAGACATCGTCAAATTAAACTATGCGTAATTATCTTAGTATATGAATTGCTGACACTAGTAATTCCCAATTCTAGTATAAATACATGGTATCTACATCTTTACCGTCGCTGGCGTAGGTTCCGCTGTGTCACTGGTGGTGTAGTGCGCCTCCGCTTCCTTCGTGGTCGCTCTTCCACAATGGGCGCTGGGTGTCCATTATGGACGAGGATTCCAACAGTCTTTCCATCGATATCGTGGCCCGAGATGGTAGTCCACAGGTTATCCTTCGAACACGGCGGAATCACGACTCTTCAGATTCGATTCGACTCGGAACCACCAAGACTCAGGTTCCGGTTCCATGTTTCCGAACCCGCGATTCGACTACAGTGTGTGTGTGTTTTAGCGAGTTCCCTCCACTGTTTTTAAAAAAGGAAAATCGATGTCGGCTCTCACAGCGAAACCAAGCATGAATATGCTGACTGCAAGCGAAGTCAGAATGTTAGAGCTAACGTGGAAGGCCTGGACCGTATATTCCATTCCCGGAGCGGGAATGGAATATGCCCAGGGACGTAAAAGGGAAATATGTAAGAATCTTTAGCATTCAAGTTGTACTGAAAGAAGACAATGGGTGCACCTGAGAATTAGTCGAAGCTCACAAGGCCAAGTCAAAGCCATTTTCGGCTGCTTGGAAATTTTCTAAGAAAAGTCAACACTGAGAACTCTAATACCAGTGTTCACAAACCTTACTGAGGGTTTTGAGGGTCTTCCAAATTATCCCAGCCGATAATGCCATTTGCCAAGTCCGTTAGTTTATCTTAGCCTGGGAGAATTAGCTCCGGGCGTTTCTCTCCGTCCGTTGACAGTTGCTATTCATGACGTGTTCAGAAGTATCCATTAGAAGGAAGTCTCGCAATTTGCACTTCAAAAAGGACAATGTACGGCTTCAAATTGACATCCGCTGCAGACTGAGCGGTTTTGAACGATCCACGGCAACAATTGGACACGGATAGAGGCTTGTATCGGTCGGAGGTCAATAGGTAACCCGGTAATTTTCAACCGCGTACGGAGTACGGTTGTTTTTGAAACAGCATACTTATCCGAAAATCTCGCCAAAAGTGATGCGGTCACCGGACATTTTTTGCTCTAGTACCTTGACCCTTCATAATAGGGATTGTGTCGGGGAAAGGTGGAGACGCATAATTCAACGACAAGAAATTCTTTGTTACGTGGGAAACCAGATTGTCTGTGTATTTGTATGTAAATATGGACGGCGCTTCGACCTTGGTACGGTTCTCCGAATACTCCGTTACAGCACACGGAGGTAACAGCTAAACCCGGCCGTTTTCTATGTAATTGGAGATTCTTTCTTCAATCAATCACTATTCTATCTGATGATTCCTATATTTATCCTTCTTCCTAATTCATACTAATCTATACATTAATTCGACCTTGCTTCGAAAGATTGTTTGCAACTTCCAAACAAAATGACCTAACATATTCCCCCCACACGGATCTTGAAATATTATCAGTCTTGGCCAGGGCGAACTGCCTTCATTCAGCTTTACTATGGTCTCACTACTACTTCGCTTCCTTCATTCGTCTGCTCAATTACCCTGAAATTGTGATCCTTGCATGTACATGATATATCTCCCGTACAATACCATTTCCAAGCTCTTCATGAGAAACACAGGAGCAATCGCCTCATTTTAGCAGTTATTATAGATGGATCTGGCTGACAGAAAATTAGGTTGGTCATTGCCCCCTGAAGATGATTGCACTACAAAGACTTAGTCAATGCTTTGATATATGCTTCAGCATTAGACCCCGGAGGTGAGCGAAAGTCAAGATAATCCATTTTGCACTCTGTACGTCCGAGTTACTGCATCAAACCCATGCTGATGTTCCTTGGGCTCATTGATAGCCCATCCAGTCAGTCCCAGCTCGCGGATTGCAGAAAGCGTCAATTCCGTGCTCATGCAATCTCATATCGAATTGAGCCTGTGTGTTGAATTTGTGATATCGATAAGCTTGTGAGCGTCAAATGACCAAGAGGGATGAAACAGTGCGAGCGGGGTAGGAAAAGAGTTTCCAGTATTTAAGACCATGCAAATAAGTCTTACCCAATTTATCCCTTCATCCAAGTCTAGGAGCTCTTCGAAATCAGTCAAGGGCCGCAGATCCTCTGATATAAGCTCCGGCAGCGGTGTAATTTCATGTGAGATTGAAGGACGTCTAGTAAGCGGATTGTTGAAGATACTGGAAGCTGCTGACGCTAGAATTCATAGTCAGTGCCCGAAGGAATGAAAAAATAATAAGAAAAGAAGATGTATAGGCATCTCAAACAACGTACAAGCCCGATTCACTCGATCGATATCTTGAAAGCCAACATTTTGTGTGATATAGGCCTGCTGTCGCATTCGTTTGATAATCAGCTTCACCATCTGAGCCGCCGTACCTGCTTCTTTCATATCGGCACACCAATCAATCCAAACGGCATATGAATTCTCCAACATAGCCTGCACTTTTATAAGTTGCCCAGGTCCACTCGATGGGAGGAAGGTCGTATCAACAGAATGGTGGATGATGTGAGGGTCAAATCCCCGATAAAGTATCATGACGGCCAGGAGAAAATCATAGACTGTGAGGCAAGTAAGTTTCCATTTATGGCCCCACAAGTATCGCCCAGGCTTTAATTCACGGTGCAGATTGAGTTGATGCTGAATGATATTTAGGGCCGCACTCATGCAAGCTGTGTATGAGGCGTCTTGTGTGAACATAGAATTGCGATGTAATATACAGCGAGCTTTTTCAAACTGTAGTTCTAGCATTATTCTTTGCAAGAAGCTCGCAGGGGTGTCAGTGTCCGGAAAGTAGACAGTTCCTTTGAAGCACAACGGTACTGCGTTGTACTTTTCAACCAGAGACCGGTCCAGCTCCATGACCCTCTCGTACGAGAAAGGGCGGAGAGACATTGTCTCATCCTGAATTTGACCTAATATATCGAGAGTATCCATGCGCGCGATGATGTAGGAGAGTGTGGTAGTCGTCCGGTCTGAACGCGATGGAGGTAGCTCAGTCATAGCTGGCCACAGGTCCTCATCAAGCAGATTATGCGGGCGTCCCGTGTCTGTTTCCTTCACTAACCTGGGGAGTCCGGCCTGTAAGGAGGCAATTATGTCCAATTGTGCAAGCACAAGCCACACACGCCGTCTTAGCTCGCCGTGAAAAACAGAGATCCCTGTGACGTGCTGCGGATCGCGATGGTAGCCTAATTGCATGGCGATACGAATAGTCATTGAAAATATAAGATAAAGTGCGAATGGTGTCTCAGGACTCCGGATCAGTTCACAGAAATAATAGAGCATAAGTGCCTCAACGGTGTCGTGGGTTGGTTTAGTATAGTTTGCCAAGATGAGACACTGTGCACTATGCCGACAGAATCGAACCATGGCTTCATTCGCGAACGGAAGGCCGGGTGGTAGAGGATCTTGAAAGACATCAAAGTGATAGGTGGCGATACACATCATGCTGAATAGCATGCTTAACCAGTTCATCGAGACCACGCTAGAATCCTCCCAAAAGTGTAGATACTAAGAAATTGGCTTTAGTGCGAACTGATCTCGAAATTGCACTAAATTTTTCACGTACCTCTTCTCGGAATGTTGGCACATGGATCATCACTGATTTCTATTAGTATGAGAACAACTCCACAGGGGTTCATTTGTTTGACCTCAGCAATCAAGAAATGTTTAGGGGTGGAAAAATCTATACATACAGGCAAAAAAGTCCATGTAACTAAAGTAGCGAGATACAAGCCCATCCACCGTATTCCGCGAGGGCATTGTCATGATAATCTCTTCTCGTGTGATATGCTTCAATCCACCCAGGAGCAGTTCCGGGGCTGAGTCCCTCCCTGGACCAGCTAGATGGGATGAAGATGACTGCTGAATATTACTTTCTGAATCACCGGGGAACTGGAAAGACGGAAGTCTGGAGGTCAGCAAATTCTAAACTTGGGAAAATGGCAACGGCCAAAGACCCCACATTGTTTTCAATTGAAGCCCGACCGTCTCCATCGAGAAGGTTTTCCCCAGTTTGTCTGAGCTGGTTGCGATCGGTGGTTTCTGTCACGACTGAAGACATCGGCTCCAAGACTGGCGGCGGCTGCATAGACACCTTCTCTTTGCTGATAAGGGATTGTACCGCGCCTTCGAGCCGGCTTAACCGCCCGTGAATGTTGTCGGTAGATGCTTGTCGAGAGCTTTTAGCCGGCTGAGGAGCATAAATACAGTCACCTGTTTGTTTCTGGCGGACACACGTCCCGCAAGGCTTTTGACGGTCGCATCGCACTCTGCAGCAGCAGTCAATTGGGATCCCCTTGTGACAAAGATCAATAGCCCTTACTTCCTTCGCCTACAGGGCTTGCACGAGACTGGATGTCTTGGCGTACGGTGTACGAAGCTTTCTACGCGTTGTTCCATGATCACCAGCGAGACAAAAAAAAAATGCTCGATGTAGTTGCAAGGTGCAGATCACGGCTTTCTTGCAGTGACGTTGGTGTGCGCATAAAGGCGAATATGGAAGGCGGTATACATTACCTACGGCGGACAATTGCCGCCATCGGGCAAATGGATTTCGCCTGCTTCAGTCTCTTCACCGCAGGCCTTACCGCTTCCCAACTAAGAACCATATCAAGCTTCTTCCTCTCTGTAACTATATGTCATGGATAATTCCTGTAACTGTGTCGGACTGCTTCTGGCTTACCTACGAATCCTTCATGCAAGGGTCATGACGTCAACAACTTTAGCCTCTCTAGTACTTGACCCGTAGACCCTTACTATAGTCTATACCTTTAGGAAAGCAAGAATTAGTCTTGAATTCAATGGACTACTACTATTCTATACTTAACCAAACTCCTTACCCCTAACAGAATTAATAATAAATAATTAATCTATCACTTCCTATTCTTATTTACCAATATATTAGTAAGACTAAACTAGATATAGAACTTATTAAAGATAGGCTGTAAATAATATATATACTGTAATATAAATAATAAAAAGTTTTATTGAAACTAAATATTTTTATAAATATTAGTTTAGGGTTTTTATTAATAGTTTAATACAGTTTTAATAAGATTAAAAGCTTTTCTTAATATAAATACTAATCTTCCGAATCTAACAAATAAATAGTACTAGTATATAAAATAGAAGAAGACATAAATAAAGAATAAATCTTATCTAAAATCTTTATAATCTTTTTTTCTTCTAGTAAGTATGATTTTTTTGTTTTACTTTTATTTTTTCGATTATTCTAAAAATTTATATCTATTTAACTAAGAAGCTTTTAGACTAAATTATATAATATATATAATATATAGTAGTTATATACAACTAATAGATAGTATAGTAACTTTTAGAATACAATACTTTTTTTAAAAAAAATAATTAATGATATCTTATTATCTAAGATATTATTAGGTATAATTATAAGTATTTAATTTATAATTTGATATTTTTTAAATTATCTATGTCACGGTGTGAGCAAGAGGCTCCCGTTGACCCCGAACCCGAAGAACTACTAAGAACCACTACCTGCCTGAATCCTGCCTGAATCCTGTATTAATGCAATCTTATATAGTATATACAGTATAAAGCCATCGGCTTTATATTCTAGTCCTTTTGCTAATAGTACAATAGTTATTCTTTAGAATACGTACCCCGAGGTGCTCCGTAATATAATATAAAGCCATCCCCACCGGTCGCCGGTTTGAAACATAGTAAACGCGTTTATAATAATACCTCCAACTACTGGGCTAGCTATATAAGTTGCATTACCTACCTGTCTGCCTGTATACCCCCTCGGCTAAGAAACTAGCTGTTAAGAGAAGGGGTATACTGTTACAGTATGAGCAAGAGGCTCTTATTAACCCCGAACCCGAAGAACTACTAAGAACCACTATCTATCTGAATCCTGCCTGAATCCTGTATTAATGTAATCTTATATAGTATACACAGTGTAAAGCCATCGGCTTTACATCCTAGTCCTTTTGCTAATGGTGCAACGGTTATCCTTTGGAATGCGTACCCCGAGGTGCTCCGTGACAATCTAACAAAACTAAACTTGGGTAGCTGCTAAGCTAATACTAGTTTAGTATTTAGTGTGCAAGGTCTCAGATACTAATCAGTACCTGAAGGTGAGCTCTATACCAGTATAAGGACTAAGATGGTGAAATAACATGATGAACAAATAACTCTTATAATATTAGTATTAAGCTAATTAGTAATAACAAAAATAATCATAATAGCAAATAGAAAAAAAAATAAGTATAAAAGGCTGTTACTAAACAATTAGAAGTATTGGTTTTATGAAAGTATATAATAGATAAAAAAAAGGAGAGTGTTACCTCTAGTATAAATAAAAACTAAATAGTTCTGGTAATCAAAGAAAAGAAAAGATCATAATTATAATAATAAAATTAATTCTTTATTGAAGACTCAGCTACAGCTTTTAGAAAGAGTTAAAAAGCATCTGTATTATCAATAGTTAATTTATACTATATTAGATATATACTATATGCAGTTAAATCTAATTTTTATATTTCTATTTATGATTAGCTTTATATATTTCGATTTATCATTAACTTCTCAATAATTGAATATCTTCTGTACTAGATTATTTTGGATGTAAATACAATATCTTAAAATACTGCTGAAACTGTATGGTTTCTATGACCTACTAACCTCTCAGTATTTGTCTAGTTTGCTAACCCGCGGGTTTTGACGAGGCCTAGTTAGTACCTCGGATTTATGGCAGCCTTCTGTCCGGTAGTAAAATCTGCCGATACCCACCTGGCAACCGGAGTCCATGATGGTATTTAGATCCTGCGAAGAGGTGAGATTACCAATCCTGCCAAAAATCGCTGACATACCCAAGTACCTGATGATAAATCAAATTATGCTCCGCATGTGAAAGTCAAACTTAACTATGTAGTACTAGTTAAAAGGGCTTCGACGTCCATAAAATTTGACTAGACTAGACCATCATCCCAATCGTTGCTTCATCATTATCTTCTCCAGGATGCCTTCTTTGAAACCCATCGTCCTTTATACGCACGGAAACGCCCCGAATCCACTGAAAGTGGCCATCATTTTGAAGGAACTGAACGTCCCTTATGAGAGCGAAAATGTTCCTTTAGATGAATTGAAACAGGAGCCCTTTGAGTCAATCAACCCCAACGGCCGCCTTCCTGCAATCAAAGACCCCAACACTGGCCTGACAGTTTGGGAGTCTGGTGCTATTGTGGAATATCTGCTGGAAAAATACGACCACAACCTCCGTCTCAGCTTTTCTCGAGGCTCGCCAGAATATTTCGAAGCGAAACAATGGCTCTTTTTCCAAGTTTCCGGTCAGGGCCCTTACTTTGGTCAGGCTGCCTGGTTCACCCTCTTTCACCCAGAAAAGATCCAAAGCGCCAAAGCTCGTTATGTCAACGAAATTCGTCGTGTCACCGGAGTGTTGAACAGAGTTTTGAAAGACAAGAAGTACCTCGTGGGCGATAGTTGCAGCTATGCTGATATCTCATTCTTGCCTTGGTATGGAGTCGTACCAAAGCTTTTTACAGAGGAGGTCAAGTTGGAGGAGGATTTCCCGCATGTATCACAGTGGCTTGAAAGAATTCATGGAAGGGAATGTGTTCGGGAGGCAGTGGAGGAGTTTGCCAGGAATGCTTGACTGCTTCAATCATAATGCAAAATGGTAGTGCAATGCTGAGAAGTGTATGTATCTCTCATCTAGAGGTCTCTAAACTAGAACGTGGAGTAACAACCCATATACATTCATCCAGAGGCGCACAACACTTTTTTAATCAAGAAAATTCCATTCATCCTAGGTCAGGCCACGTATCTTTAGTTTCTTAATATCATCGTCCACCAACGGAGGTCTTAATAAGCATATCTCCGAACCATCCATATTAGTGGCAACTCAGCCTCTGTGAAAGCGATGTTAAAGTATCTTTTCCTGACACTATTCGTGGTGCAACTACGTGATTGTGATACTACTTGTAGTCCTGACAGCTTGAAGGGAAAAAAGGGAAATTTGTTCAAGCATTCTCATACCAACTAAAGATCTCCAAAGCCTTCATAACCATAAAATGTTGCGGGTCTGGAGCCAGGCACTTCCGATCCCCACAGCCTCTGTCATACGATATTTGGGTATAATATGCTCCAGTCTTACAAGATCATATTCATGATATATGTGATAATATAATGACATATCAATCTTGGTATCTTGGAGTTGTACATTATCATTTATTTTCAAACCGATCTCGGGACAGTGCTTAGAGTGGGTTGGTCAAATTGTGCATCTCAAAGTTTGTACCGGAAGCATCAGATTCCGGACTTACAACATTATTATTTCCATAGTTGCTTCGAATGTTATTTTGAAAAATCAGCAGCCACATAAAGGCAAGAGCCACAGTGGATCATAAACTACGTGTGCATAATCCAGGCATAGGTTATCCATTATCCCATCCGCAGATCACGAGTGGCAATCTCGGCAATGATGTCTCCGAATCGCCGAAAGCTTGACGGAGTAATATGATCTCCGAGGACAGCTCCGATACCAGTATTCTTACTTCAAAAATACATCTAAATGACGCCCGAGGCTCAATGGACTATAAAGATGCCGCCACAGAAAGACAATCCAATGCACCAATTCAAACCAAAATCATTACATCACATTCACCTCTTACCGTTTGAATAACCTCTGCGCAATGCCTGCTGTCGAAAATGTTGCGATCATTGGCGGTGGCCTCGCCGGGCTTTCCCTGGCATTAGCCCTGCACCAGCAGTCGATCTCAAGTATCGTGTATGAATTGCGGTCTGAGCCTCGCGACCTAGGCGGTGCCATTACTTTATCGCCCAATTCTCTAAAAATTCTTGATCTTTTGGGTGTTTACGAATCCGTTGTGTCTCAAGGTTTCCGATGCAATGCCTTCCACTTTCGAACGGAGAACGACGAACCCTTTGATTCATACGAGATTGGCAGCGAGGAGAAGTACGGATATCCAGGCCTACGCGTTTACCGAAAAGTGCTTATCAAGGCTCTCCTAGCTAAATGCACGGAGAAGGACATTCGAATTATTTTCGACAAGAAATTCAAGCGGATTTTGTCGGAAACTGCGGCAGGAGTGACATGGGAATTCGACGACGGCACAGTCGGTACAGCTGCCAGCTTGGTGGGAGCAGACGGGATTCATTCACGCGTCCGATCCTATCTTGACTCCAGAGCAGAGCCTCAATTTACTGGTGTCGTGGGAGTTGCGGCGACTATTCCGACGGACCAGGTGAATATCCCGCAGGACTATCAAATGCCCGTCACAATTATGAACAAAGCATACGGGGCTTATATCCTGGCCCAAAACCTCCCTGATGGCTCAGAGATGATTATTTTGAAGCAGAAACGTTCCCATGCGCTCAGTCGCCAAGGCTGGGAGCATCTTTTGACGGAGAACGAGGAGTGTGTAGACTTCCTCAAACAGGATGCAGAGTTCTTTCCGGACATTGTCCGCATGGCTGTCGCGAAAATCGATCCCGATACCATCTTCTTATGGCCCTTTCACCAGGTGCCAGAGATGAAGCAATGGTCGTCCGAACAGGGTCGAGTGTCAATCATAGGCGACGCTGCGCATGCGATCCCCCCATCATCGGGACAGGGCGCAAATCAAGTCTTTGAAGATGCCTACACCTTTGCACTCATATGTGGTCGGTGCGACAGCAGCGCATTGGCCCAGGTGCTACCGAAATGGAAAGAAGGCCGACAGGAACGGGTGAATAGGCTCATTACCTTGGCAGAACAGATGAACGTACGACGCTTGCCAGAGGGAGCAAATATGCTCAGCATGGAGGCAATTGGCAGTGAAGATTTTCACATGGACTGGCTCTTCAAACCCAACTTTGAAGAAATGGTGCAACAGTGGATGGAGTCTTAGAGGAATTGACGCAATTGGGACTTGAGCGAGCACTGGCAGGCTATGAGAAGGCCCTCGGTCCCGATCACAATAGGACGCAGCAGGTAATGCAGATATCAAAAGCATCAAGAAATGCGAAAATAGACTATTGCTGTGCCCTGTGTATAATGTACGTATCACATAGCTACTTTGATCTGGTGGATCCTTACATTAGTAATTGGCTCAGTACATGATTTCTCCTTGTTTTAGGTGATCACCCATTTAACACGTAAAAGTATCAGAAAGTGACTCACATGCTAATCTGTTCAATCCCTAGCTACTACAAATGATGGCCGACGGGAGTTTTGGGGGCGACCTGATAATGCTGGATAAAGGTCGCAGTTGCATACATTAATAACGTATTTCAGATCCACATCGTGTAGGCTACATAGAGAGTTGATGCTATGAAGCAGATCTTTTGGGAAAAAGGCAACGTGAGAACCCGTGTTGTTGTATTTACAGACATGGACTATGGCATTTAACGGGCAGTGCGTACGTATTACAGAGCTACATGGTATCGAAGACTCGAGCTGAGTTTCATCCTCGAACGGTCCGCACTTGCAGGGTGGGGTAAGGGTTTACATCGCGAGCCGAGAGACAAGCCAGTTACTTCCGATCCGCGGACCGTGCTGATAAATTGTATGTATATACATATAGGTTGAACGCGCCTTGTGGCCTGCTTTACTGGACCGCTCTAGTTGGCAAATCGAGGTCCTGTACTTCAAGGGTTGATGCTTCTTCTTTCTTACTTTTTCTGTTCACAAGACCGACATTGGCAACGAGACCCTATTCAGCCTTCGAATCCTCAAAGAAGCTGCCCCCTTTTTCCTCCCTTCTTCCTCATCATGGACGCGGTTCGCGAAGTAACCTCAATCCAGCTAGCCCAGCCGCTCGATCTCTCGGCCCCCGAGATCGCGATACCGTATAAAGCCAGCATCCAAGCCCTAACCCGCCAACCCGGGTTCCGGATGTTGTACACCGCTGTCGCAGCGCAGGACCCCAAGTTTCTTGTTTGGATTATAGGTATGGCGTCTTCTCATTTTCACCCCCGTTTCTCTTTTGGTCCTCTATGCTGTTGTTCTGCCCCGCTGATATCCCCCAGACTGGACCTCATTGCAGCACCACGAAGCATTCATGGCCAAGAAAGACCAGTATGCGCAGATGGCGGACCCACTGTTCTCCCTCTGCGACACCAAGCAAGAAGGATTCATCCATGTTCGCCACCTCCCACTCTCTTCCTCCTCCTCCCCCTCGTCCGCCAGCGGTCTCTCCCTCGAAGGCTGCAGCTTCCAGTCCGCGTGCGAGATTCTGTGGCTCCGCCTAAATGCCGACTCTGCTGCTGCGGTCGGGCGGGGTGGGCTCCGCGCCCTCACGCAGCAGCACTTCGGGGAAGTCGCGGGAGGATCTGGACGAGGACATTCGGTCTACGGCGGCGAGACGGTCGAAGATGCATCAGGCCGGGAAGTGATACTCTTTTTCCTGGCAGCCGGGAGTGGGGGGCTGGACGGCTCGGACGGCTCGGACGTTTTTGCGCGAGGCAGTCGGGTTGGGAAGGTCTTGACGCATGGGCGATTTGTGCAATTTACGCGATATCCGAGTTCCTTGGAAATGGGGGACCAAATTTGAAAGGGGAGATGTTGGGCTGCACTGAGTGTGATCTTCTTTCCTTGCCTTGCCTCCTTTTAGGCACCAAGAACATCTGCAGTAGTGGAACTCTGCAAAGAGGGACCACCGTTTACATAGATACGGTTTCAGGCAGGGCGTAATGTTTCCCCGCACAACCTGTCGACTACTTTTTTTTCTCCCTCGGTCTTCCGATCGGCTTCCTTTCGTCACATGTTCGTCGTGATGGGATCTGATACCAGAAGGTTCGAGCAGTCCTTATTGCGGGAAGCCTGCAAATAATGACCATTTCTTGAGGTTGTCGAAGTTCCTAGCAAGGAACACACACAGTACGTCACATGTGAAGTATATACTGAGCCAATTCGAATAAAATCTTCTTGAGTCCGGGAGTTCTCGGTTAAGTCATTGCCAGGCCAGGCTGGTGCTAGACCGGAGAAATTCAACACACTAGAGCATAATGATTACAGCTCGCCTGGCAAGATGAAACATACAGGAGGATGTTTATTTGAGAGATAGGATTCGGTCCAGGCTTTCCCACGGCATGCATCCCCCCCCCCCCTCAGGTCTTCTTCCTAACCACCCAGCGCTGTCTTTCTCCTTCCACGAGCCCGGGCTTTCCACTGCCGCAACTTCACGCGCAGGATCCCAGTGCCGGCAAACACCAACACATAATTCGTGAGACAGAAGGCCAGAAAGACGGCCCAGTTCCACCAGCGGTCGCTGTAGGCGAAGTCCAGCGTGACCGTATAGTCATCCGCCACGGAGTATTCACAATAGGCGCAGCGGTCGGTGGCATGGGGGTCTATCAGGTAGCCGGAATAGGTATCCAGATAAGCGGCCGCATACTAACCGCAGGTCTGGCCGGCGGGCGGGCGGAAGACGGCGTAGTCGCGAGGCTGGCAGTAAACGGGCACGCGGTGCATAACGGTGGCGATGGTAGCGCCGAAGAAGTAGCGCAGCGGGTCGGTTTAGAACAGCCAGGGCCCGTAGAAGCCGTTTATCGCGCCGTAGGGGATTGGCAGGCCGCTGAAGATAAGAAAAACTATTTAGAAGAGGAAGTTCGCGTAGCCCGCTATAGTCGGCGTGAAGAAGAAGGTTGCTATTAGATAGTAGAACCCCGTGCCGAAGACGGACAGCAGGAGAAATATAAAGTAGCTGAAGCCGGCGATCGCAGGGCTGCTCGCGAACCCGATCGTCCAGAAGCTGCAGACGAAGACTAGCGTATAAAGTAGAAAATGCCACGGGAGCTCGACGAGAATCAGCGCGCAGAGGAGAGCTTTGTAGTTGTAGACCCCGTTCCGCTCCCGGCCTTCGAAGATCGCCCACCGGCCGAACCATATCTTTTGTAGGTCGGCCGTATTTACCGGGATAATCCAGATGATCAGAAGGACCCCTAGCATGCGGTTTTAAAAAAATTGGAGATCCGTCCCGGCGTGGGAAAAGGTAAAGGTAATAATTAACTCGTACCAGATGGTCTTAAACACCCGGCTGAGGTTATATATCCTATGCCGCCAGACTATTCTCCATTACCGCAGAGTAACAACTTGGATCTGCTTTCTTAAAGGCTGCGCGAAGAATCGCTTGAAGATAGCTGTCGTCGTGGTACTGGTGGTGATGTCGGATGCTGACAGATTGACGGCCAACTTCTGCAGCGCTGCGATTTTAGATATTAATTACCCCGCGGCTTCGGATTGTGCCCATATCTGCGCCCAGTCTCGACCCCGGGGGCTTTTGTCCGTTATAGTTTTAACAACAAACTCGGCGGGATTCTCGTCCGCAGCCATAGTCAGCCCGTACTGGGCGAAATACTGGGCCAAAATCTGTAAGTTGGGACCGGTCTCGCCAAAATAGACTGTATTACCCCCGGGTGCTAAAAGCAGAATATGGTCGAACATGTCGAAAATAACCCCAAAAGATTGATGGATGGTGCAGATAATGGGAATGCCTTCGGCCGCGATGCACCGCAGAAATGAAATCACCGAATAGGCGGCCTGGCTATCTAGACCCGATGTGGGCTGGGGCAAACGATCGTATCTTGGTTAGCTTGGAGCTATTTTTTCTTCCTCCCCTCCCCAACCTTCTAGGAAAAGAAATGCACGAGACAGAATGCATTCCCACAGATTCCATAAGTCACACACGCAAAGAAAACCCAGAAAATTTTCCAGCCACTCACCTCGTCCAAGAACAGCAGACCTAACGGTCGAGCCGCGAGCTCCACCCCAATAGTCAGACGTTTTCTCTCTTCCACCCCGAGTTTACCATCCCCGGCCTCCCCCACGATTGCATCGGCAATAGGCCCCAACTGCAAGAGGTCGATAATGTACTCGACGTATTACATTTGGTCCGCAGCGGGCACCTCGGCCGGTTGGCGCAGGGAGGCGGAAAACTGCAGTGCCTCACGGACCGTCGTCAGCGGCTCGTGGATATCCTGCTGCATGCAGAATCCGCAGGACCGCGCGAACATCCCGTCAATCGGTCGCCCATCCATAAGCATAGTCCCGTCCACCTGGCCCTCGACCTTGCGCTGGGACAGTATATCCAGTAACGTCGTCTTTCCAGCCCCGGAGGCGCCCATGAGCGCTGTGAGCTGGCCAGCCCGAACGTAGCCCGAAATGTTGTTCAGCAATCGCTTGGGCTTGTTGTTGACCGTGACCGTGTAGGAGAGGTTCTCGAACGTGAGAAGGGATCGGACGTCGCATTCCTCTTCTCCGCTTCCTTTGGGTTCTGAGAACGGAGGCTGATGATCCTCGTCGGTTGGAGGTACAACGCCCGCTGCCTTGTCGCTCCCGCGGGAGCACTTTACGTCTAGGCTTCTGGGTTCTTCGCTTTCCTTTGAGGTAGCTGGGGTAGTGGTGGTGCTGGTGGTGGTGATGGTACAGGTCGGGGCGGACGAGGAAGCGCACCCGCGCTTGAACACCAGGCCGGAGGCCTGGTTGGTTTCCCGGGTCAAAAGGGTGAGACCGACTGCCGTGAGGACAACATAGATAAACCAGAAGGCAATAATGATACCAAAATTACGCCACAGGTGCTCACGGGAGTACTCGTAGTAGGTGTGCAGGTAAACACTGCCCGAGGAAACCGTGGTGCCAGGCTTTGCGTCGGGTAATGGGCAGCCTTGATACGCCAAATTCTCATATCCAGGCCCCGACGGTACGAGCTCGCTTTCAGTGCAGTGCAGCTGAATATTATAGAACTCATTACTCAGCAAGGCTTCCAGGGCGTATGGCGTTGGAGCCACCCGACGTAACCACGAGCCCCAGCGATGCTGCGTGGGTAGCGGCGGGGCATAGCCAGCATACAGAGTGACGACGGGGATTGCAGCCCCCATCGCAAGAAGTGCAATGCTCATATCGGGTGACCAGGCGCCAAGCATGCGAAACATTGCCGAGACTGAGCCATAATGCGCAAAGGTGATAAGCACAAAGATCCAGAACTGACTCGCAGTCTCGTTGAATCCCACCAGGAAGTAGTAGCAACAGGAGAATATAAGTGTCAGAATAAATGCCAGCGGTATATCACACAGTGCCTGCGTGATTGCAAACGATGCTGGATGGATAAACCCGAGTCTGAATTGTTTTAGAAGGATACTTCGTGCATGAACAGTCTTGCTGACCTCTGTGAGTGAGTTCAGAAAAAAGTACACCAAAGGAAAATAGAGGGCACAGGATCGCATAAAAGACCCTGTTGAAGTCCGTGGAGCGTGGTAAAAGGCTGAGCCACAGATCAGAGCATTGACAATTGTCAGGGCGGTGACTGTGTAGACAGTTGCTTTGTCGCTCCATAGTAGTCGAAAGTGGCGCTGGCTTGCTACCAGGACCTGCTTCAGCATCGTGGAAGGCCCACTGGCTTTCAGCCAGCGATGCTTGGACACAGTACTCTCGACAGCGGCGTGGAAGGCCTCGATGACACCAGAGGTGCAGACATGGGCTTTGTAGTGCGCGATCTCGTCGACAACATGACGATAGATCTCGCTGCTGCGGTAGGTTTTCGCCAGAGAGTCTGGGTCCGCGCTCAAGGAGTTTGAGCATCGAGGGTCAATGCGCCTTTCATTTGGAGAGGTGACGCCAAGTAAGAATTCGGGGGTCGATTGACGATGCAGGGGTAAGAAACCCATGTCATGGAAGTACTTGCGCGCCTGAGACGCGGGTCCAAAATAGATCGCTCGGCCTTCATACAAGAGAAGGACTTTGCTGAAGCAGGTCTGATACATCATCTCTGATGCCTGGTACAGACTCACAATATTTGTCATACCAGTGGATTTGGACATCTCCTTTAATGTGAATAGGAAATCTTGGGCTGATGAGCTATCCAGTCCCCGAATGGGATTGTCCCAGGAAGCAACAGAGGGATTCACCGCCAAAACCTCTGCTAGGGAGACTCTCTTGCGTTCCCCGCCAGAGACGCCTCGGATAAAAGCATCATCGACGATTGTATCCCTGGTGTGGCTCATTCCGAGCTTGGCCAAAAGTCTCTCGGTCATCGTGCGAGTGAATTGTCTTTCGTGAGGCTGTTGGGGGTCTCCAGCTGGCCATCGCAGCCTAAGGGCAAATTCCATGGTATCTTGGACCGACAGTGATGGGAAGTGAATATCCTCTTCGTCATTATAGACGACTTCGAATCGAAATTCTCCCTGAAAATCTTCTGGTGAAAGACCAGCGTATCGGACGGACCCGTCAATCCGCTGATAGCCCGCGCGATGGCTGGCGTGCACTTTGAGTGCTGTCGAACAACCAGCTCCCGGATTACCAAGGACAAGCAGAGTTTCCCCGGGGAACAGCGCTCCCGTCAGATCTTGGAGGATCCTCCTTTCCCTCGTCTCTTCACTGAGCAGAATGCCTTTTACCAGTGTGATAGGCACCATTGCTACTTTCAGGAGAATGGAACCGAAGTCGTTTACACGTCGGTTGCCCTGAGCAGCTCCGACCACTGTGACATTCTCAAAGCAGACCCCAAGTCCACGTCCCTCCCATCGATAGATGGGAATTGCCGCGCTCGCATCTTCCTCCATCCTGAGAGTAAGCTGATGGCCTAAGGTTATGCTTAGCAATGCAGGGAATTCGACATTCATCAGGAAAGTGTCCTACCTCGGGTACTTGATGCGGCTAGGTTAGGGTACGGATCTACTACCCAAGCTGTGAAGAGGACGAATAGGGTCCTTGGCTACTGATTCTCCTAAGAGGGCTTTGATTTATTTATCTAACATTTGTCGCACACCCGATCTCATTTATTGTAACCATCCTCATCACTACGGACGGCATCGATCGCATTCAGTTCGGAATATTGAGGCGAGCACATCCTCCGAGTTTGTTTGCTTACTCCGAGGTTGGCTTTGCATAGAGGTGTAGTCGGGGGAAGTTGTCTCCAAAAGAAGACTTGAAAGAAGGTGCCCTTCCGATCTATCCCTGTTCTGGGACTAATGCTGAGCATCACTCTCTTGCGTTGCTAAGACGCCGAACCGAAAGAATTACCAATCGGCCCGGGGGCGGGTGTTATCACAGAAAGCAAGAATCAGATTGAAGCGGACCGAGGCGGGACGGAATTAGGGAACTTTGGTGTCGGTCCGCGGCCTTGCGTCATGACGACTGGATCATTAGCCACTCCAGCTACTTTCCCCCTTCAGGTTGGCTATAGTTTATTCTTACTTTGTCCTAAAAGTCAGCCCGATGCATACAGGCAACTCCTGAACCCCAAACTGCCGAGAGTATGGATCTAAATCAAGGCACATACTTTTATGAATCACACATGGCCACTTACACCGGTCATTGTCTCTGCGGTGGTGTCAAGGTTACTTTGAATGAGCAGCCCCCTAGATCACTTCGTTGTTTCTGGTAAGATACGATTTATGAATTTCATGCGCTCGGGATGAAATGAGTTGCAGCTAACCGATTGCTGGCAGTCGCAATTGTGGTCGCACCGGTGGCGGTATGCGAATGAGCCACTGCAATGCTGACCGGCTCCGTTCGTGTGCTAACACGCCTTAGGGTCATCGATTAACTATGTACTTGATGAGGCCGACGTCAAGTTCCTCGCCACCTCCACGTTGACGGATTTTGAAGACTCCCAGACGGAGAGTGGAAACACTGTGTTGGTATCGTGCCCTGTGTTCTAAGCGCTAGCAGGCCTGCCCAGAGGGCTTGTCGAAGGACGAGCGCTAACATCGCCTGGCTTTCTATAGCGTCAGTTCTGCGGTCGTTGCGGCAGGTAAGCTTCCAGTCGACTCATCCTTCATGCTCAACATGACTAAATTAAAACACCCCTCCTGTAGCGCGATTGCAAGCTGTAGCCCTCAATTCCCGGGCAAGATTCTTCTCAAGGCATCTTTGTTCGACGCTATCTCGCAACCTGACTCGGAGGTTTTCACCTCCCGGCGCCCAAGCTGGGAGTCGCCTGTCGAATCTGCTCAGCAGAAATGAGAGTCGCGATTCTTGACACAGTGCAGAACTCTAGTTGACGGTGGCCCTGGGCCTTGGTGCCTGAGGTGCCAGCTCACCGACCGCCCACCCGGCTGCCTTAGCTAGTTTCTCCGGAGATAGCCTCACGTAGGAGAATCAACCACCTTCTTGACACCTCCCAGAGGCGTCATCACTAGTAGAATTCTAGTCCACGACTGCTTTTTTCTAAGTTCGAATTTAACGGGTTCTTTGGTCCTGCGAACCTCAGCTTGAAACTGAACGTTCCCTTATCCCTATCTCTCCAATAAACTGTATGTGGCTAGCGATTGTAATTATTCTCACATCTAGATCGTATACCATCACTCAGTCAGATCCCTCGCGGTTCGGAACCACGTCCAAGACGCCGGTCGGTCATACCGCCTAGACCGCCGGCACATTACGAGTATTTATCTAGGAAGACTATCCAAGTCCTTCGTAGGTTCCAAACAGGCATCATCTGCCTTCATATGAGCCCAAGTATTTTACTGTTAACAAGGGCTTAAAATCCGTACAAATTCCCCAGCACAGGCATTGTGATACCCTGATGCGATGGGAAAATACGACATGCATTATGGCCAACCAGCCTGTAAGCTTGCGGGTCCGATGTCTTGTTCATGTGAACCCAAGTACAGCTGGAATTCACGTCTCTACTAGAGTCGATATATAAACCCTGCACTAGTCTCTATTAGAACCTCCGAGATCGGTCTCATGTTCAGTAAATACATGATGTGGTCAAACCCTCCCCTTCGAGGAGGGCCATCACGGTGTCTTCACGTCCACCATTCTCAGAACTTGACCACCAGGCGACCCTTAAGATGAGGATCCATGTACAAGGATGGCAGGTTTGGAGCGTCCTCCAGGCGCAGCGTGCGCACATGGGATCTGATGTGGAATCGATCCACCACGACCATCATATCGCGCGCCTGCTCGATGGTCGCGACCAGACTGCCGATGATGGCGATCTCCTTGAAGACGAGGTCGAATGCATTGAACTGCAGCGGATCCACAGGCAGACCAAGAACAATACATTTGCCGTGCGCCGCTAGGAGCTTCAAGCTCCACCCGTTGACCGAAACGTTATCGGTACACACAATGACCGCGGCAAGGCCGCCGTGACCTGCCCAGTGCACAATCTCGTCGACCGCCGTGTCGGACCGGGAATCCACGACCAGATCGGCCTTCTGGCTCGGCTCGGTCGCCAAATCTAGCCCCTCTTGTCGGTTGTCAACGGCGACTACCTGATGGCCAAGAGCCTTGAGGAACTGGACCGCGAGGGAGCCCAGCCCTCCGATCCCAATCACTCCGACCCTGGAATTCGGCCGTAGCTGAGCCTTCTCGATGCCGCCCCAAACGGTTGTCTGCCGTCATAAATAATGTCAGTCTTTTCGACAAGCCAAATTCTAGTAAGACAACCAATTTCAAAGCAGAGGATGAGAGCGGAGGGCAAAAGAGAGAAAGCAGAGAAATAAGAATAGGGTCTGAGACTGCAGGCCACTCACCCCGGCGCACATCAGAGGTGCCCCTTGCTCGAAGGCCACCGAATCAGGGAGTTTGACTGTGTTCTCGGCATCGGCCACGATGTACTCGGCCATGGCGCCATCGTCCTTGATGCCTGCCATGGAGATCGTCTCACAGAACCGGGGGTCGACGCGACCCTGTTCCGCTAGGGTGGTGCGGCAGGCGAGACAAGAGCCACAGGCATGGCGGAACAGCAAGACCCCAACCCGATCCCCGCGCTTGAAGTGCTGGACAGCCGAGCCGACTTGAACCACCGTGCCCACCGGCTCGTGAGAGGGCGTCAATGGACACTGCGAGCCGTAAACCCCTACGTAGACTTGATAGTCGGTATGACAGTATCCTGCCGCCCCGACTTGGACGAGGAGGTCATTTTCTTGCAGCGTCGGGAGGTCGACCTCCTGAATGTCGTAGGGGGTTTTATACTAATCCTTTTTGTCAGTCCTTCTTTTTCTGCCTCTGCATCTAACTCCCTCTGGACTTTCGCGGTCTACACCGTCGGAATGACTTTACCCTGACTAGCCTGGCTGCTTTCATTCTTGTGGATTGTGGCTGCATCGTCATCCTCGTCGTAATTTTCGGGTAGATATGCTCGGTGATTAAGTGGACATGAAGGAGGCGGCTCTGAGATTCTATTTATGCAACGCTCTCGGGCGCAGTACCAATCTGTGATCATATTTGGATACCTCCTCATTGTGCATTTCCACGCATGACACCGTTATGACATCTTCGCCAAATCTCGAGTTGTTTCTCCTTTGATTTTTTCTGTTTTGCTTCTTTGGTGCCCTCGGTCCAAATGTTGCTCGGAGGATTGGCAAATCAGAGGCCATGTCGGAATTACGTGTTAGTCGGGGCAAGGCCTGAGCCGTTGAGCATAATTCCGATCCCGAGTCCCCATAACAACGCACGCTATATTTGAGGCAGTATCTTGGTTCCTTACTCTACCCCTCACCATGAGAGATCAGAAGTTACTTTTCTCTTTCAAGTTATTATTAAATAATCTAAAATATTATATAATTTAATATTATTTTTTTTTCTAATTATACTAGAAATTTCTTAATCTTATTTAGTTTTCTTCTGCTTAATATTAATATAAAATTATCTAGCAACTAAATTAAAGAAGATAATAGTCTAAGCTTTTTAGAAACTATTAAAAGTTGTACTATTTTAGAAAATAAATAATTATCTTTTTTTATAATGAAATATAAATAAAATTATTATTTTATTTTTATTTTAACTAGAAGCTCAGTGTAGAATACTAATAATATAAAATAAATAAAAATATAACTAAGTAGATAAATAAAAATAAATAAATAAAAAACGTTAAGTTTATAGAATTATATAGAAGAAGATAAGTTTATAAGAATATATAAAAAAAATAAATTTATAGAAGTATATAAAATAAAATAAGTTTATAAAAATATATAAAAAAAGATAAGTTTATAAAAGTATATAAAAAAAATAAATAAATAGATAAGTAAAAAAATAAATAAATAGATTTTATAATATATTTAATTATACTGTTTTTTAAAAAAGATTCTAGCTGCGTTATATTTTAGAATATTTTATTATATAATTATTTTAGCTGTTTTCTATACTAATTTTCCAATTCTAAAATCTAACAGTATTATTGGCAGCTAGTGTTTAATATTTTAACTACTTAATTTATTAAAACTCTTCTATATTTTTTTATTTAATTTTTTTATTTTTATTAAATTTTTTTAGATTTTTTTTTATTATTTTAGCTTTATAAGATCTGAAGCTTAATATTCTTTTTATATTAAATCTTATCTTTAAATTTTATAATTATTTAAGAATAAAAGAAAATAATTATTAATATTAGAATTTATAAAGATTTCTACCAGTTTTTTTAATATATTAGAAAATATTATATATATTTTTTATTATTTTAATTAATAGCTAGCAACTTTTTATTAATAATATATATTAATTTAAAAAAAAGTTTATAGAATTAGTCTACTAGTCTATACTATAGGCTTATTATTAGATAATTTTATAAATTCTTTGTAACTTATTAAAAATAAATAACTAATATTATTAGATAAATTTCTAATTTTTTTTAAAAGTTTTAATTTATAAGTAAGCTTTTTTATTTTATAAATAATAAAAAATAAATCTAGTTTTCTAAATAATAATATTATATTTTTTAAAATTAAATATCTAATATCACCGGGTTTCTGTATTAGTTAGATATATATATAATTTTTTAGTTAGATTAGTTTATATTTTTTATTAAAGTAATAAATTATTTAAGTTTATATAAAATATATTATATCTACTATTTTTTATTTTAATTATAAATATTTTTAAATAAATTTTTTTACTGATAGTAGCTCTGCTAAAATAATATTAGAAAATTCTATTTTAAAATAATATTTAAATAAAAGTTTAAATAAAATATATTTTATTATTACTAATAGACTTAATTATAAATATTTTTTAATATCTGTTAATAACTCCGGCTAAATTTCTTTATTTATATACTAGTATAAAAAATAATATAATATAATTTCTATTATTATATTATATTATTCTATTTATTTATTAGTTATTAAATAATAGATTATAATTATTTCTAGGCGGACTCTAGCTTTCTTAAAAATATAATTCTAAAAGTTAAAAATAAATTTTAGATTTTTATCTATAATAATAATCTATAAAAAATTTTAATAAAAAAAAATTATTATAAAATATTTTTAAGTCTAATCTACTACTATATTTATAACTTTTTTTAAAATTAATCTAATTATTTTTAAAAACTTATTAATTATTATTAATAGTATATCTATCTTATTCTTAGCTATAGACAGATTAACTATAAAATTTATTAAAATAACTAAAAATAGATAAACTAAAATTATAATTAATTATAATTATTTAAAAAATATACTTATATCTATTTTATTATAGTTATATATTAAATATACTAGAATATATACTTTTATAATAAATTTTGAAAAAAAATAGATATTTTTTTATAATTTATTATATATTTTAGTAATTTTTTAGTACTTTTTAAAGTTGTATATAATTGTTAGTACTAATTTTTAAGCAGCTGTAGAAATATATAAATATTATTTATTTTTTTTAATATAAAATATTAGTCTACTAGTTTTTTAAAAAAATCTCTTTTTTTAAATTATTTAATATTAATTATATTTATAGTAAGTTCTTATAAATCTATTCTAAATATTTATTTTTAAATAATATTTAAATAATTTATTTTTCTAAGTTCCGGGTCTATTACTACTATATTAATAAAAAGTATAACTAAATTTTTATTATTTTATTATAAAATTATTATTTTTTATAATCTTAATAATATATTTATATTTTAATAAACTCTTTTAAAATAATAAATTATTTTTATATAATTATTAAATATAACTAGAAATAAAGCCTATTTTGTTAATTTTTAATTTTTTTACTGCGGGTAGATAGACTAAAAAAGCTTTTATATTATTATATAATTTATAAAAACTATAAATTAGTTTTTATTAAAATAATATATAAGTTTTAAGATTTTTTAGACTAATATTATAATTTCTAGTTCTATAAACTAATAGTTTCTTCTTATTTATAAAAGCTTTTTTAATAGAAAAAATACTAGTTTTTTCTTATTTTTATTATTAATTTAATAAAGAGCTATACTAAATCTGAATTATTTTAATCTATTTATATATAATAGAAAAAGTTTTAAATAATCTGAGTATATTTTTATTAACATATCTACTAATACTTTTTTAATTATATCTTATATTTTTTAATATTTATTATCCAGCTTCAGCTTAGCTTTTATTATAAAATTATATTTTTTATACTTTTTTTTAGTATTATTTTTAATATAAATATTTTCAGCGTTTCTAATAGTTTTATAATATAAAAATATTCTTAATAAAATATTTAATAATATCTAAATAGATTAAGATTTGTTTTAAATTCGGCTGTAGTTTCTAAATATATAAGATTTTTTATAGCTTTGATCTTAGATTTTATTATAAATAAACCTAAATATAAGACTTTATATTCTAATATTTTAATTAAAATATAATTAAAATAATATTTTAAAATATATAAAATAAATTCTAATTTTACTAGTATTTTTAAAACTTTCTTTAAATCTTTAAAATATTAGTTTAGAGAGTTAAAATATATAATAATATTATTTATATAAATTATTATTATTAATTATAAATATAATCTAAATAATATTTTTATTTGTTATTAAAAAAATAATATTATTATTATTAATTTTATTGTAGAAATTATAAAATACTTAAAACTATAGTAAGCTGTTATAAAAATAGTTTTTTAATAGTTTTTTTTTAATAGCAGCTGCTAAAAAAATCTTTTTTAAATATTTATTATAAAAAAAACTATTATATTTCTAATTATATCCAAAATATTATTCTATTTAGAAAAAGAATATATATTTAATAAAAACTTTTTATTAATTTTTTAATAATCAGCTATAAATCTTAATTTAATATTTCTTTAGATAATAAATTCTGGTACTGCAATCAGATATACTTATTCTAAAAATATTTTTTTAATTTATTTTTATTTATAAAATAGATCTAGAATCCTATTTACTTTAATTCTATTTTTTTATAATATTAAATAAGAAACTAAAAAAAGACTCTATAGATTCTTTTTATTTTTAAAAAAAACTAATATATAGATCTTATTATTAAATATACCCAGATTCTTCGTAAAAAATTTCCGATAATAATAAAATAATTATTATATTTTATTTATAAGTTAATTTCTAAAATCTAAGAAAATATTAGTATTTTTAATTTAAATATTATTCTTATTAAATCCTGCTTAAAAAAATATAAAAATATTTTCTACTTTATTCTTTAGATTTCTTTTTTTTATATAAAAGATATTATAAAGAATATTTTTATTTTTTATTTTTATATTTTTATTATTATATCTAGTATCTTGTTTAGATGAATTATTATAAATTTTTTTTAAAATTTAAATAGAAAATACTTAGATATCTTATAGATACTAAAAATTATAGTATAAATAAAAAAACTTCTATTTTAAAATATAAATTTATAATTAGCTTTAATAAAAATCTACTTTTTAGATTTAATAATTTTTTTAGTTTTTATAAAAATTATTATATAATATTCTGGCGGAACTTCTATTAAATATATAATAATTATATAAATTATTATTTTTTTATAAGTTTTTACTATAAATATTATTAAAATAGTATAAAAATTAATTCTAAGCTTATCTTACTTAAAATTAAGTACTATCTGATTTTTTTTAATAAAATCTAGTTTTAGAAGAAGATTATATAATAAATTCTTAATTATTTAGACTTTTTATATAAATAGTATTATTTATATTCTTATTATACTAAAATTAATTAAAAAATTGATATATACTAAATTTTTAAGTTTTTTAGTAATATTTCTAATTATTCTTATTTTAATAGAAATACTTTTAATTATAAACTAATATTATACTAGTACTACTTTTAATATTATAAATAATAAAAATCTAGTATTTATATATATTTTAAGATTATATTCTACTAGTATAAGAATTATTACTATAATATATATATATTATTTATATTTATAATTTAATATTATATCTACTTAGTTAATATTAGAAATATAAAATATTTAAATAATTTTAATAGGTTTTTTTATAATAGGATTTTCCGCGGTTTTTTAGACGGCTTAACTACTACTACTAATAATTATTATATTTAGTTTTTTAATAAATTTAAATTAGAATTATTTTTTTTATAAACTTTAAACTATTTTAAAAAATTTTTATCTAATTTTAATAAAGATTTATTAGACTACTTATAATAATCTACTAAATATACCCGAACTATTAGTTTTTAAAATATATAATTAAAGTTAAAATATTTACTATTATAATAATAATAATTTTTTATTTAAACTAATAAATATCTTTTCTTAGTCTAAGATATTTAAAAAATTAATAATTCTTTAGACTTTTTCTTAGATTTTTTTTTATTTATAATTTTTTTTCTTTTAAAAAATAGACTAAGCTGTTTATTTCTACTACTTCTAAAGTATTTAGATAGGTATTTTTTATTTAAATAAATATTTAATAAATTTACTTAAACTTAAATATTTATTTTTTATAATATTTATTAAAACCAGATCTAGATTTTATTACATTTTTTATATAACTTTATTCTTATTTATAATTTCTATTTTATTTAGAAGTAGGACTTTCTATTCTAGAAATTTATATAAAAAAAATTTATTTTTATATAAATATTTAAATTTTAAATAGTCTATTTCTTTTCTGATTTTTAAGAAATTTTACTTAAATTACTATTCCAGCCGGAAAATCTATTCCGAGACTAAAAACTATATAATATCTATAACTAAATCTATAAATTATATATACCAAGTTTATATTATTTTTTAAAAATATAATAATAAAACTCTAAGTACTGGCTTTTTTTTATATAAATATATTATTTGTTTAATATACTCAATAAATAATATTATTAAAGTTTCTTTAAAATTAAACTATATAATATCTAAAGTTTTAAGCTTAAATTTATTTTTCTTTTATAAAATAATATAAAAATAGATTAGAAATAGAGTAAATAATTTTTATAATCTTAATTATTAAAAATTATTCCGATATTACTTCAGTACTAATTTATTTTTAGATTTATTTAATAAAAATAAAAATAATAATAGATTATTTAAATTATTTTCTAAAACTGCTACTGCGGTCTTAGTTTTATTATATTATTTATTATTATATTTTTAGCTAGTTTTTCTATTATTCTAATTTATTTTTTTTAGATTATTCTATATTATATTACCTGGAACTATTAATAGAATTCTCTGCTAGATTATATTATAAAATCTTCTGTTTTCTAAAATTTATAAGACTTTTTTGAAATCTTCTAATCTATTTTTTTAAATATTTATAGATTCTTTTTTAATTTAAAATTCTTTAAATTAAATATTTTAATAGTTTTCCTATAATATCTTTTCTATATGTTTTTATTTATATAGTTTAAAATTTTTTAAGCTGATTTATAATTCTTTTTAATTATAATAAATTAGAATATATTAAAATACTCGGGTATTTATAATACTAAGATAAATTATATTATTAAAACTATATTTTTTTTATATTAATTTTTAGTATAGTATTATTCTAAATCTAATTAATTAGATATTTTTAGATACTACCGGCTTGCTGATACTAAAAACAATTCTTCTACTATATTAAAGTTTTTAATTAGAAAAAGAAGATTTTAAATATTTATTATTATTTTTAATATAAAAATTATTTAGCTTAAACTAGAAAAAATACTAAAAGTTCTATATTTATTTTTAACTTCTAATTAGTTTATATTAGAATCACTTTATAATAATATACTTATTAGAATTATTATTTAAATATATAAATAGAAATATATTCTTAAAACTTTTATTTTTTTATTTATATTTTATATATAATTTTTTATACTAAAAAAATATTAGTTTAATCTAAGTCTAAGTCTGTTACCAGAGTCTGTCAAGTAGTAAAAATAGATATTTTTATATAATTAAAAATTTATTTATAAATAATATTAATCTTTTTATTTAATAAATATCTGTCAGCTATTTATTTCTTCAGGCTATAAAATCTACAGAAATTTTATAAAAATTTTAATATAATATTTTAGATTTTTATTGTATAGATTATAACTATTTTTATAATATTTTAGAATATTATTAGATTTTTATTGTATAGATTATAACTATTTTTATAATATTTTAGAATATTATTAGATTTTTTAGAACTAAGTAGATTTTAAGATAAAAAAATAAATACAACTATAATAAATATTATAAAAGTATAAACAGAATAGAATCGGTTGGATAGATTTTTAATTAGAATTAAAAAAAAAACTAAGAATATATAAACTTATTTATAAAGACTTAAAGAATTTAAATCTTATATAAATAGACTTTATATATTTATTAGAAATAATACTACTAATCTGTAAGAGAAGTATAAAAAAAAGATTAATTCTATTATTAGAACTATACAGGTCCTCCTAAATACAGGTAGATGCCTGACTAATGCTCACGTGACAATTTGGTATTAGTTAACTTAATCAAGTGAGTCGCTGAGAATTTCCAGTTGTGAACCTCAACTAAACATCCTCGTATGATTAAACGATCTCCAGCTTTATGATACGCCTGCTTGACTGCTCTGGGTGCTACACTCAGTGATTAGGAAATCCAAGTACCAAAGGTGTAGTTCGGGAGAAGTACCGCCAGTCCTAAGTAGGAGAGGCGTGGGCGAAGCAGCTATGGGCCCGAGCCGCAATTCTCTTTCCACTCAGAACACCCCAGCCGGTCAGGGACTCCAGGATCTAGGCCATCCTCTCTCAGGAATAAGCCGTGTGTCTCGCGCATGTGAGCGCTGTCGCCTGCGCAAGGTTCGATGCGATGGCCATGAACCATGCGCGCGTTGTAGAGAACAGGAGTCGAACTGCTCCTATCGACCTGGCAAGTCACGCAACCGGCCACGCCGCCCCAAAATCCAAGCTCGTCGTCCTCCAGTACAGTCTCCCACCCGGCAGTCCCCGGCTATCGACAATCCCTCCACGACCCCAGTCCCTGAATCACTGTCACAGGGAGTGACATCCCCGTCCGGCTACTGGCGGGTAGGCATTCAAACCGGGATTGGGGTATCGAACTCGGAGACCGGGGCATTTCAATTCTACGGTATGTCTGCCCATCGCAAGGGCTCTCCCTCTTGCTCCTCTTATCCTCTTTTACGCAGTGGATGTTAAAGAAAGGCAGGCCCTTCGTCCCAGTATGCCTTCCTACAACGAGTATACGACCGTTTACATCCGGGGTTCGAGGCGAATCAATTCGACTCGGCCGGTTCCGTCCCCACGGGGCTGCGCGCCTGGGGACTGGAGACTTTCATCTTCTCCTCGCCTCCGCATCATGTGCCTCAACCTCGCGTGGAATCCTTTCTTCCCCGAAATCTAGGCGAGCTATTCATCCGAAGCTACTTCAAGCTCGTCCATCCGCAAATGCCAATCCTGGTCTACGCAGACGTGATGGCCCAGTGGGCGCAGTCCTGGAAGCCTCCCGCTTCCAAGAACAATCCCGTCAGAGCCCGAGAGATCCTGCATATGGTTCTCGCGATCGGAGCGCTGGTTGCACCGCCATCGGGGTCGGAAGCCTTGGCTTTGAGCAACAGCTGGGCAGAATACTTTGCTCAGAGTGTCGATATACCCCTGTCCGTCATGACCGAGCCCACCTTGCAGTTAGTCCATACTCTATTGCTGAAGGTACGTTTTCATTGATCTTACCTTGCCTTGACGATGCTCGCAGGAGCATCATTTCACTCACATGATCATCATTAACCGAAAAAACCAAAAAAACGAACAAAAGGCTCTTTACGCCCAACAGGTGATGCGGCCCAATGAAACCTACCTTCACCTTGGCTACGCCGTCCGCGCCGCCCTAGCGCTCGGGATCAATCGAGCTCCCGTGGTCAACGGGTACGGCTCGAACATGCATCACCTCAAGATGACCATCTGGCTGACCTTTGCCTTCGAACGCGTGACGGCGCTGCTGGTGGGCCGCCCCTCGTGCTTACGGGATGAGCAGATCGACGCGCCCTACCCGCAGGACCAGCCGCCGCCGCCGGCGGTGGGTGACCTCTCGCCACAGCTCGCCATCGATCGGAGCGCCTTCGTGCGGGTTCTCGCGGATATCGGCAAACTGGCCGATGGGATTTTGACCCGCATCTACCCGCTGGGCACGCTGTCCGCAGCGGAACAGTACCTGGTGGAGAGCAACATGCAAGAGCTCGACGCGCGCCTCCTCGCCATCGCGGAGCAGTTACCCGACTACCTGAACTTCCTGGACGAAGACTCCTCCGTCGGCGACGGGTGGCAGGAGATCCAACGCCTGCACCTGGGTCTGCTCTACCATACGCTGCGCATGCTCATCCACCGGCCGGTGGTGGTGTTCACCACCTTCTTCGACTCGAACCGCGAGGCCCAGCAGCATGCGCGCGGGGTCATCCAGTTGCAGGAGTCGATCGACATCTCGATCAGTTCGGCCCGTAACATCATCCGCTTCGCCCAGGAGAGCCTGGGGACGCGGCAGCCCGACGCCCGCTCCGACGGATCCCTCGCCAGCTATCTGGTGGCCGCCTGCATCACACTGCTGTATCAGGTGCTCGATCCGGCCACCGCGATCGCGTATGCGAAAGAAACCTTCGCGGTGGTCGAGCAGGCGGTGCAATGCCTGGATAATATGAATCATCTGGGCCCCCGGACCGGAAAGATCCTCAGCACCGAGATCTTGCGGATCGCCAAGGGTGTTTTCTGTTCGTCGACCAGAGAGGATCCGCTCGACCTTTCACTAATCAATGAGTTCCCCTGGCTTGAGTACGTGGACCCTTTCTAATCCCCCCTTATCCCAGAAGAGATTCCCAGAAACCGCAGTCTAGTTAATTGTAAGAACCTAATGACTGGGCAGTGTATCACCCTCGACTGAGATGGATCTCACCGGTCCACTTCCGGATCCCACGTTAGGTGGAACCTCGATAACACAGCATCTTCGTGCCTGGCCCTTCCAGTTAGACTTGACGGCTGCGGAGCCGGCAACCATCGACCCCACCACTAATCCACCCACCGCAGATCCCAGCTTTGTCAACTCGAATCTCGACCTCAATCAAAGCAGATATTCTGCTGCCGCGCACTTGGTACCTGATACCCTTGCATCCTGTTTTATCTGAGGGGGGAGAGGTCTTATGCCCGGCGACAGGGATTGTCTCCGCCAAACAGGTCGGTGTTATAAAGCCCCGTGAAGAAAGTGATAGTAGCATTGCGGGGTTGGGGAAGATATTCTCGACATTGAGTTGTAAGCAAAGGCGGATTAAATTAGTAAAGCTTTCTGACACAAAGCCACGCGAGCGAATTAAGTAGAAGGACGCCATGTATAGCTAGATGCTTATCCAATACTGCTCTTATATTCAAGACACTCTTAGCGTTGCTCTGTGACCAACATTCATTGAAGATCAAGCAACGGGGCAGCTTGAACCATGAGCAAAGGGTGTTACAAATGGAAAGTAGAAAAAGAAAGAAAATCAAAAACATACAACAGAAGAGATTCGCTGGTAGTCACCCAAAAAAAAAAACTACTAACCTCCCGGCGTGTGGCTTGAGTACGGCTGAGCGGACGGGAAGCCCTATTTTCCACACCCTGTGGTCGTATGTGCTTGTTTGTACAGAATTTTAATTTATATACCCGTTATCTACGGATCAGTGCTATATTCCAACAAAACACGAGTCGGATTAAGGGGTGGGGAGGAGAGGGGGACCAGACTTATATGTGGCGGTTGCGATTATAGCAATTTCTGTGGGGCGAATGAGAGCGGTATTTGGTGAGGTTGGGGCTAATACCATTTATAATGATTTTTCTCCCTTTTGAGATCTTGCCAGGGTACTCAGAACGTTGATATATACTCATGTTGAACACCCGAATAGACACCTATAAGAGCAAGCCGCTCAACACAGAAGCCAAAGGAGATGTGATCACTCGCACCAGTGGATCCATCCACTCGTTCGGACCTGGTTGACCAAAGTCAGTGGAGTAGGCTGTCCACATACGCCAACGCCTCCTTTCCCTTTACAACCCACCGCTCCCAGGAGAGCTCATCTCTTGCCATCTCCCACTCGGGCAAGACCTCCTCATCCTTTTCACCCGGGTATCTAAAGTGATACTCGTAGCCCTGGCCGTCAGCCCTCAGCTGACGAGCATACTGGCCCTCATGCAGGCCAGCCGGACGATACCCCGGCACGTGCTTCAGCCGAAACCCCACCGTTGGATGGATATACTCGCAAGTATGCCCGAGAATCTCATTCGTGCGCGCATTCCGAACATAGCGACGCGGCCTGCGCGCCAGCGACCCGTTGAGGCGGTAGGTGAAGTCGAAGCTGTCAGGTAAATCGCCGGTGGCCCAGCCATACTGACGGATCTGGCGATAGGCCGGGGGAGCATCGCCCGACGGGGTGAGTGGGTGTTGCACGGCGGCAACCAGACCCCGCCCCGTGCGCCACAGCCACTGGGCCCAGGGTTCGGACTGCCAGCGACGCTCTTTCTTCTGGTACGCCTCCAGCGCCTCGTTGATCCGCCGCAGACGATCCTCCCGAGTCTTTTCCTCGAGCTGGAGGAGCTCGCGGTCGAGGGAGACGTACCCCTGGATCTGGTCCAGCATCCACGCGAAGACGATGTGGGACATCTCTTCCATGTTGCCCTTGTTCTTGAGGGTCCGGCTGGATCCGCCCCCGATGTGGATGTGGAACCCCGGGAACCAGACCTGCGTCAGCTGGGACGGCTCCTTCTGGCTGTCCTCCCACTCCAAAAGCTCGCGTGCCGCCACGTTGCGACGTTCCTCGGCTGCGTGTAGCTCCTCGATGCTGGCGGTGCCGCTTCTTACGAGTTTTAGCCACTGACGGGTGGCGTCCCGTGCCTGGTTCTTGATTTCTCGCGATCGGCTCTCCGTGATAGTTTTCGGCGTCTGGACGAAGAACATGGCTGGGCGGAACAGTCGTCGATGCTCGTCCAGCGCCAGCGCTTGGAATGCGTTCTTGATATCTGGGGCTCGAGTTCAGTATCGTCTCACTCGGAGTCAATGATAGCTGGAGGGAATTGCTTACTAGGCGAAAGACCGACATTATGCCATTCAGGCTTATCAGTCCAAGTCAGCCACGCGGGAAGCTCATGGCCAAACAGCTCAGGGAAGCCCAGATTGCCGACGGTATCGAAGACCCCAACCACTTGCACCTGCCGTGATTCCGGTGTCGATGCCCATTCTGCGGCCGACTCCCAAGAACCCTCATCCTCCTCTCTATCCTCCTTCCCCTCTTCTCCGACAAAGGAGGATCGGCACCCCCGGAAAAACTCATAATACGCATCACTGCCATAGAACCGCTCCCCCGCCGGCGTCTTCTTATACACCTTCCACAGCGCCGGGAAATTGGCGATCTGATGCGGCGGGCAGATGCCGATATCCGAAATCAGGCCGGCGATGGCGCGCGCCGTGTAAGCCCCGCGCGAGAACCCAAAGCACAGGATCTGGTCGCCCGGGTTCCAGTTCAGGGCGCAGAAGTGGTAGGACTCGACGATGTTGCCCTCCAGCCCTTTGCCCAGGGCGCCCTCGACGAAGTTGCGGAGCGGGCCCGCCGCCGTGGTGTTGGTGCCCACCCCGGAGTCGTACCAGACGATCTGCTGCCAGGGCTGGTGGTCCACGGGGTCGATCCCCACGCTGTCGATGGCGCGGCAGAGCCGGGTCACGTTCGAGGGGATGCTCTCCTGGCCGTCGACGGCGGATTGCCAGGTGCCGTCGCAGCAGATGATGAGGCGCTTCCGCGCGGGTTGGGGTTTGGGGGAGGGGGTGAGGGGGCGGTGCATTTTGCTCGCTCTTTCTTTAAATGGTGAAGATTAACTAATCATTAGAGATCTCTAAAAGGGCTATTCACTTTCTCCCCCCTTCAGGAGGTCAAGTAGTACGGGAATCGGCTGGGCTTATCATTGATGTACAGTACATTCACGTGTTGCCCGTCCGTCGCTACAAATTTCCTGCTCGGCAGAAATGACCGTCTTTCGTTCTCGGTGTCAGTGGCTGATGACCCCTTTGCATCTCAGCTGAACTGTTCTTTGTAGGTTGATTGGCAGTCATCCTCTTGAAGTCTTCTTTTTCAGCTGCGGCTGGATACCCCGAGGGTTCGTGGCGCATCCTCAGCTCAAACCACGTCCGTGTCACTGTAGCCCTCCAAACCCCCACCCCCGCATATGCGAAAGATTCTAAGAACAAGATTTAGGGTAAATAGTTGTTCCTCCAACCATGGTTATATAAACTTAGCAAGCTTGATTGTTTGTGCAAGTTGGTAGCAACCTATCACAATCAAACAAGACATATCTCAGTCTTCTTCCATCAATTTCGCAACGCTAACTATGTCATCCGAACAGCAATCCATAATCATCACACGCAAGCCCTAGAGTTTACGCAACGCCTGGCTTCCCACTCCAAACAAGAAGCTTCAGACCACGGACCGAAAGAACTCATCAACCCGACCCACCAGAATCCCAATCAAAGAGTCAACAGCTTCGCCTCCTTCTTATAGTGCCCACCGACTGTAGCCTTCAGGTCCAACTTGACCCACACCTCTATGCACACAGAAACCCATCAGCCAGGAGCTTCAACAGTGGCACCACAACCACCAGATAGGAGGCTCACCTTTCCCATTCTTAAGGAAGAAACAGATCGACCCTTTTGCAAACTTGATATTGATCTTGGCGCAGATCCCACGTCGCAGATCCCCGGTGAGATTCAACAGCTTGGCCCCGAAGACGGACACTTGGACCCGGATCGCGAACTTCTTGGGATTCACATACCCGAGAACCTGCACCTAGCTGTTAGAATTCTTTTTTTCCACGCCTCGTTTCCTGCGCTTTTGCCTCGGCAGAGATCAAGATACGTGACTGTTGCAACTGAATGCTCACCTTGACAGGTCCGTACGACCAGTTGATCTTGGGATACGCCTCCGCGCTCACCTCCACATCATCGGGCAAGGAATAGACGTTTGGAAGCTGCGTGGCGACGATTGTGCGGGGTTCGTCGGGTTTGGTTTTCTCCTCGGTGATTGCCACGACGAAGCCTAGACACAAGCAACGGCCTAGTTAGCCTAGTTCTGCGGGTAGGGTTGCATGCATAGTCTTGGTTCAGGGAGGGAAGGGAGCCATGCCCGCGCGAACCTCGGCCGCCTCCGTGTCATCATCCAGGAGGAACTCCTCGGCCTCGGTGTCCTCTGGTTCAACGGCCATCGGTGTGGATGAGCGCACTTCGCCTGCCTCCGTCGCCAGCATACATTGGTCGGCTTGCTCGGTCATTGTGGATTGGTTCTCCATGTTTGTAACGGATTTGAGGGGTGTTCTTCGGGTTACTGCGATGGTATGAGAAGAAACGCTCTTGGAGGTGAGATTATTCCGCGAGGACATCGTGGTCAACGTCATGCCTTTTATATCCAATGTCATGACAAGCCAAACGAATCCCTCACACCACAAAGGCTAGCTAGTGGCATCGACATCAGGTATCTCTTACACAAACCACGTAAAGCATCCCCAGAATATGCATGCAATGCCTCAGCCTACATACGCTTCAACGTAATAACAACCCCGATATCCTATAATGGCATGAGAATCAACCATGCAGATGTTGCACATCACATTTATATCCCCAGGACAAGGGGGACAGCAGCCCTAATCCTCCGTAGTCAGGTCCCACTACCACAATCTCTGGTTTTAGTTTCTCTGGCAAATCGACAACCCTCGTTTTCATGCATCACATCGATGAAATCTCCGAGAGGCTCTCTCTTCGTATATGCAGAGTCAGCATCCCATAGGGTGAGTGAAGAGGCTCATCCTTGCGGTTCAACGGTGTGACGGGAGGGCGCCGTTCCGGATGTTTGCTTTTGTCGGACCCCGCGATCTGTGGCTCAACCTGGGAAATGATGGGATATTGACAGTGGCTGACATGGAGACATTTGGGATGTGGGAGACTGACAGAAGGATGTCTCGGCGATCTGCTCAGTCACGGGTTCTCAGTTGTTCGAAGAGGTCTTTGGCACAGTAACAGCATGCATAAGCTGCGTCAGATCCATCGCCGGGAACATGGGTTCTCAGATACACGCTACAATCAACTCGAATTGCAGCAGGGTCATGCTCAAGCTCTGAGAGCCTTTGGAGGTTGCGGCAACGCCTGGAGACCCGCTGTCACAAGGGATAAACTACTGCCAACGAGAGGATTGCATGACTTCCCCAAACTGTAAAAGGCCTTTCACCTACACCTACATCTGTACGATCTCAGACTGACTCTGTTTGAATGGCATGACGTCGGACTAGGTTGCAGATGGTCAGACAAGCAGTAAGCCGCGTACATTGTGCTCCCTTCTCATGGATTTCACCACTGCATCTGCTCACAAGATTTCCATTAAAGCAAATGTGTCTTGCTCTTGAAGATGCGCTGCATCGAACCATATCTACCATCTTTGTAGGCGAGTTCTATATTCACTATCTGACTCCCTACAACCTATAACAAACCACTTGAGCCCACGGTGGTCAGACTAGAGCTCAAGATCAGGTACTTCATTTGCGACGGCCACCCCCCTTACATTGACCACCATCTAGAGTCAGTGTTCTTGATAAGCAACCTATTCACCGGATCGCTCATCCAGGAATCCACCTCCTCCAACTTCTACCCCGCAGAGAGCTCGTATAAATCATATTTTCAAAAGAAAAAAAAGCAAAACAGAAGAAAAGAAAAGAAAGAAAGAACCCAGAAAAAGTCCACTCGAGCTTCCTACACTAAACTCCGGACTTCACCTCCACACCCCCTCCACCACAATCCGAACGCACCTTCCAACAACACGCCTCAGTCAAGCATAAAAACATAGTCAGCCGCAGCTCTGCAAGCTCCCTACCTAGTATCCTACTTCCACCCGAAAGTGCCATAAAAACATGAGTATCATTCTTCCCTCATATCAGCACACCTCATCGCATAACATAAAAAAACAAATCCCAACCCCTCAAACCCTTACCCCTTCCCCAAGCCCCCCTCCCTCCCTACCTTCCTCATAACCTCATAAAAAACAGCCCCCACCCCTCAATTCCCGCTCATCAACCCCTCCAACCGCCCCTTCTCCAGAATCTCCCCCTCCGCCAACCGGCCCGTCTCGACCGTCCTCCCCTCTACAACCTCATACCGAATCACCGTCGGGATGCACGGGACCTTCCACGTCGTGCGGTAGACATTCTCCAGGTCCTTCCATCTACCCGTGGGAAAATGCGAGAAATAGCACATCGCGCGTTAGCCGTCTTGCACCACCACCACCACCACCCAACAAACAAAATACATCAAACAATAGACAAGGGGAAATTTGTCTGGCACAACACCCACCCCACTGTCCAAGTAAAAAAAAAAGAAACTACACGAAAGGGGGAACAACATACTCGGGCTTCTGCCCAACCTCCACAACAGCCAGGCGCGGGGCCTCGGCGGCGGAGAAGGCAGCGTCGAGGACCGGCCACGCGGCGCGCACGTCCGGGCACCATGACTGTCCTGTGGCCGGGTCGGGCGAGGTCACGAACGCCAGGAAGAACGGGGCGGCGGAGGAGGATCCCTCGGGGATTTGAAGGGCGGCCGGGGAGGCGGGTAGGGGAAATGTGGTGAGGATGGGCATTTTTGTTTGGCTGTTGAGGTCTGTTTGGAGAGGTGTAGAAAAGGTATGGAACTCGAAAGGTTGTGCAACCAGAAAAAGTTGAGGGTGTGGGTGTGGCAGAACGGAAAATCCCGCGATGGCGGCATTGGGCCGTCGGGTTTCGTTTTCTGCCGGCATTACTTTTTTTTTCTCGTGGGGTGGGGGTGGGGGTGGGGGTGGGGTATAGTGGGCGGTGAAGGGGCTGACTCTTTTTGGCGACCTGTTGCTTGGGAGGACTATTATTCATAGGCAGTAATTCCAAGTTCCAAGAGGTTATACTATACACATTCCCGATTGGGTACTGTGCGTGTGGCTCAAGTGGTATGTACAGCTACATCTCTACTTCCAGAAGATCCATTCCGTCTCAAATTGGATTTCTATCTCTTTTCATCAAGTGTGACTATGGCTGCCCACTCACCGCCCATATACTGTACCTTGTACCCAGTCCTGGACTACCAGTCACATGCTGGACACAGTACCAGGTACCTAGGCTACAAAGCATGATTCCCCCTGACGGCCTCAAGACGGAGTTCCGATTGCATTCCTTCTGATGAAAGCAGCAAAGTGGACATGTCACTGGCACCTCTACACTGTAGAAGCACTATGCCCAGCGGGTGAACCCGCAACGGCAATCTGCGCACCGTGCAGCGGATCCCTCTGCAGGGCTCCGAGACCTTGTACACACGTTCATGCGCCTCGGCCCGTTTGTAGGCCTGGTGTAAGTGTAATGTACAAAACTGGACCATCCAGCAGCCTGCAGAGAGCTCCCATCCACTGCCGATACCCGAAACCAAGTGCTACACGGCCACTGGAGAGTGGAGACTAGATCCAGGGTTACACGGGACTCGGGAGTCTATTTATGCTAATATCACAAGAAGAAAGTCTATGTATTTTGATAGAACCAGATCGTTAAGAAAATCGCTAATCTCACAAAGAAACCCCAATACAACTACCTCATTCATACACTTAGTTCCCCTCGTGCAACCGGACCGTCACGTTGTCCCCGGGAGCATTGGTCAAGCTCACCGCCATGGCAATCTCGCCCTCGGCCGTCTTGCCAACGCCCTCCAGCTTGTCGAACCGTTGCAGCAAGCGCACCATCACGTAGCCGGCTTCCGTCAAGGCGAACTGCTGGCCAATGCAGATGCGGGGGCCACCGTTGAAGGGAAGATACTCCCAGCCGGGCTTGCGGGATTCCCAGCGCTGCGGACGGAACTCATCCGCATCAGCGCCCCAGAGATCGGGCCGGCGGTGCATCACAAAGGTGCTGTAGAACACGGCCTGGCCCTTCTTGACATACACGGGATCTGTGCCGTTGGGACCACCGCCGGTGGGGATGGTGGTGTTCTTGACGGCGATACGACGGTTACCAGGGACGATTGAGTAGAGGCGGAGGGTTTCGTTGAGGACGTTCTGGAGGGGCTTGCAGCCTTTGAGGCCGGCAAAGGTGATTTCCTTGGGGGAAGCGTAGGAGCCGAACTCTTCGACGACGGCGGCGCGGAGGCGGGCGTACTGCTCGGGGTGACGTGCAAGAAGAAGCACGCACCAGCTGAGGAGGGAAGCAGTGGTGTCACGTCCGGCGAGGAGGATGTTGAGCAGCTGAGAACGTAGTTCGACGGGATCCCGGGTCATCTCGGCAAGGGCATGGAGGAAGACGTAGTGAGAAGGCTTCTTCTCGGCATCCATGTTGAGAGCAGCATCCACGAAGCGATCGACGTAGGCGTGAACATAGTTCTCAACTTCGCGGCTCTCCTTGTTGTTGACGATCCAGTAGATCTTCTCGAAACGGGCGCGCTGTGCCGCATACCATTGGCCGCGATCGAACTGAGTAGCAAAGTCATCCTGAGTCTTGCTGCCACTACGAAGAGCAGCAGCCTGGCTCTCAACGCTTTCACCGAAGAGAAACTCCGTAGCCGAGTCGAGGGTCAACCGGAAAAAGATAGTCTGAATATCGGTGGGTTCGGTCCAGCCAGTAGCATCCACGGGCATGAGGCGCATAGCCTGCTGTACGTGCCGCTCCTCCAGATCCAGATCACTGATCTGGTCGCGGGTGAACTGGGGCCGCAGAAGTCCGCGGGAGCGGGTCCAATATTCGCCATCGGCAGTGAACTAAACAATGGTGGGTCTACATTAGTCTCAAATAGAAAAGTTCGGTGAGGTCAGTGGACATACGATTCCATTGCCCAAGAGCGAGTGAAAAGCGTTGCGGCGGGGAGTGCCAAGCTCAAAATCCTTGAATTGGTGAGCAAGGACGGCCTGGACATTCTTGGGTTCACATGTCAAGATAATATCTTGTCCCAGCTGGCGGAACTGGAAAGTGGTGGTGTAGCGGTTCTGGCTGGCAGACATTTTCTCGATACGGTGACGCGACAAATAAGGCAGGTTGCGGTCCTTGTCATAGCGAAGGGCTTCCTTGAGAGTATTGGTTCCGAGCCAGTCTCCAGGGTAATGTGGGATGGAACCACAATTCCAGCGGCGAGCGTTCTGAGCATGTTGCCAGCGAAGTAGTAGTGTCCAGAGGACATAAAGAATGGCGGCGACAGCCGTTATCGTAAGGACGACAGACATAATGGGCGATCGGTGGTCAGTCAGTCACCGATGGGTTTATTGCAAACGGAGGGAGGCGTGGGAGAAAATTGGCGAGCAGAGGAATCAGTCCAGCATGGGAGATGATGCTGATATATATCGAATGTCAATTGGTGCGAGGGTCCATAAAAAGATACGTCTTGCCCGCGATCGGGGGGCTGGCACGCGGGGTGAATGCCAGAAAGAAAGAATGAACCGAGGCCTAGGCGACAAGTCGGTCGAGACTTGCGGACATCACAAGTAGGGTTACAAGATTTAGATGATTAGTCGTGCAGATGGAGTGGGGTCGATGGTAGGCCCGAGGAACAGGATGTGCAACTCCAGATTGTACAAGGCAGGACTGGCATGATATAATGCGCACGAACGAGGGGGCTCCCACCCGTCTCAAGCCGACGGCGAAGTCCTAGGCTCAAGTGGCGTCGGCGGATCGGCGGGTGGGCGCAGAGCTAAAACAAACGGCCGGAGCAGAGGCTGTAAGCAGTAGTCGCTCATCTATTGTATCTGCTGATGGGGGCCCAAGTCTGACCATTGAGGGCTTGACAAAAAGATGAAATGCAGTGATGCAGACGTGTCAGCCATTCTGAGCGGGCCAAAGAACGGGGTGGCTCCGTTGGTGGCTGTTTGCAGTGCTCCACATTGCTCCGCCGGAATCAGACATCGAGCGAGTCTTGTCTCGGGACAGTGGAGATTAGACTACTCCCTATGCTGCTTGTATTGCTGTTACTGACGTTACTGATGCACTCGTGCTGATTAAGAAGAAGATCTTGGAATCATGCGCAGCAAGGATTTGGAAGAAGGGACGTGAGGAAATGATGCAAGGAGGTGGAAGCCACATGATACACGATGATGTTGACGATTAGTTGGTTAGCTGCTGATCGAGGAACAGGAAAGGAAAGGGTGGAGAGCCCTGCTGACTCACCACAGTATCCAAACCTTAGCCCTGAGGCACAAAACCCTTTCTCTTTCCGGACTAGTAGTCCGTCGGGAAGCCGGCCAATCCAACTTCGGAGATTATGCTCTTTGACTGCGATGACGGAGACGTTGCCTGCTTGGGCAAACTCATCCACGGCTCATTCCGTCGATCGGTATCGCACTTTTTGGAACTGGAGTCAGGAGAGATCCAGTTGAAGCGATTGTTGGGGCCTCGCCACTCGGTGAAGACCGAGAATGTTATGAATCTCGGACATTACCTATAAAAAGTGAATGGACTGTTATACGTACTTGGTGAGTGTCGAATGTTGTCAGTGCGTATGTACTGTCTATTGTAAATAGTAACTTATCTACTGTAACTACCACACGCTCTATGGAACCGTGTCGTCAACATCATTATCACGAGTCATCATATCGTCAACACCACAATCATAGCTACGACCACTAAACCTTTCGCCGCACTAACCCCCGGAAGAAATCGAAGCTGTTGCTGTCGCTCTGTAGCTGCCACACGCGACCCGTCGGTCGGTCATCCCAGCCCAGCTCCTGCGCCAACAACAGTCCATAATCTCGAGTGATGCCCTGAATGCGAGCCCGCGCTCCTCCGGCCTCCTCCAGAGTGACAACTTGGTGCATGTGCAGCCAGTCCGCATAGTACTGATCCTCGAACTCTCGATCGAAGCCCGTCCGCAGAAACCGTCCGTACAATTCCTCAAATGTCGTCAGAATCCGTGCCAGCAGCTTCTCCAGCGTGATGGGGGCCGCTTTCGGGCCCAAAAATCGTTTCGCCAATGCCGTCAGCGACGTGGTGGGGGATGCGTTGGTCGCGTTGACCCCAATGCCTACCACCGAGATGTACTCGTTGGCGCAATAGTGCGAATTCACCAGGATTCCGCAAATCTTCGAGTATTGTTGTTTCTCGGGGTGCTCCGGGTCAAGCGCATCTGCAGGTTATCAGCAATGATGATAATAACAAAAACCCGATAGGAGAGATGGGTACATACACACGTCGTTGGGCCACTTCATCTTGACCGGCATGGCGTCGTAGCCTTCGTCGTACCGCTTGATACCCTGCACCACGGCCATCGCGGCCAAGTATTGAATGAACACCACTGGGGCCGATTGAATCTTCTCCATCGGGTGTCGCAACACCGTCGAGAAGATCAAAGCCCCTGCAGGCGAGACCCAGACATTGGAGCCCCGACCCCGCCCAGCGACCTGGGTGGTGGCCGTAGCGGTGAAGCCGGTGGGCAGTGTGCGCAGCAGTTTCGGGTTTCTGACCGGTCAGTCATGTGAGCTGTCAGAGTCGATCCCAAACTCAAACTTACTTTTCCAAAATCGTATTCGTACTGGTGACTACTTCCCCGTATACCAGGTTGGAGCCGAATTCAGAGGCACCCTCTCGGGATTGTCCCTGGTACTGGCGCAGGTGCGAATAAAAAGCATGGTGATTGAAGTAGGGTGTC